TTTTCCTTTTCCTTTTCTCTTTCCTTTACCTTTGCCTCGTCTGATGTATTTGCCTTGGAACCTTCTCTGATACCATGAAGTTGGCGTCATCATAAACCCAGAAAACATCTTCTAAAGCATCCAGGAATCCTTCTGCGCCGTCTTCTTCATCTTCGGCCCAATAGCCGTCGGTTCCTTCTAATTCACCTTCATCCAGTACGAGGAAAGATCTTCTCTGTGCCATGCCAGAGGGTTGCATCAATGGATTGTCAACTGCTGTTTTGGTAGTGCAAAACATTTCCAAAAACAGGTCACGTAGTTCTTGAATGCTGTATCGATCGAGGGTTCGTCCACGATGTGTCATGATACTTGTAAGTGTGTTTCTCTGATCTTGACTCAGGTCAGCTAGACTTACAAAAATCAATGCTAGCAAATTTTCACCCAGTGGGAATGCTTGTCGCTGTGCTTCTCTACGATTTTCCTGAAATAGTCTGAATGCCGCTAGTGCCAGTTCATCTGTCCAAGGAACAGCTACATGGGGTGTTCCTGAGGCTGCTGCTACATCAGCTCTCTCTTGTTGATCTCGTTCATGTTCTTGACGTCGTTGTTGAACAAACAGGATTGCTTCAGGACTAGTCACTGTTACTTCTGGAAGTAAATCCATCCAAGACTCAATAAGTCTATTGCCAGTGAGTTAAATCTAGTCATCCACTTCTGAAGATCCATGGTTCCTCTGTTGAACTTCATGAACTGCATGAAACGGTATAAGAACACGTTCTGGGCACCTTTGATGAAATGAGGTCGTAGAAATCTTTTGAAATAAGCTACTCCTTCATAGGGATCCCTGAGCATTTCTCTGTCCAATAGTCTCTTGTATTGTTGAGCATCTCCTTCCAGTCTATTGCGCAATGCTGGACCACGTTTCTCTGGTTCTAACTACGTAATGTCACACCAGTCATCAATTGCATCCTCAAAAGCAAAGAAGCTGGTTCTCCCATCATATGCTGGAGCAACCTTTGTGGTCATCTGTTGCGTCATATGAATCTGTGTATGCTGGGGTGCTCTTCTCATTGCATAAGAGTCATATTGGTTCCATTCATTTGCATCGACAATGTCGAAGTCATCATCATCATAGCCATGGCTTGCCATTGCTTGGGCTCTACCTGGAGCTCACCCTCAATGAGGGATCACTGCTCCGCTACCACTTGAAGAGGGGCCCTAGCGTCTACTTCAAGATCAGCTAAGGCGTCTTCCCCAATGACAGCACTTGTTTTACTCAGCCTGTTGCCGGTCTGTGCTTGTCTACAGGGTTACTCTATATACCTCTTTTGAGCCTTGAAGGGCGCATATAAATGTGCTCAATACTCATGCATGTACCTATGTAGGTATTAGGTCGAAACAAAAACAAGGGCGCAGCGCCTCCCCCCGCAATGCGTACCAAGAGAGAAGCACATAGGCACAAGTCTCAATGGATATATTGCAAGTAAGAACGACAAGATCAAAAAAGAAGCACATAGGCACAAGTCTCGATGGATATCAGCAAAGATGAAATTAACCCAAATAAACGATGATGCTTATGCAAAAAAAGGAATAGTAGGTAGCAAGGGGAACCGTTTTAAAAATAAAAGCGGGTGGGGGGGTGCAGGGGGGAGGGCGCAGCGCCTCCCCCCGCAATGCGTACCAAGAAAGAAGCACATAGGCACAAGTCTCAATGGATATATTGCAAATAAGAACGAGAAGATCAAGAAAGAAGCACATAGGCACAAGTCTCGATGGATATCAACAAAGATGAAATTAACCCAAATAAACGATGATGCTTGTGCAAAAAGAAAGGAATAGTAGGTAGCAAGGGGAACCGGTTTAAAAATAAAAGCGGGTGGGGGGGTGCAGGGGGGAGGGCGCAGCGCCTCCCCCCGCAATGCGTACCAAGAGAGAAGCACATAGGCACAAGTCTCAATGGATATATTGCAAGCAAGAACGAGAAGATCAAGAAAGAAGCACATAGGCACAAGTCTCGATGGATATCAGCAAAGATGAAATTAACCCAAATAAACGATGATGCTGATGCAAAAAGAAAGGAATAGTTAGTAGGTAGCAAGGGGAACCGGTTTAAAAATAAAAGCGGGTGGGGGAGGGGGGAGGGCGCAGCGCCTCCCCCGGCAATGCGTACCAAGAGAGAAGCACATAGGCACAAGTCTCAATGGATATATTGCAAGTAAGAACGAGAAGATCAAAAAAGAAGCACATAGGCACAAGTCTCGATGGATATCAACAAAGATGAAATTAACCCAAATAAACGATGATGCTTATGCAAAAAAAAGGAATAGTAGGTAGCAAGGGGAACCGTTTTAAAAATAAAAGCGGGTGGGGGGGTGCAGGGGAGAGGGCGCAGCGCCTCCCCCCGCAATGCGTACCAAGAGAGAAGCACATAGGCACAAGTCTCAATGGATATATTGCAAGTAAGAACGACAAGATCAAGAAAGAAGCACATTGGCACAAGTCTCGATGGATATCAGCAAAGATGAAATTAACCCAAATAAACGATGATGCTTATGCAAAAAGGAAGGAATAGTAGGTAGCAAGGAGAACCGGTTTAAAAATAAAAGCGGGTGGGGGGGTGCAGGGGGGAGGGCGCGTACCAAGAGAGAAGCACATAGGCACAAGTCTCAATGGATATATTGCAAGTAAGAACGAGAAGATCAAGAAAGCACATAGGCACAAGTCTCGATGGATATTTTGAAAGAAGAAGAAAGAGAAAATGAAAACCCGAAAGAGGAAAGAGTGAATAAGAGAAGAAGAAAGAGAAAATGAACCCTAAGAAACGATGCTTATGAGCAAAAGGCAAGAGAGTAGGTAGCAAGGGAAGCTGATGAAAAAACAAAAGCGGGTGGGGGGGTCCCCTGCAATGCGTACCAAGAAAGAACATGAAAGAAGTACATAGGCACAAGTCGCGATGGAGATCAATGAAGATGAAATGAACGCAAATAACCGATAATAAGTGTTGACTGCACACATGGTCCTTCCTTCCTTCCTTCTTTCCTTCCTTCCTTCCTTCCTTCTTTCCTTCCTTCCTTCCTTCCTTCCTTCCTTCCTTCCTTCCTTCCCTTCGTTCCCCCCTTCCATCCTTCCCTCCTTCCCTCCTTCCCTCCTTCCCTCCTTCCTCCTTCCCTCCTTTCCTCCTTCCCTCCTTTCCACCTTCCCTCCTTTCCTCCTTTCCTCCTTCCCTCCTTTCCTCCTTCCCTCCTTCCTTCCTTCCTTCATGCCCGCCTGACGCTGATGACTTCCTTCATCCCTCCTTTAGTACTTTCCTCATTCCCTCCTTTACTCTAAGAAGGGAGAAGGTACACCTTTCAGTAACTGAATAATGCAGTCTCCTTTCCTCCTTCCCTCCTTCCCTCCTTTCCTCCTTCCCTCCTTTCCTCCTTCCCTCCTTTCCTCCTTCCCTCCTTTCTTCATGGTCATTTATTTTTTTTGATGCATTTATATTTTTTTTGATGCATCTTTATTTTTTTTGATACATTTTTATTTTTTTTGATGCTTCTCCCGATCGTTCCCAAAGAGGACCAAAACCCCTTTTCACCACGCCATTTGGTGGAAGATACCACTGTGACCGTGAATGTCATGGTCTTAGACATGCCAAGGAAGTTTGTCTGACGCCACGATGTCACAGATGTGGCCCACAGTCAGACGTTCCCCAACATAGGCTGTATGCGATCTCACATGGATATGCACTTCATGTTGATTATGAGCATTGTCGTGATGCGGGATCCAATGGTCCACTTCGGGCCTTCAATCCATGTGCGATTTGCTGCACTGCAGATGATAGACTTGTTATGACTTGTTTAGAGGGCTTGAGCTGAATATGTGGTCAGTGGAACTGATCACATAGGGGGAGTGCGTGTAAGAATTCCATGCATCCCTATTTACCCAATTCTCAAATGGAAATACTTCCACTTTTGCTTTGACTTCAACCCACCGGGTGTTGTCCAGACTTCAACTCACCGGGTGTTGTCTAGGAATCCTGAAGAACCTGCATCTGGGCCGGACCGAAGCCTTTTAGATGTCAAGCGGCACAAAGGTGCGTCAGCTAGCAGCGAGGTGGCTGCTTGGAGTTTTGGGGAAACTTGGTTTTGTTTTTTGGGTTGAAACATTTCTTTTCCGGTTGGGGTCGGGATCTCAGTTGCTGTTCAGGGTTCCAGGACGGTTCACTTGTTGGCATTGGGAGGCTTCAGGAAACACAGAAACCATGGAAACCGTGCAAACTATGAAAACCGTACAGAAATCTTGGACAACAGGGAAACCATGGAAACCGCAGACAAATCATGGAAACCATGGAAACCATGGAAACCGCAAAGAAATCATGGAAAAGAAATGGAAACCATGGAAACCGCAAAGAAATGGAAACCATGAAAACCATGGAAACCGCAGACAAATCATGGAAACCATGGAAACCATGGAAACCGCACAGACATCATGGAAACCATGGAAACCATGGAAACCATGGAAACCGCAAGAAGAAATCATGAAAACCATGGAAACCGCAGACAAATCATGGAAACCATGGAAACCATGGAAACCGCAAAGAAATCATGGAAACCATGGAAACCATGGAAACCATGGAAACCGCAAAGAGATCATGGAAACCACAAAAACCATGGAAACCGCAAAGAAAGTATGGAAACCATGGAAACCATGGAAACCACACAGATATCATGGAAACCATAAAAACCATGGAAAACCACAGAGAAAAATGGAAACCATGGAAACCATGGCACAGAGTGTGTCGCGTTTCAAAATGAGTAATAAAGTCGCGTTTCAAATTGAGTATTATCCCGCGTTCTAAAACGAAACCTTCCCATATCTATCCCTATGGATCCAAGTACCTTCTTAGGAAGTGTTTGGGGTATGATTTGGAGGGTTAGCCGTACCTTCTCAGACAGTGTTTGGATCCATAGGGTATATACATGTATATACTACATAATGCAATCTATATTTGTCCAAATTACACAACCACCAGATGATCACCCAGGGGCGCCTTGCGGCATTGCGCCCCCATTTTTGACGTCCCAGCAGCTCCGTCGGAAGGTCATGGGGTCCATGGAATCTGAATGGCCACCGTCGAACCAACAGTTGGCACCGGCGGAACCTGCCAGCTGGTGCTGATGGTAGTCATCCCTGGGGAAACGCAACGTAATGACCATGATACATCCGTCAAAGTCCATCGAAAAAATGGAATCCCAGATGCTCCATGTAAATGTATGGAATATTTACCTACATAAAAACCCCAAAAATCCACCAGTTTTGTAGGTAAATATTCCAGCACCATGGAGCATCTGGGGAATGGTAAAAATATCAAAAGGTGACTTTTGATAAAAAATGATTAGTCCATGATGATCATTATACATTCAATTGCCATATTCGAAAAAAGTAGACAATGGAATGATGACATTTTTTTCGACAATTCACCCATGTTTTGGCCCTGCTGTGACACATGCAAACCTGTCAGTTTAGAGTTTGACATCCGGATGTTAACCGGAAATGGCAAGTGAACATTGAAGTTTTTCAGTGGATCATAATCTACACATGGCATGTTTTAATGGGCTTGTCATATACAAGTACATTGCTTTTCAGTGAAATGAGAAACACCGCCCCACTGGGAAATTCAAGCAGAATTTCAGGAACCGTTCCTGGGTCCTGTACGTCCTAAAGGTCTCAGCCCCAAAACATCAAGACCATCACTGGTTGGTGGTTGACCTACTGTACCCCTCTGAAAAATATGAGTTCGTCAATGGGAAGGATGACATCCCATATATAAAATGGAAAATAAATGAAAATAAAATTCATGTTCCAAAACATCAAGACCATCACATCATATCAACATCATATCACATCCCCATGGGACCCCATGGGACATCATGGGACCCCATGGCTGTGGCCTCCGCAAAAGACCGCCTTTTCCTTCATTTCCACCAGAACATTCACCACACCCAGGGCTCTCCACAGGTCCATGGCATATAACCTCGACCAGGCTGCCAGCTATTGCCAGCTCCCGAATGCTGGTACAACAGCGATGAAAACAACGCAACATACTCGATGTTGATTTCTGAACAACTTTGGTAACTGACTGGTGGTTTACCCATCCCATACCCATCCCAAAAATATGTCTGTCATCTCAATCAATAGTCCCAAGTCTGGTTCAGAAACATTACAATGATAAATACCAACAACCACAGATTGATATGGCATATGATATGGTTTTGACATGTTTTGACAGACATTGATATGGTGTAACTGTGTAACTTCACCATCCGACCATCCCAAAGTGATACCCAAGCAACGTGTTGCCACCACTCACTAAGATGATGTCGCTTTTCAACATCCTTGGCGAGTTTTTATAAAGTTGAGAGATAGCCAATTTCGAAGCCGCAAAAAACTGTAGCCAAACATGAAGTCAAAAGTCTATCATAGATGGTTCAAATCAAGCAATAAAACAACACATCTGGGGGATTAAACATTAATCATATGAGTCATATGAGTAATTCCCAAGCAATTTAGATGTGCACCATACCAGGTTTTGACCCAGATCCATATTCCTCCACCGGCTTAGCCGTCACAAGCCCCGGGCAATCGTCAGAGGATCATGGGCCAATCCGATCAGCGGAGAACTGGGAACCGGCAATTCCACTACCAGGACCACAGGACTACAGGAATTGATCAGACTGATTCCACTAGTTAAGTCAAAGTTTGGAGTCAATTAGATGTGTTTGCTCCTTTCCTTCAAGCCTCATAACTTTTGATGTTATTATCATTTATTATCATAAATCTCTACTTGTTCAGTGTTTTTACTAATCAATATTGACCCATTTCCAAGCATCGATCCGCAACAACGACATCCCAATCACCAAAAAAAAGTGGCGACTTCATCCACGGTTCTGTTGTCGATCTTCCTCCGAAAAGTGTTGCGTCTCCACCAGATTCACCGGATGGATCTTGACGCCCATGGCGATGAAGGGATCGGTGAGACGTTTTCGAAACCTGGCGTTTCGAGCTTTATGGTGAAGTCATGTGAAGTCACCAAAAGTTCCCGGGGGTCGGGGGACAGGTGCTTGGGGATCATGAACACATTATGCCTTCCAGATTCGAAACGAACTCGAGCCACCAGTCAAAACTTGATGAAAGAAACTCTGAACAGTTAGTGGTTTCAAATATGTCCAAACGTTCTATAAGTGTAACAACCCCCCACCCAACTTGTGACAAACCACGTCATAACAGGTCATTTGACAGGCATCTATATCCGTAGGACTGGCCACTGGTGGTTCACATCATGAAGTCCTTCACTGACTTGGAACCAGCTGATTTGGGAGGATATTCACATTCTTCACTGGTTTTTGTGGTAAACATGATGGCGAGGTCGCCCAATCTCATCCGATATGTGTCTAAGAAATCCATTGGTTTTCCAAGAAACTTTTCCAGGTCGTACATTGGCGTGCCTGGGCTGAGGGCCAAGTTTCGGCAGAAACAGCTCTCAGATTAAAACATGCTTGCCGTGGCCACAATGTGGCTATGGGTCACGACCTATACCCTCTGGTGACTTAACAGTTTGTTATAGACAATTGTTCATTTTGATATACTGTATATATATATATGATATATGTTTACATTGAAATGTTGATGTTCGATACTATGTTAAATTACCAGGGAGTAATTAGTCTCTTTGCGGGATGAACATCCCTAAATCCAAAGCATGTTGATGTGAACTACACGGGTAGCAGGGTACCCAGGGTACTGATAGAGTCTCCTTTGGGGGATCTGCGCGCCACACATTTCCATTCGCAAACATAACACACGCATGCCAACGCTCATGAGCTAACAAAAAAATGTGAAATAAACAATTGAAATCCACAAATCATGGGGTTCAAGTCAAGGGTACTCCAACAAAAGTCATTGCAACCCTGGATTAATAAACCCAACATGGGAATCTGAGCATTGGCAGCCCCAATGATCAACAGCGATCTACGACCATGGGCCATGGGCATGTCTGGGTATCGAATGCATCAACCACACTTGATGTATGAACTTATGAACCTCCAGTCCTCCACAATAAAACGGCCTTATAAAGGCCTGATCAAGTGAACATATATAAACAGAAATGTAAATCCGGATGCAGAACCTATTCACATTCTCATTGAACCAAATGCAAATTACAATCAGTCCAAGACGGGAAATACCCTCCAGTAATCAAACATGGCAATTTGAAAATCTGCAAAAATGAAGGTTTCAATTGGAAAAAACAACTATACATGTTGGATTTTCCATGAAGCCATATTTGATTACCAGAGAGCAACCAATTTTTGGATGTGTTCCTTACTATTTTTTGCTGTGAAGACGTTGTGCCGTCGCCATGATATACCCAGACCTAGTGCAAACAATAATCCTAACTGAGCACTGAACAGTGTCCAAAACTTGGAACATCCCCAGGACAATTATTAATGGAAATTCACAGTTGGTGGAGTATGATTATCCACTAAAAAAGGGTAGTATGTATCAACCATGAACTCATAATTTCGCAAACATATCAATTATGACCCTATATATTTTGCAGGGTTCAAAACACTTCTATGAGTCTATGTCTATGTGGTCTTGTTTTCCCTACAACATAGGTAACTACTAGAACTACTAAGTTACTATTCAGTAAAAAATACCAGGCTTTTGTATCCGCATTACAGCACCTGGTGAAACCCTACTGTTACAGCCCTGTCTACATACATCGTTCTAAAGCAATCTAAAGCCAACCCAATATATATATATATACAATACATATAGGAAGTGTTTGGGGTATGATTTGGAGGGTTAAGTACCTTCTCAGACAGTGTTTGGATCCATAGGGATATGTATATATAATCCCTGTTGGAATTCGAACCAAACCTGGGGGTTCGATTCTATAGGGACTAAAACGAAAACCCAGGACCAAGGGGCCCGTGATTTTCTCTATTGCATAGAAACCCTACCAAGCCAACAGAAAATGGTCATATTGTAATAGGTCATACCCTCTGGTGAACTAACATAGCAATTGAAAATGGCCATTTATAGTGGATTTTCCCATTAAAAATGGTGATTTTCCATTGCTATGTTAGTTCACCAGAGGGTAATCATCAGCCAACCCACTACTGTTCTTTGGCCTTCACGCTTCACCAAGACTAACCAAGGCGCCCAGGTAGGCCAGCAGCAACTTTTCCGGCGGCTTGCCGGTCATCCTAAAAGAAATGTCGGGATGTTGGGTTGGAATCCTCAACCATACAAGGTGGTGCCCCATAGTTAGCTAAGTTGGTTTATAACTCCCATAACTATGGTTTATGGCAGATATAACTATAGTCAATGGGGTTTATAAACCAACTTATAACTGGGGGGCACCATCCTGTAGAGATCTATAGAGATTCTCCAGCAGAACCAAAGGCTTACTCTAGCTGGTTGGTGGTTGAGCCACCTACCCCTCTGAAAAATGATGGAGTGAAAGTCAGTTGGGATGCTGATTATTCCCAATACATGGAAAAATAAAACATGTTCCAAACCACCAACCAGATAGTTACTTGTAAACTTTAATGTTTTTTTAGGGGGCACATTGTAGATTCTGCTTGCAAGATCGGTATTTATATTTATGCACTATGGTGGGGAACATGATCAAAGCAATGACACATGCTGTGAAATCTGTGAACATGCATGAATGGTTGATCCCGCAGCAAGGTTCGGGCAAATCCCACACCCAACTTACTCAGCTCATTAAGGAGCCATCCGGGGAAGATTCTAGCATAGCATAGCATCTTAATATTGACAGAAAATAGACTGAATATTTCCAGAACTTCTCTTCCAAGCTGAACCAAGAAACAGCGTCAAACGTGAAAACATCGCCAGGCAGTGAGACTCATATATGACACAACAACCTTCCCAATTCTACTGAGGTTAACCCCAACTCAAATATCTAAGGCATCTAAGGATGATACTGCCCTTCGTTCACACCAAAATCACTGGTAACGCTGGCTGTTCATCCACCCCATTCTTATGCAGAAATTGCAGGCATGAATTTGCAGGCATGACACACTCCCATACATCCATGGATAATTGGTACCACCCTGTTATTTTTTCGTGGTGAGGCCCCCCAAAACGATAGCTAAGCTGATTAAAAAACTTGGTTAACTAAGGTCTATGGGGGATATAAATATACTTCAAGGGATTTGTTTTTAAAAATGAGGGGGGGCTCACCTTGTCACAGTTGGTTACACCTCTCTTTATTCTACCTAATTCTTCCCTAATATAATCCATGGAAATATGCTCTTAATATCTATTGATCCATCATCAATTTCCGACTACCCTGCGGTAATTTAACACAGCTATTGAACATGGCCCATTTAGTTCGTTGTTTTAGCTATTGAAGATGATGATCTTCCATAGCAAACTGTTAGTTTACCAGAGGGTGTATCCCATTACGATTGGGTGTACAATAGTCAATGGATTGGTTTTGTTGGGAAAATCGCCGGAAACCATCGATTTTCCCAGTAATTAATAGTAATTATGGGCTTTTCATGGCTTTTCCGGTGACAATTTTTCCCTTAAACCAGATTTTCCCAGAAAAGGGTGGGTTTTTCCGGTGAAAATGTTCCCTTAAACCAACCCCCACCCCACAACCGGCGCCGGCGCCCCGTGGCGCCAAGTTTCTCCACCACCCGCGCGCAGTAGCTCTGCGTCGCCATGGCTGCCGTGCTGCCGCTGCCGCAGAGAAAGGCGCGCATCGTTGCGAAACGGACGCGACGGTGGCGGTAGGCCTACTTGGAGGATGACCTCATGAATCGTAACTTGGTTAACTAACCCCCAGCTGCAGCTGGGGTTTATAAGTAACTGGGCTAGCTGGGGTTTATAAGATTTTATAAGTAACTGGGCTTATAATACTTATAAGTTTGTTTATAGTAACTGGGTTTTTTCTAAGTAAACCCATTTTAAGAGGACTTACTAACCATTTTTTTATAACCACTTACGAGTCGCGAGATGATCCTCCAAGCAGTTTTCAGTGAGTTATTGAGTGTAATTTATCATAATTTATCTATGTATATATCTATAGTCAATAGTTCCACAACTATATGATATTATAAGTATGAAACAAAAGTGGGACACTATACAATAACTGCTGGTAATATTAGACTTATCTAACTATAATTTTCCAATATCTTCCGTTCACCACAAACCCTAGTTGACCTACTTCTAAACAAACTTGGCTAACGAACTGGCTTGCAATGGTTTCAGACTTCAAGCTGTGAGTGAATCAAAAGGGCGTTCTGTGTTGGTTCCTTGATGTTCTTTGTGATGTCAAACACATGTGTATATCAACCTCCATGTTAGGATAGAAGTTGGTAAAATCTCACTAATTGGATTTAGAATCGAACCTTTTCGGCCTCTTTTTGAAGGATCACTTTCTAGATATGTTTCGAGTTTCCTGACCCAACCAGGTTGGGGACCAGGACCTCTTTCCAGTTGCTGCTTGTTCGAAGAAGCTGCGGTCATGAATGAAGTATTCCATTCCCTCTTCATACTAAGTTACTAAACGCCCCCCAGAAACCAAAGCTTTTTCACATGAGGTGAAACCACATGTTCAAGGGACTTTTTGGGGTGGCATTTTTTTTTGAAGGGGGGATGGGATTCTCACAAACAAGTTGTCACTTCAGAGCTATCCGATCCCAACTTTGCTGGGGAACATCTAACTTTTTTAGGTGGGATCAAGAAGAGGTTTTAAAAATGTCTCATGGATTTTCTGTGATTTTCGTTGACATAATTCAAGTATATCTTTAAAACAACGAAAAAACTATGTTCCATTGATACAAGATTTCCATAGATATCCGTCCATAGAAATGTACTTAGAAAAAACATGTTCCATACACAAATAGCGATAAGGACCACAGTTTAATCATATCTATTTTGGGGTAATACGGTGTACCACATTTTCACAGACCCCGGAATATCATATCATGTTGGTTGAGCATGTCCCATCGATTCCCATCATACCCCATTACCCTCCAGTAATTAACAAGTCGACCCTGCCAGATAGGGGTTGGTTCAAATGAGTTCCACTAAGCATGGGTTATTTTCAGGGTCGAACTGTTCATTTATCAGAGGGTATATCCCACCAATTCCCATGAAATACCTTTTATTCATAGGAAAATCACCATTTTCAACAAGGTGAGCCCCCCAGCTATGTTTGTTTAAAGAAAACAATAGCTAATTCATACAAGTTCCATATATCCAACAGAAATCAACAGAAAACACTGGGATTCAGCAAGTTCTTTATGTGGTGTATCCAACATAAATCAACAGAAAACACGGGGATTCAGCAAGTTCTTTATGTGGTGATGATGAGTCAAAACCTATGAAATTACATGCCCATTCTGGATCCAAATGCTACCTGAGAAGCTACTTGACCCCCTAAATCAACCCCCAAATACTTTTTCAGAAGGTACTTATTAAATCCATAGGGATGAAATTAGATCACATTACATCATAGTACATCCGATGTCCTTTTGGTAAAAATAGAGGGGCCGGTTTGGTATACCATCTATCATCATTTACTTGCTGTTAAAGGGGTAAACAAACAAACCCCTCTAGTAATCAACCAACCAATGGGAATTTGGGACATCTATGGTCCATCCTACTGTGGATGAAAGAAATCCTACACCAGTTGATAGGTGGTTTATCCCATGATTTATAGGGTTTCAACCATCCAAGGTGGTGCAGGAGTGATTCCATCTATGGTACCCTCTGGTAAACTAACAGAGCTATGGAAAATCACCATTTTTAATGGGAAAACTCACTATTTCTATGGCCATTTTCAATAGCTATGTTAAATTACCAGTGGTTTATCCCATTATTTATAGGGTTTCAACCATCCAAGGTGGTGCAGGATTTATTCCATCTACATCCCATTAAACATCCATAGATCATTCAGCTGCCTTGGAGGAAGGCGACACGCCGCTGCGCCAGCTGATGGGGTTCGTGGCCAAGATCTTGGATCAGGCAGCCCGAGGTTCATGGTCTTTTTTTGAAGGGCTTCAAAAAGGGCCCATTATAAAGCCAACCCATTATATATTTATATATATAATTTATATATACATATAATAAATATATATTGTCATGGCCACTCTGGCAGAAAAGAGAACGTGGAGCATATCTGAGAGTTTACTCAGAGTTGACATAAATATATATTATTTATGGATCCAAGTACCTTCTTAGGACGTGTTTGGGGTATGATTTGGAGGGTTAGCCATACCTTCTCAGACAGTGTTTGGATCCATAAAGGTGGTTAAATACGGCGAAAACATAGTTCAAACTGGTGGAATAGTTGTGAACATCTTGTGAAAAAAATGACTCACCATTGTTAGTATGGCTTCAAGAATGCCGACCATTGAAATGGACACTATCAGACACTATATGGATAATGACGATGGAAATTGAGCTAGGGTTTATATGGTGAAACAGTTGTTAACCATTAAATAGTGACTATAGTGACTAGCCGTTGTTAGTAGAATGGTTAACTGTAAATGATTGAAAATAGTGACTATTGTAAAACAAGAACTATGGTAACGAATTGCTAACCATTGAAATAGTGATTATAGTGGCTGGCGATGGTTTAATTTCAACCATTATTAATCAATTGGTTTCCATAGAAGTGGCAATGGTTAATGAATCTATTTAAATTGCTAATGTTGACCATCGAATGATCAAACTTTGTTGATGTTACTTGTTAAGGATTGTTCCATTAATGATTAATTCTCAGGCTTAATTAATGAATCAGCATCAAACAATGAGTTCATTTCAAGTAACGACCTATCGGGGATTCATTTATCTAAGGGATGCCGGTCATTTTTCAACACAACTCCACCGCCGCCAAGATTCTGCGCAACGTAGCCGAAAAAAGAAGGGATGCTGGCTCTTTTGGGACTCTTACACACATCTCGGCGCACACACGATTTTTTACATTTATATGCTATTTATTTTTTGAATAGATATATGGAATAATGCTTAAAGTTCATGTAAGGTTTTTTGAAACTGTTTCGAGTTGGTGTACAGTGTCAATTACGGTTGGTTAAGAGTTTATTCAGGATTGGTTTGAAGTTTATTTAGGATTGGCTCAGGATCTATCTAGAGTTGGTTTAGAACCTATTTAAGGTTGGTTTAAGGTTTGTTTAGGGTTGGTTTGAGAGCTATTCGGGCCATGTAGGGTTGGTGTAAAGTTTATTTAGGCTTGGTTTAGAATCTATATATTTGGGATTGGTTTAGGCTCTATTTAGGGTTGGTTTTAGGTTTTGTTTCGGTTTGGTTTAGGTTCTGTGTAGAGTTGTTAGTGTAGGACCTACTCAGGGTTGGTTTAAAGTTTAGTTTAGCGTTGGTTTAGGAATTCTTTAGGCCTGGTTTACATCTTTTTGGGGTTGGTAAGGGGTTTATTTAGGCTTGGTTTAACATATATTTGGGGTTGGTTTAGGATCTATTTAGGGCTGGTCCAGGGTTTATTTAGGATTAGTTTCAGATTTATTTGGGTAATGCTTTGGGTTTACTTGAGTTGTTTTAGTGTGTTTCTTTGGTTTGGGTTTTGTTTAGGGTTCACTTAGGGCTGATTATGATGTTTTTTAGGGTTTATGTACGGTATGAGAAGCAAAAGAAAAGCAGGGAAAAGCAGAGAAGCAGGTAAGCAGAAAAACAAACAGAAAGCAGAGAAGCAAAGAAGCTGGAAAAGCAGAAAAGCAGGGAAAAGCAGAAAAGTGGAGAAGGAGAGAAGCAAAGAAGCAGAAAAGCAGGAAAACGCAGAAAAGCAAAGAAGCAAACCAGCAGGGAAAAGCGGAGAAGCAAAGAAGCAGGGAAAAGCAGAGAAGCAGAGAAACTGGGAACCAGAAATCCAGAAAAAAAACATTAAAACGGAGGAAAAAAACAGAAACTAACCCTCCATTAGTTACTGGTATTTAGGGTTTGTTTATAGTTTTTTGTGGTTGGTTGAAGGTTTATTTGCGGTTTATTTAAGGTCACTTTAGGGTTTATTTCGGGTTGGTGTAAATCTATTGAGGGACAGTGTCTGGTTCATTTGGTGGTGATTTAGGGTTTATTTTGAATTGGTTTAGAGTTTACTTAGGGTTGGTTTAAGGCTTATTTAGGATTGGTATAGTGTTAATTTATGATTGGTTCAAGTCTGATTTAGGGTTGGTTTAGGGTTTATTTAAAATTAGTTTGGGGTTATTTGGAGTTGGTCTATGTCTGATTTAGCGTTGGTTTAGGGTTGCTTTGGGATTTGTTTAGGGTTGTTGGGTTGGTGTAGAGTTTCTTTAGGATTTATTTACAACTCATTTCCGGCCTATTTAGGGTTTATTCCGCAAAACTACACAATGTAGAAACTAATGATCTTAACAACCCCAACCAAGAACCTCCGGAAACGAAGCGACACGAACACTGCGGAAACCTACGGGGTCACATTTAAAACCCAAACAAGAAACTCCGAAAGCAAGAAAACGAGAAACCTAGAAACCAAAAGACCCAGAAACCAAGAAACCCAGAAACCAAGAGACGCAGAAACCAAGAAACCCAGAAACCAAGAAACCGAGAAACCAAGAGACCCAGAAACCAAAAAAAGCAGAAACCAAGAGACCAAGAGACCCAGAAACCGAGAAACCAAGAAACCAAGAAACCAAGAGACCCAGAAACCAAGAAACCAAGAAACCAAGAAACCCAGAAACCAAGACCAAGAGACCCAGAAACCAAGAAACCCAGAAACCGGGGGAACAGAAAGTGAGAACCATGGCTCGTTGCAAAATGAACGGAGCGGCTGCACGCACGAAATATAGACGCGAAGTAACAGCCCTGGCGCGTTGAGAAATGACCCCTGGCGCGTTGAAAAATGACCTAAATACCGCGTTGTAAAATAACAATTTTCCCGCGTTGAGAAATGACCACCCTTCCTTTATCTAGCAGGGATTCCAAGTCACAGAATAGTTTTTAATCCCAAGGAAAAAAAGGAAGTAGTTTCGGTCATGTGGGTAAAACACGGTAAAACAATATCAAAAAAACCATCCCCCAGTCATCAGCATTTTTATAGATATAGGTGCTATGGTTACCAGTTTCACCATTCCCAGTCATGGGTGGCACCCATGACTCAGCAACTCAACTCCCGGGGTCCCCCCTTTCGTGGCCATGCCTCACGGCGAAGTTTTTTCCAACCTCGTCCAGCATGGAAGATCAATCCACAGACCACCACCACCTTGAGACAAAAATCCCATGACTGGGAGGGTGATGGAAGCAACTGTGCTTATGGTACAAATACCAATAATACATGTATAATCATGTATATATATATAATTGTATACATGTATAGTATACATGTATGTATGTATGTAGGTAGGTAGATAGGCAGGTAGGTATGTAGGTATGTAGGTATGTAGGTATGTAGGTATGTATGTAGGTATGTAGGCATATACGTATGTAGGTAGGTAAGTATGTATGTAATGTATGTAATGTAATGTAATGTAACGTAATGCAACGTAACGCAACGTAACGTAACGTAATGTAATGTATTGCATGCATGTATGCATGCATGCATGGATGCATGTATGCATGCATGCATGCATGGATGTATGTATGCATGCATGCACGCATGGATGGATGGATGCATGCATGCATGTATGTATGTAATATGTTTAGAGCTAAAAATCTTAGAATACCAAAGTTTGCCATCCAAGGTTTTTCCAGTGGGATATGGAATCATTGATTAACGTTGACTGGAAAAGATGCGACCCAGGAACGCTGGCTAATTCTAGATAGCTTGCAAAAAGCTTAGCTTTCAGCTGGGTAGTACATACTACAGAAGGTAACCCATTGAACATCATTCAACTCGCCAAGGTTTCCAATTGGATCAACGATTTGCCAAATAAATTTTGTGGTTGCAATGAATCACAACCCACGCGGTGTCATAAACCTGGTAGGAAATTCAAAATCCAAAAGCAATGGTGAGTTACAGTATATCTTGTAATAATTCTGTAAGGTTTCCATAGGTTTCCCATAGTGGCTATAATGAATCATGACAACCAGTACATTGGGGCAGTATAGCCCCCTCATTGTTACCAACCAATCATGATTTTTGAAGAAGATCCCCATATTTTTCATGGTGAAAACCAGCATTTAGTACAGGATGGGGCCCCATAGTTGGCTAAGTTGGTTTATAAAGCCCATTAAGTATAGTTATATCATGTTATATCTACCATAAACCATAGTTAAGTCACTTATATCTCAACTTACCTATCTTGGGGGCCGCATCCTGTACTAAACCTTGGTGTCCAACTGCTCATTTGTCAAAGCGACCAGCACTCCAGGTGGAGCCGTCCTGCAACGAACGGCTAAACGAAAGTCGAGGGTTGACCAAGAAATGGAGGGTTGGAGCCTCCCAAGATGTTTTAACGTTATCTTATGGAGATATAGTGGGATATATCTTGCGGATTTTTCTAATGGATGTGTTATGGTGTGTTCAAGAATGGGACAAAAAAAACAGCTGATTTTTTGAACTAAGCTACCAATAGATTGGCGATTGACCAACAAGACTGGCGACTTCATCAGCAAAACTGAGGGTTTAGGCATCAGGCCCTGGAAAATAGAGATGGTCAGATGGTCATTCTTAGGGTGGTAAACCAAGAATTGTTTGGGCATCATTGTTTTACCTGTTTTTTCCTCATGCTTGCTTGCTCAAGACCCATGCATTTAGCTGCTGATTTGGAAACATTCCAACAGTTTCCTACCATCTGGGACTGGGATACGACTTGCAAAACCAATGCATGGACAAACAACGGTCTTTGAATGAACTTCCGCTGTGCTCGCTATTCGATTCTATCCTGAAACGCCCTCACTTACAGCCATTCTGTGATGTAGCTTGATGGCCAAGTATCGATTTTGCTGGTTGAATACGATGAAAGAGTCCCCGTTTTAAGGAATGGCTGTTTTCCAATACAATCGATTTGTGAAAATAACTGCATTTCTGGTCGCCCAATCAAACCAAAGGAGTTATTCAGGCATGATGCGGGTTAAACCAAGGTCTACCCATATGGTTTTGTCTGAAAACTTCGGGAAACCTCAAAAATTATATGGTTTATCATCATTGTCCGTCATTTTCCCCAGTATATTTCCAATTTGGGACAAAATCATCCCATTTTCAGTCTCACACTCACAGTAGCCGCGAATCTTTGTTGCATCCCATTGTACCCCCGTTGTATCCCTAAATCCAATCCAAATCCCATTAAAATCCCATTAAATCACATTAACATCCCATGAAATCACATTCTGTTGGTGACATCCCCATGAAAACATATTAAAACTGTCACTGCGCTGGTCCTCCAACTGGAGATGCTGCAGAGATCTGTGGCGCACGCTGATGGACGCAGATGTTTCATCGCTTGGAAGATGCTCAAAGGGACCTGGAGCGCAGGAAACGGCCTGGAAACGGCCTGGAACTTGGAACCATTGCACCATTGAAATGGGAATATAAAGCCATGAATGGAATTACTATGGGGATGTAATGGGGGGTATAGTGGTTGAGGTGTGTTACAATATATATATATATATATGTAAATAAATAAATAAATAAATAAATATATATATATATTGTCAGGACACATAAATGGAAATTCACAGGTTGCGTATGATGGGATATAAGCAACAACAAATCAAAGATGGCTAGCGTGAAATCCTCCATAAATGATTACTTCAATTGTAAAATCCTTGGCACATATTGATGATTTCACGGCCACGTTTGATTACCAAAGGGTAAACAACTCAGCCTGTAAGAAGTTCAAATTCGAGACAATGAACAACATACAGTAATGTTGACACCTGATTTTTTCAGACCTTCAAATGTGATTAAAACCTTGATGGATTTCCTTGTGTTTTTGTTCCTATTGTATAACATTGTATAACACGACTGGTGTTCTAGATTGTGTTCAACCAAAAGCCTCGGAAAGCCAACAAGCATGGGGTAACAAGAATGTTGGATTTCAGCATCGAAGGTGGTGGCTAAACGGCCAAAAACATTCGTGTTACTTGATCCACTAGTTGACTGGAATTCTACCTGCTTGTGGTTTTCAACTGCCAGAAACATCTGTTAGGTAGGGCTGTTCTTCCCGCAAAAGGACGGACGAATCAAGCGAGCATGGGTCAGAACTAGGTACTGTAGGCACCCAAAAGAGTGGAGTGGCTGTGCCTAAGAATGGGGATACCAAGCAAAATTTTGATAGGGAACATGGGAACATTATTATTATGATAAAATCATGGGATTGTGGAATCCCCTATTCTCAGAAAAAACACCATCAGCCAATTCTACTTTACGGACTCAGCGTTGCATTGTCTAGCTCTGTTCAACACGAGACCAACTATTCTCCTCGTCATCTATCACCGCCCAATTATGCCCAACTTACAACATTTTACAACAATCTGGGTAAATTATAATAATTCACTACCTTAACCTGAATAGTTCGGCCATTTGGGGATGATTGCCCTTATTAACCATGATTCCAGGGTTCGGTTGCAGTGAGGTCGTTATAATTTCCCCAGAACAAGAAACTTAGATCCCATATTCATCCTCGTGATGCTAATGATTCTGGTTCATGATCCACATCCTCCTCATCCCTATTCCCATCATGTTTTGCTCGAAACCGCAAGTCAAACCTCCAATGTTTAAGGATTTTATACACGTTATACTTGGATTTGCTTAAACTAAGGGGTCCAAAAATAAAACATACTCCCTTAATCGATTCCCCTGGTGGAATAATCCAAATCACCAGCCAAACAAATCTACCATTTATAGAAAATCCACCATGTATCCAGATTTATAAATAGTTTCCCTATTGAAACCTTCATATTCTTGCTGGTTGATACCATTTTTTCGCTCCAAAAAAAACAAAACATTCCCCTGTCCGCCACAGCGCCGTTTGCCCGGCGAGATAGCCGTGGAGGAAGCGCCGCGCGCGACTGGGAAAGGGATCGATCTCCTCTTGCCTCGAGGAATCAAAGGAATCACCGGGACCCGACGTCGATGGGGATGAAACATGTTACAGCCACTAGATGTACAGGGATTTCATGGGATTTCATGGGATTTCAACATTTTTCTGCTCATTTTTGTGCCAGATGAAACATAGCTCAACTACACTTCTTATTTTCCGCAGGTGAAGTTGAACGGGCGCGGCCTGAAATTTTTGAGCAAAGTTGGGGATATTGGGACATCTTGGGACTAGGCTCATTGGACCAAAAAAGCTGGGGGAACATCATCACCAAAAATTGGTCATTCACACCAAGCAAAATGAGGGAAACAACACATAAACCATACATGAAATAGATTGCAATAGATTTGTATGGTACCAATAGCTGGTAGCTCTATGATCATTTGGGACATTTGGCAGCTGCAAAGCCACAATGTGGTCACCCTCCAGTTCTGTTTGTTGCTTGTAATATCCATGAACTATAGTTGTAACTATCATAAACCATAGTGAAACTGGAATTATTTGCACCAACTTAGCTACCGTAAAAGGGATGCCACACTTTTATATATATATACACACATATATATATATATATACGTATATATATATACGTATATATATATTATCAGATGAATGAGGACATTAGTAGGATATAAAGCCAACACTATGACATTAACCCCCCCATAACCAACTAAGCTATCGTGCCCGGGGGCACCAAGTTCTATAGTTTTTCCCATCAGCTGGGCTCCCCAACAACAATCTGGTCAGGTGCATCGTGCCTGGAGGAAAGAGATGCTGAGTGAAGCATCGGGGAAAAACACCAGAAATTCATAGATTTGTTTTTTGCATTTTTGGGATATAAAGTGGGTGATCAAGTTCTAAGTTTTTGGGTGATCAAGTTCTAAGTGGTTCAGTGGTGGAATACCCTGCTCGCGCCAACAAGGAACGACTGCCATGTTGGGATGTTCTCAGTCAGGCCAGGCGTACTATCTAGGTCGATTTCGATCATTTTTCCAACTTTGATCCACACTTTGCATATTACTATCCATAACTATTTTAAATTGTGATTTATGAGATTTATGATGGTTTATGATTTATGATGGTGAATCCTTATGTGATGGTTTATAATCCAGATCATCCAGATTTTTCTTGCAAAACAACCTCTGGGATCATCTGGATTCTGAAGCACCGGCCTTGGCTGTGCCCGGCGATGAAGAAAGGCCTGCAGCTATGGCTGTTTTGAAACCCAAGATGATAGGCTTACCAGCATGAACTCCCCCATAGGACATCCCTATGATTTTTAAGATTCCGAAATGGTGCAGTTGTCATTAAATATCTACAGATGAGGTTCTCTTCTAATTTGGTTGTAACAAAGCCGTAGGTACTCATGTTGTCCCAATACATTGGGGGCAAATACTAGTTAAACCAAACTAAGAAAAGGGAATAGAATCTCCAACAAATACCTGTTCGAGTGATTTCAATATCCCCAAACACAATCAAAAACGGACATTGACCAACCCCAATGAAATTGTAGGATGATTTATTGGATAATCACAAACCATCCTCAATTGTCTTATATACTTGGGGTGTATGAAATTCGCTGTACAACGTGGTATTCTCCCATTATATATCCCAATAAATCATTGCAGAAGATCACTGTATAAAATATAATTAAGTATCTAAAAAACTGTCTAAAAATCATGAGAAAAAACATAAAATGAGTATTATATATCCCAGTGGATCCAAATACCTTCTAAGGAAGCGTTTAAGGCATGATTTAGTGGCGTATTATGTTCTTAAGTATCTTCTAAGGAAGCATTTGGATCCATAGGGGTTTATTATGGTTAGTGATAGCCTATATAAGAAACACACATAAAACACAAAATTAATGACCCCATGACAATAAATTAATATAAATGATCAATAAATATAAATGATATAATAATCCATAAGAATTGGTACCCGGTACCCCAACATAGATAACAATAATATACTATCATCAGAATCATGTTTTTTAACGCCCGCCAATTAACCACTGGATGATTTCCCCCCGGAAACGCCTGCCCCTCGTCTCCTCGATAAAGCGCACAAAGGCGCGACGGACGTCCTGGTATGCCACTTCCAAGGCCTCGCGGGGCGTTTCGTCAAAGGATATTTCTGGGGCATGGCATCACCAAAAGTCTGGGATTCTTGTTGATTTTACCGTAACAAAATGGGATTTAATCCCTAGAATTGCATAAAATTGCGAATTTCAAGAGAGTTTAACAAGTGTTTACACCTTGGAACACTGGATTTGAACACTAGAAATGAGGATCCCACTGGATTTTACAACCGGAAGTTGCTTCCTGAAGCTTGGCCATTGCGGCCACAGACAAATTAGGTTACCAAAGGCTTCCTTCAAAGTCCAACGCAGCACTTAGTTTCAACCGCCCTGGAACGCACATTTCAGAACACGGGTGATGAAGCACTCTACCCAAAAAAAAACCGTCAATGTATGCATGCCTGCTGAAGGTTCAAGGAAGCAGGAGCTATTGAGATCAAGAAATGTTTTAGCTGGAACATGGCTGCCAAACGGCCTATAACTGTTACTTACTGTACATTAGATGCTGCATGCCACTGCGGTATGTCAATATACTTCATTCATCCGTTCGATTGATCGTATCAAATTGACATTGTAATAAATGGGAAACAATTACTTTCAAAGCCATCATGGCTAGATTGCCCTTACCCGAAAAATAGGGGGCTGTTTGATGTGACAAGGATCAAGCGCTGCTATCCCACAAAACCGCCTGCTTTTCTCGAGCAACACAGGGCAAAACAATGACTGCAATCGGTCAGTTGACACACGTCTCTCATTTCACAATAGCACCGTGCTACAAGCTTGCGATCTGATCTTGGACAGCAGAGCTGTCACCACCCCGATCGGGATCTCCCCAAGTAACAACGGATCCATCGGCCAGGATCGCGGCGAATGCGGCCCTTGATGCCTGAATCCGCTTCACATTTCTGAGCCTATCTTGCACTGCAGAGCTGTCACCACCAAAGTCTGGAGAACCCCAAGCAACAACCGATCCGTCATCCAGGATTGCAGCAAATGCCTTCTGTGTAGCTTGAATCTGCTGCACATTCCGAAGTTGATCTTGGACGGCAGAGCTGTCACCACCCCCAGCTTGGTCGCCCCATGTGACGACTGCCATGTGAAGATCAGCTCAGGAACGTGCAGCAGATTCAGGCCATCGAAAGCGCTTTCGGTGGCCTGAATCTGCTGCAAGTTCCTGAGCTGATCTTGGACTTCAGAGCTGTCCCCACCGTCACCTGGATCGCCCCACGTAACAACCCCTCCATCTGAAAGGATTGCAGCAAATGCATAATTGGACGCCTGTACCTGACACACACTTCTGAGCTGATCTTGGACTTCGGAGCTGTCACCACCAAAATACGAACAACCCCACGTAACAACCGAACCATCAGCTTTGATTGCAGCAAACGCCTGCTGTGTGGCCTGAACCTGCTTCACAATTCTGAGCTGATCTTGGACTTCCAAGCTGTCACCTCCAAAACCATCGAAGCCCCATGTAACGACTGACTCATCTGCCAATATGGCAGCAAAGGCAGCTGTTGTTGCCTGAATCTGCTGCACATTCCTAATTTGATCTTGGACGGCAGAGCTGTCACCACCAAATTCTTCATCGCCCCAAGTAGCAACCGATCCGTCATCCAGGATGGCAGCAAATGCCTTGGCCGCGGCCTGAATCTGTTGCACATTCCAGAGCTGATCTTGGACTTCAGAGCTGTCCCCACCGCAATCTGGGTCTCCCCATGTCACGACTGATCCGGCTGCCAAGAGGGCAGCAAATGCGCGACCTGTGCTCTGAACCTGCTGCACATTGATCAGCTGATCCTGGATTTCGGAGCTGTCACCACCACCGTATTCATTGCCCCAGGTGACGATCTTGTCCCCTCCGCAACACCACAAAGCAAAGGCTTCTGATTCGAATGCTTTTGTTACTGTCATCTTTGCCTGAAGCGCGATGGCGGTTACGTGGTCACCTTCGTGAACCCCTGCTGCGTGCAGGGATTGCATCGGATCAATCAAGGGATGTCCGTCTGCAGTGACAAGCCTCAGGAATCCTAGTCTGAAAACCTTTTGGGCCAGAACCTTCAAGTCCCCTACTTTGGAGGACTGCTCAGCTGCGAAGCATTTTCTTTTGCCACTTGGCAAAGCTATGTTGATTTTAAGCATTGTTGCACGATGTTGCACGAAAAAGATTAATCGTACCTTGAGCCGACACTAGACATCGCGGACAGGGCACATAGAAGAGGCCATGGGAGGATTTCTTGAAAAAATATGGGATGGGTGTCAAATAGGTACATGCTCACAAAATGGAAAGACACGTTTGCACAAATTGCAAACAAATGGAACATTGCATATACATCTATGATGCTAAGTATACATTTACGGTGCTACACTGTGAACATTATTATCATATATTATCATATAGAAGTTTCAGTTTGAGCTTGAACTAATTTAAACCTAATTTAAACCATCAACGGCATCCCATTCACGATGCTTTCCGTGACCTTCCTCATCCCCACCAGGGCCTGTTCGAGCTGCTTCCATCGCGCAAATGGAGATGGAGGCATCATTAAGGCGATGCACATCACATTCACCTGGACTTTCAGAGGATGTGGGATACTCAATGGAAAGTCACAATATGTCACAATCCATTCATGTTCCAAAGCACCAACCAGATATATCCAGATATACATTCATAAATCACCATTTTCCCATGGGTTTCCCATGGTTTTCCCATGGTTTTCCCATGGTTTTCCCATGGTTTTCCCATGGTTTTCCCATGGTTTTCCCATGGTTTTCCCAAACTAATCATTCACAAACCACTGAGTGGGCCCATCGCGCCAGCGCCTGCCGGTACCGCGGAGCATAGATCCGGCAAAGGCGGTTGAAGGGCGCCGCGCCCGCCGCCACCCGCAGGTCGGTCTGAGGCGAAGGTGGCTCAACTGAAAAGCCATAGGAAAACCATAGGAAAACCTTGGAAAAACCCATAGGAAAACCTTGGAATGTCCAGGTCAAAAGCTTAAGTTCTAGAAATTGGAGGAAAATTCTCGGATCATATTTCAAATGCTCATCCATTTTAAAGGGTCACCCTTTGGATTGTTGGCATCCCATGGCATCCGCACAATAAAAACAGTGGCGTGATATGTTTTGTGTTGAGCCATTAAGCATTGGGCGAACACCTTCAGGGAGAAAGATGGAGAAAGTCAAGTCATAGTTTCTCACTTTTTCTGGTGCCTTGTGACTAACACCAATCAGTTGAGCAAACCAGGCAAACAAAGTTTGTTCTACTGGGAGTTGTAGGGCGATCGCATTATCTCCTAAAACGATGACTTTTCAGAAGATAAATTGAATGGGCAATCTCAGCCCTGGGTCTCCTACTAAAGTTCAAACTACAGATCTGAGTGATCTATGGGCATCGGTGGAAATCCTAGATTTCCACCATTTCACAGTCTCACTTCACTACCTGTACGTCAATGGAATTTGGATTGTCGCTATCATCCTGGCATCATTTACGATCGACCTTGCGGACACCGGTGATGGCATGGATATGAAAAAGAAACACATGTTTGCTGGAATCCTCAACATCCACAACCTACATTATCATACATTACCAACATTGATCAGAAAGTTTGTCAATTGCGTACATGACTGGGTCATTCAATACCTCGTTGTACTTTCGAGCGGTGCCTTTACCAGTATCAAATGGGCTTTTAAATGTGTCCAGCTGGTGAAATCCCACTGATAAGTAACGGATTATACTGCCGTTCAAATTTAGTTAAACCCATTTTCACCCCAGCACTACAGAAATTGTATTATATTCCAACCACATCTGGCACCGGGCGCACCATTGTCGACAGCGGAGTGCATCCCGACTAGCAAGTGGTCAATAAGCGTTATCAACTCAGATATTGTTTGTTTTGTAGGGATATATTCCATGGGTTTCTTTGAACACGTGGTAATTTCATGTAATTTCCCCATTCCAACGGGGGCCATACATGGCCATACCTCGTTTTCAAACCCAAGTGGATGGCTGGGTGACTTGTTCATTGATCTTTGACACCAACTCTGCAGGCTCTCGAAGTGGCGCGTTCCATCCTCGGGGTGAGACCACCGGCCACCACGACCGGCACGGATGCCATCACCGGGACCCGGTGGTTTTAGGGGATCTGAAAATTCCTGGTTGTTGATCCCCTGGAGTAAGTTTAAACTTACTGGTAAACGGTGATTTTCCATTAATAGCATGGTGATTTACTGGTGGTTTAATGGGATCTAATGGGATTTAATGGGATTTATCGTGATTTACCTTCTGGTAAACGTTTACTAAGAACTACGGAACATCACCATGCTATTAATGGGAAAACTCACTATTTCGACTGGGCCATTTTCTATGTCGCAAACTGTTTGTCTACCAGAGGGTAACTTTTAGTCTTTTAGTTTGGGCATGTGGAAAATCAAAGTGTATTGCCATGTAAATAATCCATCCAGAATTGGTGCCTCCCAGTTAATATCAGTTATAACTTGGTTTATAAACCCAGTTCACTAGTTTGATCAATATCTACCATAAAGCCCAACAATGAGAAAATATTTTTATTTTATTTGCACATACTTTGAAACCAACTTAGCTAACAAACTGAGACATCCACCACCTTGTAGAATATATCAACTATTCTTTAAACATGTTTAAACAGAATTCTCACCTCAGAAAAAACCCAAGGCCGCCATTCTGGGAAGATTCCCCCAACTCCAAGCGACGTGGCGGCGTTCCGAAGGGCGAAGAGATCGCTGGAATCAGGGTGGAATCCTTTGCGAGGCCGCGGACATGGGCAGTGCGAAAAAAAACAGAGTAAAACCTCTTAGGAATTCTGGTTTAACCAAAAATGATCACTCCATCTATGGAATTTTGAGGGGTTCAGCATGGTTCAGCATTAGACTCGAAAAGCACCCCCAAGAATTTAGGGATAGTTTTGTGATTTAACCGGTCATCCGAATGACAAAAAGAGACCAACTTTGGTGGTCCATCCGTGCCCCAAGTTTGAGCCATGGGCGTCTGGATACATAGACATGGCCAATCTCAGATACTCAGCATTTGTTTTAGCTTGTTCATATCTATCTATCTATCTGTCCGTCTGTCTATCTATCTATCTATCGATCTATCGATCGATCTATCTGTCTATCTATCTATCTATCTGTCTATCTATCTATCTGTCTGTCTGTCTATCTATCTATCCATCCATCCATCTATCTATATATATACATATCCCTATGTATCGCAAAACAATATGAAGTTTTGAAGTACCCACCCAAGGGTAACCATGCATAGATCGTCTTTTGAACCAAGGAGCGTGCACGAAGAAACAATCCTCAGGAAAGGTGGCTATCGGAGGACCAACAGAACTGATTGTCATATATAAATGGGTATAGGAACTGGGCCATTGCCAGACTTAGATATCCGCAAAAGTTATATGTTCTATATATAACCCCATATATTAGCTATATGTTTTAGCTAGATAGTATATCACCCCATCAAACGAGCCAACATAAACCATGAACCTACCATGCACCAGGTTTGATCCAGTGGCGTGGGCATGCAACACGTGTATATTCTGGGCTAGACATCTATAGACAGTATAGAACTTTAAACACAACATTCTAAACACAATGTTATCATACTCTATCATATTCCAACAATTTTATATGAATCTGGGTTGTTCCTGACCTAAAAAAAACATCAAAGAGGTAAACTTACAGAACATGTTCCAGCAACAGTGGCTATTAGTTTCCCCAAATTGGTTGGAGCTACCCTAAGGTATGACAACTCAAACATGACAAACAACATATTTTGAGATAATTCTATCATCCAAAAAAAACAAATCCAACACATCCAAATCATATTAAGCTACAAAACATGTAATGTGGGTAAACCAATTTCATAAACCATCCCCCAGTCATCACCCTTTTATTTGGTGGTATGGTTACCATCAACATATGGCTGGTTTATGACATTGTTTTACCCACAATAAAAAAAATCTCTGGTAAACTAACATAGCTATTGAACATGGCCATGTATAGTGGATTTACCCATAAAAAATGGTGGATCTTTCCATAGCAAACTGTTAGTTTACCAGAGGGTAGGTACTGTAGCCTGAGCCTCTGTTTGTGCATGAATTTGCACTTGAAACTTCAATTTTGGTATTTGAAAAAGGGTTTTTTTTCGGTGATTTTCCATAGTTATGTAAACGTTTACTAGAGGGTAGTTCATCTTCCAAAATACCAAGCGGCGTCAAGCCATGGTGGCTTTGCTGGTCATCTCATCCCGTCCCCGATGATATTCCAATTTTGATCCTGCTGAAAAACATCCCATAATGTTGGTAAAACAGCCATAAACCACCCATGTTGTTATGGTTTATATCACCCATAGAAATGGTGATTTAGGGAATGGTTTATGATTGTTTATACTGTTTCAGCCACACGATTCTTGATTTTATCCCCATTGTATCCCAACTTTGGCCATCTCGACTTTTCCGAATGGGTAAAACACTAAAACTATGGGGGAAAATATCTCATAGGGAGGATATACTGTGGATGGAAGAAATCCTGCACTACAGTCTTCTGAAACACTGTAAAATTACTTTACTTCGTGTGATCCCCACCATGACATTTATACATTTTGTTACTGGCAAATCTTCTGGCATTCTATCTGACATATTTTCTGGCATTCGATCTGGCATTCTATCTGGCATATCTTCTGGCATTCTACCTGGCATATCTTCTGGCAGATGTTCTGGCATATCTTCTGGAAGATGTTCTGGCATATCTTCTGGCATATCTTCTGGCATATGTTCTGGCATATCTTCTGGCATTCCATCTGGCATTCTATCTGGCATATCTTCTGGCATATTATCTGGCAAATCTTCTGGCATTCCATCTGGCATTCTATCTAGCATATTTTCTGGCATATTATCTGGCAAATCTGCTGGCATTCTACTATCTGGCATATCTTCTAACATTCTATCTGGCATATCTTCTGGCATCTATCTACATTCTATCTTGGCATTCTATCTGGCATACCTTCTCTCATCTGGCATATAACATTCTATCTGGCATCTTCTGGATATGTGGCATATCTGAGGTTTGGCGTGGATACTCGCGGTTGAGGTCCGGCAGGGAACACTGGGCGTGGATGGTCGTGGTTGAGGTCCGGCAGGGAACACTGGGCGGGGATGGTCGCGGTTGAGGTCCGGCAGGGAACACTGGGCGTGGATGGTCGTGGTTGAGGTCCGGCAGGGAACACTGGGCGGGGATGGTCGTGGTTGAGGTCCGGCAGGGAACACTGGGCGTGGATGGTCGTGGTTGAGGTCCGACAGCGAACACTGTGGATCGCGAGTCGCAGTTGAGCAGGAGGACGAGGAGGACAACGAGAGGAGGAGGACAACGAGAGGAGGAGGAGAGGAGGAGGAGGCGGCAGGAGGAGGAGGAGGAGGACCAGGCAACTTAGATAAAATCTAACAACCCTCACCTGGCAGGTGGGGAAAAATGGGATTATCATGGGATAAATTATCTACAAACTGGTGCAGGATTTCTTCCATCCACAGTATCTCAAAATAGTGTAATATCGAGATGTTCTTTCTCATAATATCCCCAGGCCTAGGGCTACAAAAGTGCCATAATTGTATGACTTTTGGAGGGTCTAGGTTAACCATTTGTGCAGGGGTGGAAAAATGGGGTATACCTATGGATTCTAACCTCAATAAACAATGGTCATATGGGGCCCCTACAACTATGGTGCAATACATAAGCTATCGTTTTCATAACATGAAATATAGCTATGCGTATAGCTGAGGAACACGTTCTATGGTTGGTTACATAACACGCAACAAACTTATTCATTGGATTGGTTTATGGGAAAATTTACAGGAACCCCCACATGGTGAAAACCATGATTCCGGCTCAGATTTTCCCTTTCACCAATGCAATGTATATATGGAGGTGTCCTAAAATAGGGGTACCCCCAGTTCTCATCCATTTTAGTAGGCTTTTGCATGAAATCAACCATCCAGCTTGGGGTAACCCCATGACTATGGAAACCTCCATATAGTCTATATCTCCATATAGTCTATATCTCGATATAGTCTATATCTAGTTAATAGTGATTAATTAATAACTTATATCTAGTTATATAGTTGGCTTTATTACATGTTAATGGTCATCTGGCTGGTAGTCCCACTTTCTCTCCCAGCTTCACTCACTGAATCGCCAAGCATCGCAGGGCCGCAGCTTTGGCGGCACAATCGTCTCATCCGGGAGCTGGCGACACATGGATTGTCGCAGGGAGTGCTGTCGATTTAAGGGAATCAGCATCCAAAATGGGAATCTATCTACTGTATCAGTGTGTCTATCTATCTATATCTATCTATCTATCTACCTATCTATCTATCTATCTATCTATTTATTATCACATATGATCATTCATATACACAGATTTCAAAATAGATGGCTCAACTCAAAAACCAAAATATCCATAAGATGGCACCGCGCGGTGAGGAAGAAAAAGGCGCTATTTTAGATGCGTGTTGATGTGTGAAGATGGTGTCTCCATAGATGCAAAAAGCATTGGACTTTTCTTGCATCTTCCCAGAGGCCGGATTTGATTCGTCTTGTAATCTGCTTCGCCCAATTACAGGGTGGTGCCCCATAGTTAGCTAAGTTGGTTTATATGTCCAACAACTATGGTTTATAGGTGATCTGGTTGTTGGTTTCAACCCCTCTGAAAAATATGAGTCAGTTGGGATGATGAAATTCCCAATATATGGAACAATAATCAATGTTCCAAACCACCAATCAGTGATATATCTATAGTTAACGAGATTATAACCCATTTACAACTGGTGGGGGCACCACTTCGTACAGTTCAACACATCCAAGTCTTCCACCGGCGCTCCGATCGTAGAAGACGTTCCAGGCTGGAGACTCCCACCATGACGAAACGGTCCAACGGTGGGGGGCTCCCTGGTAGTTCTCCAAGCATCTTGTTGCCGCTTCCATTCATTTTGCATTGGTATCTCAAAGGTCTCAAAGCCTAGCTCTAGAATCTGTCTTTAGCGTCCTAGTTCTATCTCTATGGCCAGGCTGAGATGACGCTCATTGGGATCATCATCAACCAAATGTTTAATCTTCATGGGCCTGAAAACAAGGTGAAAAGAGAGGGTGAAGGATTTTTTCAACATAAAAAAACACAATGTGGGGGACAACTACTGAGTAAAACACAGAAATCTCTCGTGACCATGACCTTTTCTTTGAACACAAAACACTATTTCAAGATAGTTCACCACCAAATAACATATCTCAAACCCTTACAGTGAAACGTTGGAGACTCCTTCAGATGGAAAGCCCCAATTATCAATTTATAGAGCTATCTAATATGTATATATATATAAGATATATCTGGTTGGTGGTTTTAACCATCTTGAAAAAATATTAGAGCCAATGGAAAGGATTATCCCATATATGATGGAAAAATAAAAATTGTTCCAAACCACCAACCAGTATATATACATTATATTACACCATATACTTTTGAACCAGGTGGTAGTTGCTCAACATTCTAATGGAGGGGGGCTGTTTACTTTTAAACTTTGCAACATATTCATAGCCCATCAGAATTACACAACATTCCTGTACTTGGTTAAATTTGAGTACATTGTATTGCTAGATTTATGTACCGTCAATGTTACATGATCTTTGAAATCAAACAGTAGTATAAATCACTATATTAGATTAGAATCAGTATCAGTATCAATTGTTTTTTTTTGAATCAAATTGACACTGCATGCATTTTACAATAATTGTTCATTTTCCTTTCATTTAACAGGGTTGCTCCATCACCCCAGCTATAGAGGTCAATGTTCATCAAATTTCCTTCCCTCTATCATTGGCTATCATTTACCTACCATCCCTGGTGTTTAACGTCCAATAGTTATTGTCATTGTGATATCAAATGATGATATAGTGATATTCAATAGTTATAAAACCACTCCAATATACATTATATATCATTGTTATCCAATAGTTATATATCCAATAGTTATAATGATTGTGATATCCAATAGTTGTATATCATTGTTTTTTCCCGGACGTCCGCACGGCGGCCCGACCTTCAAATGGTTCACATCTTCCACTGCTCGACCGGGCAAACGCTGAGGATGGGCACTCCAGGACTGGTTTTCGAAAACAGCGATCGAGCCATGGGTGAAGTAGTGGCTTTATTTGGTGATGAACTCACAATAATGATAAGGTTTAATATGTTTTATACCAATAATAGAGCCAATGAAATGGTTCTTTAATATGTTGTATACCAATAGATACCAATTATAATATGTTCTTTAATGATAAGGTTTAATATGGGGATGGGTCAAAACCCTGGTACCGTGCCGTGAACCCCAAGTCATAGCTGGGTTAAAATGGATGTGAATAACCCACTAAAAATGGTATTAATAGGTATTGACCCATACCCATATGTTCTTTAATGATTAATGTTTTTTGTTAATATGTTTTATATGGGTTTATATGGATTAGTAGGGATAATCGTGGAATTGCAAAGGGATATTAATAGATACTCACGGGAGAATAATAGGACATATAATCAGGAACCCTTTAATAGCAATTAACACATACTAAACCTACTTGATAGAAATAACATGAAATAGATTGAAATAGATAAACAATGCATTACAATGTTTAAAGCTAATCAACAACAGTTTGCAATGACATGTTGTATAACTTATTGTATGTATATATATATATATATATGTATGTCAGATAAACAAGTGAGGATTCCTGTGAGGATATTCACTTTCATTTCGTAAATGAAGATGTCCTATAATCATTAACACCTTTCCTTGACAGGGATGCACCAAGTTATATCCCTACTTCTTGAGCTTAGAATCCATAGTTATCAATGAATACACACTGGCTCGAACATGAAGAATTCACCAACCTGAAATGTCTGTGTGTTTAATATTAATGGGATGAACTATGGATAATATATGATAATATCATATAATATCTATTGTGCGTGTTGGTGTGTCATCCCTATTAATTTCATGGTATCACTATTAGTTACATTCCATTATCCATCAATCATCATATCAAGACATAATTTGACTCACTAATGGCCATGCTAACCATTATGACTAGTCAATAGATGTAACTATTATTCATGACTAATTCTGAAAAAGTGATCTGGTTATATAAGCCATCACCTAGATCTAAACCATTCCATCAATGAGTCATTAAAAAATATTATATCCTATGGTTAACATCACTAATCACTAATGGATGATTAATATTCAACTAATCACTAATGTTAATAGATGTTATACTAGACTTAAATATATAAACATTAGTGATATTTATATATATATATTAATCATGTTAAATCACTCATGTCAACCATCCTGGTGACTTTGGGGCGCCTCGAGCTTGGAATAGTCTGGAGGCCTCTCTTGTGTTTCTCGTGCCTGGAGATCGTGGCTCACTACCCACGAATCGTAAGTGGGTGAAAAAAACCCAGTGATTGATGTGGATTAACCCTACAAAAATCCCATATAAATCACTGGGGTTATATCCCATTTATAACTGGGGTTAACCCACTTACGATTCGTGGGATGAGTCTCGTGCCTGGAGATCGTGAAGACTTCATCGGTGGTTTACGCAACACTTGGGGATTTCACTCTGGATTTGATACAGGAGATGGCTGGCTCGGATGTGGGATTTATATCATGAGATGTTGCAACATCGATACGGATACTTAACAATTTACCAACATTCACCCACCTGAATTCAAGCCCTTTTTGGATATTTGCCCCAACTTTTTATCATTATTTCTAGCGATGTCGCAACATAAGGTCGAAACATAATCCAACAAAACATGGGCATTGCACTGACAAACTCGTCGAGATTATCTGGTCTTCTGGTGAAGTCCACTCGTTGCGTAGCTCTACCAATACTACCCATGACTCACATGACTGTGTATAAGCACTGACAATGCCATAAATCCACCTACCATTTGGATGGTGTTTACAACCCATTTATGGAAAATTGGAGATTACTTGTTCTTGGGTTTACACATCATAAGCTTCGGTCACTTTTTATGAAGAATTGTATGTAGTCTGAAAAACATATGGGACACCATACTGTACCATGGTCACAGATGAAAATTGCAAAATATTGCAAACTGAACTTACTATTGGATAGTACCTCGCCATAAATGTGGTCATTCAATTTTCATAGCAATTCACTTTGATACTGTGGTCTGCATCCCTGGAGGTCACCTGCTGCAGGTGTCGCCCTTGGGAATGTGGTAAATCACCAGAATGTCAGCATATTTAACAGGTAAAATCGTCTATACATGCGTAGCTTTCCATGGGTATAATCAAACATATGACTAGCTGGGAAATCCCCAATCAATGGACATTTAAATGGGCAAATCATCTTTAGATGGGCCATGGAACTCCGAATATGTTCCATGGCAAAATTCTTCGGTACCCTAAGTGTTGGACCGCTACACATAGGTCATGGATCCACCAAAAATCCATTGATCTTCATTCTGTTCCAATCAGTTTGTTTTGATTCTGATCTCATCTTGCTACCCATCTTTAGATGAAATCCTCAGATATGTTGGTAAAATCCAAGAATAATCGCAGGAACGACCCCTGCAGCCCTGCAGCTAACGGCACCATGCCTGAGAATGCTTGGGGATGGCTGCCAAAATGCTTGGCATTTGCATCTGGCGACACAGAAAAAGTCACGAAGCGTAACGAAACGGGGGAGGTTGGATGCTCAACATGTAAAAGGATGGGTAATATATTCAATACATTACATCTGCCTAAAGAGCATGTAATTTCTATAGATAATCAGACAACTATGACTATGTATATATGTATATATACGTACGTACACATATCTCTATATATATATATACACTACATACAAATAGACTAATGGAAAATCAAGCATTCATCTTCCAAGGTCGTCCATATCTTTCTCTGCTATTTTACCAAATGTATATCCATAAAAATAATGGTCCCAAATATCATGTCAATTTGGTTACATATCAACTTCTATCCCATGATAACCACCATGCTAGTTGGTCAGTTTACCCAGACTAAAACTCATTATCCTATAGTTTTCCTATAAATTCCAGCGAATGGACACATGACTTTGAACCCCTTCGTCATCCCCCAAAAAAACTGCTTGTTTTTTTCGAATGTTCCCGACTGGGTGATATCGTGATCCGCGTAATGATGGGTAATGTACCCATGATCCCATGATAGAGGTAAATACCTAGCAAACATTGAAAAAACGCCATTGCCATTGGAAGATTTCTAAAGTGGGTTACCACCTATTGAAAATAACCAACCAACCCATTACTAACTTACTCCCAAAACTCTCCAAACCCCCTCTTTCAGCCCAGTTGGATTACCATAAGGGATGACCATAACCATAAACTGTCCATTCATCGTAACGTGCAGTAACCCAACTTTTGACCAACATGGTCACTAATGATGTCATATGTAATGTGATCTACCAAATGTTGACATGTTTTGGTCTATATACATTTTTTTTTATGCATTCATATTATGCATTCATTGGATATGTGAAGTTTCAAAAAAGGTATGTCCCACAAGTTTCAAAAAAAATCGCATAAGATTCTAATCATCCAGTAGTCATGAGATCATCATAATTGGGTACCTGTTCAACAGGATGATTAATGGTCGATTGATTTTTGTTGTGAATGTGGCTGAACTATCATGACTAACTAACCTGAAAATAGCTGAAAATACACAGGCGTTGATTTCGGGATCATTCCCCGAAACCGATGCCCATCATTCCAGAATTCCGAGCCGACTTGAGGTCATTTTTTCAAATTCATCCAGAATAAATGGACATATACCCTCACTCGCAAACTTCGTAAACTCTATAACATGTAAAGAATCCACTATTTGTAGATCATGTTCCGAACGGGTTTCGCCATTGGTTTTCCACATCTATGTGAACGTTTACCAGAGGGCATTCACATAAAAAAAAATGCAATTTAAATATATTATGAAAATCCATGATATCATCATTAAATCCCACTAAAAGGATGTCCTTTTTATGGTACCCTGGTGGCCCACCAGAGTTGAGGAGAGCAATCGAGGACGCAGGATCCGTAGCAAGGGAATGAGATCCACCCGGAGTTTACCTCGGATCTCGGATCTCCAGACGGGAAAAGGCTGCCCTGACCATGATCCAACTAGCAAGGTTATAGCATGTTATATGATATATATATATATACCAGGTTCTTCCCAATGACCTTTTGATAAGATATGTATCAAAGGGGCACTATCGATAAACAGTATATCAAAGGGTCACTTAGACTAATCCATCAATTATCAAAGGGTCACTTAGATCCAAAAGGGGTAACTTAGAAGATAAGGTTATACCCTTAATTGATATTGATGGGTGATACCCAATCCATCCCTTCATATCCTTCATCCCTTCCCAAGCGGCTTTCATCGACCTCTTCGGCGACTCCATTGGTGAAACCATCATCGCAGTGGCACAGGTCAGCTGACCAGATGGGAAACTGGTGGTGCTATATAGTATATTATAGTATAGTTATGTATAGTTGTAATTGCCAGGTTCTTCTCACTAATCTGCTAATTTATAAGTGAAGTATAATAATGAACCCCAATCATCTGGTGGGCAGCTTGCGAAGCCACCTAACGCATACAAATGATGCCCACCTTTCAAGAACTTGGCGTCCTAACAGTCTCGGATGTGCCATCACAGCAAAGGCCTTTACTTTGCCAACCTTAGATGCACATTTATGATCACCTTAGAGTTTAAAGACCATCATTTATACACACATGCACACGATGTAAAGTGCATGCTAAAGCACTAGATCTTCGTCCCCATATGTTGATGTCAACATTGGTGAAAGTATCGGGGCCTGGTCGATGCAGATATGGTCCAGCCTTAGCCAGAGCCAAGTGTGTTGTTTGCGTGTGAAGTGTGTGTGTGTGCAACACAAGTCTATCTATTGCATATCACACTTAGCACCAAGAAGCTTGTGTAATTTTGGTCTGATTTTCCATCGTAGCAGGCCTTGTGACAAAGCCTCTTGAGCAAGCCCTCAGCTAGATCATAAAAACAACTTTCAACATCAAATACTATCTCATTGAACTGCATGCATCACTTGAGCCATGTTACAATTCAGCGACGCGTGAAATAGGTAATTCGCAGTGAGCAGCTTTTGCAACACCCCTTGTGACAAGATCCATCCATTTGACGTAGAAACACACTGACGAATAGCCACCGCATTCAGAAACAGAGCTGCCCGCATCCTAAGCTAAGTACAGGTTGTGCTTGTACAATCTTGTGCAAACATACATGTCACATGCATACCTGTGAGAAAGAGATTAACATTTTTTGTCAAGTAACTGTGCGTGCTCATCCTCAGGTGCCTTCTCTGCAACTGCCATAGTAACACCCATCAGCCAGCGTGCCAATATCACAGATTCCTAAGTACTAGGGTAATCAGTTCCTAAACAAAGAAACAGGTATTGAACAAGGAAACTGCAGGACAAGAGTAAGCTAAGATGTAATCTGTACCATTGAAATGCTTCTGCGCTAAAGATGGGAACTTGTTCTTCTCCACCATGAGCTGTTTCCTAAGACCAAGCTGAGTACATTGGAAACTTCATGCATGCATTCTGGCATTCTGCCACATCAAAAGGTTGCTGAGTTGTAAGTGCAACAAGGATACAAGCTGAATACTTTGCCCCGATTTCCTGAGTCTGTTTGCTGGTAGTAAATTGTTAATACCAACCCATGTTGTCATGCATATACCTATGTTGGATCTAAAGCTCTGATTTTGTTTTCGCGGCACAACTTCACAAACTCCACGTGTGCATTCCGTAGTCTTTCATCAGGAGAATTTCCAGGCCAAATGGCATTAGTTTCAGTTAGCTCCACAAGAGCCTTAGATGACTAGATGTAAAATGGTGTACTCCATGCATATGTACAAGCCCACATGATATGCAATGCATGTTTATGTTCAACCTAGCAACACTCGCTGCAGCATCTGGAACCAATGTCAGATCAAACACGTGGAGCAAATCATATTGCAACTGCTCTGGATGAAAGCCCGGAATTCGAATCCATGGGTTTGGCCGGCAAAACTTTGTGATGAAGCAGTCAATGTCACATATTGTGTTTCTATGGGGTGCACTTGGACCAAAGTAGGTGTACAAGTTCCTGGAACTCCGAAGTCTAGAAGCACAGCAGCGCCAGCACACTTGCTCAGAAATCCACGAGACCTTCATGTTAAAAGCCTTTTGAATTGCTTTCTCATCTCCACGATGGCATACTATGATGCCCCTGTAGCCATTTGCTATGAACTGCCCCCCCTTCTCTTTTCTGTCATCTAGCTCTTCAGACCAAGGCCCATGATGAAACCATCGACCACATTGTAGCTCCGTATAGGCCCAAGCTAGCCATGTGTCCAACCCAGTCATCGTTTCACTACAAACCATGCTAGTGTCTATGACGTAGGACAGAAACCTGTTGTCCCAGGGGCTACAGCCATGAACAAGTAATGATGCAAATGACACCACTAGGAAGCTGCGGCGTCTGTGAGCATCTGCGTCATCAGAGTGAAGGATCAATGGAATACATTTCCGTAAATCCGTTTCCTAAGTTAAGGTTCAAATGCAGATTCGACTTAATTTCCAATCGGTTGGAAGTAGAATGTCATAAGTCATAAGTGCTGACCAGTTGCTGGAGATGACAAGATAGGATGCTGCTGAAAAAAATCAGTTGGCTTCAAAGCTTCCCAAAATTCATCAATGGCCTTGCAGGCGACTGGGATGAAGAGAAACCAAATTGGGATCACACATACCATCCATGCAAACTTAAACAATAGCTGAGTTACCCCTTCTTCACCCAACATTCTCTGTCTAAAGAGCTCGAAGTCATAGTTGTAGATGCACCCAAACCTAGAACGCATACATTGGCATAGAACACAGTAACACTAACACACAAGAAGCATGCATAGCACACCGGAACAGTAATACAAGAGTCATAAGTTGCTATCAAAGTACACTTCGGATGGTAGGAATACATGCCATGTGTCGATGTAGTACTGCTGTTCAGCCCCCACATCTTGAAGGACAACTCGCACCCTTAGTTAAGCAGAACTTGAAAGCATATCAAATTAAGACGAAAAGGTTGTTAATGAGAAGAACCTGGCATGGACATACTAATGCTGATGAAACACCCCCTTGGTTTTGGCAGCATTTTCCTCCAGCTTTGTCGGTCCACCCACCTCCACAAGTTCCTAGGTGCATTCCTATTGTTCTCCTTGTGCTCCATCCGCAGTAGATCCAATAAATTGGGCCTCATTGAGCAGAGTCTGGGAGTCTCTACATTGTTATAATATGTGGGACAAAGGCTGAATCATACCATATATGAGGTTGAAGTAAATGCTGCCATAGATACGGAATGAGTCTTCGTGGAAATCTCCGTTTGATGATCTCAAGGAATGCCACCAAAGTAGAAACACTAACCTCAGATACTTATCGATAGGTTCATTCATGTAGGGTAGATTCATCAACTGTAAGTTGTCTACTGTAAGTCAAAAAGCTTTTCGGCCAAGCTCTAGAAACTCTTCGACCAGATCCATTGCTTTGTTTGGAGCCAGCGCTTGTAACACCAAGTTGATTCATGTTATCATTTCCACCAATGATGGTTTCAAAAATTGTGTAATACCAATGATGTTGATTCATATGATATACAGTATCATTTCCACCATTGATGTTGAATCATATGGAGCTTGAATTTGTTCCCTAGGTTTAATGGTGCTTTCAGTTTGGTTTGATATGCTCAATCCCCCTTGAGCAACCCCCACTACAGCCCCACCCTTGAAAGTTTTCCATCATGCTGCAGGTGGCATCGTTCAATTCCTGATGTGGGGTTCCAAGTGATTTTTGTTATCCCTTTATACAATTGGGTTTTACTGGACCCCTTTGTTTGTACTATCATAATCATCCATACTATAAAGGGAAGACAAAAGTCACTTGGAACCCCACAGAAGCCAAGTACTGGTGAACAACAGGCCTGGCTGGGCGTGGCTGGTGTGTGGCATTGACTTTTTGCCCCAAGCTGTTGATGAAATCTCTCAAAGGTTCAATATGCAACACTTGAACAGAGTGACATCTCATCTCCGTCACGGCACATCATGCCATGTTCTAATGGAAGCCTACGATAGACAACCCTGTACAAGTGGCAAACCCCATGTTTCTGACTTGGCCCACTTGGTGCATTTTGGAAACAACAAATTTCCATTGTTGAGGTATTGAATGACACTAAATAATATAAATGCCAAGTATTGGCACCAAAAAGGCAAATTGCCCCACTCTGCAGCTACAGGGTTTCACCGAAATTTCATTTGAGAAATTGAAGCCAGAGTGAAAATGGCAATCATACTGTACGCTATTGGTGAGCGCAGGTGTGCCATAGGCATCATTGCCATGGCCATGACAAACCATCCAGTGGCAGGGGTATATTGATCAATAGAAATCATTGATTATTTTTATCTTCAACAGTTGTTGGTATGTGCAACATATCAATGAAACAAATGACAAATCTAATAGTTAATATTCAATCGCCACCAGAACCAGACCCAGATCCATCCTCACTGTCCCCATCACTGGCACTGCCTCCAGTAGGCTGGGCCTTCTTCTTTGGGACCGCCCTCTTGACCAACGAGATTCTACGCTTGGCATCCCGGATGTCAGTTTCCACAGTTGCCAGAAAGGGCTTGCATGACTCAATGAAAGTATGAATGTCATCAGGAATAACCTCTGATAACGCAAGATTTGCCTTTTCATTGGCAGCATCAAATAAGGGAGGAAGGGCATTCTCATGAGCCTTCAACACTGTGACCTTGGTTGGATGCCAAATCAAAACAAACATATAAGATATAGATCTCGATAGATAATATTGATTCCAAAGATGTAGTCAAATGGGATGATCAATCATTGATGACCATGATCGATTGAGGTACCATGAGATATCAACATATGCTATGTTGTAACTTTCAATGGGGAGTTGAAGCCAAGGTTCCAAGTCATCGGAATTTCGGACCTCCAAGTCTTTGATTTGAGTCAGGCACGATGGAATATCATTGATTGCCTTTTTGTACCTTAGGTGACCATCAGGTGACCATCACAACCTGTTATGTGAATCTTTTGAACCATAAACCAGACATATCCAGACATCACCCAAACTTAAGAATTGCTGTTGACAAGAAACTTGTTCGCCAGTGTTTTGGCTTCCTGGAGGGCAATCTTCTCAACAGGTTTCTCCTTCTTGGGTTTTTTACTAGCGATTCTTCCTGTCTTCAAATTCATTTGGGACTGTCCCTCCAGCTGACCCATGGCAGCCCCCAATTGTTTGGCAATCAAAGACTTGAGATTCGCATCACGCACCCTTCCTCCTGTGCCCAGCTCCAACTGTGATCGAGATCCTGTTGAGGTTGTTTCCAGGACCTCTTTGAGGACCTTATACATCTTGGCGCTCTCAAGGTTGGGGCACTGAGGATGGGGAACTCCGACTTGGCCTCAGAAGTGGCTGTATATGCACCCCGGGGGAACTTATTGAGTTTAGCTATAGTTGGTTTCTGAATGTAACCCAGTAACCCTTGCACAGTTCTTTGACGAACTCCTTTGCCTCCTTTGACTTGCCATAGAGTTTGTAGAGCTGGAATTTCGTAACCTAAGGATGAGAGTTTCTTTTTACTAACCATTACATACCATTACAGTATAAGATGCATAATGTGATAAACCAAATCAAGGTGTAAAATCAGTTTGCAACCCAAGTACTGTGACATATCTGTCACTTCTTAACTGCTCCACCCATTGACTGTACTTCTCTTCCACGGTTATCGAATCAACGCTCCCATCGCTAACCAGCCATTGCTTGAGCATGGACCACCTATGAAGCTGTGCCAGGCCAATTGTAGGGTCATATAGGGTCTAACTATAGTTGTTGAACAAAACCAGTATTGCATAATAAGTACCATGCATGCAAATTAAACAAAAAATGGGAATGGCACCTCTCCCCATCGTTGCATAGTTGAAATTTTGCCAGCAGTGCTGGCTCACAGCTCTTGGCGATTGCTCTACGCATCGCACTGTACTGTCTTTTACGTTCTGAGGGGTCCATGCATGAGGGGGAAGCCATAGATTCAATATCCTCCTTCTGCTGATCAGTCAGCTTTAGGACCCGAGGTTTCCCAGTGGTAGCTTTGGAAGAAGTAGGCATTGATTCCTGCACTGAGCAGTCAGTTGAACATATCAATATGGTATCCCTGGGAACTCCAACATTCGAATAACTAAGATTGAAAATGATTCATAAGCTTAGTCCTGAGAACCAGGTGAGGTGAACAATGGGCTCTTGCATGGTGGGGTCTCTGGGACAACCAGCTCCAAACTTCGCATCGGTTTGATCTTCTCCACAGGTGGCTCTGGTGGTTCGAAGTCAAGTCGAGAAGGCTTCGACGTGAAGTCAGCCTGGAGAAAGGGAGGAAAGAGGGATTCAAAAAATGAACTCAGGCTAATCTAAATCCCAATCCTTTGATTGATATAGATCGATATGTTATGTTAGTTTGATTTTTTTTGTATATTGCAGCTAGGTTTCATAATTAGATTTCATAACCATTTGAAGCCCAGGGGCCTCACTGACATCATCATCTTCATCACCATTGCCTTGCTTCACCTTTTTCTTCTCTGGGCTTTCTCCTGTTGCTCCTGCATTGCTGCGCTTTGCTGGCTGCTTCTGGTCTACATCTTTCTTGGCCTTCTTCTTTGATGCTGCTGCTGACGATGCAGTTGTAGAGTCTTCTGAGGCAGCTTTCTCCTTTTCAGATCGCAGTCCGAACCATCCTCAGCCTTTGCTCCATCTTTTGAAGCTTTCTTCTCCTTCGCTGCCTTGTCTTTCTTATCTTCCGTCTTGGCTCCATCCTTGTGAGCATCTTGGCCCTCAGTCTTCTTGGTCTGACTTTGGTCCTTGGCTACTTTCATGTTCTTTTCATCCTTGTTGGTGTCCTTCTTCTCTGAAGTCTTCTCCTCTGACTCTGTGGATCCTCTTGCCTTCTCTGAAGTCTTCTTCCTCTTCTCCTCAGCCTTTGCTCCATCTTTTGAAGCTTTCTTCTCCTTCGATGCCTTGTCTTTCTTATCTTCCGTCTTGGCTCCATCCTTGGGAGCATCTTGGCCCTCAGTCTTCTTGGTCTGACTTTGGTCCTTGGCTACTTTCATTTTCTTTTCATCCTTGTTGGTGTCCTTCTTCTCTGAAGTCTTCTTCTCTGACTCCGTGGATCCTCTTGCCTTCTCTGAAGTCTTCTTCGTCTTCTCCTCAGCCTTTGCTCCATCTTTTGAAGCTTTCTTCTCCTTCGCTGCCTTGTCTTTCTTATCTTCCGTCTTGGCTCCATCCTTGGGAGCATCTTGGCCCTCAGTCTTCTTGGTCTGACTTTGGTCCTTGGCTACTTTCATTTTCTTTTCATCCTTGTTGGTGTCCTTCTTCTCTGAAGTCTTCTCCTCTGACTCTGTGGATCCTCTTGCCTTCTCTGAAGTCTTCTTCATCTTCTCCTCAGCCTTTGCTCCATCTTTTGAAGCTTTCTTCTCCTTCGCTGCCTTGTCTTTCTTATCTTCCGTCTTGGCTCCATCATTGGGAGCATCTTGGCCCTCAGTCTTCTTGGTCTGACTTTGGTCCTTGGCTACTTTCGTTTTCTTTTCATCCTTGTTGGTGTCCTTCTTCTCTGAAGTCTTCTCCTCTGACTCTGTGGATCCTTTTGCCTTCTCTGAAGTCTTCTTCGTCTTCTCCTCAGCCTTTGCTCCATCTTTTGAAGCTTTCTTCTCCTTCGCTGCCTTGTCTTTCTTATCTTCCGTCTTGGCTCCATCCTTGGGAGCATATTGGCCCTCAGTCTTCTTGGTCTGACTTTGGTCCTTGGCTACTTTCATTTTCTTTTCATCCTTGTTGGTGTCCTTCTTCTCTGAAGTCTTCTTCTCTGACTCCGTGGATCCTCTTGCCTTCTCTGAAGTCTTCTTCGTCTTCTCCTCAGCCTTTGCTCCATCTTTTGAAGCTTTCTTCTCCTTCGATGCCTTGTCTTTCTTATCTTCCATCTCAGCTCCATCCTTGGGAGCCCCCTTGCTGTCCACAGTGTTCTCGGTGTGATTTCTGCCTTTGGAAGCTTTCCCATTCTCTGGTCTTGACTTTGTTGCAGCCATGGTTTCATCTATGAGAGCTGAGTTCTTGGGTTTTTCGTTCTCATCCTGTTTTGAAGTTCGTCCTTTCTTTTGGCTTTCCTTCGTTCTTGCCATTCTCCTTCCCATTGGCTGGAGTGTCTAGTGGGATGTAGTGGGCACAAATCGAACAGTGATCATGGATATCTTCAATTTGATATATCGACTGGTATGTTGGCTAGATTTGATCCGCTCAATTCTCATAGTCTCCTGAACTGCGAGCTTGGCCAAATCTAGCAAAATGCTAAGAAATGAGCCCGGGCTGACACGCAAGTGACACGCAGAGGCTTCGATAATCTAAGTGACCCTTTGATACTTTAAGTGACCCTTTGAGGGGTCTAAGTGACCCTTTGATAATTTAAGTGACCCTTTGATTTTGGCTTCGATATGTGCACTGACACGCATCTGACACGCAATGACACGCACCATTTCTACTTTCCCAGCTTAGTGTATGATCGTTGCACGAATTGGACACTCTAGTGTCAAAATATTGTAAAGTTCGATCATGAGTGAGCACCCCACTCAAAATCATCAGTGGGCACCAAACACAAGTCTGAAACACATATTTTTTTCAAGAAACCATATGATATATGTAGACTTCACAGTGCCATCCCTTTTCAAAAGCTACTGGGATTCGCAAAATTGAGACTCGGCCTTTCGCTTATTATCATTAGAAACTGTAGTGATCGCAGGAGGTGGGTCAAGGTCACATCGGCAATCTTTGCTTGTCACACATAGTGCAAGATAGTCTTCCCTGCAGGGGCTCAGACATAGAAGGCTTACAAGATTGTGGTGTTCACTAATTCACAATTTGATTATGTTGAAACCTCACCAGGCTATTTGATATCAATATATGGGAACCCCAACCTGTGAAGGAAATCCTTCAGCCAGTAAGTTGCCGCACAGCTGGCACAAATTCGATCATCCTTGAGGGACTCCAAGTACTCCACTTCTGCCAAGAAGCGCTGATATCGGGCCGCTCTACTGGGCATTGTTACCCAATCTATATGTATACCCCAAGCTTAAGCAGAAATCCCAGCTGTGTAACATAAACATTCTCAGCTGCATTAATCAAACATATTGTTTCAATCGATCACTGTTTGTTCAAAGCATTGACAATGAGGACAAATGACATACCGATATATCAAGGCAAATCGCTCTATTTTTTCCCAGATTCCATAAAGCTCAAAAATCAATGGGTCTCATCCCCTGGCCACCTAGCGGAGATCCCGCCACGTGGCAAATTTGCGACCTTTGCGCAGGTCAGCAATGCAGTCGCCATCGGATTCCTCTGGGTCATCGGATTCAACTTCGATGTCCTGCAGGGACAAGGTAGGAGCCCTGGGTTTCACTGGGTGTAAAATGATGTAAGTGAACAATTGAATATTTCACCAATTCCTTTGTATATATGGGTTTTTAATTTTATATCAAAACCTTGTTGTAGATATAATGAATATTCATCATCACCATGTGGTAGGATGAATGATCAAGTCAAAAACGAAAAAATAGTTTTGTCATTCAAACCAGTCCACTGAAGCTGCTGGAGCCCCATGAGGCTGAATTAGTTGGGCTAGTGCCAACCCAAATCCCAGAGGGTAATGAGCTGATTCCCTCAACCGTTTTGCATTCCCATTGACTCTCTTTCTCCCAGACTTGGTCTCCACTGTCACGAGATCCGATTTGCCATTGATCCTGGCCATGACAGGTGTAATCCTGAGAGGCTATATGGAATCTAATCTAGGGTGTTTCAAAACAACCATGGGATCTTTGCAAATATCTACAGTACAGCCTACATGGGGATCAAAAGGTAAAAGTTCAGAGTGACACATCCCAAATTCAGAAACTAGGCCCATCATTCTCTGAACATTCTCCTTTCGAGGGATTGCTTCAGCAATTTTACATCCAGAGGTCGGTGGAGCAGGTTGACCTTGGGCAAATTGCTCCATATCCTAAGTACCAAGTCGGAGGTTGGACATTTGTGTAGCATTATTTTCTGGAATTGTTAATATGGTAGCCAGTGGTCATAGTGCAGAAAAGGATCACAGTCATTTTCAAAGTATTTGCACCAAAAGCCCCCATAGGGAATGAGGTCCTCCTGGTTGCAAGATGAGGTAGTCCCCAAAACATTTCCTATCATTGGTCAGCCCATAAAATGATTGGTACATCCTTCAGCATATATGCAAATATTGAGCATACATCATTGATCAATATAACCCATCAAACAAGACCCAAGCTCCTGGATTGAGACCATTTTAGGAATTTCCGCATTGGTGGCCATGACCACAAGACCTTACCATTGGCCATGCATGCTATCAACACAACATGTTTGATTCAATACTTGCTTCTTAATCAAAATTGAACTGGTTCAGCCAATTGGGATGAGGAGCACTTGAGATGGGCTGCTCGATCATGATGTAAAGGCCCCGCTTGACCGCAAAGAAAAGACTTAGATTGCTTAATCGTCCATAGTCAAACATCAGGAGTTCAAATAATGCATCAACAAATCCTGTACCATTTGCAATCAATCCTGTTGGATCAGTTGAAAAAACGTTCAAAGCTAAGACACATATATATCATCCGTAGTATGAACACGTTCGCCAGAGTCACGAGTCTTGAACCATTTCCCTCTGGCTTGGACCACTTGCGACCAGTCACAGAGGAACTTAAAAAAATCCAAGTACTGCAGGGTGGTGCGAAGAAGATCAACCCCCCCGGTTTTGTGTTCCATACCTTAGCTGTGTAGTCATATAGGCTACAATGCCGAAATTATTAACTATCAATATTTGGGTGCTGGACAGCTGAAGATTGGACAAGAGCAAGACAAAATCTGCAATGCCACCCAGTCACTGCTGCCAATATCGCTATGAATCCCACCGTTCTCATCAAATCGTGATTTGGCGAATATAGAATCTCAGTTGCATCAGCTGTGGATTTTATATTTTGATATGGATAGCCATATGTTGAGTTTGTTTCAATAACCTGGCCATGACCTACTACATTGGGCCAACTATCAACATTATCCAGCCTAGAAGCATCAAACTCTTTCCCCTGCCATCCAGCCATCCGCAGGCCCTTGGACAGATTGCCGCATCCTGCACAGACTTCTACCTCAGAGGCAGAGACTATATTTTGGTATGGATGCTGGTTGTCCCAGCTATATTTCCCTTCATCTTGGTTGCAATCAGGGTGCAAAATCATTGTGGTTGGATGGCAGCTTCAGCTGGGATAAGACAACCAGCACAGGGAGCAAATTGGAAACCTTCATCAAACGCACTATGCGATGATAGAACAAATTGAGCCATCAAATTTCTCATGTAGTCACAGGATTCGGATATCTATGATTTGCCCAAATCACATTGAGATCATGAATGATTAAGATCACATTGGAACAACTCACTCAATGCATGTTTCGATTGTGTGCCTTTTTTTCCCCATTCTCGAATGGCTCCAATGTCCATGGCTCACAATTGAAATCCAAGTTTGATGCGCAACCCATTGGATTGTACCGAAAAGACCCACTGTCACAACCACAGCTTTGGAGTATTGGGTCCTGATGTTTAATACATATAAATCAAATTTTAAAAATGGAGCTGTGATTGTTTCCAAAACCCCTACATAAGGTCAACAGGCTTGACAAACCGACGCATCAAAACCATGTCAAATTTTACTTTTCAAAGGTCAATCTACTCTTGCAACACTATTGATTTGGAGGTCCCTACTTCTTTTTGCGTCGGGTCCTCCTACCATCGGTGGACGCCTGACCCTGAAACCCACCTTCAGAAATCGCTTTGTTCAACGAATAGTATTTTACTGAGTCAGGGCTGATATACACCTTGTACAACCCACCTTTCAGTTTCCCTGACATGCGCTTTCGGGTCTCCACTTGCCAATCCTGGACATTGACACGCTCAACAACTTCGAATTTCCTTAGCTAGATTGCATGCCAGATGGTGGCTAGCTGAATTGACAACTGAACAGGGTGACATATCAAGGGTTGATTGGTATTAATTTACTTGAAATAGGCTAAGAAAATCATCATTGCTAGTGAGGCCAAAGTGAGGACGATTGTGATTTACATATGATATTTGATATCTAGACCAAGCAGGTGTTATAGCTAAGATTCAATCGTTCCTCTTTGCCTTTCTTAGACCGTAAGAGAGCCAACTGATCTTCTGGACATGGTACTTTGCAATTTGCCTTTGACAGAGCCACCTGCTGAATCCTATTGATCACTACCTGGAAAGACGATAAAGCAAAGTCCTTGTACTTCTCAGTTTTCACCAAGCTGTTCTTTTCAGAGTCGCCAGGTGTGACCTTTTTCTCCTGCATAAAGTGATGGATAACACATGTTTGGGATTAGTTTGATACATTCCCAGCAGGTGTCTCAAACATTTATCAGCCCCATCTTGGCTCGCAGGCCCACATGTTCAACACTGAACCTACAGACGAAAAAGACCAAGGTGCCTCCGGCTTGGCCTTGATGATGGTTGGTCGGACTGGCATGGAAATAGGGCTTCCTTGGCCAGAGGTGATCAAACAAAATAACACCCAAAAAACATAACCTGAGTTCCAAAGTGAGGACCCAAGGACCTTCCATGGACTTCCATATCAACTATGTAAGGATCATGCTAGACTCATGCATTTGTTGTATAATCAAATATCATAGCTGATACCAATTTGTCACCAGGGTTGATCACATATATACATCAAATACTGTAGATTCCCTGTAGCTTGATCCAGTACTGTAAATGTTTGATCATGTGTATCGAATAGATTATATATAATTTAGGAGGTACCATGGTTTTGCAACTGGGTATCGGGAGCTCTTTGTTCGACGTCGGTGTGTCGGCACAGGGAGGGTAGAAGGCAGTCCTGCTGCTCCTCCAGTCTTTGCTTTCCCCTTTGATTTTGGCATCGCTGGCTTCACATCACCTGTCTCCTCATCTTCCTTTGTCTTTGTCTCCTTACCTTCCTTTGTCTTTGTAGTCTCATCTCCCTTTGCCTTTGTCTCCTCACCAGAAGGGTGGGAAGCAGTTCCATTGTGAATCCCCTTTGCATGTCTAGTGTTTTCTCGTGTTGTGGTCCAGCGTCGAATGTTGGATTTTGGGAGTTCAGGTCTTGGAGGCCAATTCCCAGCCTCTGGAGCTTTCTTTGAACTCGAGGATCCAGTGTTGGAAGTTGAAGAAGATGTATCTTCTTCATCGTCGGAGCTCTCGGAACTGGAGGTGTCCAGTTTGAGCGGGCTGAGGGTCCCAAGTGAGGAACTTTCATCATCTCCATCATCTTCTCCACCATGTGCACACTTAGCCTTGTCCTTTCTTGTTACTGGCTTCTCCTTGGGTGTCTTAGCCCTTGTGCTTTCTGGCTTTGCTTTTAACTTCTCTAGCACCTCTTTGTCACTCAAACCCATAGTGGAAAAACCACAGGCAGCAGCACTTGGGCGATTCTTCTGTGCCTTCTCTTCCATCTTCTGTTCCTCGTGGTCTTCTTCATCCTCTGCTTCATCCTCCTCTTTCTGGCTGGTCTTGTCTTCTGGCTTCACATCTTCCTCGCTGCTGTCATCTTCTTTTGTCTCCTCATCATCAGCTTTTCTTCCCTTTGGCTCATCACCTTCATCTTCGCTTGTCTTGGCTGATGCTGCTTCCTCCTCTTCCTCATCGTTTGTCTTCTGCGCCTCTCTGTCATCTGCATCCTCTGCTTCATCCTCATCTTTTTGGCTGTTCTCATCTTCTGGCCAGACATATTCTTCTTCGCTGCTGTCATCTTTTTTCTCCTCATCTTTTGCCTGGTCTTCTGCCTCATCTTCTTTTGCTTCCTCATCGCCAGCCTCACTTCTTTCAGGCTCTTCACGTTCATCGTCAGTTGTATTGGCTGATGCTGCTTCCTCCTCATCCTTCTCTTCCATCTTCTGTTCCTCGTGGTCTTCTTCATCCTCTGCTTCATCCTCCTCTTTTTGGCTGGTCTGGTCTTCTGGCTTCACATCTTCCTCACTGCTGTCATCTTCTTTTGTCTCCTCATCATTACCTTTACTTTCCTTTGGCTCATCACTTTCATCTTCGCTTGTCTTTGCTGATGCTGCTTCCTCCTCTTCCTCATCGTTTGTCTTCTGCGCCTCTCTGTCATCTGCATCCTCTGCTTCATCCTCATCTTTTTGGCTGTTCTCATCTTCTGGCCAGACATATTCTTCTTCGCTGCTGTCATCTTTTTTCTCCTCATCGTTTGCCTGGTCTTCTGCCTCATCTTCTTTTGCTTCCTCATCGCCAGCCTCACTTCTTTCAAGCTCTTCACGTTCATCATCAGTTGTATTGGCTGATGCTGCTTCCTCCTCATCCTTCTCTTCCATCTTCTGTTCCTCATAGTCTTCTTCATCCTCTGCTTCATCCTCCTCTTTCTGGCTGGTCTTGTCTTCTGGCTTCACATCTTCTTCGCTGCTGTCATCTTCTTTTGTCTCCTCATCATCAGCTTTTCTTCCCTTTGGCTCATCACCTTCATCTTCGCTTGTCTTGGCTGATGCTGCTTCCTCCTCTTCCTCATCGTTTGTCTTCTGCGCCTCTCTGTCATCTGCATCCTCTGCTTCATCCTCATCTTTTTGGCTGTTCTCATCTTCTGGCCAGACATATTCTTCTTCGCTGCTGTCATCTTTTTTCTCCTCATCTTTTGCCTGGTCTTCTGCCTCATCTTCTTTTGCTTCCTCATCGCCAGCCTCACTTCTTTCAAGCTCTTCACGTTCATCGTCAGTTGTATTGGCTGATGCTGCTTCCTCCTCATCCTTCTCTTCCATCTTCTGTTCCTCATAGTCTTCTTCATCCTCTGCTTCATCCTCCTCTTTCTGGCTGGTCTTGTCTTCTGGCTTCACATCTTCCTCACTGCTGCCTACATCCTTTGCCTTGTCCTCCTTCTCTTCAGCTTCATCTTCACATTTCTCCTCATCAGTCTCGTCATTAGAGACTTGTTCTTGGTCTTCGTCAGTGTCTTGCTCAGAGCTGCTTTGGGATGAAGCTTCATCATCACCTGCTTGGCTCTCAGCATCACGAGATTGGGCTTCTTTCACAAGTCTGTCCCACTCTTCACTGGTTATCTCTGGCGGTTGGACCACTTCATTTTCCCGATCACTTTCCTCACTTTCCTCACTTTTCTCACCTTCCTCTTCATCCTCAGTGAGTGGAGCTTTTCTCTTTAGTTTCTTCCTTTCTTCTGCATTGTCCTGGCCACCAGGGAGGTTGTTTTCGTGTTTTTTTTTTTTAAGGGGGTTCATGTGTTGATATTGGCCCAGGTATTGTACTTGTATATACTGGATGTGAAACCAGCCTGGTCAGAACCCGGATCAGAATCTGAATCAGTGATACCAGGATCTTCACCAGAAGGGTCACCACCAAGATCAGGAACGGATCCATGTCTTTGCCTTACATTGGTCACATGTTTACTATATAGGCTGAAACATATCATTTCTGGTTTGCTGGTTGAGGAACATGCTCATGTTATCGAGCAACTCAAACTCCATCGGAAGAGTGTCAACCTCATCAGGGTTCCTCGGTTAACACATTGTAACACATAGTGACCTAGTACCCTAGTTCACTAAGCAAATGCCACTTCAAAGTATCATAAGTTCATCACAAGCCACTGACCACCCAATGTGCTGCTTGAAGATGGTCTACCCGATAATTTTTTGTGTCGTTTGATCACTCGATGGCATCTGGATGCCTAAGATCAAACACAGGAAACCTTCTATGTTCCAATGATTCTATTCAGATTCAAGCTATCTTAATATATCATAGCCATGACACCTGTTCACGAATCCATGCATCTCGAAGATCCTTTCGGGTATGGGGACCTAAGATATTCCAATGTGCGACATTGGGCGAACATACAAAGGGGAAAATGAATATTTTGATTGAATTACCAGCTAATAGAATTCAAGGAACATATATCCATGATGTTGACCAGCTGGTGGATCACCTTCCTAACTTCGTTTTCCCTCGGCACTCGTAGAGCCTTGCTTTCAACGAAAGCATTTCTCAACCAGATGTTCCCTCCAAGACGCAAGTCACCCCCCGGCACTAGCTCTTGCTCTTCCTTGCAAGACTCTGGCATATGGTTTTGCATAGCTTTACGAAGACGCCTTGGGCCGAACTACAAACCAGACAGAAACAGTTGATAGGACCCTTCTATTCTAAAAGGGGTATCAAATTGTCCAAGAAACTGTCCATCTGGTGATAGAACTTTGAGTTTTGTTCCAGGATCCACCAACGAGTCATCAGCCATGGCCCAAACGCTTAGAGTGTGGACCAAGGGTTGCGCTGACAAATTGCATGTCATGTTTCCTCAAAACATGTTTAACAGTTGTGACTAAGGTCCATGTGGCATTCATTGTTGTCCTATGTCCTTTTCCAGTTAGGAGGTCTGTATTCTGCAAGATTCACATGATCCCATGTTGAGCCTGCCGCTTTGCAGGTGCTTGGCGATGATCATTGCACCGAGATCGCCAACCTTCTCCTTCCCTGCTCACCCTTCCATTTGGGCAACCATTCCCTCATGTTACCATAAGTGATTTTGATACAGGCTTCGATAATCCCATGTCAAAGGGTCACTTAGATGCATCTTGAGAGGTTAAGTGACCTCATTTGGTTTTTGGCTTAAGTGACCTCCATTTGAGGGCACTAAGAAGATGCTGGTATATATATATATGATATATATATATGATATATATATATATATGATATATATATATATGATATATATATATATAAGTAAAGCTATCTAATATGTGTATATATATATATGATATATCTGGTTGGTGGTATACCTACCCCTCTGAAAAATATATAAAAATATGAAAGTCAATGGGAAGGATGACATCCCATATATGAAATGGAAAATAAAAAATGTTTGAAACCACCAACCAGTATAGTATCCCCAACAAATACTTTGTATATACAGATTTATACTTGAAAGTGATGTGAAGAAAACACAAAAAACTTTTTTTTGTTGATTTGTTGCTTCTATATCCCATTACATCCCCATTAAAATCATTTAAAATCCAGAGAAAAATCCTATAACATCACAATCTTTGCTGCTTAAATCACCATTTTTGTTTAATGTTAGGGGATTCAATCCAGGGGCTTTTTTTTGATATCATCTTTATGCAGAAAATGTTGATGGATTTTATATGGATATTATGGATATTATGGGATGTTTGCTTACCCTCTGGTAAACGTTTACAAAACTATATGGAAAATCACCATGCTATTAATGGGACAACTCACTATTTCGACTGGGCCATTTTCAATAGCAAACTGTTAGTTTACCAGAGGGTAAATCATCTGTTTGCTCAACAATCCATAAACTCCCAACAGATTTCGACCATTGTCGACCCACCCATGGCGCCACGGCACATTTCCGCCCCGCAGCAGCATCGGCGCCGACGTTGTCATCCAGGTCCCAAAGCAGCGGCGCTTCGACGTCGACGTCGTCGAGGAGACCGGACTCCGCCATGGTGGCAAAGGAGGGTCAGAAATCAGCGGAAAGTGTTGGATGATATGAATTATTATGTTATATACATATACATATATATATATATACACATCAATCAATCAATCAATCAGTCAGTCAGTCAATCAATCAATCTATCTATCTATCTATCTATATGTTATGAATATTTATGAAGACTATTTGGATGTAGTTTCAGATTGGGATCGTTGATTGATTGATTGATTGGTTGGTTGGTTGGTTGGTTGATCAATTTGTTGGTCAGTTGATATGTATATAATATGTATATCCTCCAAACTCTTTGTAAACAGGTCTTCTTATTGGGATCCGCTTGCCAGTTCTGATGTCAACAACGATCAAATGATATCTATGCACTCTTGAGGTCGCCAGCCAGTTTTTGCTACAAAGAATACTGGTTGGTGGTTTCAACCCCTCTGAAAAATATTAGTCAGTTGGGATCATTATTCCCAGTATATGAGAAAAAAACATGTTCCAAACCACCAGCCAGAATAGTTTGGAGTCTCGAGCAGTGAAGGATATACCTGACACTTCCAGCATGGACTACTAAACCAGGACTAGCGTCCCTGAGCCAAGCCACATACAACCTCCCTTGGAAGCCCCGAACCATGGTCTGGAGATCTTCGACCTATTTCTCCATCAAAGCTGGGAAAATCTGTGGCCCAAATGGTTTTTTGGATGGGGGGATGGTGGACACAGCCTTGCCGAGCTGTTTGACCCAGCTTAGGTACAAGGCATTCCACCCTCCAGTGTCAAACATGGCAATTGAAGACTCTCTGATTGGTGGTTTTGAGCCCCACCCCTCTGAAAAATGATGGAGTTCGTCAGTTGGGATAATGACATTCCCGATATATGGAAAAATAAAACATGTTCCAAACCACCAACCCTTCAAGGATTTTCCCAGCGAACTAAACCTCTAAACATCCACCTTCGTCGAGTTTTCCATCCTCCCTGAACCGTTTTTGGAAGTGGGAACCACTGGAACCAGTGTCCCCGGATGTCCCCGGTATCCCAACGGGGTGCAGTGGAACCACTAATATACATGCGGGTGATGTAATCAACCATAGTTGTTGGGGCCCCATATCCCAACTTATGGAGGTTCAAATTCCATAGTTATAGTTATACCGTTATACCATGTTATACCCGTATCCACTGAACATCTCTGAACGAATCCCGGTTATTTCTGGGGAGAAGTCAGCTACCAACATCCTCAAATCTGCCGCGACGAAGTGAGATGGTTGGTAGTGTCCATGAGTCCAATAAATTGGCAGAGGACCACACATAATAGTTGGTCATTTTCTTGATTCTAGAAGCAATAAATGACAGTGGCTTCATCATGAGGAGTAAATGAATGTTTGTGAAATCTACTTCTTCATCTAAATGGCTGTTGTTTTGTGAAAATTTCGACCCAGCCCCAAAAAAACTCTCAGGCTTCGAGGGCTTGGGCCCCAGGCGAAGCCGGTAAACTCGGGCCAATCATGGTTGATCTTGGGGGTCGTTGAGTTGGTAAGCTGAAGCTGCTGCCTGTTTGAAGCTTGGGTCAACAAGTGAACCACTACAGCGACGTACATGGCTGTCATTGGCTGTCATAAGCATTCAAACACCATCTTTGCTTTGTGTGTGTTTGCCTCCATTTGGCCATTTGGCTCATTGGCTAATTCAGGCATATTCAGGCACATTAGGCTTGAGAAGTCCACCCCAATAACTTATGGATATACAATGATATATATATATATATGTATATAGCTGAGATCAACTGAGGCCACTTTTTGGTTCCCTTCCCATCGATGCGAATGGATAGCTATGGCAGGTACTTGATGGAAACGGCTTCCAGGATGGATCCGGAGTATGGTGAAGATTTTGGCGACCCTGGCCATCATTGAACGATAAAACCGACCGGATCCGACACCGGTCAATGGGTAAAAAGGGAGCATCTGGGATCGGTAGGATCAGTAGAATTGAGATACATTGAGATTTGAAGCCACCCGAAATCTAGAGAAACCTCAACAATCTCCTCGCTCAGAGATGGGTTCAATTGATGCCCAATGTTTCGACCATGACCATAGTTAAGTGGGCTGATCCATAGCAGTATGCCTCCAACAAAATGACCATGTATTTCTGTATATCAATATATTGATACAATTTTATACATGTGTACGCATACAAAGATATACAGATAATGATATATATATACATATCATATACATATCATATACATATCATATACATATGTATATTATATATATACATATGTATATTATATATATACATATGTATATTATATATATATATACAAAAGTATAGCATCATCCACATTATTTCCAATCACGTAACTCGGTACCTTTTCAACCACCCAGTCGCCATGTCAGTCGCAACCCTTTTTTTTTCCGCGTCGTGAGTCTGGATCCACTTAGATCACTTCGATACGCAGGGGCCCTTGGTCAAGCTGTCCATGTCGATACAACGATTTCTTATCCTGTAACTATGTATGTCTGTATGTGTATAATATATATATATATATGTATGTGCATATGCACATGTGTATGTATATATATATATGATTGTATATGATTGTATATGATTGTATATGATTGTATATGTATTACATGTCGACAGTATGTATACGTACATGGCTTTCTTTCAGCATGTATGTCTGTACAATTTCGAGATGGGAAATTTCAGGAAGAGAAAACTAACATGATCCACCTGAATTTCATAGATTTCATGATGTTTTTTTGGGATACGATTGGGGGACCATCCCAGTTACTGACTCTGGTTCAGGGGGATGCTCCTCTGAACCGAAAAATACCATGGTAAAAGTTCCGTGTAAGTTGGGCCAAGTAGCAATCACTTACTGGTTGGTGGTTGAGGTATACCTACCCCTCTGAAATTTCATGGAGTGAAAGTCAGTTGGGATGATGAAATTCCCAACTGAATGGAAAAATAAAACATGTTCCAAACCACCAACCAGCTTAATATGGCCAGCGGGCTAGACTGAAAATGCATTGAACATTAGTGTCTGACTCTACGTATGCATGGCATTGGGCAGATTAAATCGACTGTACACACAACACATAGTCCCACATACATATTACCCTCTGACAATGTAACAGTTTGCCATCAAAAAGGGGCCGCTTATAAATGATGTACATTGATTTACCTGCGAATTGGAAATAAATGTCAGCTATAAACAGCAGAATCATGATTTGGTTCGTCCCTCTAGTGTCGGAACCCGCTGACAAAGGGCCTTCGGAAAATATTGGAACCGCAAGACTTTCTCCAACTACTTTGTAAATAGGACCACATGACAGGTGAAATCTTCAAATCATCCATAAGCTGCACATTCAGAATATGTCACATCCCAATTTGGACATTCTGAAGTTCTTCACTTCCAGGTATCATCCAAGAGCGCAATGGACATTGCATGGATTTGCCAGCCGTGTTCGAGGATGTATCTTAGCCAGTCATGGGGCCCTCTTCACCTTTTCTCCAGGCTTAAATAGTTTCGCCTTTCTCTGCAGCACCTAAGATCGTGGCAAATCAGGCTTACCTCCCACCAAGAGGAAATTGGGCCAAATGAAGACGCTTAAACCAAAAAAAAATGGATATCATAAATGTCATAAATCTCATGAAGTAGATTCATTTTCCCCCTTTTTTTTGGCTGCTCAATTCATGGTTTTTAGCTGTTTTTAGCTGTGACTTTTGAGGGCCGATCTCCATGGGCCACGAGGAGATATCCCCCCAGAGTTGGGAGATTTCACGGGCCAGGATTCACCAGGTCCTATTTAAACAATGGTTGGAAAAAAACATGATTAAACAATGGAAAAAACATGGGTTAATAATGGTTAATAATGATCATAATAATGGTGATTCATGATGATTAATGATTTTCTGGTTGGTGGTTTCAACCTACCCCTCTGGAAAATATATGAGTGAGTAACAGTTGGGATGATGAAATTCCCAATATGAATGGAAAGTCATAATCCAGTCATGTTCCAAACCACCAAGCAGATTCATATTGTTATTCCAATTGTTTAACCATTACCATTATTAACCATTAACCATAGATTAACCATAGATTAACCATAGTTGTTGGGATCAGTATATACAGTTTTTGGATCATCTTGGGATCCGAAAAATAACCACCATATAACCACCATATCCGAAGAACTCAGTCGGGTCATTCCGCTGATTTTTTTTCCCCCAATTCACTGGGCAGTTTCGAACTTCATGGATCACTCAGGGTGAGCAGCTTTCTCTTCTGAACCTACCCTCTGGTAAACTAACAGTTTGCTATGGAAAATCACCATTTTTAATGGGACAATCCACTATAAATGGCCATTTTCAATAGCTATGTTAGTTTACCAGAGGGTAGATGGGTTTGTTTGAAAATGAAGATGTTTTCTACCCTGATGGGAAAATTTCGGGGGGTTAAACTATTACTACAATTGATTGTATGCAGGCATGTTCAGCAATTTTCAGACGACACCTTTGATCTGTCAAACATTGTCAAACTATATCCTGAAGAAACCATGGAAATCCTAAACTAAACCCATACTTGTTCACAAGTCAAAGAACACACAGCGCCGCCACCAAATCGCCCCCAAATCGCCCTTGGATGATGATCCCGACAGGTGAAGAAATGACTCATGACGCGCTGAATCAACCTTTGGGGGACTTATTACCCTCTGGTGAACTAATATAACTATGGACAATCACCATTTTTTAATATAGGGAAATCAACTATAAATGGCCATTTTTAATAGCTATGTTAAATTACCAGAGGGTAGTTCGAGTGATTTGGCAGTTTCAGCAGTTTGTTTTGCTTCATATTCTGTTTTTGTTCATCTTTGGTAGACAAAAAGGACAATAATGGATGGACAAGACCAATTCTGCTGGCGAAATCCTGCTGTCTCTTAGTCACAAATCCCTCAATTCCTGATATTCCTGTTGCCGAAATCCAGATTTTTGATGAAACCTCCTTAAACTCAAGTTCTGCTGATGAAATCCCCCGTCACCCGATTAGTAAAACCTTGATATTTCCGAACATTTCCAACCAATTTCCAACATGTTTCACAACTCACCAGGTCGGGTGAGAAAGCGATGTGAACGAGCGACGCTTCTCGGCGGCGTCCACGGCTTTCTTCACGTCCGCCTTCATCTTATCCACGGTGTTCACGTCCACCCTGGCCATTGCAGTAACAGTCACCACCAAGGACTACATTCAAAAAAGTCATCTGGATAATCATGGAATAGGTTAATGGATGTTAATGGTATATAATAGGATATGAATCAATATGGGATTTCTGTAGAACCATCTTAGTCATCTCTGACTTTAACTTGATGACTTGATGACCTGATCAAACATGGTGTCATCTAACAGTTTCTCTTGGGGACTACAGGAAGGGGTCCCAGTTCATTGTAAGTTTATAAGTTGTTGTATATCTCTAGCTTTACGGATGGATCAGGGTCTATGGCAAATCTATACTTAGATGGGGTTCTGAATCAACTCATAAGTAGGAGGCCCTTTCTGTAGCATCAGTTCGATGGGATTCTACCAAAAGAAATGAAAAATGGTCAACGGACATAGATTTCCTAACCAACGGAAACCGGCCCCTTCCTGTGAGGATTCTGAATTTGGATTCCATCTGGATTTGATGACCTCAAAATCCCACATGCCAGCTGTCATGTCTTAAGTTTTACTGGTTGGTGGTTTTAACAATCTTGAAAAATATGAGTTCGTCAATGGGAAGGATTAAAAAAATGTTTAAAACCACCAACCAGGTCACTATGTTTTTTCCCATCAACATTGCCAAAAAATGGCCAGGTTCCCCATGTTCTGCCCAAGACCGTCCCCACCAGACCTTTGTCGCTTGAGACGGAAGGCCACCTTCGCGAAAATCGGATCGCGCATCAGACCTTTCAGGCGTTTCGCCTGCAGCGCGAGGATTGGTTGATTGATGTTGATAAAAACTGTTGATATAATCATCAACTGCCAACAAAAACCATGGTCAATCTTTGGTAGTCCATAGGTACATCCACTATAAATGTGCCATTTTCAATAGCTATTTTGACACAACCAGAGGGTACTGTTAGCCACAAACAAGACACTCATCTTTTGCTGTTTTTTTATCTTATGAAACTATCCAGGCCCAGTGATGGGAATCCCAACACCAGCCATCAAGGATGTCACTGGTTTCAATAGCTGGTAAATTCAGATTCATCCCAGCATTGCACGCGTATCATAATGAATCATCATTTATGATCATGTATCCTGGTTGGTGGTTGAGCCCTAGCCATCTGAAAAATGATGGAGTTCGTCAGTTGGGATGATGACATTCCCAACTGAATAGAACAATAAAAAAAAATATTCCAAACCACCAACCAGATTTATTGTTATTCCCATTATTAACCATTATTAACCATAGATTAACCACCAACCAGCCATTAATATGCCATTAATATACCATTAAAAAGATGGAAACTATGATTTGTGGTCATCCCATAGTGAGAATCCTGGATTGCTCAGTGTTTCTGGCAACTTTAAGCGACACCAAATTTCGACTTTCGACCTGAGTCCAGTAGGAAAATCTTTGAAACATCACCCTCCGGTGATCAAACCCGGATTGCTTGAAAATCCCACATGTCTAGATGATTGTCCTATTAAAATCTCCATTTAAAGATGTATTGATATGTATTGATATGTATTGCTGCTTCCAGGTTAGTTTTTAGGACTTTAGGAAATACTTCAGAATGGCCTCATTAACCCAGGATGTTTTTTGATTGGTTCCACAATTTACACATCATTGTTTGTTTCCTTGATATGGAATGTCCTCCATATCTCTTGATTGACCCATTGTGATTTTGCATATCTATACTTGCAAATTACCAAAAGGGTAATGACTAACATAGCTATTATTGAACATGGCTTTATAGTTGATTTGCCTATTCAAAATGGTGATGTTCTATAGCTATGTTAGTTTACCAGAGGGTAACCCCAGGGGAAAACCCAACATGGAACTCCAAGAAGAAGCTATCCACCGGACGATAGCCCAAGATACAAGCAAGGTAAGGACAACAAAAATCATCAATCACAATCCCAAAAACCCGTCTTGTCTGGTTGCACCCTGGTACAATCACCCCAAATTCCGGGTCTTTGGGACTACTATAATTCATCTATGTTAGATCCTACGTTTTAGCGATGAAATTTACAGTTTGGCTACTTAAAACATAATATTTGTTGGTTAAATCCCAGATTTTATCAAATGTTGCTACATCCCCATGTTTGTTGATAAATCCCCAACTTTTACCATCATTTTTCGTGTCTCAAACTCCAAAGTGTGGTGGCATGTGGTGGCCTAACGGCCACCTTTCCTGGGGCACCGGCAGGCAAACCGGTGCCAGCGCACTTCTGGCACACTGTCTCGCCCACACCGTTGCATTCGGGGCCTGGGGAAGTGTTGACTTTCTACTTGGAGGTTCATCCGGGCCCATGGTCCTCGTAAGTGCTTGATAAATGTGAGCACTTAGTAAGTCCCCATTTCGGTCCCAGGCACATTTATGTCTGAACTAACCACAGTCACTAACCAAGTGGTGAGGTGATCCTCGAAGTAGGGTACATGAAAGGTTTGTCACAAATTAAACTGGGTGACATGAAATACAGTATATCCCAGAAGAATGACGTGGCGGAGCAAAGTATAATGCTGCGCCAAAGGGCTCAGTTTTTGGAGTCACAATGTTAAGGGAAACATATGGAAACATGTAATGATACATAATGATATATATATATACTGTATATATATACACTATATATATACATACTATGTATATATACTATATACATATAGTATGTATATATATATATATATTACTATATATATATATATATATGGGAGTTTCCTGAAATGGTTGTACCCCGATAGCTGGATGGTTTGTAGTGGAAAATCCTATCAAAGTGGATTATTTGGGGATAGCGGGATACCCCTATTTTAGGAAACACCACAAATACATATACATATATATATAGCTATATATATTATATAACATATATATATATATATAATTATATAGAATGTTAATCTTGGATTGATACCTGGTAGCCACGGCTTACTAGTTGTTTTTTTTGGTCCGTTCCCATACTTGGAACCATCACCACTTTGACTTTGTCTGATTAGTGAACTGGGGTCTTTTAATTCTGGGCTAAGATTATAGATTCAACCAATGCATTTCTTCCTTAGGGAGTGGTCGCTGGATTACAACGAATGTTTGATAAATGGGTCTGGGCCAGGCTTGGATACCTCGCTTGGATACCAAAGTTAGTGGGTCCAAACTCTACGGATATGGTGCCTGGCGCAGAAAGACGGCCGGCTGTGGCCGGGTGTGGCGGACTTTTGAGCGATAGAACACGTTTGGAGATTCGAATGGCATGAACCTCCAGTCTGCCCAAAAAAGAAGGACATCCTGTTGCAGGGTTCCAAATTGGGCCCTGGAAGGAAGCCACAAATCATCACAAATCAAACACAATGGTAGTTCAACAAGTATTTTTTGAGAATGACAGCCCCCAAACAAGAAAGGTTACTTGCTTGGTGTCCATGTGCAGCGGCCGCTCTTTGTTGCTGCGTCCGCTTGAGCCATTCGGCGTTCGAACGGCGGCATGATTGATTGAACCCAGCTGTGCACGGCAGTCAATTGGTTTGATCACCTATGTTGACCTGGATGTCACCTTCAATTTCACACGCCTTAAGTTTTGTAGGTGTTAAATCGATTGACTGACCGCGCATGACTGAATCCAGCCCATCATGCTTCATCCCTTTTGTTAAGGGATCTGCTACCATGCGATCTGTGCTCGTCCACAAAAGCCTGGTTGTAGCATCGCCAGGGATGTGGTCAGTGAGGAGAGGGTCGCCCACCAGTTCGCCAGGTGCTCGCCAAACATGTTGTCGGATCTGGGAGAGGTCAATGGCCAGTCTCTTGTCTGAGACCACGCTCGCACCAGGTTGATTGCAATGCTCCCACAGGGATCGGCAATCAGTGAACCAGTCGACGCAAATTGCGTCTTGGGCAGCCACTTCCCAATCTTGTCCACGTCCATCAGGATGCCATAGTCCATAGAGGGAGAAGCGTAGGTGGTCAGCTTCTTCAGCTCCATGAAGTAGGCTGAGTGTTTCAGCCTGTAGCGTGCTGCGGCATACTCGCTTCAGGACAGTGGAATGCCATTCGATCGGTAGCAAGACACCTTTTCGGGATGTCTGAAAGCTCTTGTCGGCCAGGAAGAGAAGTCGGCCAGATTGGCTGCGATGTCCCAATCTTTTCCCCGATCCACTCACGTCATAGTCAGCAGCGTGGGAGGCGTCCTGCACGGCCACAATCATGAGGTTGTTGAAGTCAAAGCAGCCAGATGGATAGAATAGTCCCTTGGCCTTCGTCTTCTGGGCGTAGCGGATCACACCATTGGCGTACTTGACGTCGTCCATGGTGGCAGTGTGCACGGTGCTCTGCATACGGCAGACAGCGTAGCTCAAATCAGGGCGGCACACTCGTGCAAGCCATGCCAGGGATCCAATGATGCTGCGCAATTGGGATCGGATGTCTTCTGTCACAGGCTTGGAAGGTTCTCGCCTGTCACCAACTGAAAGGTAAATGGGCTTGACCTTTTCGATCAGCGTGGGGCATGTAATGGATATGCCTTCAGCTGTTCTCTTCACATCTCTTCCACAAAATCTGAACTCGTCAATCTCCAGCTTGCCAAACTTGAACTTCTGGCAAATGCGGTCCATCTTGTCCATGATGAACTGGTTGCCAGTCCAAATCATATCATCCACATGAACAACCATCATGCCTGCCAGTTGCCCATCATCATCCAAAAGGGTGTAGGCGGCTGGCTCAAATGGCACTTGTTTGAAACCTTCTTCCTTCACAGTCCCATCCAAGACCTTGAACCATCCTCGGGGAGCATCTTTCGTTCCGTAGACGGTGGAAGAAACGATGTAGTACTCCTCCTCATAGTTGATGGTCCCATCATCATTGGGAATTCCGCCCTTTGGCTTTGAGAGTACCAAGATGCGGTCGAGGGTACTGCCTTGAAGAAAGGCTGCAGAGATGTCTCCTGCTCGGAGGGATGTTCGCTTGCAAGCTGAAAGAGCGAACACGCAGTTCAGCATAGTGGTAGATGCCGTCGGAGAATCTGTCCTCATAGAGGTAGCGTTTTCCAAATCACCTCGGACAACCAGCCTGGATTTGTATCGAGGCTCTTCGTCAGTCTCTGACTTGTTCACATCCACCCATCTCGTTGGGATGACCTTCAAGGTCGGGTTGTCCTTCTTCAGCTTCTCCAACTCATCCTTGCTAATGGCCTTGACGTCGGTGTACTTGACCCAATTGTTCCATTCTTTGATCCTCGCTTGGATCAGCTCCTTCTTCACCGCGTCGTCTTCCTTCTCAAAGTTCAGCTCTCTTCCGGCTCCAGCTTTCTGTGGTTTCTTCTTGACCTTGCGCTTCTTGTTCTCAGAGCGGTTGGCCAGGAAGCTGTACATGGAGCGGTTCTGTGAACCTCTCGAAAAATGGCCGTCAAGCAGATCCGGACTCCTCCGCAGGGCCTGACTTAAAGAAGTCGTTGTCGGCTCACCTGCTGGCAATGGAGTGTGCCCGGCAGCGACAGCAGAGGTACTTGTTGCCGGAGTGACCTCTGGTTCCGGTGGACTGGGTTGCGCCACGGTGGGAACTTCTTGTTGATGTTGTCCCGCAACCGGTGATGATACTTCAGGATCACCATCCATCTCTTCTGGAAGATCGAGTCCAGGAGGTGGTCCGACTGCTTGTGCGGGAAGTCCAGGAGGTACAGGTAGTCCACCATGTTGAAAAAGTCCACCTTGTAGGCTGTCGGATGGTCCAGGTGCACCAAGTCGAGGTGCCACAGTCCGACCTGAATCATCTTCTTGTAGATCTGCATATGGCGATTGGCCTGGGTCACGTAAGTTCTGGGCGGTGACCAAGTCCTCGTCGAAGGGCATTGGATCATCATCGAGCTCGTCCAGGTAGAGCATGCGCTTCCGCTTGCGTGAAGGGCGAAGCTCCAAGACGTGCTTCTTGAGAATCTCCTGGCTTGTTGCTGGTCGGCAAGCTGTCTCAGCAACCAGAACGGTGACACCATTGTGCACCAGCCAGAGACTTGATCGTCCTTCGTTTGCAAGAACTCGTGCAGGTCCCAGCCATCGATCCTTCTTGAGGAATGAAACCAGATCACCAGGTTGATACGGTCCTCTCATAGGAACGCTTTTCCTCAGAAGACTTTTGCGGATCTTCTGACAAGAGTCGGCTTCCATGTAAGCCTGTTTGGCAAATTGCCTGAGCAACAGCTGCTTCTGGAAAACATCTTGGGGTCCCCTTTCATCCTCCTCCATTGAAACCAAGTTCTGGTGGACACCCATGTTCTCGTCGAAGTCGCAGCTGAAAATGCTTGTCTTGTCCTCGGGCATGAAACCCATGACCCATTGCGAAGGCGTATAGCCAGCATGGTTGAGCAGGCTGTTCTTCACCTTTGCGGCCTCGCTGCAGAGTGCAGCGATGTCATCTGCTCCTTGAAGTTGTCGTTCATGAATCACACGCTTCATGATCTCCTTGAGTAGTCCTCCGTGTCTTTCTCCAACTCCAAGTTGAAATGGCGCACGAGCAGCAGTTTGTCTGATGGTCGTGCCATGGGCCTCAAGCAGATGTGCCACCTTTCCTCTGTTGTGTACTCCTTGATCACAAACAAAGTAGTCAGGCGCTCCTGCCCATGAAAGCCAGGTGGTGTTGATCATCTGGGCACAGATCCTTGAGCTAGGAACACCACCACCACCAACTCGTCCAGCCACATGGAATTTGGTGGCAACATCCACCAATGAAAGAACGCTGTGTCGGGCTCCTGCAGCATCATGTACTTCAAACACATCAGCCGACACCTCATAGTTGAAACGTTGCTGGTGCGCTGGCCTTGGTGGTTTGGTGACGTTGGCTTTCTCCTCCTTGGCAGTCTCAGCGCAGACTTGACATTGGAAGAACTTCACAGCTTGGATCACATCTCGATCGCTGCCAGATGCCTTGAGCATGCGTGTCATCGCAGCGTGAGAGCAGTGGCCTGTCATGTTGTGAAGTCTCCTCAGAGCTAATCGCTTCTCTCTGGGCAGTTTCAGCCAATTCTGTCGTCGATGTTCTTCTTGTTTCATAGCCACATCAGGCATGTCAGCCATAGTTGCATCCTCCTGCATCTTTTCCTCCATCACGAAGTCAGGGTCATCAGTCCTTCGTCGCTTTGGTAGTGGAGCAAGATCATCTGGATTGAAAACTCCATCCAATGGTCCTTGTTCTTGGTGTTCTTCAACCTCCAGCTCCGCAGGGAAGGCCATGTTGAGGTTGCCATAAATCATCTCATCCAGAGCTCCTCCAAGAATTTGTTCGCAAAGTTCAGGAGGCCATTGTTCGGCAGTCTTGCTGATGTTGGAGCCTTCAATAGGTCGATGTTGATGGTCTTTTCCACAACGTCGTTGAAGTCGGAGTTTCATCCATTCAGATGCAGTGAGAAGGCCAGTTGCCTTTTGAAGAGCAAGTCCTGTGCTGGGGTCTCGAAGTCCATATTGGCACTGGTCAATGTGCATCAGTTCCAAGTGCTCGCCGGTCAGGGCATTCTCCGGGTTCTCGGCCATGAGGTCGTCGATGCACTTGAGCTCCCATAGAAGTCCATAGTACGGGCTCTCCAGGATCACTTCTCGACCTTTGCCAAGTCGGTCCTTGATCAAGTTGACGATCCATTGGATCACAGGGTACCATTTCTTCCGATCTTCCAAGATCTTGGCTTGAGTTTCTCCTCCACGTGCCAAGTTGATCCGTTGCATGGTGCTCCATGGTCCACAAATGGGCGCAAGGCTCAAAAGAAATGGATCTTCCACCTGAATTCTTCGTTCAACTTCAGCTCGATGTGCAGGCTTCAGGAGGTCATAGTTGTAGAGGCAGTCAATGGGTTCGGACACAGGCAATCCCCAGGAAGCGGCCATCCAAGTCAAAGTAGCAGCTCCTGCGAAGATCTCCATGAGGAAAGTGCCACAGCCACGGCTCAAAAGCCGTCGAGAAGCTCCAGGTTTGATTGGCTTCTCTGATCTCAAAGTAGACCACAAAGCTGCGTCCTCCTTCTCCAGTCTCCAAAGATTGCTGCAGCTTCTTCTTCTGGCCCTTTGTCATGGCCTTGATGGAACACTCCTCCAAGGAAAGATAGCCCAGCGTGTCCTCCTCTTCAATCTCAGCTTTTGGTGAGTCGCCGTCGTTGGTGGATTCCTCCTCGGTGTCCACATACACAGGAGTCTCGTTCACGTCAGAGTGGAAGACGTAGTCTCCTTCTCGATGTTCACCAGGAAGAAGTCGAAGAGCAGGTAGTCCACCGCGGTTGATCACCTCCAAATCTCCATTCATAGTCTTGCTGTAGATGTTGACATCCTCGTCATGGTCGCCCAAGTCGATGGTGAGGCCAAGTGCTCGTTGTGCACGTGTGCTCAACAGAAGTGGGGCATCGCTCTCCTCCAGCTCCGTTGAGACAATTGTTCCATGTCCTTCTCCACCATCCTTCAGCTGGAAGACCACAGGAATACGTCGCTGTCCCTTCACCTTGATCTTTCCACCAACTCCCAAGTAGTTGCCGGTGGTCTGCTCCAAGGGGATGTCGAGGTTCATCATCTTCTGGTAGGAGTCGAACCACCTTGATCCATGGCAGGTGTTGTTGCAGCCAGTGTCAATGACTGCAAGCATGCTGTCTTCAGGTAGTCCTTCTCCATGTATGGCCATAAAGGAAGCATCACCTTGGCGCTGATCCATCAAGATGAGGTAGCGGGCAAATTCAATCAGGCTTGGTTCTCTGAGTCCACCAGTCTGGTACTTCTGGACGATGAAGGCGCAGTAGCGTCGGTCACCACTTCTGACAATTCCAAATCGGACTCCACTATGCGCACCACTCTTGAGTGTCTCATCTTCCCATTGCTCCAGCTCCTCGGCCTTGACATCTCGTGCCACATAGGAAGAACTGCTTGCCACAGAAGTCCTTGATGGCGTCGGTGAAGGCGGCGCCGATGAAGCGGTTGATCTTGGTCGCGGTGGTGAAGTCGGAGTCACTGTCGTCGGAGAAAATCGGTGGGATGTAGTTCCAGATCTTGACATCGATGCCGTCGGGTCAAAGCTGGTGCCATAGACTCGATTCCGGCACTTGTTGTAGATCACATCCAACTGCTCCGCACCGATGGGATTTTGGTTCGTCAGGTCATACTGGACACCGATGGCAATCTGCATGAGTTCGATCACACGGCCTGGTTCATCAGTGGCATGCGGTGAAGCCGGACTGGGAGTGTAGCCAGAGCTTGACATAGGAGGCAACGACGGTGGCGTCGACGTGTCATAAGCTCTCCAAGCAGCTTCTCCAGTCTGTCCAGGTTGCTTGTGGCCAGTCCTGGATTCTCCACAGTCCTTGCATGTCCACTTCCAGCTCGTGCCAGTAGTCCCACGGAAATCCTTTCTCACATGCGGGCATTCATTCCGATCTCTTGTCTCCATGGAAGCGGCAGCTTCTCTTGCTTCAGACTTCAGCAGCTTTCCACAGTCCAAGCACTTCTCACGCTGAATGTGGGCATTCGATCCTTGCTTCGTAGTTCTCTTGTGCTCACATTCACGTTCAGCAGGTCCAGAAGGCGGTGTAGAGAAAACCTCAGCAGATGTAGATCTTGCAGTGGGCGTTGGGCTCGTCGCTGCAGGTGTTGGCATTCTCATTGGTGTAGCCGGTGCAGGTTGTAGAGCAACTTGCTGTCCAAAGGCAGTGAAGGGAGGCGTCATGTCGTCGTAGTCCATGTCATCCTCAGGAACTGGCACCAAGTGCTCGGCTGCACGGTGATGCACAAGCTGCATATCCGGTGGCAGTTCATGAGGGTGAAGAGCAGCAGGTTGGGCAACAGCTTGATGAGGTACTCCACCATGTACAGGTAGTTCAGGAAGTCCACCAGGAAGAGCATGAGGGTTGGTCGCGGCAGCAGCTGCAGCCAATTGCCTTGCATGATGTTCTGCAAGAGCTTGATCCAACATCTCATCAGCAGTCAGCTCTCGTCCACCAGGTGTAGGGTTGACAGCCATGTAGGACTCCGCATTCTCCGATCCATCACCATTGTAGCCAGTGTACTCATTCACAGTGAAGTAGACCATGCGGGGCTTCGGAGATCCTTTTCCAGGGCTTTTGCCACCTTTCGGACTTCCACCTCCAGAAGAAGTCGGTGAAGTAGGTCCAGCTCCCTTGCCATAACCTTGTCGGTTCTTCGGACAAACAGCATCCGTAGACCAATGGCCTGTCTGTCCACATCGGCGACAGACAGTTCGCTTCTTCAAAGCTTCGATTCTTGCCTTCTTCTCATCGTTGGTCATACGGCTTTTGCCTTTGCCTTTGCTCTTGCCCTTGTCCACGAATCCTCCAAATCCAGCAAGTCCTGCATGTTGTGCTCGCTTGTGGGCGAAGTAGATCTCACCTTCAGCTTGGATGATCTCGGCGGCATAGTCCAGGGCCTCGGTGTTGTGCTCGTCCAAGCCATACTCCACAAGGTTGGCATAGGAGTCGATGTAGGGATCCGCATCGTCGTAGTGCTCCTCAGAGTTGTAGGTCTCCCCATCATAGGTGCTCATCGTCGATCCATAGTAGCTGGATTGGGCCTCATCCTCATAGCCACCCAGCGATTGCGATGAGTTGTCCCATGATTCTCCATGCCATTCTCCATCATCTTCAGCGTGGTATGACTGCCAGGGTTTCTGCAATCGAGAGGGGTAGCGATTGCCTTTTCCACGTCCTCGTCCATGACTGAAGTCACCACCACGTCTCGCCTCGATCTCGTGGATGCGGCTGTGCTGAGCGATCAACTCATCCATGACGGAGTTGACCGTGATTCGTCCTTGAAGTGCAGTGCGGATCATCAGCTGATGATCATAGTTCAGCCCAGCGCACACCAGAGTCTGCTCGGCCAACAGGTTGTCGGGCAGCTGCAGGGAGTCGTCAAGGTCGCGCAGCATGGCATACCAAGTCCGTCTCCTCAGGCAGAAAGACGTCATAGATTCAGTGGGTTGCCTAGACAACACACCGTTGGTCTGAGCTCCAGCGTTGTAGAGCTCTCGAGCTTCTTGATCTCGTCGAGGCTTGAAGGCTTTGTAGAGCGTGTCCACCAGCAAGGTCGGTCCATCGTCAGTTGCCAGCTTCTTCACATCTAGTCCTGTGGCGACTTGTAGAGCTTGTCCACGAAGTCCTTCAATCAACCTCAAGCCTAATGGCCCGAGTTTCTTGGCTTCTGTCTGGTCCATGGCAGCTGTACGGGCTTCCATCATTTTCACCCGGAAGCTGTACTCGGCCAACTTCGCCGCCTCGCCGTCATAGCGTGGCACGCCATTCTTCCCCTCAGTTCCAACCAGGTCGTCGGAGGTCTGGTTGAAGTTGCGCCAATGAAGGCATTCCAAAGCAGACATGGCTTCGGAACCGTGACCTAAGGTCAGTGCAAGTTGTTTTGGGGCCCACCTAGCAAACCGGTCAGTCAACCAACGTTGCCAACAGGAAACCAAATGTCCCCAGGAGCCGACGCTCCGCTGCCAGTTTGAGAATGACAGCCCCCAAACAAGAAAGGTTACTTGCTTGGTGTCCATGTGCAGCGGCCGCTCTTTGTTGCTGCGTCCGCTTGAGCCATTCGGCGTTCGAACGGCGGCATGATTGATTGAACCCAGCTGTGCACGGCAGTCAATTGGTTTGATCACCTATGTTGACCTGGATGTCACCTTCAATTTCACAATTTTAACGAGCCCGAAGCCTGCTATAATTCAGCAATCAAATCTTGTACCTCGGAGCAGTCTCCAACAGCACCTGGATGTCCCCAGCAAACAACCGATCCATCAGCCAATGAGGCAGCAAATGCACCACTTGATGCCTGAACCTGCTTGACACTTTTCAGCTGATCTTCAACTTCAGAGCTGTCTCCACCCAAACCTGGATTTCCCCAGCAAACAACCGATCCATCAGCCAGGACAGCAGCAAATGCACCACTTGATGCCTGAACCTGCTTGGCACTTTTCAGCTGATCTCGGACTGAAGAGCTGTCTCCACCCAAACCTGGATTTCCCCAGCAAACAACCGATCCATCAGCCAGGACAGCAGCAAATGCACCACTTGATGCTTGAACCTGCTTGACACTTTTCAGCTGATCTCGGACTGAAGAGCTGTCACCACCCAAACCTGGATTTCCCCAGCAAACAACCGATCCATCAGCCAGGACAGCAGCAAATGCACCACTTGATGCCTGAACCTGCTTGACACTTTTCAGCTGATCTCGGACTGAAGAGCTGTCACCACCCAAACCTGGATTTCCCCAGCAAACAACCGATCCGTCAGCCAGGACAGCAGCAAATGCACCACTTGATGCCTGAACCTGCTTGACACTTTTCAGCTGATCTCGGACTGAAGAGCTGTCACCACCACGAAAAGGATTGCCCCAAGTCACAACGGATCCATCAGCCAGGATCGCAGCAAATGCGGCATCTGACGCCTGAACCTTCTGCACGCTGTTGAGCTGATGTTGTACGGTAGAGCTGTCACCGCCCTCTGTTGCATCTCCCCATGTAACAACAGATCCATCTGCCAAAATAGCCGCGAAGGCTCTATCTGTGGCAGCAATTTGTTGGACTTTCTTGAGCTGATCTTGGACTGTGGAGCTGTCACCACCAGCATCTGGGTCGCCCCAGGTAACCACAGATCCATCTTCCAGGATCGCAGCGAAAGCAGCTCTAGTCGCTTTGATTTCTTGTACGCTCCTGAACTGATCTTGGACTTCAGAACTGTCACCGCCATGATTTTCATGGCCCCATGTGATGACTGTGTCACCACCACAGCACCACATGGCAAACGCCCTATTTGTCGCCGCGAGCTTTGCGCGTTGCACAACAGCTGTGACATGGTCTCCATCTTGAAGACCGGCTGCTAGCAGAGATTGCTGCGGATCCAAAAGAACCGTCCCCATGGCAGTGACAAGCCGCAACAAACCTTGCCCGAAAGATTTCTGGGCCAAACGCTTCAAATCCCCAACTTTGGAGGACTCATCGAATTCAAGAGCCTTTCTCTTTCCACTTGGCAAAGCGATGTTTAAACGCAACATCTGCCACAAGAAAACACCTACAAGGTGACGCTCCCCAATTAATCCAGTTGGTCTATAAACCCATTAGCTATGGGTTTATCATGTTATATCACCCATAATCCATATTACCCAAACTGTAAGTCAACTTAGTTATCCCCAAACCTACTTATAAACCCTCAGACACCCTAGTTAAACAAGTTCATAAGTCTACTTAGTTAAACTTAGTTATCGTAAACGGGGGCCGCACCTTACACACCAACTCCGCTTTAGATCAGCATCTTGAGCCAAACGGTCCATGGTGTTTCACTGTTTCACCAGATTGGTTCCACTGGGGTCTATATTCAACCCCAAACTGACTCAGAGATTGGTTCCACTGGGTCATATTCCATGTCGCCCCCTTTCCAACCGGTCAAGGAGAAAAAAAACACATGACTAATGTCCGGCAGGACTTCACGAAAGAGACTGGTTGGTTTGTACGTCGTTATCATTTAGCCACAAAAATGGTTTCTTTGGTATCTCAAAAATAGCCACGTCTAGATAGCACCATTTTTTGACCCGTCCCATCCCATCCCCATGATGCTAGTTGCCCAAGGGATCTTCCGCATCACTGGAGGTTACTTTTTGCGTGCCATGGTCATGGTATATGGATGTTTTTTGTGGGTGATATATGGTTATGTAATGTTATATAGTCATCCTCGGGGAATGGTAACATCATGGGTAATTATCATTAATTAATAGTATCTATATCCCCGATGGATTCCATATGCCATCTCTTCTATGGGAAAGTGTTTCACATGTTTTGACCATGGCACATATCTTGATCTGTTCAAATGGCATTCACTGAGGATCCAGACAGGTCACGTACTGCTTCACTGGCATGCCTTGAAGGACAAAAAAACATCGGTGACTTGTTAGAACATCGCAGACATATTATGTGTAATATCACATATATATATATTAAACAAATATAATATATAGCCATTAATAAAACAATTTCTAATTCAGATTATGTATATATGCATTAATGATGGAAACCAAATGCCATAAACCTACCATGACTGGGGATGGTATGAACCCTCCAACAAACATGGTGGGATTGGATTCAGAACCATCCCATCAATCACAATCCATATTCAACATCAATATTCATTGTGTGTGACTGACATGGAAGAATAAGCCCGAAAATTACATATATCTTTGGATACATTTAGTGTATATTAATGTTTAAATGGGAATATGATGATTAAAGTGTGGATTTGGGGCCAATGTGCCCCATTTCTGGATGAACCCAAGTTAAAAGGTGAAGCTTTGCCTGGCGGCTTTCAGGCGCTTTTTTTCTTCGATCTTCAAGAATTACCCGCTGTTTATTTAACTTAGCCATGGAAAGCTGCCCATTTATATATATATATATATATGTATATATATATATATGTATATATATATATAGATCATTTATCATGGTTTATCATGATTTACCTGGTAAAAATGGTGATGTTCCAGTTCCCCCACGGTTTCAGAAAAGCTAATCGGCCAATCCGAATCCGATGCTCCAGGAGTTTGAATCAAAGTCTTAAGGGGTGGAGATGGCTGCGAGACTGGGAACCCTGGGAACCCTGGGAACCCTGGGAACCCTGGGAACCCTGGGAACCCTGGGAACCCTCTGGGAACCATGGGAACCCCGTGGCGCGTGGCTCCGCAGATGTTTTTCATGTGGTTCAACATATTTCCAATGGAACAATGGAGTGACCAAAATAAATGGAAAAGACGATTATGTGAGGCTGGATTGACTATCTGTAACCTGCCATTCTGCCAAAGAACTTTTGTGAATATAGATATCCCGTGCAAACCCGACTGACCACATGATACCGGACCATAGTAAGTACACCAATAAAAACACCACCGAACTCCCACAGCATGTCTTGGAAAGGTTTCCCACAGGTGACCCAAAATAGTACGGGCATTTGTTCAGGGCTTAAGGGCTTATGAGCCACGATTTTTTCAGTTACCCTCAGGTGAACTTACAAAAAGCTATGGAAAATCACCATCTTTAATAGGTAAATCAACGAACTAAATGGGCCATTTTCAATAGCTATGTAACCAATTACCAGAGGGTATAATCAATGGCAATTTCAGGAACCTAAATTGGAGGTACCTACCTTTATTTAAGGCCTAATTTTCAGGGGAATATCCCCAGAAAATATGGCCAGAAATATGGTACGTTTACGTACCTCCATCTGTTGGCAAATCTCAACCACCGATTTTGGGCGGCTGTCAGCTGATGCTGATGGTGATGATATTAGTGATGATCTGAGGCCAAACATCACCAAGGATACATTTTGTTGTCCTTCTTGGGGCTGCTGTTCCACTAATAAAAGGACTATATTTCACCATGCAGGGACCCCATATCCCCATATCCCAACTTCTGGAGCTTAAAATCTCATATTTATCCATATTTTATTATCATTTATTATCTATATATAGCATTATACAGTTATAGTTACCCTCTGGTAATTTAACGTAGCTATTGAAAATGACCATAGAAATAGTGGATTTTCCCATTAAACATTGTGATTTTCCAATGTTATGTTAGTTTACCAGAGGGTATACTGTTATGCCATGTTCTTTCCACCCCGGTTCTGCACCGTCCCAGCCGTATCTTCACCCTGAAAAATCACTGAGGCCAGGGCGTTCCATATCTGTGCCCCACCTCGGCGTTTTCGCTCAATTTACCATCTGGTTGTGACTAACATAGCCATGGAAAATCACCATTTTTAATAGGAAAACTATGGAAAATCACCATTTTTAATGGGAAAACTATGGAAAATCACCATTTTTAATGGGAAAACTATGGAAAATCACCTTTTTTAATAGCTAAGCCATCTATAAATGGGCCATCTATACCATGGCTATGTTAAATAACCATATGGTAAATATATCATCCCTCCTCAAATGAAAAACACAAACAAAATCAAACAAACAAAACCCCTGAAAATTAATGAATCTATATGAAACTATATATGTATTTGTTACTTTTGGGGGTCCCCTATTTGGGATCTATCATGATCTATCCCATAGGAAGTGCGAAGTATCAACCGATTCGTTCAGAAACGTTAATCAATCTTTGTTTACGCACCACTTTCAAAAGCTCTGGTGGGAGCATCCCTACTCCTGACGAAACAGTCTCAGTTCCCGGTTTCTCAAAATCTAGAGCACCATTTCGATATATTTCAATTGTTTACCACATGGAAATTTATCTTTTTCTTGGGGGCAGGTTGGATTTATAGACTTGAGTCCTTCTCAAATGATTTGGGATCTGGTTGGTGGTTTCAACCCCTCTGCAAAATTTTAGTCAGTTGGGATGATGACATTCCCAATATATGGAAAAATAAAAGTCATGTTCCAAACCACCAACCAGATTTATTGTTATTCCAATTATTAACCATTATTAACCATAGATTAACCATATAGATTAACCACCAACCAGCCATTAATATGCCAGTAATATTCCATTACCAGTGATTGGTTCTGTGACTTTTGGATCTGATGAAAAAATTCATCACCGTTGTGAGCTGAGGCGATCAAAGCCATCGGACCGATGAGCTCCGTGCGTTCGGAATTGGCCCGTGCCCTCACACATTTGACCTGGCGCATGACGAGGGCTCAGCCGGAATCGTGGGGGGAAACAAAACACACAAGGTGAGGCCCCCGATGTAAGTTGTTTTGAAAACACCATTCAGTACACTTAGATCCCCTATTTACATCTATTTACCCTAAACAAGTTATAAATGAACTTAGCTATCTGAGACTTACGTTGTGCATACGTGTAGTGCAGCTATCCTCTTCCGTCAGTGATATCCAGTTATTAAATAGCCTAAAATAACATACTATATATGTGTATATTATATATAACGATGTATATACATAATACTGTACATATAATATATATTATATATGGGTGGTTGAGCCACCCTTGAAACAGATCATTACTAGTCATTGGGGATTACTATTCCGTTTCTAGAGTTAAAGATGAACAACGTTTGAAACCACCAACCAGTATAGTATATTCCCCTTGTATCATTGATATCCACGTAATCTCGACATCCAAATGGAATGTATGGGAAGAACAAATTCAGATCTTTTTCATCAGCCAAACTCTGTGAAAAACTGAGAAATCTATGCCCAAACAGCTATGAAGTGAGGCCTGGTATCCTCCAGATCAACAGCCGGTCGTCAACAAAAACTCCAAATGGACATGACGTTTTTCAGTCGGCCAGCTTGAATCGTCCTGGGGGCACCAAAGCAACAGATTTGTGGTTTGTTCTAATCGCCAATTCTATGTATATACTTAATATTACTTACCCTCTGGTAATTTAACATAGCTATTGAAAATGACCATTTATAGTGGATTTTCCCATTGAAAATGGTGATTTTCCATAGCTATGTTAAATTACCAGAGGGTACTCCATTGGTAAAGCCACACGTATAGCTCAAAGCTAAGCCGCTAAGCCTTGACCCAATTGAACATCAGCTACAATCAGCTACGGCTGAACATGACGTAATCCATTCATTCATATTCATTCCCCATACCCTCTGGTAATTTAACGTAGCTATTGAAAATGACCATAGAAATAGTGGATTTTCCTATATTAAAAAATGGTGATTTTCCATAGTTATGTTAGTTTACCAGAGGGTATTTCCCCTTTTTGTTGGAGGTTTCCTAATGGCTGGGGGAGTTATCATCCAGTCGTCATGGATGCCCATGGACTTGGAGATTCCCCACAAAAGTTGTCCATGACTCAGCCCTGCCCCACTAGGCTCCACTGGGTGCCCTGAACAGCCAACCAAGCCAGTCGAATCCTAGGCATGGGTCTCAATTCATCCAAAATCACTAAAGTATTCAGTATGAAATGGATGATACACCCACCAATATATTATATGAATGGATGTATGATACTATAGTCATCTATTATATGAATGGATGTTTCTATCCTGACTATGAATATGATACACCCAACAAACAAGGCTTCTTCCCTGCAAGTGCTTTAGATTTGCTTGTGGTTTCAGTTTTCAGAAACCACCTAAAGGTGGCTCAATGTGTTCCAAAATGATGCTCTCACAGAACAACAAACCAACTGTTGGGTGATTTGGAAACCTAGTCCTGGGTGCACCAATGTTATCTGGTTTCCACCTAGCCCCAATCAGCCCATGTGAGGATATGGAACGTACAGTGATACGTTGACAAGGACCAACTGCAGGGCTAAGCACCTCAAAAAATCATCATTTCAGATCCATAAGTGGCCTAACTATGGTTTATGGTAGATATATATATAACATTATATAACGAGCTAATTGATGGGGTTTATAAACCAACTTATAACTGGGGGGCACATGGGGGCACCATCCGCCTGTATCCACAGTGGGATAAGACATGCAACATGTATTCGAAACATGGCTCACGAAGGAACTGTCAACTGCTGGCCTCGCGACAACTGTGAGTTTTGTGATATACGACTCATATGACTTTGACAGCTGCAAGTCCCTCCTCTGGATATATTATGGCTTTAATCCTGACGTTTCGTAAACAAACTACCCAAATTCGCCATTTTGATCCATTTTGTGGATGAACATGATGACAATCTCATCTGAATGGATCAATCATGATACATATTATACATGTGGGTTATTGGCGTTGTCTGCCATAAAAATGATATAATTTAGGGGTATATGCCATTTTCAGACATATCTCCATATCATTGGTCAAATCACCATTTTGTCCGGGTGAACAACTATTTCACTGCTGAAATCATGGCAATTCATGGCAATTCATGACAATTCCATATATCATCATAAATTCATCATATATCACATCAATCACATCAATATCACATCTTCCACCATGTTCTTAAATCGTATATCATATATCATGTGGCTGAAATCAGTTGCGGGCCCTCCCTGGCACCCCATTTTGGCACACCGACGCACTCGGTGCACCCAGTGGTGGAACGTTTCAGGTTCAACTGGCGCCGTCCGGAGGAAATCGCTCGGAAACTGCTGGGGATGTTGATGGATTTGTTTGTGTTTTGGACCTTTTTGGACCATTTTTGACCCATTTTTTTTATTTTGGATGTTATGTGTTTGCATGTTTTGCGCTTCTCGCATTTGTTTGCATGTTTACTGTGTTTTGTTTTGTGATTGGTTGATGTCTTTCCTGATTTGTTCAACGCATTGGTGGGGCTTGGTGCCAAGGGTTTGATTCAGGGGTGGAACCAACCTGGGTAGTTGCAAAATTTTATTCCGCTTCGAAAACATGGCAGTGGAAATCAGCTTTTCAAAATGTTTCAAAGCTGAATTGTACATGGTCAGAATGCCAGAGCTTTTCAAAGAAAATAAATCCTCCAAACCGCGGCTACGAGGGGAATCAGGACGATGTAACTTCCACTCCAGATTTGGATTGCTCTTCACGACATGACCCTCTGTTCATTTGGCCAGGATATGGGGGGAATGACCCCCCAATCTGGGGGGAATGTAATCCATTCACCAGCCACCGTTTTTTACGCAAAGCCATCTGGGGTCTTCATACCATGGTTTAATAGAAAATTGCAATTTTGCGGACCCGTTTTTTGGACAAAGTCAGGTGAACTCATATTTCATTGTTGGTTGTAGCTATTCCCATTATATATATATGTATAACTCAAAAAATGACTCAGAAAATGTCCCCACAAAATGCTTGGTTTTATATATGGTTTTCTCTAATAATAGGGTACCCCTCAAATGATGGTTTACCATCATGTTCCCGATTGACTTGGCCGTTTCATTGGGTGTACCCCATTCTCAGACACACCTAAAAATCTGTTGGTTAATCCCTATGCTTCCATCATATTCCCATCATATTTTCAGACAAACCACAATTGTTGCTTTTATCTCACCATTACCCTCTGGTAAACTAACATAGCTATTGAAAATGGCCATTTTTAATGGGAAAACTCACTATAAATGGCCATTTTCAATAGCTATGTTAAATTACCAGAGGGTAAATCCCAACATTGATGAACCCGCCCAAATCATCAACTTCCTCACGAACTTCCGGATTGATCCGCACCCGGCCCCCGCAACCGGCCCCCGAAAAAACGGCCAACCGCACCACTTCGTAGTCTGCAAAGGCCGCCCCTCCGCCACAGGCCTGAGGATCATCCAATGGCCAGTGATAATTAAGCATGGATAATCAGGTGATTATGATGAAGATTGGTGGATTATCCATGGTTTTTTTGAACCATAAAATATTTCTATGGATATAGATTGGAAAAACACCCATGGATAAGCCAACAATATGGGACTTAGTAGGGTTGCATTCACCACTTACAAATCTTCCTAAAAGAAGGTGGGATCATCCTCCAATTGGCACCCTGGTGAACGCCAACTGCGTAAGAATGGAGGTTCATCAGTTCATCAATTCATCCCCTCCATATATTTGGCATAATGATGCATAATAGTATATATATAACTGTATATATATATATAGTAGGTTCTGATCATTCTGGGAAAAATGAATGCATATGATGGAACATATACCCCAACATGACGTATGTTCTGACAAACCCACTGCATAACTGGGTAATGAGCAACAAACATGAAGAAACAACTTTTCAAAACACATTGGTTTGATGATATGTATCAACAAAAACCTGCAACCATAATTAGATGGACCATAGATGATGAGAACTGAACTGCACTGGGGAAACATCCCATTGTATAGTAAGCTTGACCTATGAGTTCCCCCCTTATCAATGGGATAACCCCACATAGGGGACTTACTGAGATTGCTAATGGCCGCAAGTGATGGACCCCCAGTTCCCAACGTGTTCCATATATATATATATATGTGTATATATATATATACATATATATATATATATTAATATGTATATATATATATATATTAACATGTATATATATATATATGTATATATGTATATATGTGTATGTATGTGTATATAAATGTAAATATATACATATTTCACTCCCATAAGAAACCTCCTTCTCCTCCACTTTCAGACAGCTTTATATCCCCATGTTTATTGGTTTTGCACAGAAATTTTGTTGGCAAAATCCCATTCAATCATATGGGGGGTTCTTAAAATGGGAGATCCCCAGTCCCAAAAAGGCTTAACCTATACTAAGTCACTGTCGGCCCATGACTTGGATGATGTGGGGGCACCCCCAAGACATAGGAAACCACAAAATTCAACTCTCAGCATCCCATAGAATCCCAAGGGTTGTTGGCGCCCCGGCCGAACACACGGCGGCAGAGAGACCCAGTGCGGCACGACGCTGCACCTTGGTGACGCGCGTTAGTTGTGGTTGGGTGAGGTACTTGGGGGTACAGTTGAGGTTACAAATGAAGCATAGTCTGGTTGGTGGTATACCTACCCCTCTGACAAATATGAAAGTCAGTTGGAATTAGTATTCCCAATATATGGGTATGGATCAATACCTATTAATACCATTTTTAGTGGGATGAACATCCATTTACCAGCTATTTTGGGGTTCACTAGGTACCAGGGTTTTGACCCATCCCCATATGGAAAATAAAACATGTTCCAAAGCACCAACCAGTAGTCAGGAGTGATTTCACCCCCATAACTTGGGTTATACCTCCTATAACTATGGTGACATATAGAATCGACTGGATCATTGCATCTGCACCAAGTAAGGAATGTCAATACAGCAGTGCAGTGAGCGGACTACTTTTGTGAAACCAAACTAAGTAATGGACTAATCCTAACTTGACATTAATTGATAATTGCATACATTGGCACCACTAACACAATCCAAGAAGATCATGAGACATATGTTATAACATTATACAATCAACAATATGGGGATATAATAAGGGTACAATTCTTGGGATCTCTGACAAAGAATTGGGATTTTTACATGATTTTACCAGTGAATAAAGGACATGGATGTGTCTAAAATAAGGCGTGTCGAGGTATACCAGGTATACGCCCCAATTGTGTGGCTATGTTAATGGGCAAAATGATAAGAAACCCTTGGATTTGGGAAACGCATTTTCAGAGCTGCATGGGAAAACAAGAGAAACCCATGGGCGTTGACCAATCGAATTCATTTTGTATTTCAATGTATTTCATAAGGGCTTTCGGAAAATGAATTGTGGTAAACTCAATCAACATGACGAACCCTCCAAAAACAAAATCAGGCTGCGCGGGTGAGTACGTAATGCTACTTTTTAGGTGATTACTAGAAACATCATGAAACATCTGGGTTTGTCTGAAAATAGGGTATATTCCCAATTATAGCCATTTCATAGGGATAATGATCATTCACCATTGGGTTTAGGGCTACACTATTTTCAGACACACCCATATAGTAAAACCAACCCCAAGTGTAGTTGTTGGGAGTATCACACTGGGCAAAAACCAAACATGGGAGTCATGGGAGCATGCCTCCAACTTCTGGTGTCCACCATGGGATCGAGTGGGATACTGCTGGTAGGCCAAATGCGCCCATAGCAATCCCATCATGGAGAAGATCTTCTATGTGGTAACTAGCCATATGGTAGACCTCTAGCTCTTACCCTCTGGTAATGACTAACATAGCTATTGAAAATGGCCATGGATTTTCCCATTAAAAATGGTGATTTTCCATAGTTATGTTAGTTTACCAGAGGGTAAGTGTGGCTCCAAAATGAGTTTCTTGACGAACTGTCCATTGGATCTGGGTTGTACCTTCATTGTTCTGGATCACTTCAATTTTCCTTCGAAGCCGTGAGGATAGAAACGCGCGAGTAGATCTTCATCATTTGCTGAGTAAAATCCCCAGTCGCTGGTTAAAGTTACCCTCTGGTAAACTAACATAGCTATGGAAAATCACCATTTTTAATAGGTAAACCATCTATAAATGGGCCATTCTCCATGGCTATGTTAAATTACCAGATGGTAAATGTCATTGGTGATACTTAGATCCCAAGTCTCGGCCTGTGAACTCCATCTGACTCGACTGGAAGGAACTCTACCCCAACAGATACTAGTTTCATTCATTTTTTTTTGTACGTTAAAGGCTTAAATCCCCTGTTTGCTTAACGCCTCTTCTATTCTTGGGGAAAGCATGCCAAAGTAACATAGACATGCAAAGTGCACCATTTGTAGATGGCCTTGTAGATGTGTGTTTCTCATGGACTCCCTGGCGCCACCATGGCTGGTCTATGACTTGGATGATACCTGGATAACTGGATCGATCAGAAAGCCTGAAAAAATGTCGCAGATCTAAACCCCGGGCCCCGGGCCTCTAGAAAGTTCTGGGCTTCGGCCTCCTGTGAGATGAAAAAAGGGGCGAAGGTGGCTGGTGATTTCACCATTGTGGGCTCACCAGCGAAAATGGTGATTTTTTTCCATGATCAAAGCTGACAAAAACGGCATAACCTGAGAGATCTGAACAATAATTATATTCAAGAATACCAGTAAGCTGTGATGAACTGCATGCAACCAGTGTTTTCCAAGCCATCGCCAAACATCTTGGGCTGTCGGTGGGTCAAGCCACTAGGGTCCCTGTTGAAAAAACAACAAATGGCTATCGCCGAATCCATGTCCGGCTGATGGTTTGTTCCTGAAAATGTAAAAACGGAACTACGAAACCAAGCACATCTGAGATCTTGGTATAACAGTTTATCTACTGATGGAGCCTCTGCTTTTTGCTGGTAGCATCCCATTTTTGGGTCAAATCATGTCACAGCACATTTCTTTCTTGGTTCAATCCTTCATAAAGTCCACCAAAATCCAAACGTTTAATCGGTTCGAGCAAACATCCGAATGTTTGGCTAGAAAAATCGGAACAAAATCACTGAAAACCGGTAAAATCCAGGAATAAAAATCCACTGCATCCCCTAAAAGCTCCAATTTTTGCTTGGTATCCAAGACTTTTTGGCAGCTAAAACATCTCCCAACATATCCCAAAACCATTCCACCACCGGACCTTCTCGTTCTCGGAAGCGCAGCGCGAGGCTTTCGCTCCACGGCGCACAGTGCGGCGCCGGGCGCCTACGACCTCGATTCGCCGAGTTGGTTTCAATCTAGGCTAATGATTGGGTTTATGGTAGATGTATACTATTATGTATTATGCATTTTTATAAAACTATTATATAACATTATATACATCTATATTATAAGGTTGGATTTATGGAGCTATAATCTAATATTACGACTGGTAGATGGGCAGTTGATGAACTGGTGAGTTTTGGTGGGTTAATCAACGGATTTTTGAGGTAGCTAGGTATACTGCGTAGATGCGTATGTTCATAGATGGTTATCGTGTTGCAACATCTTTGTTTCTCCGTTTCTTGCTTCGGATTTGCTGAACCAACACTTGCTTGATCTACAGTGTAATCAATTCCTGTGGGGCTCTGCCATGAGCAGAAGACACACATCAACAATATGTTTTTGTGGTAATGACTGTTGTATCATGTTGCATCCCCGTTTATAAAATGATATCTCTGGCAGTATCATCTCGTTTCGAAAACATCTGTTACAAGTAGACACTGTTGAAAATTGCTGATACACTACCCAGCTTTTTCAGATCGACTTGGAATCGTTCTGTTGGCGGAGCGCTTTTCAAGCAACCAGCACAGCTGGAAAAGCACAGGTGGGCTCAACCCTGTCAGAGGACAGATGGACCCATCTTTCCGACGCAACTAGGCAACTATGCGACCATCGAAAGTCCAAATGGATGTGTTCATGAGACAAACGCCAACCACACTGGGTTTCATTGCCATCTTTTCTTGCTGTTAGACATATGAGTATCCACCTGCTTTGACTGCTTTTGTGTCATTCGTGCATGACCCATTCCATTGTTCAAACCCACATCATTGAAACCCATATCAAATTCATCAATATTCCACCTGTTGGTTGAATCCTCAAAAACAACAGCCTGTTTTTGATCCGCACCTGGATCTGATCGTTGTTACTGTAATCGCTGTATCTTCAGCGATACATCTGTTTCTTGTTTGAGATCCAAACTTTTTTGCTGGTCAAAACCCATCAAGTCCCAACTTTTCTTGATGAAATCACTCTATGTCGGTAAATCCCAGAGTCCGTGGATTAAACTTGTTTTAAGGGAAAATCTACAGGAAACATCAGGAAACCATAGATTTTCCCATTAAATATTGGCTTTTTCTGTAATTTTTCCCTTAAACCAATCCATTGATGGACACAAAAAAACAAGTTCGGCATGCTTTCACCAAATCCAAAGCAAGTGCCCTTTGGCGCATGGCGTTTGTGGTGTCAAGCTCAGTCGCAGTGGAAAATGTCAAATCATTGGCACGATCACGGACCACCAATTCAGTCTGATCGATGGAAATCTCTTTAGATGCCTTCTTCAAAGCAAGTTCACTACGTCGAGTCGCAAAGTTGTCCGGGGACAGGTAGACCAGCGAATCACGCTCCAACATGTTGAGAACTAAATATCATAGCTCTGGTGCGAGCATTCCTCTCCGCCCTTGAAGCGCAACCCCTCAAGGCGTGTTCTTTGATCTTTCAAGTGATTGTCTCTCACTATTCTTGTTTCCTTGGATGCACATACTTGATCGTGCAGGCAAACAAACTGGTAAGTCCAAAGTTGCGTGGTTTGCTGATCAAATATAACTCTTGCTGCGGGCCCGCCTTCGTAAATGTCCTGGCTTTTCAAACCCTGATTAAATATTTATATATATATATTTACAGGATTTGACAGGTGTCCTAAATGAGGAAACAACATCATTCAATCTCATCCAAAATCATGAAGACACCAAGGCTTTTGGGGCACCTCCATCCCTGACATCATCCCTTGGGCTACCGCTGCCGCCAGGGCTGAGCAAAAGGCCAGGGTCGCATGACCCAAGCCACGTGCGCCACGTGCGCCACGTGCCTGGGTCGAGGAACCCATCGCCAACGGATGGGCGTCTATCAACAAAAATATAACTGGACTTGGATATAAGTGGCTGAATTCTATGGTTTATGGTAGATATAACGAACTAGTTAATGGGGTTTAGACACCAACTTATAAGTGCGGGGCACCATCCTGTGTCAACAGAAACATACAAAAACCTAGATCTTTACTATCCAGATTTTAGAAGGGCTAGGGGCATCCATATTCCCAGCAAAAAATGGGGAACTAAGGAGCTACTAAGAGTTTCGCAGCTAAAAATGATAGTTCATCATTCAGAAATCTCCTAATGTCATATTCATAGCTTCAAAACATCAATCCCATGATGGATATTGTATTGAAAATTAGTATCTACGAACATATATTTATATATATAGATATATGTGTGGGATTGTTCATCAAAGGCAATTGGGATATTTGACTTGATTTAGCAAGATATTGAACCAAATGTGAGGTGAATTTTCAACATGATAATGCAATGCTAAATTCATGTTTCATTTCTTGATAGACACGGAACAAACAAGTGGCTATGGGGGGTTGCTGAATTGTGTGGATTCACACCTATGGCAACCTACCCATGGCGCTTTTTGGAGGTGCCCTTGAGTCTTCAAAGCTGCTGCAAAACCATATTACAGTAGTTGAATGGCAGCAACGACTTTTTAATCAGATATAATCAGATGTGACGTACAAATGAGGAGATGTCAAATTGTCAAGGAGTCTTTCGCGCCTGAACAAAACAAATCCAAGAAAACCTTAGTCTGAAAATCTTTTCTGGTTCGAGGAACTGTTCAGGGGCCCTTCTTGGTGTGGCCCTCCAGAGGACTCACTCAGCCTTTGCTCCGCCCAAGATCGACCTCCTTTAGATTCCTTTAGGTTTACCGGCCATGGCTCAAAAACGCGATTGATAATGAGGTGACGCCACCAATGCTTCGCAACGTCCGGTGGACCCCCGTGATTGGTGTGTCCATGGTGGCCGAACTGCGACTTCGAGGTTCCCTGCCCTGCCAACTTGCGAAACTTCTGACAGGTAAGCATCAAAGCATTTGAATCGCCTGATCTGCCATAGGTGTATCCTCAGTATTGCGACCATCCCAATAACAAAAGTAGGATTCCTTGTGACCCATCTGGCTGCTTATATCCCCATCCTCATTTCATCTATGGTTGAGGTACCGTGCAAAAGACTGGTTATTTTACCTGGTAATTTATCATGTGCGGCAAAAGACTCAAGCATTGAGCTACCCCTCCAAGGTTTCCCCACTTTGGGAGGTGGGATTGCATCTATATCTACATTTGGTGTCTGGATGTGTCTAGCTATAACATGCCATAACCACCCAATAATTATTTGAAAATCCAATTAATTCATATGTATTCGTGCATTACATGTTAATCATGTTACTAACCCCTCTGTTGTTGGTTATATGGCCATACATTTCGTGATTAGTTCGAAATCCCCATTCATATTACGTGGTGTCCCTATTGAACAAATCACATTATTATGCGTTAATAATGCTTTAATACAACCTTAATTAATCTGAATTTCTGTGGAATTCAAAACACATGTTTATCTTCTTGGAGTGCAGTTGGGGTTATTAGTGGGTCTTACTATTGTAAAGACCTCCAAAAGTTGGGATATAAACCCCTGCAACTATGGTGATATAACCACTTGTTAGTGGAACTGCACCCCCAAATTTGTTGCATATCTCCACTTGACCTTATCCCAAAACTCGTCAAACATCCCCAGCACGTCCCGCATGACACCTCGTCCGGACTTCGGACGAAGGACACCGACGTTGTCGCGGCGCTTCTCTGCGCCTGGCACGAGCCCGGAGCAGGGCTGGGATGGGTAGCTTATCAACTCTAAAATCGCCGCTGAAAATGGGATGGGTAGTTTGTCAAGTTCAAAATCGCCGCTGAAAATTGGGTTTGTCGGAAATTGGGGTGATATAGTCCCCCAAAAAAAACATTTCACATCATTATATAATTTAACATATTTGAAATCATGGCGGGAAATGATGATAAGCCATTCATATTGATCAGGGGATATTGGGGGTAGCCCATTTTCATAGCGGATGGAACCCCAAAAATCCAAGAGTATAGTGACCCAATCAGAATCGTCCAAGAGGAGAGGACAAAAAAAATGAGAAACAGTTCAAGTTGAGAAAATAATACGAGACAGAGTGCTGAAATACCCAACATATATCAACATTTGTTTTAACCCAACATATGTGTACACATATATATATATATATATATATATATCAACATTTTTGTTTATTCCGTACGGGAAGATATAAGCAAGACGTGCCATGGGAACAGCACATCCAATGCATCTTTCTCTTGATGAAGGGCACCTATGATTGATTGCAGGTAGCACGGCTTCGACCACTGCTACATAAAATTTGTAGTCAACCCTTGAGATATAGCAACCCCCAGTCATAGATAGACAAGTTGGAAACCTGGAAATGGTGGGGGACACATCCCCCAATTCACATCCTGCAATCCAACTCTTTCGCATCTTTTTGAACCCCTGATATCTTGCTCACCAAACAGATTGAACCGTGAAACAAAGGGAGAATGGGTAGCGAATTCCTGCACCACCTTTCCACCACCTTTCCACCACCTTTCCACCACCTTTCCACCACCTTTCCACCACCTTTCCACCACCTTTCCACCACCTTTCCACCACCTTTCCACCTTTTGAGAGAGAAAAACGTAATGCTACGCGCTGAATAAAACTCATCGCCATCTACTACCACTACAGCTACTGTTTTGTGGTTTCAACATGTCTCAACCCATCCTCCAAGTCATATTGGTTGCTGAGCGAATCATCCTGGGATGGAAAAACCATGAGGCAACCATCCTGTAGCATCTAGCTACTCTGGGTACATCTTTGATGCTCTTTGCTGGCTACATCAGGGCTAATGACTCATATATTTATATAACGAGCATGATTGAATCTTATCATCATTGACTATATAAGGAAATGTCATAATTATATTTTTGTTGGGACTCATTCATCATATACAATCACATATGTTATATTATGTTATGTTATAGTATTTGATATATATATATATATTACCCTTTGGCTATTTAACATAGCCATTGAAAATCAATATCTTTACTAGGTAAATAATCATAAATCATCTATTTTCATGGGCCATTTCCAATATTTATTAATAGCTACGTGAAAAATCACCAGAGGCCATATACCCTCTGGTAATTTAACATAGCTATAGAAAATCACAATTTTTAATGGGAAAATCCACTATTAATGGCCATTTTCAATAGCTACGTTAAATTACCAGAGGGTACTCCCGCAGAAAAATCCAACATTTTGCCAACTTCCGGCGCCTGGGCGACTGTCGACGCCACGGCGACTGGCCCCGCCTCGGGAAACCGTCGACGAGACAGTCTCGACCGATGTCCGAAGGTCGCGGGGATTTTTTGAGTGCTTTGTTATGGTGATTTACTGGTGGTTTAATGGGATCTAATTGATCTAATGGGATTTAATGGGATTTAATGGGATTTAATGGGATTTATCGTGATTTAGCCTCTGGTAAAACAGAACTATGGAAAATCACCATGCTGTTAATGTGTAAATTCACTATATATCAACCATGTTCAATAGCTATGTTTGTTTACCAGAGGGTATGGATCATTGATGGAAATTGAGTCTGTTACCATGATTCATGATCATTTATGGAAATTATTGGAAATGGATCATTTATGGATCATTGATGGTTAATTACAATAATTTAAAATTCACGGAGCTGAAGTAAAACCTACATTGGGACAATTCCCCTTACTAACTATCATTCCAGCGCGGTCGTAGTGAGGTCTTGGTAATTTACCATCTACCCAGATGATTTACCTCAAAATGATTTACCAAGATTTACTATACTGTTGATGAATGGAATGTTAAATACTGTTGATGAATGGAATGTTAAATTATCATTGAATTTGGTTGATTTATGGAGTTCACTCATGGAGGTTCGGGAGTTAAAACCAAATCAACCTCACAAAAAAATATAAGACTATAATACATAGCCATAGAAAATCCACGTTCTTTTGGAGGTAAAATCATCGAACCATGTTTGGGCCACGGCTTCCATAGTAGAGAGTATGTCTGAAATGACCAAGGGTTGTATGATATTATACGAGTTATAAATATTATACGAGTTATAATGAAATATTGAAATATGTCTAAAGTGCCCCCAGCAAAGAAAACTAGATCAAATTACAGCTGTGGGGCTGAAAATATGGGGATCTGTGCCGAGCCTTGAAGTTGGGGCGACTCCCAAAAAAACCAAGCATGAAAAACGGGTGGAGCTTCATACCCTGCAACTTGCAGAGTTTGGTATGATGAGATGATCAAATCTATCATAGTATGAGAGTTGCAATCCATTGGAGATGGACATGAAAAATGAGACAAGTTAGGATTGAAGGAAAGTCATCATGCCAAGCATCAGAGTGTGACTTTCTTTCAAACATGGTTTAGCAATCATCAGGATATATCCACAAATATCAGGAATATCTTCCAAATATGTTCGCAACCAAGGGCTTAAGAATACCAGTTGACCTACCGAGAGAGCGGGAAGCTTTTGACATCTGAAAACCACGGTCCAATCACCGAGGAAAAGTGATGCTGAACCCTGCACAATGGGGAAGTCATGGGATATCGTTGTAAGGAAGTGTTCGAAGGTCTAGGCGTTCATGGCTCATCTCCGAAAGTTTTAGCAAAGCAAGTTAGAGTATGTATATTTACGCGTATACATATCAACTCAATATCATATAAAATATATTAAATTAATAGTAATTATTATTTTTTCATAAATTCCAAAAACAATTATTCAAACTCATTTTCCTGCATTCAGGAACCATTCATCAAAGTTTAGCCACCATAGCCCAACGCGGGAAACATCCTTTTTGTCGCTGTGAAGAGATCCCGACTGCGATGAATTTTCTGTTCATCGAAAGCTGCATTTCTGAGGCATACCCCGTGTCCTGGAATCATCCAGAGCTTTTCATGCTCAGGAAAACATGGAAAAACAACATGGTTTCAGCTCAGTGTAGTCATCAACACTGGAATCATGACTACGAGTTGCGATAATTCAGGACACACATGAGATATGTTTCGTATAATGAATGTCAAACACCTGAGCAACATTCTTTACATTACAAATCTGGCGCAGGACGGCTTCTTGCAAAATGTATTTTTTTTTAATACAAGCCAGTAAAAAATATGTTCGACGACTTTGTGATAGTTGTCCCAGGTGGAGAACTGGTACATTTTTTCTTCACGCCCCAAGATGCAACAAGTGGCATACTCCAGTGATGTAAACGAATAGTTTTGCTACCGAAAATCTCCGGTTTTAATAGGTCAACCATCTATAATTGGTGGATTCTCGTGGATTTTCCAGGTATGTCAGTTGACCGGATGGTAGACAGGTTCTGAATCCCAGGCCACGGCTCAAGGATCTACCGCAACACCCTTAAATGGTGTCCAGCACTACAGGAAGGGCCCCCCCAAAGATGTTGGTTGGTTTCTGTTGGTTTCTGTTGGTTTCTGTTGGTTTATGTCAATGTCACCAGAAATTTCTATCAACCATTAATTGGAATCCAAAGGAATCCAACCGATATTGTACTTCTAAACCAACAGAAAACTATCGTTTGGGCACCCATGCAGGCCCCTTCCTGTAGCATCTGTAGCATCTGTAGCATCTGTAGCATCTGTAGCATCTGTAGCTATAGATATTCCAATTGTTCTTGAACTGCAGAGCTGTCTCCACCATAGGCCGCATGACCCCAGGTGACCACCGATCCATTCCGCAGGATTGCAACAAAGGCCCGATGCGAGGCGTGCACGAGACGCACGTCGATGAGCTGATGTTGGACCTGAGAACTATCGCCACCGCGGTCCTGAAGTCGGATTCAGAAACCCAAGGGGACCCGTTGCCCGTTGCGGAAACGAAGCTTCCGGTGAACTTTGTTCGAATTTGCGAAGAAAATGGATGAAAACTAGATGAAAATGGTTCGTTTTTCTAGATGATTTACCATGATTATACCTTAATCCTTGGGGGAACTGTTCTTAGCTATGATAGTTGACAGGGTATCACACAACGATTTTCCCATTGGATTCCCTATTTTTGCCATGGTCACACGGAATCAATGCGGCCCCTGCTTATCTACCAAGTGGGCCCTCCGTTGACGATTAATATAGCTAAGTTGGTGGCTAAATAACTCCAATTTCACCGTGGAATATGATACTTATATAAACTTCTATAACTTATAACATCTTAAAACATCTTGTAGCGATAGTATTCATGGGGTTGGTAATGTTTATAACCCGACGTTCACATGACTGCGGGGCCCCAAAAGTGTAGAAAATCACTGACTCGGCCACTCCAAGGTTCCGGATTGCCCCAAGTCACTATGAATCCATCTGCTCTCAGTGCAGCGAATGCACCTTCCGTGGCATGCACCTGCTGAACCTTCACTAGCTGATCTCGGACGTGTGAACTGTCACCACCGGAATCGCGGGAACCCCAAGTGACAACAGAACCACCTTCCAGGACAGCAGCGAATGAATCGCCTGAGGCCTTAATTTGCTGCACTTCCTGCAGCTGATGCTGGACTTGAGAGCTATCTCCGCCACAATCTCGATCGCCCCAAGTAACTACAGATCCATCTGCCAGGAGGGCAGCAAAGGCACTATTTGTGGTTGATATCTCTTGGACATTTGTCAACTGACCCTGAACACAGGAACTATCCCCCCCGAAGGCTGGATAGCCCCATGTCACAACCGAGCCGTCTCCAAGGATGGCGGCAAAGGCCATTGAGCCCTGCATTCGCTGCACATTCTTCAGCTCATCTTTCACTTCAGAGCTGTCTCCACCGAAAAATGGAGGGCCCCATGACACCACCGATCCATCACTCAAGATCGCAGCAAACGCTGCACGGGATCCCTGAACCAGCCGCACATTCCGCAAGTTGCCTTGGACCTGTGAACTGTCGCCGCCCACATCGGGATCACCCCAGGTCACTACTGATCCATCTGTCAAGATTGCGGCAAATGCGCCTCCTGTCGCTTGAATGTCCCGCACATTTTTCAGATTCACATTGGAGGAATCACCACCGAACTCCGAGTTGCCCCAGGTCACCACTGAACCATCTGCCAGCACGGCAGCAAAGGCGCGGTCCGAGGCCTGAAGTTGTTGAATCTTCAGCAACTGATCTTGAACTGCGGAGCTATCACCACCACAGTCGGGATCACCCCAGGTCACCAGCTTTCCACCGCCATTGCACCAGATCGCAAAGGCTCTGGCAGAGGCCATCACTGAAACTTCCAGGACGATGGCTGTCAAGTTGTCTCCATCTTTAATCCCTGCAGCCTGTAGGGACTCCTTAGGATCAGTCAAGACATGGCCATTTTCGGTGACCAGCCGGAGGAATCCCTGGTTGAAAGACTGCTTGGCCAAACTCCTCAAGTCGCCGACTTTGGAGGACGCTTCAAGGGAAAAGTGTTCAGCGCGGCCACTGGGCAAAGTGACATTGACTTGAATCATCGAACAAAACAAGTTGTCAATCCAAAAAATGTTGTTCAACATAAAGTATTTTGAGCCAAACTTCATTCCGAGTGTATCCATGTTATTTTTGTTGGCTTCGTGCTGTCCATCCGAAACACTTTTAGTCTCTGAGATACGATGAGATAACTCAAGTATTTGGGTCGACCCTTTACATTGTTTACGTGTATCTAGTGTATCCCATTTTGCTACATACACCTTTGATCGTCTTTGTACCAGGGCTGAACGCTTTTCAGGTTTGTTCTTGTTGCATCTCTCCTATACATGGCTATAAACATGATCCATCGATATCATTATCCTGGAAAACAAGCAACCTTTAGCTATAGCTAACAAGCAGACGCATCACGCCATACAGTTTGACAGGACCTTGAAAAAAACACCAACGGTCACCAACATCATGCAGCATCTCGACCCCAAAATGGCGAATCCAATGCAAAAAAATGCAAAAAACACCCGATTTTCAGACAGCATCCATCTATGCATCTCTGTCTAAAAGACAACAGTTGTGAAATGCTATGGTATAAATTGATATAAATATTTGTGACGTGACATGAAAAAGCTGCTTGTACTCAATGATGCCCCCAAAACTGTGTGTTTGCTGCTTGCGAATGTGCCACATACTTTCGATTAAACCCATGAAAAGATCACGCGAAGGGCCCAAAAGATCAGAACTGCTATGACCTTTGGATATGTGATGCATTTGCAGTTTTTAAATGTATAGGAACTTTGGATAGATAGATAGATAGAGATATATATATATATATATAAGAACCCACTGCCTGAGATATGTCATGGGATAGTTCAATGGTTTTTAAAAGCCTTTTTGCGCCCTGACAGCTGGGATACTCCCCTTCCCCACTCCACTTGTGACCATGGTTTTGCTCAAGCTGGATAGAAAATCCCAGCCAGGTATACCAGTTCTTGATGGTAGACTGATCTTTTTCTTGGTTGAGAACATGGTTCTTTGAATGAAAAACCTATTTCAGGTTAAGTCCATCTTTAAAGACAAAAAACAACACATTTTAGATGACGGTGTATGAAACCAATTTAAGTTGTTTGACATATGCATCTTTAAAACAACACTATTTTGATGGTTTATCCCGAACACATCACGTCAAATCTCTGGGTTCTCCCACAAGCGCCATGGCCAAAAATTCAACGCTGGCTGGAGCCCCAAAATTTGCTGCGGATGTTCCCAGCTAAACACCTGGAACAAAAGCGTGGATTGTAAATTCACGGAATGAGTCAGTTTATAAATTATATAGATATACATGGATATCTATAGATTTATCATTCATGGATGAACTACCTGGTAGGTTTGTAAATTCTATAAGTGTGATAACCCCCATGAACTATCCAATTCTATAGACATATGGGGCTTTCCGGCTTGAGCCCCATATGTCTACCAGTCGTCCAAAAACCTGATGGAATGATAGTTGAATGGTAAGTTGGGGATTAATGTCAACCCCGGATTAATAAACCATGGTTTAAAAAATTAGGGGGGTTCTCCTCCAGTAGTCATCTGATACTTCAATGTTACCCTCCCAATTAAACAGCCCAGGGGGTTATTCATCCAGGATTGACATTGGGGATGAATGATGAATGGAAAACCTATCCTTAAAGTTGTGGGTTTATATTTCTTCAATCGGTAATCGCGCAGTTTTTTATGTAATCCAATTCATGGATGGTGATTCCGATATGTTGGACAGATTCGGTAACCGTGCAACCGTGTAACCCCCAGAAAAAAAGGAAAACTCGCAACTAGCAGGAGTGTATTTCTCGCTGCTCAGATGGATTGGTTCCATGGTTTTGATACTGGATAATTCACAAACAAATATATGGAGGTTTCCTAAAATAGGGGTACCCCCAGTTCTCATCCATTTAAGTGGGATTTACCATCCAGCGAGCTTGGGGGTACCCTCATTTATGGAAAAATGGAAACCCCCATATGAATATTACCCTCTGGTAAACTAACATAACTATGGAAAATCACCATTTTCAATGGAAAAATCCACTATAAATGGTCATTTTCAGTAGCTATGTTAGTTTACCAGAGGGTAGGTTTTAGGATGCGTGTAATCAATTGGATAATCAAGGCTGATCATCATCCCAAATCGGCGACTCTCCGTAGAGGTCAGTTTTCCACGCTCAACGACGCACGCTCTCCGTGCAGGTCAGTTCATGCGAGTTCCAAACTCGCTTGGTTGATACCTCAGATGCATATCACGTGAGAAGCAGCCAGTGCTGGAAAGAAATGAGAGTATTTGTTCAAAATTGGAATATGTCCGAACATGTATGACTGGTTAGTGGATGTTAGTGGTATATCTACCCCTCTGAAAAATATGAAAGTCAGTTTTTTTGTCACTTTGTCGATGATTGCGAGTCTCGCAGTGACTGAAGCCCGCCTTTGCTTGCTTCATTCACAATATGAACAATCTACCCCATTTTTGGGGTCCATGGCTTGGTGAGATTTTGAATAGTCGAACCACCTGAACGTAGATACTGCCACAGCGCGTTTGATGTCCTGGGACCATCAACTAACACTGGGCGCATGTTGATTGCAAAGATGGGCTTTGCATACCCATACTCCCGGAGAGCACTCATTTTGAGAAACTGGTATTTACCGTCAAAACCAGAATTCTGTAACCACCATCTTAACATTTTAAGCCAAACATGAGTCTGTTGTCCCAAACGCAAATTGGCTGTGTCCGCACGTACACATTGATCCCTCAGTAGCCACTGACCCGGAAACCTGACGGGGACTTGCGTACCAGTCAGCAAGCTAAAGTCAATGTACAACTCAACAATACTTATATGTGACCCGGTAGTCCAAGCAAGCCTCTCCCACCATGATTTGACACGCAGTGCAAAAGTCTTGCCATACGGGCAACCTTCAAGCAAATCATCGCCCGGAGCACTGACAGCTTCAAAGGGACCATGCAAGTCCCACATGCTTTCAAAGGAAGGTTGTGCAATCACAGGTTTATCAACACGCTTGAGTGCAAAAAACCTATCATGCATTTCACACAAAAAATTGTGGTACTCGCCAATAGCTGCCGCTGTCTGCTTCTTACGTTCCAGAAAGCCCTCCATCCTTTGCCAGAGCGAAAAGTTATCAGCAGCAACTGATTTACGCGCTTCTAAATCAGCAATCCCATTGAAAAAAGCCAGCCTACGTTCAAGGGCATCACTGACATCTTGCCATTTCACATGTGCTTTGACTTTGGTTATGGAAATGCCTACCCCATGTCTCTGCTTTATGTGCCAAATTATAGGATCCCACAAGTCAGCATGGCTATGTGCAACAGGTTGCATACCATTGGCACACTCCTGCAAAATCCTGTAGACTTCATCGACTACTGCAGAACAATCTGTATGCAGGTGAACATGCCAAAAGGACTGTAAAGCAAGTAGCACTGCATAAACTTCGGCACGATATGCTGAATGGTCAAACGTTGGCATTAGTGACCTCTGCACAAGTTCCCACTCATAGTTTCCTTTGACTCTGATGACTGCCGCGCCCGCAAGTGCGCATTCCCAATCCCTGTTGCAAAAACAAGAACCGTCAGTAAACACATCCACTACAGTTCTATGCACAGGCAAGGTGGTGGAAATTTCAGTCTGCAGAGTGTTCTGTCTCAGTTGCACCGCATCACAGTCATCTGGAACAATTCCAAAATGTGTGACAGCAAGAGGTTGGGTCTTGAGCCAAAGCACGGTATCTTTGTATTTACTTCGCAAGTCATGTAAACCATTGCAGTGAAAAACTCTATGGTCTTTACCGTCAACACAGTCACAAAAGGGGCAATTGGCATCGCAATCTGTGTAATGAGACAATGCATCCAGCGTGACATTCTTTCCACTTGCAATAGCTGTGAGAAGGCCTTGGTGTTGTGGTCCTCGCTTATGGACTAACCGCCGAAAGGCTTTTGCAGAAACATGCTCCACATCAAATCCTTTTCTCTTGATTCTGCTGGGCGCAGTGTTTTCCCACGCCTTGTCCAGACATTGGTAAACATACGTCAGTGAGTTTGAGACCCAGTTGCACACAATTCCACATTCATGCCGCATGTTGCCATCTTCGACACAAGTCCAACCCATATCCAGCAATGCACATCGAAACTGTGCAGCCAGGCCAGCTACACGTTTACCAACTCTTTTTGTAATGCGCACGAGAAACTGGGCTTTTCTTGCTGGAAACACATGGAAGAATCTGCGAAAAAATTTCAGCCTACGTCTCATTAAACGTACTTGGGGGTCAACAGTAATACCTGTAACGCTTGTTGCAAGCAAAGTGTTGGCACCAGATTTGTAGAGACCCATCGTGGCAGCAATCGCACAACGCAGACTATGGAACTGTTTGTTCGTGTACCTCCCAAGTTCAGAACCAAATGCAACTGTTCCAACCCCAACTGCAGTACACATGCGCCCCAAAAAAGGCTTGGGGATCTTCTTGATTTTCACTCGTTGGAGCACCCGCAAGGACTTCTTCAACCTTTCATTACTGGTTTTCTTACGTAGTTTTTTGGTGTAGGCAACATCACATCCAAGATCCTTTGCTCCCTGGACGACCTGCAGTTGTTCACCATTCATAGTGACATCTTTGAGTTGTTTGCGCAAATTGGTGGACGTGGCCCAAGTCCAGGATTTGGCTGGTGAAAGGCGCATTCCTAGCATAGACACCAACTCTTCCAATCTCGCAAGTACATTTTTGAGCACACCAACCGTTTGAGTGATCACTGCCCAGTTGTCGGCAAACATTGACACCTGCACTTCATCGCTCACTTTCTGCAACACGTCGGAGGCCAAAATAGTCAACGCAACCATGCATGTGACACTCATGGCACAACCTTCTGGTACACCGTTGGAGCTAGAAATAATGTCACCATATGAAAGTCAGTTGGGATTATGACATTCCCAATATATGGAAAGTCATAAAATTCATCTTCCAAACCACCAACCAGGTATGAATATATGATATCCATTGGTATTCAAAAAAAAAACATGTTGAAACATTGCCACTGTGGAGTATTGCCACGTATACCATGGCATCCCTAATATTGATGATGATACCAAGCCCCCAACAAAGGGTGCAAGGTTGGAACACGTGAAACATGTTGAAGAGAAAACAATGTTCATCACTTGGGATCGTAGTCCCCAATATTATGTACAGCAACAAAGTTGAACATCAACAACAAGTTAAAGTAGACACAAATCAGTTCAGAATAGTTATGTTGTATTTGGATGTATTCGGATTGGTTTCCATCTGTTGATGGTTACCCTCTGGGAAAAGACACTTACAATTGTCCCATAAAAGCCTCTTTTGATAGGGGACTACCCGTTGCAGTGCTTTCTTTACACACCCATTATCCATGAATGTTGATATGAAATACACATTTAAAAGGAAAAAACGTTAAAATCATTGCATCCATATAACCCCATTATATATATATATATATATTCATTCACCCAACAAAACCCATGCAATCCCTAGACAATCCCCATCAAGTCCCTCAAGTTCCCAGAATCCGTTGAAATTTCCATTTTCATCTACCCTCTGGTAAGCATACAAAAAACTATGGGAAATCACCATCTTTAATGGGTAAATCAACGAACTAAATGGGCCATGTTCAATATAAATCATCATTTTCCCATGGTTGTCCCATAGTTTTCCCACCATTTCCCATGGTTTCCCCAAGGGTATCTCCTCAAACCAAGGCACCATAATAGCCCCACTCTTTGGGCTGCTTCATCTCGATCTATGCAGATGGCATTAAACAGAGTCATCAAGGAATAAGTTCCACAAAAAATAGAAATGGGGACACCGAAGAAATCAAATAAATGGTGGTTTCCTGAAATCGGGGTACCCCCAAATCATCAATTTTAGTGGGATTTTCCATGAAATAAACCATCCAGCTATTGGGTTACCCCCATTTATGGAAACCCCCAAATGATGGTTGATGATGTTTGGCTGATGATGCTGAATTAGTTGGGCTTCCCAATGCGACACACATTGACAAAGGTGGTACCATCCAAGACAGGAGGGTTGATAGTCCATAGCCACCCATAGCCACTCATAGCAAGTCAGGTGATGAGGTTAGAACCGACATGGAGAGATGGTTAGCAATTGAGCGTAACCACCAGCCCACCAGCCAGCATAATGGGGTCGTTGACCGCAAAAGCCGTGCTCAGCAGAAACTGAACATGATCAATGAAACACTATCAACAGGATAATTCATATCAGAAGTTGGATAAAAATAACATAGGATTGGATAAATTTAAGTAAATCACAAGACTACTATAAGTTACTATTGGATGAATTGAACATCTTCATCCAGTCTTACGAATGAAAATGAAATACTGTGGGATAACCATGGGAAATCTATTGCTGAAATCTCCTCGTGTTTGTTGCTGAAATATCCATTGCTGGCTTAGTGAAACACTACAATTGGATAATTGGAGAGGTAAGTTGGACAACTACATCAGGATTCATGGTGTGTATCTATGGAACCAAAGAAGAGATGAACATTTGATGAAATCCTGCATGTTTTTGCAGCTTACTAATGCTAACCCTCTAGTAAACATACAAAAAGCTATGGAAAATCAACATTTTGAATAGGTAGATCATCGAACTAAATGGTCCATTTTCATCCATTTCCATAGCAAACTGTTACAGTAGTTGACTGGAGGTTACCGGAAATACTTCACTTGATGACCCGGGACCGGCCTTGATCTGCATGCTGTTGCGCGGTCGATCAAAGTTCATGTCCTGCCCGGAGAAGTGCTGGGGATTCCTGGGTTGGTGGCCTAGGGGGACATCTTGGCCGGAAACCACTGGTAAAACCGCCAAATGAATGTATGCAACTTGCTGGGGTTTTCCTGCATGACGCCAATTCTGGAAGTGGGATATTGAAATGTTCCAATCAGGACACCAATATCACTCTTGTAGAGATAGTTTTCCCCGTTTAGACTTGTGGCTGTGGCGTATTCACCGATGAATGCTGGATTGAAACTGGGGGTAATATGTTGGTTTCCTACAATCTTGGGAACCCAATAGCTGGATGGTTTATTTCATGGAAAATCCTAGTAACATGGATGATTTGGGGTTATCCGCTTATTCCCATTTCAGGAAACCTCCAGAACTCCACCTACAAATACTGTTGGGTGATTGATGGTCACAATATTCAACACAGAAACAGCGTTTCGCATGGATCTTTCGAAAACCAGTAGAAGTCCCACATGGTGGTCGAGCCAATTGGACCGCCTCTAACGGCCTCTGGTAATTTCTTACACTTTGCGAACTGGAAAATGGACCATTTATGACCATAACTATGGAAAATAAAAATGTTTAATGGGAAACCTCACTATAAATGGCCATGTTCAATGGCTATGTTTGTTTACCATTCATATAGTTCGATGATGTGCAAGATCTTGGACATAATGCTTTTACATAGCTACTGTATGCTAAATTAGATATGGTAAGATATGTTCCGGTTTGCTATTGGTGGTGATGTTCCAGTTCGCAAACTGTAGCTGATCCCAAGCTGCACATCCCTGAAAAATGGGCAAAGTTGGAAGAAACATATTCCAGGATGCAAAACTAGTTGGCATAGTTGAAACCAATCAATCCTCAGTTGGTTCATGATCCAATGTTATTTAATGTTATTTATAGATATTTATAGTTGTTGATTCCTCCCTGATGTGTTGGAAAAGATTGTGCATCACAGCAGCTCAGTTTGCTCAGAATGACGCAGAACTTGGACGATTCCTGAGTTTTCCGAAATGACGCTAGCATAGAAAAATACATGGAGGTGTCCCAAAATAGTGAAGTACCTCCAAATCATCCATTTTAGATTGGGACTTTCCAATATAAACTATCCATTTTTGGGTACCACCATTTATGGAACCCCCATATGCCCATAAACGGTTGGATGTATATGAACCCTCCATCTCCACCCCTTCTCCTCTTGAAAGGAAACGCCGCCCTCTTTCGATTGGTGCCAGGGTACGGCCTCAGTTTCTGGTGGAGTTTTGGAGCGAAAATCGAAGAAAAATCGGAATGGAACGTAGTAATATTCCCTATGGATCCAAACACTGTCTGAGAAGGTACTTAACCCTCCAAATCATACCCCAAACACTTCCTAAGAAGGTACTTGGATCCATAGGGATTATTTTTGTTCTTTTTGATAATAGGCCTGGCATGCCATGTTGCACTGGGATTGGGTGGAGGCCTTCACCTCACACTGATTTTTAGACGCCTTGATTTTTCCCACAACAAGTGAGTGACGTAAATGCAGGAAAACCCTTCCTTGCTGTGGAAATATGACTCTTGTTACTGCCAAGCAGGGACTGAAAATGCATTCCCTGAAAAGTAATGACGATTCCGTACCTACATTGCAACATACCTAAACGCAAGAATATATAGTCTATATTAATCTGTATGTAATATGTGTCAGTGTCAACTGAAAATGTCACACCAAATAAGGTGGAAAACAAAACATTAAAACATAGGTTGAACCACCAACCAAGAATGCAACCTCCCCAACTTTATCAGGAGCAAATGTTGGATCTGCAGCAGTTTTCTTTGCGGCAAGCGAGCGCGTCACTGATTTGCGTCTGGGAAAGCCTTATGGACCTGGGTGATCAGGTGCTGCAGGGACAGCCAGAGATCGATTGTAGATTGAACCACGCATATTTGGGGGGATGTAGCCAGCAACGAAAAGATACAAAAAACAGATTGAACTTGAAAAGCTGGGGATACTGCAAACAAAATGGGAATTAACGAGGTTGAATTGCGATCATGGGGGGAACATCATCACCAAAATTGGAAATCAAATGCGTAAAAAACAACGAAGGTTGGATGTCGTCAACATCATTTAAGTACCAAAATTGGCAGTGCGAGCGTGTAGCCAAAGATGGGCCTGAGCGGAAACTTGGATTCCACGGACCAAGTTGTCTCAAACATTGTAAATCACTGCCATCAATACCAAGTGGTGAAGTAGAAGAATCAACTTAATACATCTTGATACTATAAATAACTGGTGAAGTAGAATCAGTAAAATAAATTGACGAATATTATGTAAATTTAAAAAATAATCAATACCACTATGATCAAAATTGAAAAACCATCTGAAGTGATCCACCGGAGCCACTTCTATTGGAATAAATATTCATGATCCATTTCATGTATATTATACATGTTTCTTGTTCTTGATTTATAGCGCTGCAAACGTGTCTTTATGTTTCAAGTCCTGGAGATGTAGGAGACATGGATTTTCTTTACTGATTTGGTCACCTGTTGCAATTGCCAAAACGCATGTTGCTTTCATGTGACATAGCTCTTCATTGCTTGGCAAGATCTCATCTGCCAAAAATGCGACATAGCTCTTGAATGATCGCTAGTGGTTTTAAAGACAAAAATAATTTTTCATACCCTCTGGTAATTTAACATAGTGATTGAACATGGCACCTTTATAGTTGATTTACCTATTAAAAATTGTGATTTTCCATAACCATGTTAGTTTACCAGAGGGTAATTGTCGACATTAGTAGCGTTTTGGATTACATTTTTCAGAGGCGAGAACTGGCCCAGTTCGTCTTGAATGATGATGCAACAAAGATTTGTTCTTCGACCTTCGCATTGCAAATCTTAGATACTAACAACAAAGAAAAGGTGGTGAGAATGGTATATCTCCATGTACAGGAAGTGGTAACTATACTAAACAAACCATCCAGTTCGTTTCTCCAAATATCCCAATAATATCATCAACTATAGATTGTAAATATAAATATATATATATAAATATCCTTACTGATGTTTGGCTATACCCCTGTGTTTTTTATGGGATTTCACATGAGTTAAGCCCATGTTTCTTGCAAAACAGCCAAGTGGCTGAGAGCCAAGGCTGGAAGACGATGTCATAGGTCGCATCCTCCCCACAATCAATGGAAATCTATGAATTTGGAAGGAACTATTGTGGAATACAAACAGCTACTGCTTGGTGGTGTTGAGCCACTTTAACCCCTCTGAAAAATGATGGAGTTCGTCAATGGGAAGGATGACATCCCATATATGAAATGGAAAATAAAAGCATTGTTTGAAACCACCAACCAGGCTAGCTCCGATGGAGCCTCTTCAGGCACTCTTTGAGTGAGTTGCTTGCCGGAACGACGTTCCCAACGCAGGGATGGTCAAAAATCGCTAAGTCCACGGCGGGTTTTTGGGCACGCCGGGTGGGCTTGGCAACAAGAGGGGCACCCATGGTCAAGTTACATGGGATATCCCTAGATTTTGAATTTTGTTATGATTGTTATGGTAATCCTGCGAGCCGTGGGCCCGAGTCTTAACAGTAGTGCGGCTGTGTCAGCGGAACCTCGGGAGCTTGTCGCAACGCCATGGACAATCTTCTTTGTGGACCTCCTGGTCTTACTATTTCTGATTCTACCCGTGCCCGTGTGGCTTCCCGCCTCAGTGGTGGGATTTGCGGTTGGATTGGGATGATTGGCAGATGCCCCCGTGGCAATCTCAAGGAGTTGTTTCCACTAGCGATGATGCCTGGTGTGGATGGATTTCGGGCGGAGATCCAGCTGACATGGGACGAATTTTCTAGGATGAGACACAGTTTGATTGACCCGCTGCACTTTTTGCTATTCACTCTGTTCGGTGCCGGCTTGCTTCCGCTACCAGCGGCAAACTGCCAGTCCTTGCTGAGTTTGGAAGCTCACATCTTTACAAATTGGCACTTGCAGTCCTGGAGTTGTTTTCCTGTTGGCTTGCATCACTTGCTTGTTGTTCGTTGTGGACTCTTAGCAACCTTCAGTGGCAAAAGGCGAAGGGGCTTTGAAACTAACATTTCGGGATGCGGCAGGCTGCTTTGGAGATCGTGCTACAGATGGCTTGGCTCCGGGCAAACTTTCCAATCCCAAACGAGAACAAGGAGTAAAGATGTGCTTGTGACTTCTGGTGTGGCTCAGGGCATAAAGCAAAGATGCAACGTTGCGCGGTGACTCAATGGCCCACCCACTGTCTGCTTCTTGCCAAAAGTTTGATCGGTTTGAATCCAACGGCTGCCATTTTTCTATGTGCCGGGCATGCACAAAGTGTCAGGTGCTTGCAGAGACGGATTTGCAGGTGATCGGTTTCTGTTTTGATTTTGTTGGTCCAGTGTCTAGTGAACAACCCTAGCACACTGTATTGATCCTGCACATGACATACACTGTCTGAACAGATGGCACAATCTGTTGTCAAAGTTAATGTTCCCGCGTTTAGCGGACCTTGTCGGAAGTTAGGTGGAGGTAATCTTCTCCACCTGTCTGGTGATGTCTGCTTCGCCGGCCTTTCGCCTTGTTTTAGCCAATTCGGTTCTGACCATCTGCGTCCGGGCCAATTGACGTGGAGACCCCTCCGCGGCGCGCAATAATATGGTAATCCTGCGCTTGGTGGCCTTGTTTTCAAGGGCATGAAATGGCATGACATGGCATGACCATGATGACCATGCCCCAAAACGGGTACAACATATTCAACATATAATCCAAATTTCGACTGAATAAGGTTGCTATGATTCAACCAGGGTTTGCCAATGAGTTTCTTGAAGGCAGCCAGGCCAAACTTTGTCATTAGTTCCTTTGGATCTTCGTTCACCCGAAAAATTCGCCGAAAACAAAACACAACTCCTCAGAAACATGAGATCTTACCAGATAGTAAAATGGAAACCAAAAACATGTGGTTTTGACTCAAGCCAAGATACACAAGTGCTATGCCCACACAACTGATCCTCCCGAACACCCAGATGTTTTTCAGCCCGGCACCCGTGCCATGGCGCCCACCTTTGTTGTTCTGGGTTGTTCTGGGCTCTGAAAATCGGATTGACAATCCAACTTCCAATCACAAGGTGCCACGGACGTGCTCGGCATATTCAGGTCCATGTTTTAAACAAATACCCAGTGGGTACAAGTCATGAGTTCCGAATCATATGCATCACAATTGCCTCCACAAAAAAAAAACAGATAAATCATGATAAATCATTCTCCACTATTGTAGGATTTCACTTTTCACTTTTTTTAAAGAAAAACTGTTTATCGGTTTTTGATGTATCACCAACACAAGCACCATAGGTTTTTCCCGCCGTGTCCTGAATGGCTTGGATGAACTTCCGCCGCCATGCAGTAGTGTACTTCCTGAACAAACTGTGAAAACACGATCCATACCCAGATGCTCCATGGTGCTGGAATATGTACCTACAAAACTCATTGATTTTTGGGGTAAATGTAGGTACAGTAAACATTCCATACATGAAGCATGTGGGATATATAACAAGAGAGGGGTCAAAGCATCTCAAAACGATGAAAACACACTTATGACACTCTTCCACACTTTTCGGAAACATATGAAACGACAAACCACTAACACGATAGAACTTCATCCGGCCAGAATTTCGCCTTCCAAAAGATGGGGCGATCTTTGGCCAAGCCATTGGTCATTGGGGCCACATTTAACTTAGCCTTGGAAGATCATCCTGTCGTAGTCATAAGCAACTGCTAAGTGGCTACAGATGGCTACCGTTGCTGGATCCTCATGGAGAGCCCGGCCAGATCGATCCAGGGGATAAGTCAGTGCCGTAGTTGGCCCCGGAGTTGTGTCCCTATAAAATTAGCGGGGGTATGCAAAATGTTATGCCCCATATTCAGACCCGCAGGGAATGTTCAACTGCTTCAAACCATGTTTTTTGCCGAAGTCAAATCTTCAAGATTGCCAGCTCTTCACACTTGGCATCCTAACAAGCCACCGAAGAAGAAAACAGTACCAAAGTGTACAGCATCAGCCTGCAAGCACCGTACCGTGGCATGGGCTAAACATGTGCAAGTTGATCTTGGACCGCAGAGCTGTCACCACCAGCATCTGGGGCACCCCAGGTAACCACAGATCCATCTGCCACGATCGCAGCAAATGCGAGACTTGTGGCCTGAACCTGCTGAACTTTTCTCAGCTGATCTTGGACCCTTGCGCTGTCACCGCCAGCATCTGGGTCGCCCCAGGTAACCACAGATCCATCTGCCAGGATCGCAGCAAATGCAAAATGTGTAGCCTGAACCTGCTGAACTTTTCTCAGCTGATCTTGGACCGCTGCGCTGTCACCACCAAAAGCTGAGTCGCCCCAGGTAACCACAGATCCATCTGCCAGGATCGCAGCAAATGCGCGATCTGTGGCCTGAATCTGCTGCACATTCCTCAGCTGATCTTGGACCGTTGCGCTGTCACCACCAAAATCTGGGTCGCCCCAGGTAACCACAGATCCGTCTGCCAGGATGGCAGCAAATGCAAAATATGTGGCCTGAACCTGCTGCACATTCCTCAGCTGATCTTGAACCGTTGCGCTGTCAACACAAAAATGTCGGTCGCCCCAGGTAACCACAGATCCATCTGCCAGGATCGCAGCAAATGCGCGCTCTGTGGCCTGAATCTGCTGCGCATTCCTGAGCTGATCTTGGACCGTGGTGCTGTCACCACCAGCATCTGGGGCACCCCAGGTAACCACAGATCCATCTGCCAGGATCGCAGCAAATGCGAGACTTGTGGCCTGAACCTGCTGAACTTTTCTCAGCTGATCTTGGACGGTTGTGCTGTCACCGCCATAATCTGGGTCGCCCCAGGTAACCACAGATCCATCTGCCAGGATCGCAGCAAATGCAAAATTTGTGGCCTGAACCTGCTGAACTTTTCTCAGCTGATCTTGGACCGTTGCGCTGTCACCACCAGCATCTGGGTCGCCCCAGGTAACCACAGATCCATCTGCCAGGATCGCAGCAAATGCGCGATCTGTGGCCTGAACCTGCTGAACTTTTCTCAGCTGATCTTGGACCGTTGCGCTGTCACCACCAAGATCTGGGTCGCCCCAGGTAACCACAGATCCATCTGCCATGATCGCAGCATATGCACGATATGTGGCCTGAACCTCCTGCATGCTCTTGAGCTGATCCTGGACTTCGGAGCTGTCACCACCATAATCAGGATTGCCCCAGGTCAGCATCCTATCACCTCCGCAGCACCACATGGCAAAAGCTCGTCGTGTTGTGGCCATCTTTGCTTGTTGCACAACGGCTGTCAGGTAATCTCCCTCCTTCAGCCCTGCAGCTTGCAGGGACTGGTTCAGATCAGCCAAGACATGCCCCTCTGCAGTGACAAGCCTCAGGAAGCCTTGTTCGAAAGACTTCTGGACCAGACGCTTCAAGTCCCCAACTTTGGAGGACTCTGCGATGGACAAGCTTTCCCGCTTTCCACTCGACAAAGCTACGTTGACTTGAAGCATACAAGCAAAAGCTACGATGTTTACGTACGTGCGCCTTCATCAGGTTCTAGAACATCTCGAGCCAAAATTCCACCAGCATGGTCCGAAACTATAAATTTCAAGAAATTCCCGAGGAAAAGGCAATGATTATGATATACCGTTCTACCGATAGAAACAAAACCTCTATGACTGATTTAAAGATGCGCGTCCATTGTAAATTCAATTCTTTAGGTCAGATTACCGGTATACCTAGCGATTGAGGTAATGACAAGTATTACGGATCAATTATATAAATTCAATGATCATTTACGGCAACGCCACAAAACGGCGTTAAAAACTCATTTTGCTATTCAAAACCAAGAATCTCGTAGGAGACTCGGACATGAATGCACCAGCGGTCGCTGTGTTCTTCCTCAGCGGTTCCAGATACCCCCGGGCTCGAAGTACCCACTGGGCTGGTGGTTGAGCCGGTTGTGCCCCTGAAACATATGAGTGATTTCGTCAGTTCGGATCATCATCCCAAAAAGGCTGGAACAGTAAAACCATCAACCAGTATATATATATACTTATTAATCTCATTTTATCTATCCCATGAATCTGCCATTTTTGTTGCTGAACTCGTCATTGACACCAAGCAGTGTGTGTCGGCGATCGCGCTTCTAGGGGTGGCCGTTGAAGCCAAAAATATCTTAGAGCTGAATCCCAAGGAAGACCGGCCCCCAAAGCAATGCGTTGAACAGATCATTTTCCTACTGGAAATGGCACTATTTATCAATTCAATTTCAAAGACTGGGGATGTACAATTGCATCGAATGTCCGTCCCTCTGTACTGGGCACGCCTTAGTTACCGCACAGACTATGCTGTTAGAAGGTACACCACAGTCATCCCCAAGTTCGATAAACAACTCACCTGTCGGCAGCTTCCAAGCATGTCTCATACAATGTGGGGGCCCTTAGTTGTAAGTTGGGTTATAACACCATGAATACTATAGTTACACGTGTCATAAACCATAGTTGCTGGAGTTATGAACCCCTCTTAGCTATCTAGGGGGCCTCACTTTGTAGCTTTGCATGTATCCACGCCATCGACAAATCTGGCTCAGCATGAGTCAAAACACATCAAAAACGGGATGCTTTATCTGGCTAAACTAAAAACAAAGCTCAGTAAAAGTGATCAAGAAACCTCAGTAAAAGTGACCCATCAGTTTAATCTGGTTGGTGGTTTCAACCCCTCTGAAAAATATTAATCAATGGGAAGGATTATCCCATATATTATGGGAAAAAAAAAATGTTTGAAACCAGTTTAATACACTACCATTTTTTCCCATGTTTCTCCGGGTTTCAACAATTTCCCCAAAAATGCCCAAAATCTAGGCACCATGCTAGTCACAGGTATTAGAGACCAAATGTCTGGCCAACATTTCCAATATTTGGACACATGTGCGATTAATTAATTTGGCCAACTTACATTGTATGACTGTATATTGAATTATATATATTGTCATTATATATATATATATGTGATATATATATATATGATACAAATGTATATATATATGATATATATAAATAAATATGAGATATATATGATATATATAAATAAATATGATATATATATATATATATGTGATATATATATATATCTATATGTGATATATAAAAATATGATATATATATATATATATGTTATATATATAATATGAAATATATATATGATATATAAATATGTTTATATATGTGATATATATATATGATATAAATATATATAATATGATATATATATATATGATATATATATATATATATAAAATATTTACGGGATATATAAATATATATATGATATATATATATGATATGATATATATATATATGTGATATAATATATGTCTTCGATCTATGTTATGTGTGTGTGCGCGTCAATGGCACTACACCAATCCAGTCATGTCTCCACCAAGTCGATTTGTAGTGGCTGATGCAACCATTCCTGGGGACTCACCGTCTGGACGCTGCAGATTTCACGGGATACTCAAGGTGCATCTAAAATTGTCAGGGTATAAAATTGTCATGGTGCTTTAGTAGACCAATTTTAGGATTCAATTGTCATGGTATTTTTTCCGGTCTACTCATAAAAATGGTCTCTTCACTGCAGAGAAAGATACCTGTTGAATAGCTGTAAAATCCTGCAAAGCTAGTTATCGGAACCAAGTTACCTATCTTGGGTGCCCCATTTGCAGGTAATGTTCCTCCCATCCCAAAAAAAGATTAGTAACTGGGCGACATCCCAATACATCAAATTACGGACATCAATTAATACATACAATAGTTGTTTGAGGGACAAAGTATGCCACGTATATCAATATTTATATCAATATATTATCATTTGTTTATATGATTTTGTATGGTGGTTTCCTAAAATAGGGGTACCCCCAAATCATCCACTTTAGTAGGATTTTCCATTATATCCATTGTAAACTATCCAGCGAGCTTGGGGCAACCCCATGACTTTGGCTCAGTTCCACCAAGAATCCCAGTGGTTCCAATTGCTCTTCGGTGCCTTCGCTCTTTCCATTCTCCTGACGCCAAGAACAGCCCGGCTGAATGACACGGTGTGGCATGTTTATGACCATTGATGGCTGTGTTTGGGCTAGTTATGGCCGTTTATGGCCATAAATTGGCTGTTTACGGCAAAAATCAACCAGCCACTTCCCCCTAAGATCGAACCATCCCAATCTTAAGCCCGCAAATTGAACAAATCCAATACTAAATCAAGGTTTCTGGAGGATATTCAATGTGTTTTTGTCCATGAGGATTGTATTGCATTCCACCATCTCGGATTCGTTGCTGTCGTTGCCAGGACCGCAAACTGAACAACTTATGATCATCCCATCCGGCCCAATCTGTTGGATGATTGAATCATGATAATCATAATGATATGAAAATGGTATTAATAATCATTGAACATCAATAATTACTTTTTGATTAATGGTTCGTCAATGATGGTGTATCAGGAAATAGTTCATTTTTTTACAGTATATACATGGATAATGATGAGTTATCCATTGATTTTCACGGATTCCATAGCTCCAAGGTTAGCCCAGGTCCCGTCCAGAAGCTTTCTGGCACTTGTCGGAAACCATGGTGTTCCCGTCCATCTCTCAGATCAAAGTTCACCACGGTTCGATCGGCCTTTCCTCGACCGGTGGATCTGGAGAAAACAAAGCTGGTTAGATTATCCCATAGATTATCCGATAATATATGTATATATATATGTATATATGTATAAAGATGTATATCAAACATATTTATATATATATATTAGTAACCAGAAAGATAGAAACATGTTTCCAGATGTTTCCCTCTGCCGGGCGCCAAACAGTAACTGGTTGGTGGTTTCAACCCCTCTGAAAAAAATGAGTTCGTCAGTTGGGATGATGACATTCCCAATATATGGAAAAATAATCCAAATGTTCCAAAGCACCAACCAGAAAGTGTTGAGCTAAGACGACATCTGGGAGGTACCCCCCCAAATCATCCAAAACTAGACCGTTTTAGTATTGAAACTTATGGTGACGACTGGGGATCTTCCATTTTAGGACACCTCCATGTGATGAATGTTGGTTATGCAAATGAGTCCAAATGCTTTTGTTTGAAACCAATTGATAATACCACTGAGTCACTTGAGGCGTTACTTGACAACAACTCCTGTGCAACATCTTGGTGCCTACCCATGGAAACCACCACTTTTAAGAGCAAAAAAAAAAACGCCGCTTTCACCAGTTCCATGGTTTCCATAGCTGCCATAGCTATGAACTTTTGCCATATGTCAACAGTTGGCTATAACTCCCCATTTCATGATGATTTGACTACCTTAAAGCACCATTTCTGATGACTAATGTGGTTTTTACCCATTACAGTATTAATAAATCAACAAATTCACCATATAATAAACAGGTGGTATAAACCAAACCCAAATGGTACAGTAGGTTTATTAAATTATCAATGGGTTGCCGACATTAATCCCAAGGCCACCGCCACACGGCCCACTTCGCCAAGGTGCTGAGGGCATTGAAGACCCGCCACTTTCGGAGTCGCAAGATGTCTGAGACCTCCCAGAGAACCTGGCAATCTCAAAGAGATGCCAATTAAATCAATGATAGGTGATAAATATGTGATAAATGAGTGATAAATGGTAAATTATAAATGAATATAAATGATACCTAAATGATGATAATTGATAAGTGATACCAAAATATACCAAATTGCTTTGAACAGCCTATACTGTCCGATACTAAATGAATGATGAACCAGTAAGAATGGGCTAGGCTTCAAAACGCGCTCGTTTAGGTTTCCAATAAGAGTATCGGGTTTATCATTGAAATTCCTAATGAGGGATTCAGGCAATTTATTACCATTTTGATGTAATCCGACCATACCCAAATGAGAATTGTTTATCGCATTTGGGTGTTCCACATTGTACAAAATTTGATGATTTAAACGACGCGCTTTACAAATCTTTTAGGGGTTTTCTTTTTTGCGGGTTCTGTTATGGTCATATATTGACGAAGTTACCTGTACAAACTCACCAATTTATGAGGTTTCCTAAAATGGGGGGTACCCCCCAAAATCCATCTTAATAAGATGTAAAAACTGTCATTGATAGTGAATTTTCCATGAATTTCCCATGATTTTCCCAATCCCAGCCAACCATGTCCGACAAACGACTCGAAGGATGCCCATCCCCTTGACGGTTTTTTCTTGACAACGACAGTCTGACTTGTCAGCAGCGAGCCATATTGAGCACGTGTACATAGTTTATCATGTTAAACGTATATTTATATTAATATATGTATTACCCTAAGAATCCATGTTGGTAATATAAACACTCGGACCAATGTTGGCCTGAGAGCACTACATTGGTATGTTGGCTTGAGAGCACAACATTGTCGAATTGTCGGGGCTTTGTTTGTCGAATGTCATTGATTTCCAGGGGGTTGATGGCTTGACATGGTGTGCAGCCATTTGCCTTCAAAATTTGTTCAGGGTCTCTTAAAACGAGCACCATACAACCATACAGATTGCATGTTCTTTTTGGTTCCGCTCTTTTGCCATGATATATAAACTATATTAAACTACGTTGGTTAGCGAAATCAAACTTAGTTGCCTTAGATTGGAAATGATTTAAAATTTTAAAGATCTGAAAGAAACTGAAAACCCAAAGTTAAAAAAAGACAGATGCAATTCCGCAATGTCCAGCCAGCTTTGGCCTGGCTTTGACCCTCGAACTCCAACCCTTGCTCTTAGAATATCTGAAAACGCGGTTTTCCTGCAACCTCTATATTCTGTAACCACCATTCCTTGACAATTTGAAGTTTATCATTCGCAAATGATCAGCAGTTTGCTCAAAACCGCTGCTCAAAACACCAAAGCGTATCAGGAAAAAAACTAAACATTCCTAGACATCACCCAAGCATGTCCGGTCCCATTCACATTGAGCCCCGGTTAGGTTAGAGGAGCTGTATTTTCAGCATGTTTTTCAGAACATAAACTGGCTGGTCATGAAACTTTCGAAGCTGTTTGCAGGATCTAGTCCTCAAAAAAACATATTCCACATGGCCCAGCACGACCATATGTTTTCATTTGTGGGAATCCAACAATCAAAACAGCAAGTGGGCCTCAAAGACTACCGCTTGAAGCAGAGTAAGGTGCACTGTGTTTACATCGCCAGGACGCCTTTACTTTTTCTCCTTTTCTTCCTTATCCCAGTTGTCCCTCTTTGCCTGTTTCCTGGTACCCCGTATTTCCTTACACTATCCTGCAAAACGTGCAACAATTGGCAGGCCCCGCATCTAGAAAAGCGGGTCACGAAAAGCATGATATCATATACCACAATGCTTTGGTATACAAACATGCAAATATCGTTTCACACTCATTGCTCAAGATTGCTTGCAGGTTGCATTACTTTCAAAATATAACTTTACTTGATGTAAAATGATGTAAATATTAATATCTGCAAAAACATACATTACAAAACGGGAAAAAGGCAAACCACCAAATGATTTGATTTACTCTGTGTGATTTTTCAATGACAAAATTGTGTTGTGGCTACTTTTTTCTGGGACCCCTACCACGTAGTTTTGTTTAGTATATTTTTTGAACAAGAATGTTTCAAGAAAGGCAAATCAGTTTGAAGAAAAAAACAAGGTATTTGTCTTGGTTTCCCAACTTTTGACCTCAGTCAATGTCAACAACAAAATAAAAACCCTCAACATTTAGATATTATGAGTTTTTGAGTTGTTTGCGCGCGAAACAGTCGTACTGAGAGAACCCATACACACTCACTGAGCTACACTTTACACATCTTTACACCGTACATATGCTGGATTCCTTTGATGAAACATGAATGCTGGGACAGAGTGGTTGCCTCGCTAAAACCTGCTAAAGGACAAATTGTTGATGTCCAGGAGTGGTCGCGCACACTTGTCACATGTTTCTTTCGGCAGAATCATGTTTCATTATATTGCGTGGTTGTGCTGAATTCAAAAGATGATTTGCTTGCTATAGCCTGGCCGCCTGGCCATGCCAGCCAGATATTCATGAGACCACAAACGGCTTGAAGGCAAAAACACATGACATACTCTCACAATCTCTCATAATATATGTATGATTGTTGTTCTAGTTCATCGGTACTTCCTTTCGCGCTTTTGGTGGAGCCATGAAGTCACAACACGGAGAGAATGCAAACAGGAATTATACCTTGGCGCACAGAAACTATATGCTGGTGATTGCTTCCTATCACTGTAAGCCCGAGAAGCATTTCCAACCAAGGCTTGCGGTTGGTGGCAAAGGTCATTCAATGTTTTCTGTTGAATCGCGAATGCTGCACTCAAAATATGAATTGGGTTCGCACAAGCATAGAGCAAAGAGTCTGCAATTCTTTTCGACCAGGTGCCAAACAACCATAGCATCTTGCGCATTGCTGATTTCGGTAGAGCTTGTTATTATGCTTTCATGTCCTTGTAAAGGTGGTATCCAAAAACCGGCTGAGCATGTTTCGCGAAACTTTTGTGCAGCGACTGGGCTCATCAGGCGTGCCACTTACCATTTGTTTCATTTTTTTCAGGAACAATGTGCCTAACGAGACCGTAACGAGACCGTAACGAGACCGTAACGAGACCGTAACGAGATTTGTCGAATGTATTCATTTTTAATAAGGGAACGTTATCGATTTATCGAATTTGCGTAACGAGACCGTAACGAGACCGTAACGAGACCGTAACGAGACCGTAACGAGACCAAAAAATGTTGAGGGTGAGCATTGTCCTGCAAGTGCGTCCAAAAAATCAATGTTGCGGGGAGTGCATGGACTACAGCTTTGACCCTCGAACTCCAACCCTTGCTCTTAGAATATCTGAAAACGCGGTTTTCCTGCAACCTCTATATTCTGTAACCACCATTCCTTGACAATTTGAAGTTTATCATTCGCAAATGGTCAGCAGTTTGCTCAAAACCGCTGCTCAAACACCAAAGTGTACCAGGAAAAACCTAATCACCCAAGCATGTCCGGTCCAGTTCACATTGAGCCCCGGTGAGGTTAGAGGAGCTGTATTTTCAGCATGCTTTTCAGAACACAAACTGCCTGGTCATGAAACTTTCGAAGCTGTTTGCAGGATCTAGTCCTAAAAAAAACATATTCCACATGGCCCAGCACGACCATATGTTTCATTTGTGGAAATCCAACAATCAAAACAGCAAGTGGGCCTCAAAGACTACCGCTTACATCGCCCGGACGCCTTTAGTTTTTGCTCCTTTTCTTCCTTATCCCAGTTGTCACTCTTTGCCTTCTGCCTTCCAAGCCGTGTTTCCTGGTACCCCGTATTTCCTTACACTATCCTGCAAAACGTGCAACAATTGGCAGGCCCCGCATCTAGAAAAGCGGGTCACGAGAAGCATGATATCATATACCACAATGCTTTGGTATACAAACATGCAAATATCGTTTCACACTCATTGCTCATGATTGCTTGCAGGTTGCATTACTTTCAAAATATAACTTTACTTGATGTAAAATGATGTAAATATTAATATCTGCAAAAACATACATTACAAAACGGGAAAAAGGCGAACCACCAAGTGATTTGATTTACTCTGTGTGATTTTCAATGACAAAATTGTGTTGTGGCTACTTTTTTCTGGGACCCCTACCACGTAGTTTTGTTTAGTATATTTTTTGAACAAGAATGTTTCAAGAAAGGCAAGTCAGTTTGAAGAAAAAAAACAAGGTATTTGTCTTGGTTTCCCAACTTTTGACCTCAGTCAATGTCAACAACAAAATAAAAACCCTCAACATTTAGATATTATGAGTTTTTGAGTTGTTTGCGCGCGAAACAGTCGTACTGAGAGAACCCATACGCACTCACTGAGCTACACTTTACACATCTTTACACCGTACATATGCTGGATTCCTTTGATGAAACATGAATGCTGGGACAGAGTGGTTGCCTCGCTAAAACCTGCTAAAAGACAAATTGTTGATGTCCAGGAGTGGTCGCGCACACTTGTCACATGTTTCTTTCGGCAGAATCATGTTTCATTATATTGCGTGGTTGTGCTGAATTCAAAAGATGATTTGCTTGCTATAGCCTGGCCGCCTGGCCATGCCAGCCAGATATTCATGAGACCACAAACGGCTTGAAGGCAAAAACACATGACATACTCTCACAATCTCTCATAATATATGTATGATTGTTGTTCTAGTTCATCGGTACTTCCTTTCGCGCTTTTGGTGGAGCCATGAAGTCACAACACGGAGAGGATGTTCATTTAGAATGCAACAAGTAGATAGTAGCGATCAACTATTGTAGGTGTAAGCTGGTGAAGCATGTTGAAACCAAAACTAGCAGTTGGAAAGATGATTGTTCACATTGACATGTTTTCCGTTGAACCACGCGCACCCCCACTCAGAACATGAATTGGATGAGCAAAGGAAGAAATCACGGGCTTGCCACACCATTCCTTTTTTATCCTTTTTTAACATATGGCTACAATGCACAATGCCTTCACATAGTGACTAATACTACTTGCAAGCTGTCGTTGAGTTCCCCAGTAGAAAGAACTGGAAGCAAGGAAGTGAAGGTTAGCGATGGTGGTGGTTGCTTCCAGTCTCATAAAATGAAGTCAATTCTCGTTTGGGCTCTTCTTGAAGGCCAAATTCCAGCAATGTGTTTCTCAACATTTTGTCAAGGCCGTCGGTGCCTGACTAAATATTTATGTTTAAATGGACCAAACTCATTTATGCGGGGGTTTAGTCAAGTATTTGTGGGAATATAGGGTGCTCTATGTGTGATTTTTATCGAATTATCGAAGTTATCGAATTGTCGAATTTATCGAATTATCGAATGTAGGCACAATTTGGCTACATTGGTCTCGAACAGGCCAATGTTATCAAAAATCAACTACATTGTCGAATGTTAGCATTATTTGCATACACTGGATGCTTTGGGTTATATATTGTCAGATAATATCCTTAATATGGAACAACATGTATATATTCTGTATATTTTGGTATTTTATCATATATATATACAGTATATATTGTATACCTTGACCAACCCAAACCTTTAAAATCAAAGGGTTCGCCAAAAACCCGATGTTTTTGAGGGAAACCCGAGGTTTTGCTGTGTTGCTTTCAGCCCATTTTACCAAAGATGTTCCCTCACGGACCATGCAAAATTTGGCTCCCATACAGGCCGATCAAACCCATTAAAAAATAATGGGTTGATACGGGTAAAATACAGTATGGGTTTAGTACGGGTTCAGTACCGGTTCAGTACGGGTTTGGAAAACCCGATATGGGTTAGTACGGGTAAAATATGGGTTCAGCGGGTTTGAGTTGGAGCCTTTTTTCCCGGCACAAGAATCCTTCTTCAACTCAATTTTCCTCTGCAACAGGCCATTCGTGCGGATTATATATAGTTGTTGCCATCATCTTGATGTTCATGGGTTGTTTTAAATTGCAGGAATTGAGCCAAAACCCGAGGTTTTCACAAGAAACCCGAGGTTTTCACAAGAAACCCAAGGTTTTGCTGAGATTTTGGCGAGACCCGAGGTTTGTCTGCAAACCCTTTAATTGTAAAGGGTCTAGCAGCTAAGGGTAATATATATATATATCATTTAATATCATATATAGCTTATATACATAATTATATGTGTCATCCAAAAATATCCAAAACCATACCACATTCCAACCACGTTGGATGTTAAGCCATCCAAACACATATTACCCTTCGATCATCTGACACCCCGGTATCAGACCCATGGTCCTTGCCATACCCTTTGAGGCCCGCGCTCCCAACAAAGTGCAATCCACTTCGGGCGTAGGAACTCGTATGTCGCGCCAATCGGCGAACAGCCCCACCATGCCTTGGTTATAGATATCAGAAATCCATGTCATTCATGGAGGTTTTTTTTTCGATCTCAACAAAACCCATCCCCATCCACGACACAACCGTTGGCTGATTTCCAAAGCCACGATTGAAATCAACAAACTCTATCCGACATGGCAATCACACGCAATAAAACAGATCACCCTAATCTTATAATCCCCAAGTAGAAATACAACAAAAACAAACTCTTCGCAAACGTCGAAAAAATATCTTTGACAACTTTATTCCAATTGTCTCATTGATCGAGCCACTGGATTCAGGACCATCGCGCATTGGCACATACAGCCTCGGGACTTAAACATGGTCAAAACATGGCTGAAAGATGGTGAAAAAATGCTGGATATTGCTGGATACATCCACCAGAAAAATGGATGGAAAAATGCCAAAAAAATCACCAAGACATTCGCATGGTTGGAATTTCTGTCGGACAGTCTAATGGAGGAACATGGCGAAATGACCATATGAATCCATATGAAATGTGTGGTCATAAGTTCCAACATCAACCTAATTTTGGCATTCTGCGGCAGGGACAATGTTCAAATCATGGGGGTTGGGACACCGGTGACCGGTGAATTTTGAGCATCGTATGGTGGCAGCAAATAGAAGTCTAGGGAAGGGCGGAAGGGCCAGGGAGGCTCAGTCTCTTGTCTTTTGGAAACACCCAAATTTTGCCAAGATCAGAACTTTTGGAAGATTCTGGAGATTTGTTGAAGCAGGGTAGCAGTTTGCAGTTCAGATACCATGCAGCAAAAAGTAGGATAGATGAGGATAGTGTCTCCTCCTCCATCAAAGTAGCAAACAAAATCAGAAGTCAAATCTACGAAATCATCTCCCTCCCTCTCTCTCTCTCTCTATATTGTGTATAACTAGCATTTCCCAATTGGTTTCCGGATATTTTTATATAGGGTGTCTGATACTAGAGTATATGGTTTACTCCCCAAAATGGTAATTGAGTGGGGAAATCATGACTAATCAGTGGAATGGGCTACCCTATTCTTAGACAAATTCTTGTTGCTTCACCTTCCATGACGGTAAGCCCTTCCGTTAAGCCTCCTTCCATGCACCTGACAGCACCCAGTGACGTCATCTCCACTGCATCAATCCTGGAGGCTCTTGCATTGGCCGCAATCCTCGGTACCAAGGAGCTGACTCCATGAGTTTTTCGAATTTTTCGCGCCGCCCCTTAACTGAGGAAAAAAATGACACCTTCCACATTGTTACAGGACAAATAATGGAACATGGTCCAAATAAACTGAGATTTAAATCACCAACTTTAAAGTCAAACATATGGATGTTGATTTCTCAAAAAAATGATGGACAATGATGATTTTGGCCTGGCGAAACTTTGTGGAGAAGCTCCACGAGAACATCAGCTCTTTGGAATCTCTTTTGGCTGAAGTCCCAAGAACTTGTCGAATTCTGGATGTGTCAAAAAAACATGGAAAATACTCCAAAATGGCCCATGTACTTTTTATAGCGATTGACTATGAGATATGACAAAAAATGGTCGTTCTTTTGTTGGGATCCAGAATCAAACAAATAACCATGTCTTCGGGTTAAAATTGAATTTTATGAAAACTATATTAACACAATAACATAAAATAACTATAATTCATACAAATAAGTAACTGTAATTCATAATTGAAGAAACATGGGTACCCTATTTTCAGACAAACCCACATGATATCGGTGCACCGCTGTCGGATTGGCATTTGTTTTTGCTCTCAAATATATGAAAAAACCCTCTGGGTATGGGACACGTCCACATGTTTGTTTTTGTCCACATCAATCAATATAGCGGGTGTTTTGCTGCATGTTTAATACGGCATTCATATTGCATATGGTATCATAGGTTTGACCCATGCGCATTTGAGGATATTTGAGGATAGATTGGGCAGCATCTTCAAACTCCTAATGTTGTCAAGAAAATTGTCACATGCCATCACATCCCTGAAAGAAACAACAAATATTGATAAACTTTGATTATCTACAGTATCATATGGTTAGAGAACTCTGATTGTAGCTCCATCTGGCTCGCCATTTTTTGTTGGGATTATGAATACACATAATACACCTAGCTCCCAACTGCTCCTTCCTAACCCCTGAATAGTTATCATATGTTGAAGAAGTTGGAAGCCGCGACTTCGGATGCCTTGATTGATGACTGATGTTTGAATTGGCAAGGCCACAGTTCTGTAAGATACGACTTGAAATGACCCCTAGGAAGAGCACTTATTCACATAGACTCCAGGAATCATATCCCATTTTGGAAGCTCATTCTTCATGATTATTTGATATTATTGGATATCCCATGTTACAAACGACGGGAAACAGCCGAGCCACACAATTGCCAGCAAAAGGTAATTCACCGGAATCAAATACTTTTGGGCAACTGCCTGCGTCAGATTGGGGGGATAAACCCCTCGCTTTCAAGCGCCCATGATATATATATATATATAATATATATATATATACATATATTATTTAAGATATTATTATATATCTGTATATAGTCTATCATCTGATATAGTCTGTAGTAATTATTCTATATGCATTATTTCTTGTAATATCTCCACTCGCTAATGTTGAAGACCCAAGAAAAAGACAGCCTGGTGTAATGGTTTGGATCTCTTCATGACTGGGGGTCCCGGTCCCGAACTACACATGTCCAAACAGTGGAGGGTGGCTGCATGTGGCTGCTCAACATGGGGATCACCATTTCGGAACATCTGGACATGTACCATCTCTAATCATCTCTATGATTCCGAACCGTTTCTAGACTCTGAAAACAGGCTAGCCCCAATTCAAAGTGGTTAATTGGCATTAATTGGCCACATATTAAAACTGGTTGGTGGTTTCAACCCCTCCGAAAAATATCAGTCAGTTGGGATTATTAGTCCCAATATATGGAAAAACAAAAAATGTTCCAAACCACTAACCAGGCATTAATTGGCCACATATTGAAATCATTTAAACTTGCAATTCTCGAAGGGTAGACACTACTTTCAAACACATCGCCACATCTTTTCTTGATTCCCCTTCCGTTCAACCAGCACCGGGGTCCCTGGGGTCCCTGCTCCATTTTATCCACACCTTGAGCACCGCAAGCGTGTCTCCTTGCACATTCAGGGCATGAGAAGATCCATTGAACCAAGCGCTCCACAAATTTCCTCGCGAGGTCTGAACCAGGTACTGCGACCCACAGGTCAAGCACCATCAAGTGGGCGGGGCCCCGTTGGGTTCGTCTAAAAATGCAGTATACCATGGTATACCTTCAAAAATGCCATGTTCATGCGGAAAATTATTCATCAACCATCAAAAAATGGGGGTACCCTATTTTCAGACAGACCCACATGGGCCTACTTTTGATTGCAGGTCTTTCGAAGTATTTTACTCAAACATCATTTTTTTGATGGGGTCAAGGCTTTGTGCTGACTATGTTGAGAGGCAGAGGTGGCTGAGAGCTTCAAGTTTGGGACCGTGAAGGGAAGACTTGGTCAGGGTTGCTCCCCGGCCACGCCAGATACGTGGTTTCAACCCCTCTGAAAAATATGAACGTCAGTTGGGATGATTATTCCCAATATAGATGGAAAAATAAAAATGTTCCAAACCACAAACCAGTAATGTTCTTCGCTTCTGGCTGTAATTTACCTGTACTGAGCACTGTCCTGATTTGGAGCAACCATGATGGTGATGTTTCTTGGAACTTGAATATCAAAACAGTCCTTGAGTCACCCAAATTACGAACACTGCACGTGACGTAGACCAACGTCTTTCCATCAGTTTCTCAAACATGTTGACACTAAATGCATGTAGATGCAGTCATTTCTCAACCAATCAATCAAGCAAACGATCCATCAATGAATCAATCTGCCGGCACGTCCATTCAATATTCATCTGTATCACCCAAATCCAGCTGGCTCAAACTGCGAATCTACCTGATCCATCTCCATCAAGGGGCTTACTTATTTCACCATTGTGGTTGAGCTATCGCTCTGCCAGGATGTCACTGGAGGACGATGATTCCATTCCAAAAAAGCCGTTTCGACCTAGCTTTTCTCACTTCAGCTACACCTTGTCACCTTGTCTGGTTGGTGGGAAACCTACCCCTCTGAAAACATCAAAATCAGCAGCCAAGTCAATTCATCTTGCAGAAACGAGACAATGAACAATAATTTGAAGCTTAAAAAACCACCAACCGGGTCATTTTGGGAAGATTGCAAAGGATACATAGATGTATAAGCTGGTGCCTTCAAGCCATTTCACAATCTCAATTCGGATCATAATCCCATCAGTCAAACATATTGGAGACCCCGGACCATCAGCCTACCCTCTGGTAATTTAACGTAGCTATTGAAAATGGCCATTTATAGTGGATTTTCCCATTGAAAATGGTGATTTTCCATAGTTATGTTAGTTTACCAGAGGGTATACCCAATTTGTGATCACCGGTCGCGTTGAACGCGGCGTTTCCGGCGTTTCCTCGAAGCGAATGTCTGCTGGGATCAGAACCCATCATCAGCGTCTCCTGGAAATGTGTTTCCGATGAAATCGAGAATTTTGCTGGTAACTTATCATAGCTATTGAAAATAGCCATTTATAGTTGATTTACCTATTAAAGATTGTGATTTTCCATAGCTAGGATAGTTTACCAGAGGGTATCTGGCTGGTGGTTTCAACCCCTCTGAAAAATATGAACGTCAGTTGGGATGATTATTCCCAATATAGATGGAAAAATAAAAAATGTTCCAAACCACCAACATGGTTATGTCTGCTTGTCAACTTCAATGTATTCCACACAACATCATCATGTCCGATCATTTGCCAAATGAGGGATGGACATTGGAATTACATTAATTTACCTTCAAACTGCTGCCTGTCTCTCTGCTTGAAGTATCAGCTGAAAGATGTGTTTAGTCTTGTTACTTGTTTATTAACTTAAGAGGTCCATAAATCATAAGACACATTCCCAGCTGATTCCCCCAATGGTGGATTCACTATGAGGAAAATAAAAAAACATATTAACATAGTTGATCAACATATCCAAAGATGATTTTCAGCATCAAACAGATTTTACTTTAGACTTTAGACATCCCAACAATATTTGAATTATCCTTAGACACTAAAGATTCCCATTTTCAGCACATGAATGTTTTAGATCTGCTGCTCACATCCCAATGTCAACATGACGACAAATCTACTAAGATTTAGGAGGCTTGAACAGAGAAACAACAGGGAAAGAAAAACAAGGGATCAGTTTGAAATTTCGGGTACCCAAAGGACCAAAAAATGTTGATTTGCATGGAAAATCATCCAATTTGGAGTTAATTATATATAAGTGTGAGCCAAAACCACTTAGCTGGTTGGGTGGCTGAGCCCCCTGAAAGAGTTGCAGCTTACAGTAATTGGGATCATCATCTCATACGTCTTCATGGAGATCGTTCTCCAGTATCTTCCCAGTTCATAGTTCACTATTTATTTATTCTGGTTGGTGCTTTCAACCCCAAACCACCAACCAGATATTGTAATATCTGATATAATTTGTTTTTCCCCAACCACCATTGACCACCCAATTGCTTGGGATTTGCGGCTCAAACTGATGAATTTTCCGCAGAATTCCCCATTTTTGGTGGTCAAACCGATGGGAAACGAACAGAAACTTCAAGTGAAAGAGGGTGCAGCGGGGTAGTCATGATGCCGCGATCGGAAATTCGACAAACATTCCCAAATTTGGTTGACTTTAGGGGATTACATCGAGGTAAATAATACATGCAGCTTATATAGATATTGATAGATATTGGCTAATCAGTTTGGTGCATTTTGTTGGGAGTACCCTCTGGTCATTTAACGCAACGAACTAGAATCACATTTTTTTTACTGGGTCAATCATCATGTTTATCACCTTTATTTCTGGGCCATGGCTTCCATAGCTATGTTAAACAATTGGAGGGTATCTAAGAAAAAGGGTTGTTGAATTGCCAGCCAGGGTCTCAATCACCATACTAATAAATCTGCCACATCTTTAAGCCATGCCGGGGCAAGAATCGGACCTAATTCACCACAACGATTTGGCTACAAACTTGCATATATCTGGGTAAATTATAATATTTCACTAACCTGAATAGTTCGGCCATTTGGGGATGATTTCCCTTATTAACCATGATTCCAGGGTTCGGTCGCGACGTGAGGTCGTTATAATTTACCCAGATATATCCTTTGTATCCAAGCGTTTGCGAGGCATAGTTCTAGCCTTCAGCCAGATGCCCATAACCATGGAATCCATGCAATTTCTACTACTTCACAGGCGTGAAATGAGCGAATGGGACATGACCCCCCATAAAGCCAGCATCTGTACATGGTTAGGGCCAATGGGGTCGGACAAAAGTTACAATTCACAACACATTACCCAAATAGATTCCATGTAACATTTTGTTGGGATTATGCATGTATATAACTGTGTATATATATATATACAGTATGCAATGAATATGTAATAAAATCAACAATCCCATTATTTCAATATGTTCTATATCCAAAATTCTAGAAATCCCATCCCAACAACAGCCCTATAGCCAGATCAACGGCCCTTCCGTCCAACTTACGCCTTACAACGCTGCGCCTCTAATCGTTTCTGCAAGACTTTCATGGCATCCGCCACGCCATCCCTGTTGGAGTAGACAAACCTCGATCCCAGGTCGCCCGTAGAGGTAAGGAACGTGATGGGAAAACACACATGTTAGATATGTTACCGTACTGGTTGGTGGGAAACCCACCCCTCTGAAAAATATGAATTCGTCAGTTGGGATGATGACATTCCCAATCTATGGAAAAATATGTAATCCAAATGTTTCAAACAACCAGGTTAGCATAGATTATAGCAAAATGATGGAATAGTTAAGTTCTTACCCTTCATGATCTTTTCCATGATCTATATGTGATGATATGTTGATAGATATTCTATCCACTGTTTCCTTAAAATGCGGAAAGTGATGGAAATGATGGGAAAGATCGAAGCAAACTAAGATGTCCATCGGTTGACATGGAGCCTCTAGTGAAGAGCCATTTGATGGTCCAACAAACCAGCACGTCATGGTTCTTGCCAATTTTTGTGTCAGCTTTCTTCAAGAAACACCCGCCTGGGCTTTCGGATGGGTTTTAATTATAATTAGCAACAATCCTATTGTGACTAGTCGAATCCATTGTGTTGCTTGCCCATGTCAATGTATCCAGTGTTGTTTGGATGAATCCATACTCCTAGTTCCCCAACACTGTATAACTCGACGACATGGAGCAACAGGGACTCTGTGACTTCTGAGCATTGATCAATTTCACGAAGGGAACCCAACCAAGAATCAAACATCCCAAATTGGTATTATATCATATTCCCCTACAACTGGAATGCAGCAAAATGACCCAAAAAATGTTTGGTTACTGACGGTTACAGGGACGCCATAAATGGCATTGCGTTCACCTTACCTTGATCCGCACTCAGCATGGGGATTTTACAGATTTTCGGGACTACAACATCTGAAACCTCGAAAAGACTAACCAGCATGTAGCAATGAAAATCATCACCCTTCCATACCATCTACAGTATACAACATTTGCTTACATCTGGGTCAGTTTAGGGGTGAACGTCGAACGTGAATCTTTGAATCTTAATCATTCACAAAGCATAATTATGTGACATGGTAAAAAAATGGTGTGTGGATCATGGTCGTCACACCATCATCAATGGAACTCCACAATTAATTTGCATATACCTCTGGTTATTTATAACATAACCATGGAAAATCACCATTTTACATATGGGTTTGTCTGAAAATAGGGTTAATATTCCCATAGTTTAATAGCCATTTACAAACGGGATTTTATGATCAGCAAAACCATTGGGTTTAAAAGTGACTAGGGCTACCCTAGACATTTTCAGACAAAGCCATATGTTTCATATGGGCAAAATCATGGGAAATCCACCATTTTTAAATCCGCGAAATCAACGGGCCATCGGCTTCCGTGGCTTCCATGGTCTTTCCGAGTCCCAGCATCGCAGTGAATCCCCGTTGCGGCCCCCAACGTTAAGAGAGTTGGTCAAATCCGAATCTGGAATAGTGGTTTAATAGATGTAAAACCGATTTTCTACCTTTTTTGGGTAGTACTATAATATCTAAAATGATTAGATAGCTATAAATATTATAAATCATGCTACATCTCAACAGTTGAAGCAATGTAGTCTTTTCGTATCGCCAAAAAAATCCTCTTTCAAATGTGATGAAGTACCGCTAAAATCATCAGAAAATCATCTATAACAACATACACAATCCATCAAAATCCATCAAAATCCATCAAAGTTCACTAAAACAACTGGTTGGTGGTATGCCTACCCCTCTGAAAAAATATGAGTTCGTCAGTTGGGATCATTATTCCCAAGATATGGAAAAATAACATTCATGTTCCAAACCACCAACCAGAAGTTCACTAAAACAACCTCTCAAAGGCACCCCATGTTCCTTTCTTTGCCATCCAACTAGTTTCCGCCGCTTGAGACATCCGACGCATGGATCTCTGGATCGCCATCTCCGTGGTCAAGCGCGTTGTAGATGCGGAAGAGATCCGAAGCGATGGGAGAGAAACAAAATCCTAAGATCTGCGGAGAATCTTTGAGACATGATGCAGATAATACAAATTTGGGATATGATTATGGTGAATATAAAGGTGAATGATTAATGGTTTTTATGGATAGTCATATGTATATATATATAATTATATATATATATGCAATTCTAATATGGAATATAACGGTGAACTGATTAATCTATATACTGTACATTAATTGTGATAGAATGGTGAGTTTTGAGGATTGAACCACCAAACATGGGGATATGATGGGAATAAACAATCGAGATATGATGGGATAGAATGGTGAATGGTTAATTATTATTGATAATGAGTAGTAAGGATTAATAGCAATTAATTTTTTAATGATGATTAATAATGGTAATATCATGAAACATATTGTATATTGGCGGTTGTTTGATACTGTAACTTGAAGCACCAAAAACAGGGATATGACGGGAATATATAGCTAACCAAACGTGATGGGAATATGTGATGACACGAACTAACAATATGTCAATGTTGGTTGACGGGAATAAAACTAGCATTGGCGAATGTTTTGACCACCAAAGCCATGGGTTTCAGCGATTTAACCATCAAGTATGGTGTTATAATAACTTTATAACATGTTATTAACTAGCCATAAGACATGGAGCCTAAAAATCCTAACATCTGCAAAGTTGTTTTGTTTTTTTTCGGGGCAGCTTGATTTTTTAAGCACCAAAGCTTGGGGGATTGCACGTCACTGATTTAACAGGTGCAGGGTTCCGGAGATTTAGAGGGGATTCCAGCTGGAAATCTTCTTCACCAGCCAGACGCATGAGATGTAAAGCAGGACGCCAACGAAACAACTGTGGAATATTCGGATTGAGCTAACAATAGTGTGATTACACTCAGCTTAGAACAAAAATCGGGCTAAATAGGTCTAAATAGAAGAACATAAACATATGACCGACCAAAATGAGGAGTTCGCGGAGAAGAACAGGAACATTGGGAACACTGACCCTAATAAATTTGGCGATGACAGGATGCAGTCGACGTGACTTGATTTTATTTCTTGGCTAACCGTTAGCGGCTAACCATGGTTCACAAGGATCCAAATTCATTACTGGTTGGTGGTTTCAACCCTGAAAAATATGAGTTCGCCAGTTGGGATGATGACATTCCCAATCTATGGAAAAATCATCCAGTCATGTTCCAAAGCACCAACCAGCAGTCTCACTACCTCGATTCTGTCATCACTAAACGAAGCCAAGGCAGGACTCTGCCGTCAAGCTTCCATCGCCAAAGGAGTGATAGCATTGAATCAACACAAAGGAGAAGTTCGATAGGTGATCCTGGACATGGAAAGATAAAAAGATACCTGGAATGTCATCAAACCCATCGAACCATACGTGTAAATCGCTACCATTCACCAGACGCCATTGACTTCCTCAACTGATTAGAAAGTCCTTTTTTTTTACTGGATATACTGCATGGATGTTAAGCCACTTATGTTCCAGCCGCCCCATCTGAGTAGTGCAATCTCCCACTCCCAGCTCCTTCTCTTGTGGCAATCGATTGGCTGTGAACGTCCGGAAAGCTTCCTGTGGCCTCGCCCAGAGCTGGAAAAGGACATCATGCTGATGGTACCCGCAGAATCATCATGAAAAAACAACAAGCCTGTTGGGTGATATCAAGGTAATTATGTGGTTTAAACAAAAGCATGGAATAAATATGAATAAATTGGTACTTTGTTAGCATGATACTCATCTGTGATCATGATAAAGCCACTTGGTCTCCCTTGTCCATTGTTTGATCACGAATCAAGATGATGATTTCACACATCACGAAGCACGGCTGTGACTTCCCTGCCCGCAAGAAATAGATAGAGGAGGTGCAGATACAATCATTGATATCTATGGTATATAGATAGGGGCGGGCTTTAAAAAGTGATTTACAATCATTTTTTTAAATATCTGTGGTATACAGAGTTAATCAACTTATGATTTCACTTTTTCAAAACCTCCCTAAAGAATCCTAAAGATATATCATGATATATCAACAAACACGTGCAACGAATGACATGAACATGACGGTGGAGACCCCCACAGACCATTTCGGTCCCCCAAGCGTTGACCATTGACCCAATTTGACACAGAAGCAAAAATAATCTCACCCAGATTGGAAGGCATTTCACCGGTACCCATCAATTGAAGAGGAAAATCTCGAGATTCTTGAAGTATTTGAAGTCTTGCACGCTTGATGAATTGTATTCCCCATTCAAAATAGTCCCTGATCCAGCCAGGAGTCCTCCCCATTTACCAAGTCCTAAAACAATTCCCCAAGGGACCCCAATCTGAAGGCCACTTGAACTTCGCTTGAGGTTGGAAAGCGCAAAAGGACCTGGCTGAAAACCAGCAGAAGAACTCACAAAACAACGCGAATCACATATGAAGTGTGAATCCTCTATGATTGATAATAATCATATAATATGTGAGTGGATAGGATTGGCAAAGTGAATGGCTGAAAGAATACTTACAGAGAATTGATGAGTTATTTTCTACCTAAATCTTGGAAATGCATGCGTCATTCTGGATACCCTGCAAAGAGTACGTTTTGCATATATTCCTCCAGGTTATGATCAAACATCAACCCCTTAAATTACAAAAACATGGTTTATCCTGAAGCGTGTGCGAAACTTTACTTCAAGCAAAGTCGAAATGAGTGCAATGATACAAAACCACTTTCTGTTAAAAAGGCTGAAGTGAAGCAAACCCATCTCAACATAAACACTGTTGTGAAGTAGTCGAACTTGTTGCACCAAGAACTGCTTCATGATGAAACATGATACTGTACAGTATTTCTACAATGATCACATACAGTATATGAACAAAAACATCACGTGGTGTCATTCAAAGTGAGAAAAACACATGCTTTCTTTGATGCTACCTACCTACCTACACACACACACAAAAGGCCTATACAACATAGAATGACACCAGCATGATCCAGATAAAAATTCAACCTGATCTCTTTCGCCCCATGTTCAGCATGATGCAGAGTATCAACTATAGTAGGCCAAATTTACTAACCACACCCACAAAGATAATTTGAAAACAACATGTTCAGTCTTATTCAAAATATACAAGTTGAATATTCTCAGGAATGGGCTGCCACGAACTGATTGAACTGCTTGAACTGGTTGAACCATGTCTTTCAATGAACAACTACTGAAACCGAAACCAGCGTTCAGTTTTGCTAGTCTTGTTTTGCAACTTCAAGGTTCTTGAGTTGCAGAGAAGGCATCATCAGAGTTTGATATATCATCTGGTAATTTGATATAGCTATGGAACATGGCCCGTTTAGTTCGATGATTTACCTATGGTGATTTTCCATAGCAAACTGTTAAATTACCAGAGCGTAAACCCATTAATCATCACTAATCCTCATCACTAATCCCATTGATTACAACATTAACATACCATTAAGAAAAACCCTTAGATTTCCTTTTTGAAGGTAAATCCTATGAAATTACGCCATTGAAGGATTATTTCCCAGCTAGAAACATCAATGGCTAGGCCGGGATTTCCCTACCATGGCCTCTCCACCCCGCTGCAGCCGTCCACGCAGCAGGAAATTCTGCATCCGCGCTGAATCCTCCGGTGGCAGCAATTTGGCGGAGACCCAACGATGCGCATCCACATAGACCTGGGAGACCCCCTAACTTAGGGCGTTTTGGGTTTTTTTGGGTGAAAAAATGGGTAGAACTATGGGTTGAGAATGGGCAGATGAATGGGTAAATTATAACATATGGGTTGATATGGGATAACTATGGGATTTAAACCTCCATAACTATAGTGCAGGTTTTTGGGCAGATGAAACTGCTTGTGAGACACTAGGAGGGCAGGTGGAGTAGGCTTCGGGTTGATGGCACCACAACTCTGTTGGTGGTTCACGATCGTCATGGTGCTAGCTCATCAGCAAGGTTTGACACATCCCACAATAGTAGGACTGCTGAAGCATCTCAAACAAGGACTCTATTCCTTCAGACCACTAATGATGACAACATGAGTCACGAACTATTGCCATGCAGAAACAGACCTGTGCCAGAATGATACATGCTACCCTGCGTTGCTGTCCATTCAAAAGATGCTGACACATGGACAATCACTTAAATGTACAGACTCTGTTCATGGCCAACCGGCCAACCTTAGAGATACCTTGCAACAAAAAGAAATTGGTTGGTACAAAGTCCCAATTCTGGTCCCAAAACTATCCAAAAAGTATTGATTTAAACTTTAAACCACAAAATCCAATGGTTTCTCGCGTGTTCACAACCTTTTCCAGTTGAGTCCAGACCCGAGCCGCGAGATCCTCGCCATCGCGAAGAATGGAAACGTGTCCCCCTTGGCATTCCCAAACGCCCTCCACGGGAAGCGTCAAACGGAGAAGCGCCACCTCGAACCTGGCAGCGGGACAGGGTGAAACCAGGAACAGGACCCCCCCAGGGTAAAAATGGCCGACATGTCAGTGCTGTCTACCTACCTATAAAATCCTATAAATATTATAATCTTAATCGCTCTCCTATAGTTTCAGTATATAGTGAATCATAGAGTGATAGTATGTGCTATGGTGCTGGTCATGTACGTATGCTGAACGAAAGATTCGCTTCCATTTCGATATGGCCATGGTTACCGCTGGCACCGCTTGCCAGTAGCATCTCCAAGACAAGTCACGGTGGGCGCATCGTGCGGTTTTGCAGCAGCTTCTCCAGTTCATTCTGACCTGCAGCGCCAGTCTGTAATACTTGAAAAGAATGCAAGATTGAAGCAAATCTCCAGCGCAAGATTCCATTTCTCCGAAAGTCCCAATAACTCATGCATTACCTCTGGGTCGATGGTGAATTATCATGCACTATTACGTACTACTTTGCCAGCTAACATTAGCCGTTTGACTCTCGGGTTTTCGAATTTGGTCATTTCGCAGCAGGAACATGGTGTCAAATGAGACAAGTGTCATCGTGCCATGAATCGAGGACAATCTTTTCAGTTGGATAAACAATGGCCATACAGCCCCTCACAAAACTGGTTGGCGGTATACCTACCCCTCTGAAAAATATGAGTTCGTCAGTTGGGATTATTATTCCCAACATATGGAAAGTCATAATCCAGCCATGTTCCAAACCACCAACCACAAAATATGAGGGGAAGTCGACACTGAAATCTTGATGTGACACCAAAAAAAAGTCATGATGACTTTGTCACAGATGCTCTACATGAACAAATAGATTATCAATCTTAGAAGGCTTGAAAGCGACCCACATAGCAACAGATAGCATACCGAAGGGTCCAGACTAAGAATGAAACCAATCTGTTTCTTTACCCAGGCATGGATGAAAACATCATGTTGACAAACCGGCGATCAGAACTTATATCTCAACACTGTGGCCAGAACAATTATATTTAGGCGGAATGGAGGTCAGGTTCTTACAAGGACCATGAAAATTGCCACTTGGGATTCCGTGGACGCCAGTGTGGGTACTTTCTCGTGATTGTGCAGATTCCAAGTCACGATCGGCCAGGTGGCGATACTTCTGGTATAAAGGCAAGAAATGGAAAAATCAAATGAGAAGTGCTTCATTTGGCTTGTGATACACAGGGAATCTGTCAATCAAATTTTCAACTTAATGGTCGCTGCCATTTAGTAGTTCCAAACGAACTGCGAACCACTCTCTAGGGCCTCCCTCAGTTGCCACAGTTTTTATCCTTTCATCCGGAAATAATTGGGGTTTTGGAGGAGGAATCAAATGGTTCATGTGGATCTGTTCAAGACTTTGGTACTCCAAGATACCACTGTATACTGTATATTATATATATATATCCCTTTGTTTGTCATCGCCCCAGTTACTTGCCATAAATTGGGGGATACCATATCCCATATCCCATTTTTCTGGACGAAGCCATGTTTGAGCTAGTAGTGCTTTATGCGATCCAAAAGGCCTTTGCCTTCATGATCTTCAACACCCGCTCTATTGGGACACGTATTGGGACACGCACTGCTCATCTGACTGCATCATCCCAATGCTGCAGCACTTGTCGGATAGAACGGCTTTTGCTCACCACAACATGGTACGCACTTAGTAATGTATGGTGCTTTCCAAACATCATCTGTCAAAGTCACCTACGCTTCTCATGGTCGGATCCTTGGCATTACTTTTGCGAAGAATGCTCCACGCCAATCCGTTGAGAGTTCGCATGACGGGTAGCTGGTGCTGTTTCGCATACAATTTCATGGCCTGAAACGTTTCTTCAAGAGAGTAGTTGGCAGAATGCCCTGCTTGAATAGTTTTGTTTTTTTCCAAGATTTGCAGTACAGCTTTGATGGATCTTGCTGGATTCTTGATTTGCCATCTTCCCCCTGTCAAATCAGACAGAAAAGCCACTCGCAAGTTCCTGTCAACATCCACATGATTATCACCTGGACCTGGAAGCCAGCCAAATTTCCTCAAAGAGCCCTTGTTCTCCGCTGAATTGAGGAATAAAAACATTGCCTCTGGCACGTCTGTGTTGAATTGGTCCAAATATCCAAGGCGTGTCAAAGCCCTGATTGCCAGGTCTGGAGAATCCTCTAGGATGAAAGGGCCACCGCCCCTAAACACAGCACGGGCTTTTGCGTAACCAAATGTCTTCTCTTCATTCTTCTTCAGACTACCTCGTTTTGCAGTGATGGGCAGAAAATATGCGAGCTTTCTCAAGTACTCTTTGCAATTACGTTCAACTGCGAATCGAGATCCTGCAAGGACGCCATGCACAGCCTTCACTGCAGGCTGGAATGGAAACACAGTCAGGGATCCCAACTGGTTTGTGTACCAAAACTTAACACATTTCGAAACTAAATCCCCGTGGTTTGCCTCTCCGTAGCCCAAATTTTGAATAAGGCCTTGCCACCTCCTCATGAATCGGGGCAAACATGTCATGCGAATCTGGTTCGCCGTTTTCATCCACAAGCTCGACTGAACCACTACCATCTCGGTCGAGGATTGCCCGGACCTGGCTTCGACCTCGGCCTCTCGTGGGCATTTCCAGAACTTTGATGCCTTGCCTTTCATAATTTTGTATCGTGCCAAACATGCATGCAGGGATGAGCACCACAACATTGGTGCCCCTCGATTGGAGGTCAAGAATCGCGTCAGCAAAATCGATGTCCTGTACCAGGAGAGCTATACAAACAAACGGCAACTTGGACAACTTCTGCATCGCTTTGGTAATAGCTTTATCATTTGGCTCTGCCAAGATATTCTTTGAGCTTCGGTGAATGGCTCGAAATGAAATTCCAGCCTCTTGCATGAACGTGCTCCATTTCTTGTTCCGACACCTCTCAGGTGGAGCAAACAGAGTTGTATCAACATTATGTCCCTGATCTTTCAGCAATCCAATGGCCTGCTTAATGGCATCAACGCTGTGACAATCACCGTCTACAAGCAATTCCGTCCTGCTAGAAGAAGCCAACCAAAGTTGAGGCTTCCGACTCCGCTGACCTCTCGAACAGCGACCCAAGAAGCCAACTGAGGAACCCAGGACCAACGAATGGCAGCACTGCCGTTGACTTCTGGGTTTCGGTGCAGTGCCACAATGCGCACGGCTGATGCGTTGCCAAGGAGACAAGGATGAGGCGATGGGTTCAGCATGGGGGTGTCCACACTGTACGCCAGTGCTGCATATGGCCATGATGGCTGCAGATGCTGCAGGATGTTGGGGCTTTAAGAATGTTGTTGGGAACATTAATGATTAATATCACGTGCTGGCTGGCACCGAACGTATCTGAATGACATGTCAGGATGGCAAAGGGGGTTCGTCTGCAGAAAAATCATGGTAATCTTCTTGGCAGGTGGCCATTCTTCAGTTCCCTTGACACAAACATGCAGTCACCGGCCCACCGGATCTCTCAAGTGCAAATCAAGACACGCAGCTTGTGTTACACAAATGCAGTAAATTCTCTGACATGGTTGATTCCATAGTACGGTAAGCAGCAACCCCCCAAAAAAAAAGGAAACGATCATATAAAAATCAACTAAACATCACCAAACTATACTAAAATACCGGTAAATTACTTGCTATCCACTGTTTACATGTCTGTACTCACCACACTCCCCCATACCCTCCCCACCATAGACATCCATCACGGAGAAAGGAGTCTTCGCTGTATCGATCTCCTTGATGGTCCTCAGCAACAATGATAGCAACGGTCATCAAGCAACGGTCATCAAGCCGCAGCGACTGTTGGTTTGATCCACTGGGATGAGTCCCACTTTTATCCGCATGTTTCTTTCTTCAGGTGCCATCATCTAATGATTTACCTCTTGCCGTTTGTACACATTTGTACAGTATGTGGAACAAATCCGTTGGTTCCTGAGGTCCTCAGTTCTTCAATTCGGACATATGTTGGATAATATAATCCCTATAATATATCATCAACTAACCGTCATTATATAATCATTTAAGGAGCTAAGTGTTACATCTTGACTTTTCTTCATGTTGAAATAACAAGCAGACAGGAACACAAAAAAATATCCTTGAACATGGGTGTGAAAAAAAAACTAGCGCAAACCCAGCGGGTTTGCTAACGCTGCCTTGCAGACTTGGTGAATTTAGTTGCGTGCCGCCTCATAACGAAGAGGAAAAACAACTAGGTCCACACTAATTATCAACAACTAGTACGAAAAAAAATGTCAACTATTTTTGGCAAATGGTATATGTATATATACATATAATATATATTATATCCCCTTGTTCGTTGCAAAATATGCTTACCCTCTGGTAAACTAACATAGACATGGAAAATCACCATTCTAATAGGTCCATCGTCGAACAAAATAGGCCACTTTCCAGCGCAAACGGTTGGTTTACTGGAAGGTAAATCCGGATGAACAAACTCATTAAATCACCATTAAGTCCCCCAAAAAAACCATGGAAATCACCATCTTTGCCGATGAAATCCCATAAATTCACCATTTTTCATCTCCATCATAGTGATCATTCCCATCATTCCCATCATTTCCATTATCCTCATCACTATGGAGATGAAAAAATCCCATCATTCCCCCATAAATTCATATAAATTCACAATTTTTCCACTCCATCAATTAAAATCCCATAGTCATTCCCATAGTCATTAGCCATAAATCCCATCATTCTGGGTAAATTATAATAATTCACTAACCTGAAATAAGGCCATTTGGGGATGATTTCCCTTATTAACCATGATTCCAGTGAGGTCGCAGTGAGGTAATTTACCCAGATCATTCCCATCCCCCAAAAAAAAACGTCAAGGCACCTGGCACCCGGCACCGTCACCCGTGGCCACGCCCTCCGCAGCGCTTCCCCCAGCCCTCGCAGCGTCGACGATGTCGAAGCCCGCGCGAGCGCCGCGTGGAGGGCGCCGCAGCTGAGCCTGCGAAAAAAATGGGGAAATCCACCAGTTTTTACCAGGGAAAATCACGAAAAATAGTGGTTTTACATGTTTTACCATGTTTCACCAGCGAAATATGAGGATTTCATGTATTTGATAATGGGATATCACGGAAAATAATGATTTAACCAGCAAAAGAATGGATTTGGCGAAATTATCGTGGATTAACCATTGGAACAGAACCAAAAATAGTGGTGTAACCAGCAAATATCAGGGATTTATGGAGATGTCATATATGTGATAGTGGGATGTTACATGATTTCAACATATTTCAACCATTTGCACCAGGAAAATAACCAAAAAATAGTAGTTTTACCAGTAAATATATAGGTGGTTTATGGGAATTTCACGTGTTTGAAATGGGATTTCACATGATTTCACAATTCTTGGTTTAAAGAAAATGGTTTAAAATAGTGGTTGAAAAGAAACACAAAAATAACAAAAAATAACCAGCAAAATTGAGGATTTAAGATGGATATTGTGAGGGTAGGGCATACCCTTCAAATGGCAATCTAAATGGTAAAATGATAAATTCGTGGATGTTGGGGTACTCTCTGTTCAAACAAACTCAACGATAGGAGGAATATCTATAAACGGGGGGATAATGGAGGCATGTTCCAGGATATGTCAAGGGACGACATCAGACAAAACAACAAAATTGAATGTGAGTTTCTTTTTTGCAGTCAGTGCAACCATGGGGATCTCACTCCAATGGTGGGGGAGTCATCTATACAAGCGTGAAACCCGTCACACCAAGCAACACGAAGGATCTGATGGCAATGGGATCTTTGGGCTGGACCCTCAACGCCGGATGTCGTTCTTGCAGGAGTGCTACCTGAGCCATTTATATAGGTACAACATGGTACAACAGGGTCCGGTCATTGGATGCTTCAACATTGCTTGAGAACATAGAGGACTGTCTGAAATTCGGGTATATCCCCAATAATGGATATCAAAAGAGAACACGATGATACAGTAATCCATAGGAATGGGGGATAACCCCATTTTCAGACGAATCAAGATATACAAATCAGATGTTGAGGTCCCACCAATGAATAGAAGGCGTTCCGGGCGTTAAAATATGACCCCAGAAAGCTTCTGGTGTGATTCAGCAACACCTGTACCAATGGGTCATAAAAACGCCTGTGTCTAGTGGATGGATCATACCAAAAGTATGCTTTTTGATGCTTCAGATAGCCCCAAAAAATGGCAAAAAAAATTGTATTCTTGCAGCTTCCTGAGTAAACCCACAATTCAAAGAACAATCAGTTGAACAGTGGCAAAGTACTATGCATGTTGGAGCCACTACCTACTGTAAATCTGACCACATCTGGATGCTAGGAAATATTTATGAAACTCTCAGAGTCACGCAGTGTCATATATATATATTATATATGCTATACTTATATATATATCAAATAGTAAGAAACAATGTTTGCCTAACCTAGCGAGATTAGTTTAATATATATATATATACACATGGTAATATGAGTTTTACAATAATAATTTGTAATATCTATATCCAATACAATATTATTGTATATGATTGCATATACACATTCATAGTTATAAGAGTTTTTGTGGATTCTGGATGTAAATGACGATCAAACCCACGTGTTACTGCTTAAAAACCCCACATCATCGAGGTACCACCTCCCTCCGCACCAATCGTCCCAGTCGCCGCCCGTTTCATCGACTCCATGTTCACATCGCGTGGGCCACGGCACAGCCAGGGACCCCTCAGCCGAAGGTTTATATAGTCACCACTAAGAAGGGCGTTTAAGAACCAGAAAAGCTGATTTCACCAGCAAAAATCAGGAATAAAACTCAACAGCAATTGGGATAATTGATAAATTTACACATATACGGTATACGATAGGAAAATGCAGAATTGAACCATCAAAATGAAGGAACATCGGGATTTAACCGCCAAAAATGGGGGATTCGTAGTGGATTTATAACTATTTGACTAGGCTAACAGATAAATGTATGCTGGAGAGATCTATAGTTGGATCGGGTTATAGACCAAAAAACACAACTGGTGCTGGTGGCTTTTCTTTAATAGATGGGATATCCATTGAGTCCATCCAAAAATGGATGGACATCATCAACAAAAACATTTGGGCATGTCATCCAAAAAAAAAACATGGTGGGTGGTGGTTGAGACACCTATGGATTGGAGCTATCTTGTCGCGCCAAGCAGTCCACGCGGCATGGCTTGATGTTGCCCAGGTGTATACCAAATGGCATACCTCAGCGGATGCTTCCTGGGGATCCCAAATCTTGACGTCCAAGGAGAGGGGCAAAAGAAATAGGTCAATAATAGGTTTCAGCAATAAACACTGGTACAGAACTCACCTCTAATGTCATCCATCGAGTATGCTGGGTGCAGTCATGATTTGTCCAAGTTTTTGTTTATGCAAAACATGGATCGAATTCATGTTCAGGCTTCCTCATTTTGAGACAACCCCCTGTATCAGGGAGAAGGCTCACTTGTGCCCAGATTGATATGACCACAGGAACATCATGGGCCATGGGGACCACGAGCCAGTGACAATCCGCCGCCCAGGAAACAATCTAGTCAACTAGGGGAAATCATCCCACACAAGCATACTAACAATACAGATTCCAACATCTTTGAAAAATATGACAGCAAAAAAAAATCAAAGAATTTTCATTGCTGCCTCGTCAAAATCCTAGGTGGCATTTCAATCCGGTTTCACTTGCTCATAGAGGTTTTACTCTCTTCCCATGGTACACAATACCCATTTCACATGAGAGAGCACCAGCGAACTCGCGCATTTGCTCATCGAAAAGGTCCAGATCTTCCCAGTCAAATACGGGGTTCGAAGCTTGGTTTCTGCTCAAATTCAGCTATTTTCAGGCTCAAATTGCTGATTTGGTGAGGGTCCTGATTTTCTATTGCTTCAACAAATGGAGGTTTCCTGAAATAGGGCTACCCCTACATTATCCCCTTTCTTTTCGGATTTTCCCCTAAAAAAACCATCCATTTGGGACGCCCTGGCTCCACCCGTCTCCATCCAGGCGTCTCCATCTCCGAAAACGTCGTGGCCGGCGAGGACGTCACGGCACCGCAGGGCGCCGAGGTGACGCTCGACGTCGCCAGGGCGCGGAGGGAAGAGGCCTGGCGCACCTGGGGCTGCTGCGTTGATTCACGGAAAATGAATATGTCCAATAGATTCCAATAGAATATTTCAGCACCTGGAGTAGAATTCTGTATATTATATATATATAATATCTATAATAATACATGGAATTATGGAATATGAATTTGGCATAGTTCTGGACCAGGTACCAATATTGTGTAGAGGTGATCTAATGTCGATGCAAGGCTCAATGGAATATTTCCAGAAAACATGGTCTTATATGATCCGTTTTGGGGTCCTGAAATGCCCATTGGCCTATAAAAGTACCAGAGATGTGATTTAAGCTGCATGGTACAAAGACATACAAAGACAAAACGATGAACAAACGCAAGGACAAACCAGCACTTGGTTTGATAAACAAAAACCCGCCATAAAGCACGGTTGATCCAATAACACAAAATCGTTGTAAGATGGTATACAGTAAGATTGGTATTCATATCGAATCATTGGGGTATAATATGGTATAATGATCTGTTGCTGATGGTTCACAGAGTCAACGTCACCACCCCAAATGGTGATAGAATGTGATACAGTGATAATTATTTGCCAACAATAATCATCATTTGATTGCTGTTTGGTGTTATTTTATTTTTTACCACCACAAATATTGGTAATTTAACTGCAATTGGGATATGTCATGGGGATGTGATTCAACAGCAGAATCCTGATTGAGCTTGGGCTTGTTAAACGCTTTGTTATTTTTGTTTCGAAACATATGGTTAAATTAAATCATCACATCCCCCGTTCAGAAATTAAACAGGTGGCAGGATCCATTGTAGTGTTTGGTGTGTTTGGCAACAGAATAGAACAGATTGCTGTGCAAACCAGACCCTCAGTTTACATTGATAAATTTAAGATCATCATTTTTACATATTTTTACTCTTCTAGTCCTTTTGCCAAATTTGATGGGTGAAGTAATCGTGAACTCAGGCGCCACATCGGCACGGAGGTCTATGCCATGGCTCCGGAGGGTGCTGGTCAAAAAGCTCACCTGGGCTGGGGCGATCTGAGGCCTCTTATGGCAAGATGAATAAAAGAAATTAATGGAAACTGGAGATTGCATGAAGATTGGGATTTATTTGGGATTACCTAGCCTTGAGGATAAGTCAGGATAAGTAATACTTGCTGACTTGCTGCTTTATTTCAGGAATCGTGTCTGTGGGTTAATTCATCCTCTGGTCAGACCCTACGTTTCCTATTAGATTGACTGCCCGGCAAAAATCGGGATCCAACAAGCACATATCGGATTTACAGGGAGTCCGCTGTGATAAATTAAACAAAAAACATAGGGATCTAACATGATCTAACTGGCAAAGAGATCCGATTTACCAGCAAAGATTAGGATATAACCAGGGATATGAACAAAGCGACTGCTGGTTTGGGCACAAGAAACTTGAGACGACGCACAAACGACATGAAGACTAAACAAAATATCTCAAAGATTTTGAAAGCACCAGCCAGCCATGCTTTACCCAAATGGAGGTTTCCTAGTGGCTTGGGGTACCCCTGGAAATCATCCATCTTATTTTCTATTTTCAGATGTTCCATGAAATAAATCATCCAGCTACTGGGGTACCCCCATTTATGTCCAACTTAAACATCACCCAACTATTGGGAATATAATATAATATCCAGCAGAATCCAACAGATATCTGAAGGTGATGTTCAAAATCCCCAAAACGGGACATTTACCGAAAACCCCTGATGATTCACCCATGTAAAACCATTCATAGCGATTATTAACATACATTAAAACCATTTATGAACTTATCATTCGCCATCATTAGCCATATATTGCCATATATCTCCCCCATTTTCCCATTTCCCGAAAGCCCCCAAAAATATCCCGATTTACCTGGCAGTGTGTCAAAACCTTGTACCCCTGGTGAACATCAAAATAGCTGGTAAATGGATGTTCATCCTCCTAAAAATGGTATTAATAGGTATTGACCCATACCCATTGACCTGAACTTCTGAACGTTCTGAACAGCCATCATCCAAGGGACCCGCAAACTGTCGAGACCACTTAAAGGTGCATCCAGATCCACTCCTGGCATGGCCTGCCTCGGGCCATCGGGCCACACGACGAAGAAAAGGGGCTTTGAATGGCCAAAAATGGCAGGCTTGGACTAACAAAAAAGGGAGTTTCTGCAAGTGAAATATGGGTTTTGTGATGTTTTGTGTTTTTGTTGAATGGGAAAAAAAAACATATTGTCAAAGCCAAAAATGGGATGGTTGATCAAACAAATATGATTCTAATATGATAATCTCAGCAGCATAATATATTGGTCTTAGTATGTCTTAGTCACATTTGACTGCCAACCACGGGATGGTAAAACATGGTAAAACACCAGGGACAATTAAGCTACTACATCGGGGCATCAACCAGAAATGGAATGGTGAATTGGAGATCAAATGTGAACCCCGTATGGGACATATAGGTTTGCACAAACCGCATGAAATGAATAAATGGTGAATTCATATCAGACCAACCATCATCTGTGCTTTTGGGAATCCCTTGTATGACTTGCAAACCAAAGCAGCCAATTGCACATGTTTGGTCAAAGCTGTGTCCTAAGAACACTTCAGCAAATCGTGTTCCTCCCAAAATAAGTCCAACATACTTTGAAGACATCCAATACTCTCTGGAAAATGGTCCCATTTGTCGCATTTACAGATGATATACATACATATATGTTACATATACATACCAACAATGGTTATTTTCCATGGCAAAGTGTTAAATTATGTTAAATTACCATTCGGAACTGCGACACGCAGAATCAAAAGATTGTTCATAGATTGATCATCTGCATCATCTTCGAGAGCCCAATGTACCTACTGCCGCATCCGATCAAGCGTAATTTTGTAAAATGTCACTTTGAGATTGCTTAAACATTGCTTAAACAAACTGCTTCTTATTGCTACGAATTATGTGTAATATATGTGTAATATATATTGTATAATATATGTGTCATATTTGTGTAATATATGTGTAATATATGTGTAATATATAGGCCTATTCATGCCTATTCATGCCTATTCTACTATTCTACCAAAATGTCTGAGGTGAAGCAAGAAAGAACACAGAATCCACAACACACATTCGCAAAGCCTCAGCGCCAAAGATGCTGTAGCAGCTCCAGCATTCGCACCGCATCGACGCCTCCGCTGGCATCTCCGCTGGCATTCCCGCTGTCCGTGGGTGCCGTGAAGGTCTGCAAGGCCCAGTCCTCGACAGGCCACAGCATGGCCAGTAAGGAGATGCCTGTGGAGAACACATTCCAACGATCGAAGCATGGCACGGGGGTTGCAGGTGGATTTCTACGAAAAACGATGAAAAACGGGCATAACATGATATAAATAAATAAATATATATATAAATAAATATGGCAACACCTCCAAAAGTTGGGATGTAACTAACCACAGCAATTATGGCCATGTAAGGACTGAATTATGAAGTGGAACTGCACCCGAAGGACAGCAGGCCTTGTTTTAAATATGGAACCCTAAGGCCAAGATCCTGTTGTAGAATCGACTAACAAAGACAGCATGTTTCTGGTTCCAGCTGAAGTTTAGGGGCGTATTATTGTATTTACGTTCCGGTAATCAAACATGGTTATGGAAAATCTTTCATGTCTAAGTGATCGTTGTTTAAATACAGTTACCATCTGGTTATTTAACATAGCCATGGAAAGATCCACCATGTTTTAGAACGGTAAACCATCTATTTCTGTGGGCCATCTATACCATGGCAAACTGTTAAATAACCAGAGGGTACATGATGTTACATGATCATCGGGGATGTCTCGTTGCCATGCTAAAAAAGGGTCAACTGGGGAAACTTTCCAGTCGTAGCAAGTGGCAACTCCAAAAGACATGTCCTGCCAGAAATCAAAGATGGTTACGATAGTTGCTGTACGGTTGCTCTGTGTTCAATGATTTTAAGTGCTAGACATGTGGATTCTTCTTCCAGTAGCTGCAGTAGCTCTTTAGGTAGAAGCACCTTGATTCTCTTTTGTCTTGCAAAAGTTGGGGATGGACATCCCATGGCCATCTCAAATGACACCCCAAATGACGACCTTTCGACCTCCTTCCCCGGTCACCACAACAAGACACGATAGCGCTACGCGAGAACTTCACAGGAATGGATGCATCCGGTGATTCCTGGTGCGGGAGCCACATGTTTGGAGCCCCCTAGACAGCTAAGTTGGTTTAGAATCAACTTCATATAACTATGATTTTTGATACTTCTGAGTATAATCAACGAGGGTTGCAACCCAACTTACAGTATACCTGGGGTGGCCACATTGTATGGGTCAAGTTATTCGGGCACCCCAAAATAGATGGTTCAATGCCAGAAACATGACCTTTTTGTCTGTGGGTTGGCGGCCTCACATTTCGACCCATACAGGATTAAGGGTTTTGGTCAGCACAACTCTGGAATGCCATCAACATCCATCAACCTTATAAGTTCTCAGCATTGTCTGGTTGGTGGATCGAGTTTATATAAATCATCCGGAGTAATCACCAACCAGGTGTTCAGTGGAAAAACACCATAGACCATATGGACCATACTGTAGCCCTCCAATTGCTTGCAAGCAGGCAGCCAGCATTTCACTTTGCTCTGCTTTTGCTTCTTGTGCCCGCAACTTTGTCGATTCCTAGAGAACCAGAGTCACTCCCACGCTGGCAACCTGGTTGGGTGTGGTTGATGGGTGTAAATCTTGGGAATGAGTTGAAACTCACCTACCAGGTGAATGGATTCCACTTCCAGAGATTCCTATTCATTTCATTCTAAACTGCTATACAACCATCTCACCAAAACTTCGGTCACCCAATGGAAACAAAAACCCCTCACATGTGGCTACAATAGCGCTGAAGCCTGCCTCAAAAGTGATATTTGGTGACCCAAGAAAAATCAAATGGACGGTTGCAGATCCTCAAAATATCCACAGCAATCTTGTGGGCCCAATTGACTTGACTTGTTGCTCATAAGAAATTATTGCTTATGTACTTAAATTATATATCATTATATCCATAGAATCCAACTCTGCCCTGTAGAATCCTCATGTAAAAAAAACACTGGACCCACACTCATCTACAGATATCTACCGTGAAGGCTGTTGAGTTCCCCTGTCCTTCCATCCATCCAATGTGCCAGCGATCCATCCTTAATGTGACGCAGCTACGTCAGGTTTGATCCAATGGAACCCAATGGCTGTTTTCACGGAACATTTGCAGGAAACCATGCCTTTTACCGCCCAAGAAAAAACTGCGTTCCTGTGACTCTTCCCTTCAACCAATGCTGGGCCTAATAACGTTGCATACCTCCTAAAACAAATATGTTCATATCAAATACAGGACTGGGTTGTATGCTCAAAGGCAAAGGATATCTGAGTACCCATGTCTGTTTTCCAAATCTAAATTGCTTTATGGATGCATGGTTTGATTCTCAAATGCCAATTCATAGATTTCACCCACATCTGAGAGGATTCCGATATATATATATATAGTATATATATATATAGTATATATATATATATGTATATATTATGTAGTTATAATATATATATATATTAATACAACATGCCTCCATGTACACCTCAACTTCAAGCCGTTGACCTGACAATACGGTTTACCCAAAGATTCTCCTAATGGGTGCTGTAGATATGCCATGTCTCAAAAAAATAACATGAGCACAGTTGATAACCAATCCATACCAATCCTGAAGATGTGTGAATGAGTACAACTTGCAACCAACAAACATCCTGACCTTGTGGTTTTGTGCATCAAATCCACATCTGATACCTCCAGATCATCCAAGAACAGAACATCACAAAAATCAGAAAATTCCATTTCGATCTACCATCCACAGAAACAACTGAATCGTGTCCCTGTGCCACATGTGCCACGGTCGAAAGAAATTTCTCACATCAGAGACCTTTGCATTTGTTTGTGACTTATTTTTGGGTGTTGAATGACAAATGTGCGTGTTTTTTGTCGAATTTGGTCCCATATCGTTGCAACATGTTTCAACAGTGTGGGGCCGAGCCACGGTCATGGGCCAGCAACTCTGCCTCGTTCTTTGGATACCTTCGGGGGTCATGTTGCAACCCCATATGGCTCCATGTCTATCCATTTGAATCATATATATATCTACGATTTTTGGGTCATTTTGGAGGGTAAATGTTGGCAAATATGCGTTGATCAAATTGGCTGTCCATTGGGGCGAGTCAATCCACTGATGTTTTAGAGGTGCCCCCTGAATTTTGTCGTGAAAATCCATGGCTTTTGTCGTTCGTAATCCCCACCGTTGCTGATTAAACATCCCCATTTAGGGATGGGTCAAAACTCACACCCTTTCATATATATCTGGGTAAATTATAATATTTCACTAACCTGAATTTAGGCCATTTGGGGATGATTTCCCTTATTAACCATGATTTCCAGTGAGGTCGCAGTGAGGTCGTTATAATTTACCCAGATATATGTAGTTTTTCCATGTTTTCCATACATGTTGCATCATTTATCAATCATATGACCATCATGTTTGATGATTAAAACATATTAAAACATGTTGAAACTCCCACCTGGGAAAATTATGATATTCCCAAACCAGATTACTTCAGCCATTTCGGGATGATTTCCCCCAACCATCGTCGCCCTAACCATCATCAGTGAGGTCAAACGGCATCCGTGTCAGCGCCGAGAAGCTCTTCCCACTGCGTGGCCGTGGAGCGCGTCACCGGCATTGCCGCCTTCCAGCTGTACCAGCGCCGCGAACCAAAGACTTTCCGCTTCGACAGGAAGCGAAGGACCTGCACAGTGGACGTGCATGGCAAAGTGGAAGGGACGGTTGGAATTTGTTGTTGTTGATGTTTGAGTGATAATTTGGCATGGTGACTATGTTTAAGGTTCAACTAAACATTGTTTTGGCGATGTTTGGACTGACCTTATGGCAGTTTTTGGTTGAATTGCTAAAATAAACAAGTTGGTTTGCCATGGTTTGCTCTTTCAGAAAACAATTGATGGATGGCCAAAAAGTCACCATTGTACGCCTCATCGAGCCAGTCGGTGCTCCCATGTAACTGCCTGACCAGCTGACAGTGGGATGTTGCAACGATGAAAACTAGGGTTGCAAGGCGCCAAATGCAGTTGTTAATTTACTTATGCATATCTTATAGTTTTGATATAGATATGGATAATCTTTCGGATATATATGCATATATATATATTATATATAGATTATATATTTATTATTTATTATATCTGTTATAGAAAATATTTAATAGAAATTAAATATACTATATACACAGATTATATGGTATAAATACAATTTATTATATATATATGTGTAAATTATTAAACATATTATACATAAGTATATACTATTATCTATAAAATGTATAATATATATTATTACACATATTATACATTATTTTACAAATGATATATATATATATCTATTATTATTATTATTGTTTACATATTATATATTTTATAAAATATATTAAAAAATATATGCTATATATTTATGTTTATAAATGTGTGTTTATATATATTATAAAAACAAATAAACATATAATAAATAATATATGTAGTTGTAGTTGTCCCTCTATCTATCTGTCTATCTGCAAGCTTCAAAGCGCAGCTATTCTGCGTGACTTCCTCGGTTTTGGAACCTAACATCGAAAACGCCGCAATTCTGCGGCACATCCTCAATTTTTTACCTTGGCAAGGTCAAAAACGAGACAAGTCTACAAAACCTGCTTCAAAAACGGAAAGTTGAGTGCAAAGCCGCCGGCCTCGTACCAATGCGTTGTGCACTTTTGCCATGCATCTGTTTAAAGTGCTGCCCCTGCACCTGCCACGCAAACTCACCTTGGAAAACCTGACGGTCTGATGTTCCAAAATGCAACATCTTTCTTATCTTTCTCATCTTATCTTTCTTATCGTTCTTATCTTTCTTATATGTTCTTTCTTTTCTTTCTTTTCTTTCTTTTCTTTTTTTTCTTTTTTTTTCTTTCTTTCCTTTCTTTCCTTTCTTTTCTATCTATCTATCTATCTATCTTTTTATCTTTCTATCTTTCTATCTTTCTATCTTTCTATCTTTCTATCTTTCTATCTTTCTATCTATCCATCTCTCCATCTCTCCATCTCTCCATCTCTCCATCTCTCCATCTATCCATCTATCCATCTATCCATCTATCCATCTATCCATCTTTAACCATCATTAAGCATATAATAAACATCATCATTAACCACATATGAACAGTATATGAACCACATAGAAATCCACATGAGTAGGGCTATCCCTGAATCCCATGGGATGACAATCCAAGGCTGGCAGATGCCCTTCATCAGCTGGGCATCTTCGATTCGGCTCTGTGACCCGTCGGGCATCGGATTTTTTTTCGAGGTCAAAGAAAAAACACATTAGACTTAGTGGTTGATGGTTAGAGGCTTAGAGCAGGGCAAGCTCTATCGCAGCCAGCCTCTGCATGACCACGGACAGTGTCTGCAGAAGCTGCTTGGTGGAAGCCTCACCCGCATTGTGGCAGCCTCGCCTGAGGAGGTCGGCCACATACGCCCTCACAGCGGTGCTGCCCGGAGGGACACTCTGGCGGCAGCGGGTGCACCAGCACCCCCGCTCGGTCTTGCAGAGGGACCGTGGGGTTTTGTCCCGCCCGGCCGGGCGCGAGTAAGGCACCAAGTTGGCGCCGGTCTCCTGGCGACAACATGGTCGTTTCATGTCTGTTATAGCTGGACGCAAGTGGTGAGCGACATAACCGGCATTGTCCGCTCATCTGCCTTAAACTCATAGATTCTGGGCCCGAATAGCTCGATAAAGTGCTGACTCATGTCGGCATGCATCAAAACTTTGTCTTGGATTCTTCCTCACTCAAAAACTATTCCCTCCAATCCAAGGACATCACATCAGTTCCACCCCACACTGCCTTAACTTTTCCGTCAAAGATGCATCCAAGACCCCTGGCCGCGCTCTGGCCAGCGCCCCATCAACCAAGCCGGGGACAGATGCAACAACTCCACGTTCTCCACCTGGAAGGTCTGCTGTGATCCCCGAAATCCAGCTCAGGCATCTAGTTGCGAAGCCACTAGAAAAAACTTTCAGATCCCGCAAATACCCCATAACTCAAGTGCTTGTCCCCTGCTACTCATCCAGACTTGCAATCAAATGGCTACAAAGCGATGACCATGCCAAACACCGTTGGATTGACACTTGACCAACTTAGACAGCCGGTCGTCACCTCCACCTTCTCCAAGTTAACGTTCAAAGATGCACACGAAGTCCCCACGTGATTCGGCGTATGCCGCCCACATTTGCTGCTCATCCCACACCAACTCCTTGCGCAGGTCATCGGAGCGGACTTGCGCCAACTGGGGCGCTGCCCGAGGAACGCCCAGATGCAGCGATAAGTCATAAGGGACCATGAAATTCTTGAAGCCCGCTCCCACATTGGCCCAAAAATTCCAACACTGTCTCCTGCAAGCTGGAGGTGCATCATTGTGGGCATTGAATAGGGATAACATGGGATAAGTAATCACCTCTCAGAGTTCCCCACTGTGGAATCGAATGATTGCAGGCAATTATGACTCATTGCATGAAAGTCCAAAGTAGCATTAGGGGATACTCCGAATGATGACAGGTCTCCTCGGCCGGTTCACGGGGAGCCCTCGGGCCGGAACCGTTCCCGCGAACCGTGCGATGGTGACCGCCGAGGAGACCTCGACCTGGCCAGTCTGGACAGGATATTTAGCTGCTCCTGGGTGACATGCACCCAGGCGCCGCCGCTGGCCTCAAAGCAGGTCGTATGACCCATGGTTAGCTTGGTCTGGTGCTATGTGGCATTCCATATAGACATGGAGAATCATGGGTCATTTTAAGGCAAAACATGGGTTTGATGCTGAAAGAACCAAGGAAATGTCGCAGTGAGCTGCAACTTGGTGTGAAATTTAGTTGGGGGAAGTCCACGTCTTAGCACGAAGAGGCACAGATGTTTCTGTATCAAGGCGATATAGAGTGTGATTTTCTGAACTCCTTTGTGCACTAATGTATGAACCGAGGTTCCGGTGTGCATAATGTACTATATTGATCTATATTGTGTGTATACTATACTTCATCTTGCTTCAGTCTTCAGCATGTTTCTATAGCCATCGCCAGGCGCTGCATCGCCAGATTCAGAAGATTCCAGTTACATTCGTTAAAACATTCATGTGGACCCCCAAGGTGTCAATACTCGAAGCAACCTCAAAGTAGGAGATTTCATGTAGAAGTCTCCCAAACCATGTCATTATATAACATATTCCAACACCCTCGCGGAGGTGTGGTGACCACCACCCTGGGGCACCATGCGGCGGGCCTGACCGCGCTGGGCACAGGTGCCTCAGTAGAGTAATGATAAAGATGAGATAAAAATGTTGGTAATAAACAAGATGCAGCCCACGAACCCGAATGCTCACACGTATGTTAATGGTACAGATGTCAAAACACATGGATATGCAGTCACGCACAACACTTTTCTGCCATAGTTTACTGGAACAGTCTTGTACATATTTCCCCTGTTACCAGTCTGCAGTGTGGAGTGGAAAGTGTAGAGTGTGGAGTGTGGAGTGTAAAGCAAGGAGTGTGGAGTGTAAAGTGTGGTGGGGAGTGTAGAGCGTGTAAAGTGTGGAATGCGGAGTGTAAAGTGTAGAGTGTGGAGATTTGTGTAGAGTGTGGAGTGTGGAGTGTAGCGTCTGGAGTGTGGAGTGTAGAGTGTAGAGTGTGGAGTATGGAGTGAGTAGTGTAAAGTGCAAAGTGTGGAGTGTGGAGTGTAAAGTGAGGAGTGTGGAGTGTGGAGTGAGGAGCGTGGAGTTTGTAAATTGTAGAGTGTGGAAGTAAGCAGAACTTTCCACAAACCTGTGAACCGTGGCCACAAACTCACACATCCCCCAACCACTCATGCCAAGCACCTGGGCCACAGCCCAAAGATGGCCTAACATAGCCCCAAGATGGCCACACAATGACATACTGTAGCCCCAAGATGGCCCAACATAGCTCCGAGATGGCCCACAAGATTGTTCCCCCACAACCACCGCAACCACCGCAACAACAACAACAGCAGCAACAACAACAACAGCAGCAGCAACAACAACAACAAGACGAAGAACAAGCACAAAAATGCGACAAAAAGATGTGTGGCAAGATGGCTATAAGATGCTATAAGCTGCGGTATGACAAGAACATCACACTGTGCTCTGCACCTGTGCGCACGCGCAGGGCGCAGAGCACATGAACAACACCAACGCTCACACTACTATACATAACCCTTATGGCATCGCCGGTGTGCGAAGCTCTGCAATATATAGGTATCCCCATGTCTGTGTACATATCTAACAATGGAATAGCCCCCAAACAATCCAGTGTATTATTGTTTTTGTTTTTGTTGAAACTCATTTAGGTTCGTCTGAAAATAGGGTATCCTCCAAAGGTCAGGGTAGCCTCCAAATGTCATAGTTTATCATCGTTTTCGACATCAAAATAGCCATGTGGGGCGTGGGAGGTACATCTCATTATCAGACACACCCAAATATCATATTGAGTTGGTTTGGTATATCATATCCCAATAAAGTCAGAAAAAAACACAATTTTCTGAACCATTTTCCCAAGTTAAAGCACCATGTTTCCTACTTAAGTCACCAAATTTTGCCTACTTAAGTCAGTATTTTTCCTGGTTACATCACCCATTTTTCCCTTAGAAAAAGGGCAAAATGCCATCCTTTTCCTCGCCTCATGACGCCGGCGAGGAGACCACGGCGGAAGGTGCTGACACACTCGTAGTGGAGAGAGGTGCCAATGCCGAACCAGAAGACCTCTGCAACTTGAGAAGTTCACCCCGATTCTAAACAGAACTTCTCAACAAAAACCCACAATTTGGATGCCCCAATGGTGCCGATGTCCCAATTTAGTCAGGCTGATCCCATTTAGTCAGCTAGTGAAATGATTACACTTCCCATTGAGTTGCTATGATGTATTATAAATAGCCTCTGGCTATTGAACATAGCGAAAATGGTCCATTGATAGAGGATAAACATTAATTTATGTATGATGATTTAGCTATCCAAAATGGTGATTTTCCAGTTCGCTACGTTGAATAACCAAACGGTAAGAATCTACTTGGGTTGATATGGATCATATATAGTTGATGAATATTATGTAGTATATATAGTTGAATATAGTTTATATTGCTATATGGATCATATACCATACAGAAATACGGATACCCCAAATGGATAGTTGGAGAAGTATCAGGTAACTATCAGTTGGAGCAATATAGTTAATATAGTTACCACAACTCACCAACATATCAGGTAGAAATAAGCAAGCAACTATATAGGTAATTATTTTGGATGGAAGAAATCCTGGACCGTTTCGGAACTCATCCAGGCTGGATTGAATTTTCACTGCAAATCCAGGGATCATAATGCCCTGATGCCCTGCAACTGTATTTTCCATTGTAGTAATTAGTGCTTGGGGGGTAAATATACATACATATATATATATATTATATGATAAAATAGTAGTAACTTATAGATTCAACAAAATGCGATATGATATATTATACACGGTAATACTTATGATATTGTAGATCATTGTAGATTGTATGTTCTAATTACTTGTAAACTTGGGAAGTTGAGAGAAATTTGGTGATTTAAAACTACACAGACCCTCCAAGTACCCATAGAAATTGGTAAACGTATGTTAAAAAATGTTAAACAGTACTAAATTATGGGGTAACCTACTGATTTTTAGGGGTACCACAGAGGGTCTAGGAGGTTTAAGATATTTACAGAAATCTATATAATGGAGTAAAATGATGCAACGGTACAATAGATCCCCTCATTATAAAGGCATAAGCACGAGTTCAATGGGTTCGAACCATTGGTCGCATAGCCAACGGATCTTCCAAAGTCAAAATCATGGAATGGGTATACTTTCCAAAAATGGTGTGTTTGTGGGATGCACACAATAGCTGATACAATTAGCCGTTCTTGTGCTCAGAATCATTGTAATCATCTGAGAATTTGTACAGCAACCTAAAACGGATAGCTAGTCACATCCCTAATCGACCTCTCTGGCGCGTTTTTTCAATGTTTTTCCATATTCTCTGGTGGTTTTGCCATGCATTTTGAAGTCCTACAGTTTCTCTTAGCAAAGTCTTCTCAGATTTCTAGCCTAACTCTATTTTTTCTTTATTTTTTAACATTGTTGCGAGTTGATTTCATTCTACACTGCCTCCATGACCTAAGACTAAGCCTACCATCCCCAGCCCTCGGAGGTTTCGGAGCGGCACCAGTGGCCACGCCATCATCTTCCGGCCGCTGTTCGCCAGCCAGAGCCCCAGCACTGCCAGAGCCCGTCGCAGGTGAAGTGCTGCTGGAGCTGGAAGGAGGTGGAGAAGCAGCAAAAAAACCATCCTGAGGTGCTGGATCCGGTCCCTGACACAGCTGGGGACAAATTGCGTAGGTCTTTTATCATATTTTATATATGGCATCTATGGCATCATTCATGGAGACTCTAGACCAACTTATAAGGGTCAAGCAATTTTCTTGTGGGCACTGTGAATTCTTAGTTGCAGCTGTCTATGGGCATGCCTTTTAAAGGCGTGGCTTCTTCAGCTGCAAAACCAATGGTTTGGTAATTGGATCATACACCAGTAGAAAGGGGTCACCCAGTTCTGATCAGTTGTGTTTGTTGGTTTACAATCACATCCAACTAGTTCGATATATATATATATATACATAATATCACCATATATCACCCATAGACCCAGTCGTTAGCCTAGTAATTATCCAACTTACCCATGTAGAAGATGGGCCCTTTGTGCAATATATAGAGGGAGCTGGGTTCCTGAAATTCCCAGATTTTGGACAGACACGGGGGTCTGCCTCAAAATCATCGATGAAAATGTGTCAGTGACCTGCGGTTTTTTTTGCCATTTATGGGAAAACTCAACTGTTACCAAAAACCAAAATCCCATTAAATATCCCAATAATATCCCATGCATTGCCATGTTTATCATTAAAGAAGTACAGCCCAAGTTCTTTAATTCATAGAATTGGATGATGGGAAAATTTACAGGAAAGCCCTATATTTGATGGTAAAAACCATGGTTTCCTGTAGATTTTCCCTTAAACCAATCCATTGATTAATGATAAAACCACATGCATCATGTCAGGTTGTCATCCTTTTCTGGCTGATTGATACAGTAGTTCCTCATGATCTGAAGCTGGTCTGCGATCCTGCAGTGGAAAAAACTCACCATGATGGGACCTTTTTTGAGAATAAAAACTGGCAATCTACCCTCTGGTAAACTAACATAACTATGGAACATCACCATTTTCAATGGGTAAATCCACTATAAATATCTATAAATCACCATTTTTCAATAGCTATGTTAAATTACCAGAGGGGTAAACTATAGATGAAGCAATGATTCCTTATCAGGGCGTTGTCCCAAAGATGAAGCAACTCACCAATCTTTATGTTCCCACTACTATTGTGAGTAATTTTTCACTCACTATTGCGCCACTCAAATGATCAATTATTTTCTTGGAACGTGTCATGATCATTCATGATCACCCACAAACATGCTGGAAAAAATGAGCGGGATAGGTACATATGATGTACGTATTTTACGACGATTCTCCCACTATTCTCCCAGCAAACAGCACCGGCCTGGAAAAGGGTGCCTTTTCCAGGATGGAGTTCTTGATCTCCTTGTCTCGCATGTGCCAAAGAAAAAAACCCTCTGGAAGACTAACCTAGCTATGGAAGATCCACCATGCTATTCAGTTCGGTAAATCATCGAACTCGTTGGGCCGTTTTCACATGTTCAATTGTCCAAATTATCCGATGGTAAACGTTAACTAGCATAACTATGGAACATCATCATGCTATGTATTCATGGGTAGTCATCCACTATTTCGACTGGGCCATGTTCAAGTTCGCAAACTGTGAATGTTTGTTTACCAGAGGGTATTCGATAGGCAACTATGGCAAAATAGCAGTAAAAAAACGCCCTGGTCTACGTATCAATCTTTCCTTTGTAGCCAACATCGATACCTCTTCCTGCCCAAAACTTATGGGCAAAATCTCAGATCAACTTCCCCCACCGTTCACAATCCTGATGAATCAGTTGACAATAACTTGTTGGTGGTGCAATAACCATCTTAAAAAATATGAGTTAGTCAGTTGGGAAAATTATTCTCAATATATTATGGAAAAATAATCCAAATGTTCCAAACCACCAACCAGAGTAATTGGAATACGGATGAATATGGTCTTGCAACCAATTATAGTAATTATAATTTAACTTCTGGTCAAACCAATTGGTTTGCACCATCTACTAAATGCACCATATTGCACCATGGTGCGCATGCTCCTTGCAGGGTAACCTGAAACATGATGCAACTGTACAAGGAGTTGAACAGCGCATGCGTTGCCACAAAACTTACATCAAAATGGTAATCTTGACCATCTCTGGATACCGTACCGGTAGTGGTGTCTGTGAATCCCGATCATTTAAACCGCTGAAGGTTTACCCTCTGGTAAATTAACATTGCTATTGAAAATTGCCATAGAAATAGTTGATTTACCCATTAAAAATGGTGATTTTCCATAGTTATGTTAGTTTACCAGAGGGTAAGCCAGAGTATGGGTACGCACCAAAGAAGTTCTCCACTTCGGGGATTGACATTTTCCAAGGGCATGGATCAATCTGCACGCGAGTGGGCAAACACTTTGCTGCATATCAGCATATCCAACACCCAATACGATCTACCAAATTTGGAAGGTTTTTGAATTACCCTCTGGTTATTTAACATAGCCATGGTATAGATGGCCCATTTATAGATGGTTTACCTATTACAAATGGTGATTTTCCAATAACCAGATGGTATAAACCAAATGGTAATATTGCAAACATATCTACCACATAGCTTGATAGCTCCGATAACTCCCATCTATTCCCACAAATATCGCCAATAGCACACACCACATGGATCACACGATACCCTTCTTTTTTGTCAAACATGGTTTGCTGGAGAATGGCCCATTTACAGAGGATTTTCATTGAAATGCCTGCTTCGTTCGGTGATTTCCCAGTTAACCATGTTTAATGACACCGGAAGGTACTTGGATGTGCATCCCATTTGTCAATGGGATTTTCAGGATCCTAAAATGGAGGTACTGTACCATATAAGGCCATATTTTCTGGGGATATTCTCTTACATAGGCCTTATGTAGGCCTTATATATGGTAGGTAGCTCCAATCAATCGGTTCCTGAAATTCCCATTGAATTTAGTATACGTGATTTTTTTTTCGCCATCAACTGGGGAGATCACATGCTGAATTTGTGAGCGTGTTTTTGGTCATAAACCAGTTACCCTCTGGCAATTTAACATAGCTATTGAAAATGACCATTTATACTGGATTTTCCCATTAAAAATGGTGATTTTCCATAGTTTTTTGTATGTTTACCAGAGGGTACCTGGGATGCAGCCCCGAGTATCCTTTCTGTGGGCGATCTTAGTTGTCAATGGGACGACATCTGCCGGTGACCATCTGCAACCAGGGCTCCGAGAAGTGGGCCAAAGCCAGCCATGCATATGCCATACCTTGGCACTGCACGCATTGACGAAAGGAAACAGGAGTTGCAGGGAATACACTGAGATTAAATGATTAAAATTTGAGAAATTGTTTAATGGAATAATCAATGAGATTAATGGCTAGCAAACATAAATGATGATTAATTTGTTTACCCTCTGGGCAATCACCATGTTTGATATGTAAATCTTGGAACCAAATGGCCGTTTTCCATAGCAAACTCTTAAACCACCAGGTTGAGCTTGAACTGAAGGTTGCTGGTGATGAAACGCGGACTCAACAAGTTTTGGGGCACTGATTGTCTTGGAAAACACTTACCTCACTTGATGTGCTTCTTTCGTCTTTTACCCTCCAGTAAACATACATAGATATTTGCCACGAAATATATCCAGTATCATACCCAGCTTCTCCAATAAAGTTGACAGCCAGCAACAAAACACCCAAAAAATACCAGAAAGAGTCGCCTGGTTTTTGGTTATCATATATGATACCAAGATACCAAAACGCACCAAGATACTCAAGGGCCCCAGCCATCGCACTTTTTCGCGTTGCCGCCCACGGAAGACTCGTACCTGGCAACGGTCGCCAACGGTCATTGGGGTTCTCACCTCTCCGGGATGATCTCCAACACCCGTCCAAAAGATAATGTCATTTACAAACCATGAAACTGTGGTTAATAATGGATAATATGTGGTTAATATATGGTTAATATATGGTTAATGATGGTTAATGATGGTGAATAATCATCTGGTTGGTGGTTGACCTACCCCCTCTGAAAAATGATGGAGTTCGTCAGTTGGGATGATGACATGACCCCAATCTGATGGAAAAAATAATCCAAATGTTCCAAACCACCAACCAGATACACTGTATATGATATGATATGATATGAACCGTATCATCAACATATGCATAATTTATTAATTATGAGATACAAATTGCATATGATTCTGTATGTAAAAGCATCATGTCTGGTACCGTTTCAGCCACTGTGGCCCAAGGTACTATCAACATCTCGCCACACAGGGCCACAAGAAATGCGAAGATGGCCAGAGTGCCGTGCTGACCTGGGAAATCGGCGCCGGAAACCATGGGGGTTTAATCTTTTCCGTTCATAAAAACCATGGCTTAGGAGGGAATTTCCACATACTGACCATAGAAATGGGGTGTTTACCATCAATCCTTTGTGGCTTTCAACGGTATCAATGTTCCAAGTTTGGGATGAATTGGGAACAATAACGAGGCAAAGGGCCAAAGAATGAGGCGATGATTACGATTGTTTTCCAGAATATTGGGATGTTTGCCATATCTTAATCAACTTAAATCTGTTCCAAAGATGACGAATTCTCATGATGTCAGCCGCGGGGCCACCAAGTAAATCTGAAGGTGCTAAAATAGCTACAAGTTACCAGCCATTTTATGGGTAGTTGAAGGAACCAAACACATGTATCCAACCGATTTCTGTGAATATGGATGTGTAAATAGATGCAATTAGTCAGTTTTAAACCCTGAATCTGGCAATTTTTCAACGGCAAAGCATGAGATTCGCACTGCAACCATCCAAAACAATGTCCAACCTAAAGATCATAATTCACACGTGACGATGAGCACAGCATCAGTCACAGAATGGCTTGGAAAACATGCCCACATCACTGGGGCGGTGGCACCAGGCTCTTTAGGCTCTTTCCCCAATGTGTGACTCGTTCTGGTATACCATAGCGGTTCTATAGAAAATCACAGTAGATCATTCAGTGCTTTATGTTCATAATATGGTGTAATTCTACATATTCAGATCATATTCACAATATTTCACAATGTATTATGGATCAAAATGGTTGTATAATGTTGTATACATCCCCCACTTTGGAGGATTTTGACCAGACCAACTGGTTTGTGAATCGAGCCGCGACAGGTCAAGGACAGTCGTAGAGCGTCAGCGACGGCGTCAGCGGGTCTCGCTTCGTCGGCCAGCTGTGTCTGGCGCCAACAAGGACGGGGTGAACTGGAAATAGGACTTGGGCAGTTCCACTAGTGACCAAGCTGTACTTATCTGTACAATAACATATAACAACAGTAATATAACTTGGGCGTATTTGCAATTTCCATGTATTTTTTCTTACATAATCTATATAATGACCATAGTTGTAGGCATTTTAGCCCAACTTCTACTTCTATAGAAGCCACTATCATGGAGTTATAGAATACTTTTCACCCCAGCACCACCAAGTAGGCCCACTTCCACGGATCAATGGCTTTGTCTGAACATAATGATGGTTGATGATGGTTGATGGTTGATGATCATGTTCCCCTAAATTATATATTTGATAGCAACGTGTGGGTGTAAACTTTCATAATTCAAGGAAATCAGGGAATTACCGCGGTTAAATAAGCTTTCGGACTTTAAGATATTGGCAGACCAATTCTTTCGGATTGCAATCCAGTTTGAAAGGGTGGGGGGACTCCCGATTGGCACAGCCATCTCTGGTTCAACAGTGGGGAGCCGCTCCGTTCAGATTGCTTTCTTTCTTCGAGGGTTCAACTCTGAAAAACCGGGTCCGTGGATTCCGAAGGTGTGATGATTCATGCCTTGAAAATGGTGTTATTTCCCATCTGGAATCCATTGAACTAGCTCTGGTTGGTGGTTGACCAACCAACCCCTCTGAAAAATGATGGAGTGAAAGTCAGTTGGGATGATGACATGACCCCAAGATATGGAAACATAATCCAGCCATGTTCCAAACCACCAACCAGAGCTTTTTGGAATGGTCCTGTTTCTGGGAATCCTTGATCAAGATAATCCCGAGTAAGCAAGGGATGTCTATTCTCAAATGATGGTTTTTATAGATCTCAAAAAGCAATAGGATGCAGTGATAGCAATTCCTTCAAGGTTTGCTGATCCGGAATCACTGCCTCTAACCCAGCTGCTTGAGAAACGCGCATCCCAGGAGTCGGAGTTTTTTCTTGGCACCATCATCCCATTTGTTGGAAAGAACATGACACATGCTGAAAAATCACCAATTGGATTACAATTAACTATTAACTATGTTAACTAAATAGGATAATAGTTAATAGTTAATAGTTAATTATCACTATTTGTTGATGTGATCGTCAACACCCGATTACAGTCTATCTCTTCAATTTTTGCTAGTTGAACCAACAAATAATCATGCATGCGCTGGTGATATTGCTGTTCTTGCTGAGCACTTGGGCGTGCAGTTGGCTTAAACTAAGAGTATAACTATGGGATTCAAAAAAAAACAGCCAAACCTATAAGTTGCGATACAACACCAGCAACTATGGTAAAATATACCTACAATTTTAATTATGGTGATATATATATATATATATATTATATATATATATACATATAATGAGCCACGAGAATTCTGGTTCCACTGCCGAGCCAAGGAGGACTGGTAAATTTCCATGGTTCATCTAACCGTTGACCCACATCCCTACGCACCTTGAGGGTTCTCAAGTCCGTCTTGCCGTTCTCGTTGCGGGGCAGCTTGGGCAGCATTTTCACGCAGCTCTGCCTGGGGACGGACGAAAAAAAGGGGGAATTTCAATGCAAAATGATGGAATTCACCATGAAAAATGCTAATTTCATGGGATTTCAATGGGGGATTTACAGTAGTTGGGCCATGATCTATCTGTACCTTCTGGTACATTAGAGGATTTATATAACCAGATATAGCAATAACCAACAGATTGCTGGTGATTTTGCTCAGAAGACTTCGGATTTAATCACAAAACATGTTCCAAACAGCAACAACGATGGAGTATTTACCCTCTGGGGATGTTGTTTTCTCACATGCAAAAGCGTCTGGCTTGAGCCGCCCCTACTTGTGGCTTCAGTTGGGCTTATCAATTGGTATAAGTCTCGTTTTTTTACCTCCATAAGTTGAGATATGGGCCCCTACAACTATATAGGATCTATATCATTCTATATCGATCTATCTATCTATCTATCTATCTATCTATCTACCTACCCGGCTATCTATCTGTCTGTCTGTCTGTCTGTCTGTCTATCTATCTATCTATCTATCTATCTATCTATCTATCTCTGTATATATATATATATCACTTACTATCTCACGGAATTAACGGAAAAAAAACGAGTACGACCTGACAAAACCCAGCTGCCACGGCATCATCTGCCGCACGTGTCGTAAATTCTCCATGCAGCGCAGCAGATCTGCTGCACGGTAACAGTCCGGCACCAGGAAACTGTGGATACATCCTGGAACTGGTTGGACACTTGTGGGTGCAGTTGAGGTTTAAAATGAGTATAATTATGGTTTTATATCTATATTGTATTATATTGTATTATATTGTATTGTAGTGTATTATATTGTATTATATTGTATTATATACGTATATATATATATATCCACTTAAAACTGGAACTGCACTTCTAAGTAGGTAACTAGACGCCGTTCAACCATACATAATATGTATATTGTATTATATTGTATTATATTGTACTATATTGTATTATATTGTATTATATTGTATTAAATTGTATTATATTGTATTATATTGTATTGTATTGTATTATATTGTATTATATTATATAGTATTATATTGTATTATATTGTATTATATTGATTGTATTATATTATATAGTATTATATAGTATTATATTGTATTGAAATATATTATATTATATTATGTTATATTATATTATATTAAATTATATTGTATAATGTTGTATTATAATGTATTATAGTGTATTATATTGTATTGTATTAAATTAAAGTTTATTATATTGTATTATATATATAGATTGTATTGTATTATATTGTATTGTATTGTATTATATTGTATTGTAATGTATTATATGATATTGTATTGTATTGTTTTGTATTGTATTATATTATTATATATTATATAGTATGCAGTTTAAATTATATATTATATATTAAACATATTAAATTATATACGTACATATATCCACTTATAACTGTAACTGCACTTCTAAGTAGGTAACTAGACGTCCTTCACCCATACATAATATCCATATTGTTTTAGATTGTATATCATCATAGAAAAACATGGTACTAGTGCAACAACGGGTATCTTAGTATCTTCCCACTGCTCATCTGAAGGTCACCTTTCGGCCCTCTTTGGGTATCAAGGTTGTGCCCAGTGATGTGAACCTTGGTTAACAAAAACCATAGGAATAGTAGTTCGATATATCTAATAGTTGGTGCCCCCCCAGTTATAAATGGGTTATAATATGTTATAATCCCATTAACTACAGATATATCACCCAAAAAAAACATAGTTATTGGAGTTAGTGGCACCAACTGTAGCCGCTAACTCTGGACCACCGGTGACCACCCCATGGGATCACATGGATCACATGGATCACTTCGCGCGTCGAGGCGCCATCACTTTCGATGACGCAGGCTTCTTTGATTCCGTCCTGGTGATAGCACAGCGTGGAGATGCGCGGTTAGATGATTTCGTCAGAAAAATCAAACGCGGAATGTGAAACCTGTCATTATTGTCTAGCTACCTAAAGAAGATCAGTTATTGGCAATCATGATTATTGACTATAGTTATTATAAAAATTGCCAGAAGATGTATTTCAAACATGGCCATCATGTTACCATATCTGGTTGGTGGTATACCTACCCCTCTGAAAAATTATAGAGTTCGTCAGTTGGGATGATGACATTCCCAATATGATGGGAAAAATAATCCAGTCATGTTCCAAACCACCAACCAGATGTCTATTGTTATTCCAATTATTAACCATTATTAACCATAGATTAACCATATAATTACTATATAAGTCACCATTTTCCCATGGTTTTCCCATGTTCCAAACCATGTTCCAGTCACCACCAACCCGATATCTATTATGGCCATGGCCCATTGAAATGGGCACATGACTTCAGCATCTGCGTGCCGTGACGCGTATCCTCGACATGAAATAAAACACCAAACTAATGGTATACTTATAATAGAGTTTTTTTTGATAAAACACCATTATACTCTTAATAAATGGTATACCAATAAAACACCATTATAATATATTATAATAAAATAACTAGTGATATGATAAATGAAGGGGAACTTATAATAGAGGATATATAGATTATACTTAAAGTATGTAAATTATCATTACTGGAATTTATTGTGCATCACCATTTTCCAAACTAATGATATAATTGTCACTGAGATCCGTCATTGCTAAATCCTTATCGTTGGTTTGGAACAAATTGGCTTGATTTCTCAAATCACGTTTAATCAACCCATTGGTAGATTAGATCATTTGCCTCCATTAAAGAAGAAAAACCTACATTCGTATTAATAAGAATAGCATGGATGTTCTCAGATACTGATTAACAGCCATAGACGATCAACATATATCAACATTACCCTCTGGTAATTAAATTAACATAGCTATTGAAAATGGCCCATGTATAGTTGATTTACAAATTAAAGATTGTGATTTTCCATAGCTAGGATAGTTTACCAGAGGGTATCTGGTTGGTGGTTTCAACCCCTCTGAAAAATATGAAAGTCAGCTGGAATTATTATTCCCAAATATATGGGAAAAAAACATGTTCCAAACCACCAACCAGGTATATATAATCTAAAATGATGGGCAACCTATGTTTAGATTCATCAAGCCATGGCAGGCCAAAGCCACAACTGCCCAGCGTCCAAGTCTTGAACTCGTTGTTCCAGGGCATCAAGATCCTGATTTGTGAGGAAGGTCAATCTATGGGGAACAGAAGTTTGATGGTGTAAATTGCTTTAAATTGGATTCTAGCATGTTCTAAATGAGAATTGGTGAGTTGCTTCTGTGGGATATAATGGGAAATAACATGATATAGCAAAGAATTATGAGGAATGAATGTGTCCAAACATCAGGAAACAAAAAAACAACATGCTCTTTCAGCAGGAAAGCCATGGTAAACTACTTGGAGCCTTGGGTCTGGTTGATACCAGAAAACGCAAGTTTCCGTCTCGTGCAGGTATCCCATAATATCCCGTATGCAACTGATTGGACTATGGTTACTAACATACTAACCAGTTACGGTACTAAGTAGGATAGTCCTCCAAGAAGAAGTTGCCAGGGTATCAGGTGTGCTTTGAGACCAGGAAACTGTTTCTGGTGTGTACCCTTTGTTGCTGGTAAAACCCTCATGCAGCTTGCTTAGCAATTTATGTATCCATGTGTACTTGTTGGCTATTCTGGTAATCAAACATGGCGTGCTGGAAAATCACCCCTCCATGTGGAAGGGATTTTGTTTATGCCATGTTTGATTTCTGGTGGGTATATATATATACATACATGATTATACATGTGTATCACCACTCGTCGTATGCGAAAATCCTCATAAGCACTGAGGCAACTTCATGCAACTTCCCAAAAACATTGGAGGCTTCCTGCAAACAGTTCAACATAGTTCAACCCAAGTGCTAGACAAACCTTCATCCCATTGAACATATTTAAAAATGATGGACGAACATCCATAGATCTCAGTGATTTTGAAGTGAACAGGAGGGACTGAGTCGGACTTCTTCCATGGGTATTGAGACATATTGAGACATATTGAGACATCATGATCATCATGCGACATTGAAGACATCCAAGGATCTACCCACTGGCCTTGGATTTTGGTGGAGCGGTCTTTTCGACCTTTGTAGATGAAGCCGCCTCGGCTGGCCATCTGTGGGGGTCTTCAATAGAGAGAAGGTTGGCTTAAATGCTTAAACCGTCGCTGTGGATAGGGTGACGATGACTCATGACTTCATCATGACTTTGGAACACGACTAATCACAAACAAGTGGGTCTGTGAACTGTTCAAGCCCAATCTCACTCAATCTCTTCACATTTTTAGGATGTGACAACCATGGTACTTTTGGGGTGACGTGACACAAGTGACCATTTGTCCATCTGATTTCTGATTGAATCCCACCAGCTTAAGTGATATGCATGGGAAGTCTTAATGGCAACTAGCTCTATTTCACTTAACTGTCACAAGTAGTAGACTCTGCTGGGTGCTTCCCACCCTAAGAATAGAAGCCAATTTCAGAACGGCGGATTGGACCGTGGTGCCACCTGTTGAAGTTTATAAGTTTCATGTATCTAGAATAAACATGTGTGATACATATCAGTTATTACAAGTGGCTATGGGGCACCATCTTGTACTCATTTTGCTATCATTCTGGGTAAATTATCATATTTCACTAACCTGAATAGTTGGGCCATTTGGGGATGATTACCCTTACTAACCATGATTTCCAGGGTTCGGTCGCGACGTGAGGTCGTTATACCCAAGTTGTAGTTGAATCCCCATGGTCCAGAAATTTTTGACGCTTAAATCCCCAACAAGTTGGGGCACCTTATGGGATCTGCATCCCACATTTTTCGTAGAGTTGCAAGCCATGTATAACTGGGGAATACTGGGAATATGCCATGAATGTGTGTGTTTTTCCATGGTCCTCAATCAGCTTTAACATATTTTCCACTGGGATGCACTGGGATGCACCGCACCATCGCCTACCAAGTCACCCTCTGGCATCAGCTCCACCACATCGCTGGTCCGAAAGAAGCGACGGCCCGCCGTGTCTGTCATCCAGCCCGCCGTGTCGGTCGTGTCCGGCGGCCAATAGCCTACGCTGCGTGAACTATGGCTGAGACCATCCACCTTTTTCGGGGAAGTTGATAGATGGCTTGGATTTTCGCCGTTCATATTGGGTTGAATGTGATTCATCAAGCTGATGGACCATCTTCTATAGACTTTCTAATCCGCAATTTTCACGATGAATCTCTCTCTATATCATGGTCAAAGCATGACAGATGAGGTATGGCCATCCTTTGTAGGAAATCTGATTGCCTATTACTTTACAGTATTGGATGGATGAGCATCCACCCCTATTGGCTTAAATTACCCAAGTTTCGCATCCCACCACATTGATCAAAACAAATTGCTATAGAAACGATCATATGTCTTACCCTCTCTGGTAAACGTTTATATAGCTATGGAAAACCACCGCATAGCCGCATAGCTGGGTAAATCAACTATTTCTATGGCTATCTATGGCAATGTTCAATAGCAAACTGTTAGTTTACCAGAGGGTACCTCATCAAGTGGCCATTTTGGGCACCTATTTTCAGACAGACCACTAGCGCTAATTGTTGCTTACATCCCATGAAATATCTCCATTGAAAAGAAACATTCAAATCCGATCCAAATCCCCATCAAATAAAAAATCATCACATGGAAAAAAACCACATGAATGACATCTCCATTCAAATAGGAAAAACCAAAATCATGACAACAAAACATATCATCAAAAAGAGATGTCTTATAGATATCTCCAATAAAATTGTATGAAAGTCCTCATCAAATGGCAAATCTCCAGATCGTCAAACACCCCCAGCTGGGGGCGTCTCCCCCTTGCCTACCTGGCGTTACCATTGGCCCTGACAGACATAGCTCACCAGAGCCCTGCTTCACCACCAAGCCGTCCTGCCACGTATCCGAAATCATCCGAAATCTCGTGAAGATTGGAATTCTTCGTGATTTCGTATGATTTTATGGTGGTTTATTTGGATTTAATGGGACTTAGTTACTTAGTTGGACTTTCATGGGACTCAGATGGGATTTTCAAGAATTTCATGGAATATATATATATATATATTTTTTTTTTCAATATAGGATTTTTCATAGATTTAGCCAAATCAAATGGTACAATCGTTCGTTTTTGTTTTCGCCTCGTCGACCACCACGTACTGCACCGACTCTCCCAAAGGCTGGAAGACGGTGCCGGAACCTGCGGTTTTGACTGGGAATCAGAGGTCCGTTTTTTCGGAGGTTTCCACCGACCATATGGGGTTTCCATAAATGGGGGTACCCCAAATGGATGGTTTATAGTGGATAATCCGAAAATAAGATGAATGATTTGGGGGTAGCCCTATTTTTGGAAACCAACCATATGGGAGAACTAAAGGATACTGCGGATTACTGTGGAAGAAATCCTGTACCAGTCGGTATTGGCAACCATGAAACGCTGTAAATTGGATTCTAACGGGATAAACCGTCTACCAATTTCTTCCATCCACAGTACGAGTGGGAGTTTCAGCCACCATTCCCTATTGCTCCAAATATCCTCGGAGACGGTGCTTGGACGCAACAAGCCAACCCCAGACACAGTCTCAGAAGGTGTTTGGAGCTCGAAGGATTTACAAAAGGGTGGTCACTGTGTCCCAAAAATTCTGAAGACCGTACAAGTGTAAATGTGGCTAGGAACATTCTGATTTTGCTGTGCATTCTTTCTAGACAGACCAGTACGGTAAGCAGCAAAAAAATCCAGGTTTAGAGGAAAGGTCATCAGTAAATTCCCAATATTTTGATGACTCTTCTTGACTTTTTCAGACATTCTCTATCTTTTTGGGGATGGCTCTTATTTGGTATCCTTATGTTGATGAGAAGACTCAGAGTAAAGCCAAGAACCCCTGCTTGCACCTGGATCAATTGCGGGATCAGCGACAACACACATCAGGCATCAGGCCCGCACATTTGGCTAGATAAACCATGTAAAATTCATTTTGGAACATTCTGTTTGAGGATAAAATCTCATATTTTCCTACAAGGGGAGGTCCCCCAGTTATGTTTGCTGGTCTGTAACCCCCAACCCATTATGGTTTTATGTTATATTGCCTATAAACTATAAACCATGGAGTTCAGCAGGGCAAATGTTCGTCAACTTAGCTATCCAACGGGTAGACTTGATACTGTAGGGATAACTATCTGATAGTATAGAACAAGTAATGTTGGCAAAACAATTATAAACCATCCCCCAGTCATCACCATCAATAGGTGGTATGAAATGGTATAAACCATTCCCAAACGAGTGGTTTATGACATTGTTTTACCCACATGAATTACAAATAGTATATCAATCATCTTCTTTTTCTACTCTCGTCTATAGCAAATGCAGTTACAACGACTGCTGATTGATATATATATATATACAACGATGAACATTAAATCACCATTAAATCACCATTAAATCACCATTAAATATGGTATTGCTTCTTCAGACCCACAAATCCCATATCTCTACCTTTGCCACGTCGCGTGAACGCTGTGAACGCGCGACTGCCGAGCTGCTGGCAGCCTCGCCACGGGCTGCATCACCAGCGAAGGAAAGCCAATACCTTGGTGCTGACGCCTGGCGACCCAAAACGTCAAACAACAAACAAAACATGTGGCATTCAAAACATCATCTAAATGTTTTTTATATGTTTAATCCTCTTTGAGATAGAAACATTCTATACCCAGAACCTCAATCAAACAACAGAAACATTAGGAATATATATATATATATCCCAATGTGAATGCTTTTATCCATGTGTTTGGATCAACTGTGAGTCAAGACAAGCAAAGTTGAGTCAAAGTTTGAGTCGAAATCATGTTCGTGACTTTGGATCATTGCTCGCGCATCAGCATCACCATGTTTTCCCACCACTGCTGGGAAGAATGTAAATCGGTCATAAATCGGTCATATTTCACATGTCCCATCTTTTCATATCTTTTCATATCTTTTCCCGATTTTTTGGTTATAAATGTGTAATCTTCCATCATCTTCCCCATTTTTGGGTTGCCAAAGTGGCTAAACATGGCTTTTTTCCATGACCCCCATGAGCCCCATCTCGTGACAGCGCCATGGATTTTTTGCTCTCTGGGAGTTGAGTTCAACCTCCACAAGTGTTGTGAAAGGCAACGAATTGGCGCGTCTGCATCGAATTTTGAACCTGGCCATGGGCAGCTGCCGAGTGATGAATTCTATTTTTTTTTTCTACGGTGAAAGTAGAAAGAAATGTTGTCTGAAAATAAAGGAAAAAAGATGGCAAAGCCATAGAAAAACTCAATTTCATGGATGATCACCATGAACTTCCCAAAGAAAATGATGCAAATTGTGTATAGACACAGCCAGATCTCAAAGAATGTGGGTTGGTCTCAAAATGAAAGTTACCCAGAGATACCATGAAATACCCACATGAAACATAAAACGAATAACAAATGGGATGATTAAGCAGCATCAGTATATCTTGAGACAGACCCATGGGTTCAAGGTCAGCAGCCCAGCAGCCACAGCCCCACGCTTGTGGGACATCCAGTGACGGAGGTCAAAAAAAAACACAACTGATTGAAGCAACCAGTTTTTTATGATGATACATCCTTGAAAAAACTATCTTTACCATGGTACATTTACCAAGACTTGGGGGATGTATAGCTAAACATGCCATATAAAAAAATGCGGGGTTTCTACATCTAAATATACGGATGTTTTAAATATATACGAGCTGGTATTTTAGACTACCTCCGGGAAGGTTTTCCTTGGCCCACCTGGCCATTTAAACATACCGAATCCAATTTATTTTAACATACATTTGAATATATAGAACTGGTGTTTCATACTACCTCCGGGGCCTTGTGGTCTGGCCAGTTGTGTGCCAAGGGCGGATCTAACATACCCTAAAATATCCATGTTTAAACTAGTACTTGCAGGCGCTTATTATATTTCAGAAACTCCAACATACACATAGATAATCATAGATGTCCATCCTAAATGAACAAATTCTGGTGACTTCGGAATCCAAATGCCCAAAAAAGAACAAAGAGAAGCCCAAAAACACTACAATCATTTCCAATCCTTGACCCATCTGGATCCCCCAAGACCTCATTAGTTCCACCAAGCAGCAGAAATCTGCTCACAGCATCGGTACCCGGGTGTTCATTGGCACTACGTTGCCGCGCATCGTGGACGTGGACGTCGGCCCCGTTGTCGCCGGCATCAGTCTTGAGGTCCTGAGGATGAGCCGACATCGCAGCTGGAAAAATGGTTGAGGAAGGGACTTATTGAGGGGTCCCCCCCCAAAAAAAAAAGTTTATTTGGGTTAGTGAGGTAGTTTGGTGAGGCAGGCAGGATAGTGAGTCACTTCGTTTTTGTTTCGATATTCCCTGGATGTTTCGTGAAGATGATGTTGATGTTGACCTCCAAAAATGAAGCTTTTGGGGTTGCAACATGGGGGAGATGCATGGACTTCTTGGTCAGAATTGTGTGGTTCTTGGCACCTTCCAGTTTTGCACCCATGGCGAAGCCGAGCTGCCTAGTTTTGGTGTGGCTTGACCGATAGACTGGTGTCCAAAAAACCTGCTGCATTTTTTGAGGCTGGTTCACGCGTGTTTATGAACCATTTGCAAGATATCCTCATGACTTAAGATGCATTTAGCTAAATACCTAGCTGACTAGTAAGTGGTTAACAAAGTGACCACTTACTATGCCTGGCAAATGAATAGCTAACATCTTTAATTAAACATCACATGTCTTTCCTATCCCTGAACCCTTAAGCTGATCATCCAAGCAGGCTATGAACCATGCCTTCACTGCCAGGTCTCTTCACTTCCACCCGGGTCGCCGGCTTTGGGGCTGCCTCGGTGAGGGTCCACTGTCCACTGTCCCAGAGGATTCAAGTTTCCAAGCATGTTTCAAAGCACCAAGAAACACAACCTGGGTAAATTGTAACAATTTAACCATCCCCTCAATGAACACAGACCCTGAGAATCGCCCAGAAATTGAGATGGGTCTTTCACCCTCCAAGACTCATGTTAGTTGAGGGGATGGTAAAGCCCCATATAATGTTGGTTGTGTATATACATCTATATATACATTTACTTGCTGATGCTTAGTAGGGAATGGATGGGAATGGGGGAATGGGATGATTATTACTAGTGATTATGGATCGATCCCTCATTCCCTGCTAAGCACCAGTAAGTATATATATATATATATATGTGTGTATTATGTGTATATATTTATATTTATTTATATATACATACGTATATGTATATATATGCATATATATATATACAGAGTTCCATGCTTTTGATCGTTCACCCCCATGTTTGAAAGCTATACTAACGTCTAACCATGTCCAACCAACAACAAATTCAATGAGTAGAATACCTTAAGCAAGAATTGCTCCAAAATGATCAACCTATAGCACACACTCTCTTCTTAAAACGGTCAAAAAAAGCTATAAACAATTGCTTTCTGAGTGAAACAAAACGGTTTGTCTGAAAGTAGGCTAACCTAAAATCCCATGGTTACTCATCATTTTGCCCATTAAATTAAAAAAAAAAAACTTACAACCATCTCTGGTTGGTGGTTTCAATCCCTTTGAAAAATATGAGTTCGTCAGTTGGGATGATGACATTCCCAATATATGGAAAACATAAAACGCATGTTCCAAACCACCAACCAGATATTGAATATAGATTTCATGAAATGATATTGAACGGTGATTGGGATGAACATAGATAGATTGTTTATCACTTTCTATCTAATTATTGAGTTCTATTGATATGAAAGATTCTGAAAATACCAACCCAACCACCAACCAGATCTCCTTTTTCAGACCCAGCGACATCACCTGGCACCGCCGCTTGGGCCATGCGCGCCAACAGCACTTCCTGGTGTTGGAGAGTTTCTCGGAGTTCAAGCGGAGATGTTTCAAAGATGGCGAACCAAAAATCTCAGATCTCTCCAAAATGGAAGAACTGTTGTTACATCAGTTACATTGCCATATACTTTTCAGTGCTAAAATATATCATGTATGTACAATTATTAACTATACATACTGTACATGATACTTCAGCACTACACAAGTGTGAGTGATCTCTGTTACACCAGGGCGGGTGAAACAGCTCAAGATTTCTGGAAATCCATGTTTGTTTTGGAAGAACTCTGATTGACACACAAGCCAGTTGGGCCATATCCAATTGCATGAAGCACGAATAGATTTGGTGTTCCCTAGATTGACAATTCGCCCCAATAAGCCAGGCAGTATATAACCCCATATAAGAACGAATGTAAGAACCCATCAACAGTGGCATTTTCAAGGGCTCAGTTGTGTCTTCCCCTAAGCTATGCACAAATCACCACCCTTCCCGCAGTTTTAACCTGGACCTCCTTCCAATCCACCTATGAAATCGGTCTGTAATGTCAACCCCAGATTAATTCCAGCCACATAGTTAGTGATAAATTACTGTAAATTACTCTTAAACTTGGCAACCCCCTCTCATTTTGATAAACTGCTGTTTATTAATCCTGGGTTAACATAATAACTTCTGGCAATCTGACATGACAATAGAAAGTCTCTCATTTGCAAATGGTTTAACTATATGTTTCTTCGAATTGGAGCTTTCTCAGTGCCCGAGAATAGCTAACACCACACGGTACTACTGTCCAGTTTTTTGTGTTGATGAGATCCCCATTTTGGTAGTCCTATTTTGTTGGTGAATTAATCTGGTTGGTGCTTGAGCCCTACCCCTATGAAAAATCATGGAGTTCGTCAGTTGGGATGATGACATTCCCCAAATATGGAAAGTCATAAAAGCCATGTTCCAAACCACCAACCAGATATATTGTTATTCCAATTATTAACCATTACTAGCCATAGATTAACCATAGATTAACCACCAACCAGTATTTCTTAGTTGACTCCCAGTTGTTGCTCAATTTGGTGGGTCAAATCTCCACTTCTGTTGGCGAAATCGTGTCATGTGTGGTGCGTCAAGCATCGATCCGTTCATCGTCATCCAACTGCATTGCGGCTTTCGATTCAAGGACCTTCGGCCTCGGTGTTTCTCGTCAACCAAACAGTGGAGGTCTTGGGAGGTCTTGGGCACCAAACATATGGGATTTCAGATGATTTCGGCAACATCTATAGTGTACTGGTTGGTGGTTGAGCCCTACCCCTCTGAAAAATCATGGAGTGAAAGTCAGTTGGGATGATGACATGACCCCAAAATATGGAAAAATAAAAGCCATGTTCCAAACCACCAACCAGTGTATGTGTCTTTATCACCAATATGGATTCAACCATGAAATTAGGGAGAAATCTCTGGGAATTTACCAAACAACATGAAGATTTTACCATGATATATTGGGATTTAAGATGATTTAAAGTTAAAGCAACAAAATAGAATATGATTAGGGATGTCAAAATATGTCCCATTGATCCATTGACTGTTTTGACTTTTTCGGAGAGCACGGTATACGTGCTTTTGATTCCCATCTGTAACCAACAACCTGAGAATTACTGTACCTAGCAAAGTGGGGCACCCAAACGATAGCCACAGGATCAAATGATAAATGATGATAAATGTATGGCTCCTTGACGGATGAACCATTATCTGGCCCAAAAACCCAAGTGTTGCCTGGACAGATTTGTGAAAAATGGGGAGTCGCGTTTCTGGCCGATAATTACATCTCTTTCATCTCACGGGCTAGCATTGATAGATACCTTAGATACCCCTTGAAGAACAGCAATCTACTTTTGAATCCTTTTGACCTTTCGCCCGAGATTTTGGCAAAACAAATCAAAATCCCATGGCTTAGAGCCAAATAAACAAACTGCCCATCACTTCAGGCCCCAGTTTTTGGAGAGGAGAACCCAAAAAAAAACCATGTAGGCATTTGTGTTGGTGAAATTGAGACTGGTTGGTGGTATACCTACTCCTCTGATATTAGTCAATGGGAAGGATTATCCCATATATTATGGAAAATAAAAAATGTTTGAAACCAACCACCAGGAGATAATTAAGTTCCAGTTCTTTCTTGATCAAAACATATCAAATCCCATGGTATAACCCCATTCTGTGTTGTCGTTGTTGCGTCAAGCGGCGACGCGGACGCGACTCCGCACCTGTTCGTAACGTCCTGGCCAGTTGTAGGGGCCCAACATATCCCAACATATCCCAACGTTTTAAGGATATAATCCCTACAACTACAGTGAAATACCCAGAGGAAAAAAGGGAATGTAATCCCTGCACTATGTTGAAATCCCATAGTCAGAAAGCCATGTTTTCTTCATCTCAGTCCTGCCTCCAGTACTTTGGAGGACTGTGGGCAGTCAGGAAAAAGAACTCCATCATCGGAAGATATCGGAAGGATACCAGATGATATCTTGTATATATATATATATACATACATATACATATATATATAGTTATATATATATTATATGTATACCCATATAAAATCCTTCTAGGTAGATCATGGGAGGGGGGTTGGTTGACCTTATATACATTGAAATGTATTACGGGTTTGCCTGAAAATAGGGTATCCTAAAATCTTCAGGTCAGCCCCCTGACCAAGGGATCAGCTCACCATAGTTGCCTTATCTACAACCCCTGAGCCCTGGGAATAGCCCCAGAGTAGTGATGGTCAAACTCCTATCTTTTTGTCAAATGCATCAAATCCCCAGGTATTCTTGCATCATCCTTGAAAAATTTCGAGACTTATGGCCCAAAAAACATATTGATCCGATATCTGACATATATCTAACTATAGAAATAGCTAGTGATGATGATTGCTTGTAAAAATTCTGGGCTTACAGTAGATATCAGTAGATCATATATGATCACATGCATATCTGTGCTAGTCCTTGGGTCACCCAGCGTGGCTCCTTCAATTCCTGCCGTGCAGGTTGCGTTGCCACCGGCTGCGGTGGCAGTGGCAGCTCTGCAGGGAGTTTGATGCGGAGGATGGCAGCTGCGAGCCTGGGTGTTGGTTTTTTCAAACCCCATGAAAACCACAGTTACATTCCCCATAAACATCCATAAACCATAGAATTCACCAAGTTATATCAAGTTACAAAGTCAATATCTATGTGAACTGAGTGTTTTTCTTGGCATTTTTTTGCTGGACCTTAAACTGACACGGCTTGAGCCTATGGCAACCCCAGGTCGCCAGTCTGTTGATGACACTGATTCGTTTTTACAGCGGGATTCCAAGGATTTCAAGGTCATGGCTTATTATCTCAACAAACCAGCTGCATAACCCTTGAACTAATCAATCAATCATCATTTCTCAATCAAATCCTCATATATTTGACAGTTTAAATATGTTAAATTCCAGAAACCCTGAGATTTTTTTTCTGGTTGAGCTCCATGAACATCAAAATGAACATCCCAAATCCTGATAATTTCCTTGATGAAAAGCATCGAAATCCCATCATTTTTCACATGCTTTCAAGCCTCACCGAAGCCTCTCGGCTAGTCCCAAGGATGTCCCAGGTACAGTTCCAGAAACTGCACCCAGCTCGACAGCCAGTCTTGCGAACTGATGTTTGCTTTGGCGCTGAACCACTCCTGGAAAACATCATGGTGGATCCTTTTGGAGCACCTGAAAACTCAAAAAGGTGCTTCTTCCGTGTGATGAAAAACCATGACAAAAATCATGAATCCACCGGGAAATATGGTATGGAAAACCTGGAAGATGTATAAAATTCTATGAACAAATGCCATGTCACCAGGAAAATATGGGAATCGACCACGAAGTCACGAAGGCCCGAAGGGACTCACAAAAAAAACATGAATTCGGAGAAGGGTGACCTCAAAATAAGACTAAGCTTTATGAGGATACAAGTGAACTTAGAATCCAGAAATTTGAACGTGAAATTCCAACATGGCCATGTCAATATATACACATTGGCTGCACTTTTTTTGGACGAAATGGTCTCAAGGAGGCATGAACTCCACCAAATGCCGGCCAACTTAGATCAATATCTATAAACTCACTCTGAATGACTACTAGTTCGACATATCTACCAGAAAGCCTAGCTGTATAGACCAACTTAGCTATCTCATCATCTACAAGTCTGCGCAAGAACCGATTCATCCAATAGCTATAGCATCACTGTGGCCCAAGATAATCAGCAAATGATCCCATCCAGCGAATATCACCGGCTATTCAAATCTATTTTCCGGCTATCCCAGCCATAGTCAGTTACCCTCTGGCAATCAAAGATGTTAAACACATGTTAAACATGTCAATGGAAAATCCACCATTGAGTTAAATTTTCTTCAATGATTTTCTCATTAACATCCAATTTCTAGAGGATCTTCAATTGCCAAGTTGCCATGTTTTGATGACCAGAGGGGAACTCCATCAAAAAAAAACATTGCGACCGAGACACCATTTGTTGCTTCAGTTCTCCCTTGGCTTTTGCCACTTCTTCAGACGTCTCCTCCGAGGCGGCGTTTTGGTTGAACCAACCATCCCCAGTCGTAAAACCATAGGTTTCAATACGAAAATGGTCATGGCTTGGATGACTTTGGGGGGTACAGTACCTCCATTTTCGGAAACCTTCATGGATTTCAATGCTGAATTTGGTTGAAACCTCTGTGTTCTGAGATTGTTTGATCAAATACAGTTAATTAGAACAAATATAGGGGCGTAGCAAAGGCGAGCAATGTTCAAAACCCGAAATGTCGTCCCCGTGTTGGTTGAATTTGGTTGATAGGGATTCCGCTAATTCAATGTGATTATCCCCAATATTTTTAGGTTACTAGAATCCCCGAACGAATCATCACCGTTTATCTCATGAAACATCAGGGGTGGATCGCAGTCACACCTTAAGTGTAATTTGGGGATGAGTCAAGACCCTGGTACCCTCGATATCCTAAAGTAGCTGGTGACTGAATGTTTTTCCCCCCAAATATAATAATATATATATACCCAAATATGGTCCTATGGTCATTAAATCATTAGGTAACTTGACCCAAAAATTTTGTTCAATCCCCAAAAACCACCACTTTTTCGTTTTTACTCAGTGGTCTCAGTGGCTGAGCAATAGGACCAGGTTTTCGTGCTCGGTTTTCGGACCGCTCCTTGGCCTCTTTCATGATGCGCTGCACCCGGAGGTTCAGTCGAGCCACACTCTGGTCCATGACGGTGGATTCCTCAGCAAGATGATGGTGGAAAAATGGGATTTTTATGTATTTTTTTTGAAGTTTATTGGATTTGTTTGGGATTTAGATGGTTTTTCATGGATCTTTTTATGGGATTGCATGGGAATTTATGCAGATTTAGGATGATTTAATGGTGATCTAATTGGACGTCAAGGAATTCATTGGAGTCGATGGTGATATGATGGGAGATTCCCAACAATTATGGAACATAGGTGTCTAACATGCGGTTTTTTAACCCTCAGTTCTGGCCATTCAATAGAGAAGATAATGATGAAATATAACCAGGGGAGTATAACATCTAATGACCTGTGGATATTTAACATAGCCATGGTATAGATGGCCTATTTATAGATGGTTTACCGAACTTAAAACTGGTGATTTTCCATGGCTATGTTAGTCATAACCAGAGGGTAATAACCTGTGGATAATGAAGTTTACAGTAACTGTAGCCGCTATGGTCATCGAAAAAAGGCCGCCTCGGTCGTGGTCCATGGTTGTAACTGAGGCTGGGAACTCCCCCATAAATATTTTTATGGAGGTCTCTGGGTGGGAAATCATCGAAGTAAATGGGGGATGTTCCAGCACGCCACGTTTGATGACAAAGGAGGGTACCCTCCAGTAAATTAACATAGACCCTGGCAGATAGGGGTTGGAAGACTAGTTTCCATGAAAAATTGGTGATTTTCAGGGTCTATGTTTATTTACCAGAGGGTAATTGATGGTTTAAAAGCCCTTCCCCTCATCTTTCAGAGATCTTCACATCTTACTGGTCAGAGCAGCAATGCCATCAACAGTGCAGGACGATTGTGTTTGCATTCCAAAACTTGGCTTGTATGCGGAGCATTGTAATCATTATAATTACAACCAAAAAAAGGCACCCTCCAGTAATCCAACATGACAATAATTCAATAATCCCAACAAAAATCTGCATGGCTGCATGACCATCTATAAACTACATTAAAAACTACTATAAATAGGGGGATTTTCGAGCAAGCCATGTTTGATTACCAGAGGCTACTTCCTTTCGAAAGTGAACGTCCCAAAATCCAAAGCAGCTGCCCCGGTCCTTTCCCCAAGGATCCTGTATCAGGTTGCCATGCGCTTTCCTGGCCGTTGCCATAATCTTCTGACAGCTCGTTTCCGCTTCCATCAAGCAAACGCCTGAAACGTTGGATCACGCCGGGCAACTGGGGACAATCATCATCCCATTTCTCGGAAAGTAAGCCAGGCTGCCTGGGGTCTATCATGGTATGTTTCTAAATGGATGTGGATGGGGGGTTTAGATGGTTTTAGGATGTTTTAAGGGTATGTTCATGTATTTTCGGCCCAACTTGTCATTGATGTCATTGTCAGCTTCTTGATAACTCACAAACCTGACATATCCCCAACGGCCCAGGCCGCCAGGTACTCCAAAAAGACTATGGTCTACCGCTTCGACTCCGTGCGCCTTTGGCCGCGTTCAAAGCATCATGCAGGTCCTGGGGCAAAAATGTCGGAAGCAGAGGAAGACGGTGATGATGATGGTGATGATGAGAATGATAATGAGAATGAGAATGAGAATAGGAAGGATAAGCAGGATAATTAAGGGTAATTTGTCCATTCAAAGTAATCTCGACTAAACCAGCATAGTTTGCCAACCATCACTTCAAAAAATATCCGAAACACGACATGCATGGTTTTATTCTTGTATGGATATACACCTTACAGGTCATCTATACATCGTCATTAAGCACTAAGAAACCACCTAAGAAAAGGGAGTCGACCCTAGCATTTTGATCCATATACCATCTGGTTATGACTAACATAGCCATGGAAAGATCCACCATTATAGGTAAACCATCTATAAATGGGCCATCTATACCATGGCTATGTTAAATAACCAGAGGGTAGATCATTGTTCATCATCTTTCAACACAAATTCGGTGTATCCTTTCCGTTTTTAGATGAACAGCACTTTTCCACCATATCCACCATGTCACATCCACCATATGGAGCTTTCCCAAACTGGGGGTACCCCCAAATCACCCATTTAAATAAGGTGTTCCATGAAACAAACCACCCATTTTGAAGTACCCCCATTGAAGGAAACCCCTGGTTGGTGGTTGAGCCCTACCCCTCTGAAAAATCATGGAGTGAAAGTCAGTTGGGATGATGACATTCCCAATATATGGAAAGTCATAATCCAGTCATGTTCCAAACCACCAACCAGATCCACCATGGCAAACCATCCATCACAGATCCACCGCGTCCTGCGCTTCACGGTGGAGCTCCAAACGCTTCTCATGGCAGCGAACGGACATGACTTCCTCCCAGACGATGGCCTCAGACCTAAATGGGAAGTTTCATGAAGTTTCCAGGGGAACAACAGCAGCAACCACAACGATTGAGAGTTGTGATTGTTTAACAGATACATATGTAACCTGGGGTGAAAACCTCGGGATTTTGCTGGTTTACATTGTTTTATCACCTAATCTGACTGTCATACATGTGGATATTCATCACATAACCATGGTTATGTCACACACAAACATACATAAACCATGCAATTTCACTATACAACTGAGTGATTTCATAACCACAACTTTGTGCTTAATTTTACCAACCGAGATTGGGACAATATGGGACAATGACACCATTGAGATTGAACATTTGGCAAGGAGGAGCCACAGAACAACAGTTTGTATAACCAGTTAACAGTGAAACATGGGGTTGATGGCGATCCCATTTCTTGGTTACTTCATTTCTCCTGGTCAGCCTTAGGTCATGTCATGGTTGAAATTGGCCTTGAAACTTTGGTCATGGTGATACGGGCTACACCCAACATCCAGAAAGTTGAGGGTGGTCAGCCTTAGGTCTAACTACAATTTGTTATTCAACAAACACGCGTACATTGGTATTATGTTGTATGGTGTTGTATTGTCTTGTGTTGTGTTGTCTAGTATAGCATAGCATAGTATTGGAACGTAATGCAATGGAACGCAGTGTATGTATATGCAGTGTTGTATACATTTCAATAAGTACATAGCGATATCACCGGCATTTAAATTGACACGGGTTCTTCACCACATCCACTTTCAAAACACCAGCAAAAGAATCTCCATGTTCCATTGTTACATTTTTCCATTCGTTTCGCAGCCAAAGTGCACAAAGTCCAGCAAGGATTGTCCAGAAGTCCCTTCACTCTCACCCTGACCCTTGAGCTCATCCAACCTGGACTCGATGGAAAAAAATAAAAATCTGGTCATCTTCAGTGGTTGATTTCAAACATGTTCAAAATATTTCAGCTGCTGCTGGGTAGCAAATTCCTGGTTGGTGGTGCAATGTGCCCAGCTTGAAAAATATGATGGACTTCGTCAATGGGGTTGGGATGACATCCCATATATGAAATGGAAAATAATTAATCCAAATGTTTGAAACCACCAACCAGATTCATGTTTCCACAGCACATCATGGAACAAGGGGATTTTTTTCACTGTGTTGGATAAGTTTTTCTGAGAAAACCAACATCTAGATTTCCGAATCTAGAGGATTCCTCATACTTGTACTGATAAAAAGATCCTGTCAAATCCTACCAAAATAGTCATAAATTACTATACATTACTATACTTTTGGGACCACAAGCAACAGTCATTTTCCCATGTTTTCCCATGCTTTCTTTGGGACATCCCGAATCAGAAAAACTCATCTCGGGTGGGCCGTCCACTGATCGCAGCAATGCTAGGCAATGGAATGTGGATCATCAAAAAATAATCAGAAACCACAAATTTGAAAGCACAAGCAGGACCTCCCCCAGTTATTAGTTTGTGTGTTTATAACACCATCTAACTACAGATATGTCTGCCTAGAATCCTCGGCCTCGTTAGTCTAGTTATAAACCAACAAAAGCCTATCGGTTGGGGGGCCCTTTCCGCACCAACCAGCCATATTCTAAACCATCCCACAAGAAACTTTTGCAACTAGTCAGATTTGCTAATCTATGTGTCACTCAGATTTATTTGAACAACACACATATTCCCACCCCCACCATTTATAAACCACCAAGAAACTTCAGCAATCCATCTGGAAGCACCACAGCCCGTGCACCGTCGCGTGTGGTGCCGCGATTCATGATGTTTCCCACTGCCAGGCAGGTACTAATGCACTTCCTCACCAACGTGGAAGCTTTTAACCTCAGAAATTGCGGAGAGGGTTACCGAAATGTGGGAAATGTGGGAACTTATCACAAAAAAGTAAAACGCATAATATCAATTCCTTCCCACTAATGTAAAATACCCGCCATATAAGCCCCCAAAATGACTAGATCTATAATTACGTAATACCAAATCAGAGTTGCTAGATTGTATTTAATATTAGGATATATCTATTATATATATATATATTAGGGATTATTAGGGGCATAGGCTTACATATCTTACATAACTTACATAGACTATCCATATAATATTGCAAGTCAATCAGTTGAAATCATTCCCATCCCAATCAAAATGGCCACAAGCCTTGGTTACTACCATGAGGTCATTGGTTACATGAACCTACATTGCAGTCTTGTTAGTCAAATCCCTGTTGCAGTTGCGATTTTATATGATTTTCAAGCAAGTACATCTTCAAAATCGTCAAGACTACCCTATGGCTATGGTTGGCATGGCGCATGGCCAAAGCATGCCATCATTTTTAAGGTGAATCCTCCAATGTTTTCCGGTTTTTTTTCTGCTGTCTTGTTGATTTTTTGTGTTCAGTGCTTGATGATTTAATACAGGTACCATTACAGGTACCATGTCCCCAGTTTTTTTCTGATGAAGCTCCGGTGAAGTTCCTCCCATTTTCTTGGATGAAGTCCTATGTGGTTTGATTTCAAAATGCTCAAGTCAACACTGTTTTGATGATGAACCCCTCCCATATCCCCAATCTACCACCATTTCTCTTACTGGTTCTGTATATCAAATTGTATCACGAAAAGATCTCCAGTTTTTGATGCCAACAATTCTTGGAAAACCTTCATTTTTCGTTGGTTCTAACAGGTTATATGGGTTTGTCTGAGAATGGAATTAAGCCCCAGGTTTTAGCCATCAAATTTCATTGGCTAGTGATAAACCATGAAACTTGCAGCTAATTAGTCTGTTTTCAGACAAACCCAGATGGTTATGGGTCAAAACCTTGGTACCCTAGGTGCCACAAAATAGCTGCTTAATGTGTTCCCCCTAATAATGCATACTGGTTGGTGGTATACCTACCCCTCTGAAAAATATGAGTTCGTCAGTTGGGATGATAAAATTCCCAATATATATGGAAAGTCATAAAAGTCATGTTCCAAACCACCAACCAGACATAATTACTATATAAGTCACCATTTTCCCATGGTTTTCCCATATCACTAGGCTTTTTTGAGCCATGAGCCATCGATCCAATCCTCCCATCTCCCGCAGCAAGGAACTTCTGACAGCCTCGCATCACCCGCTCGCAAGCCTGGCGCCATTCCGGCAACTCAGGCGCCAGGCCCAGGATTAGCGCGCCGCTGCCTGCAGAGGGTTTTTTTTCAAAGTTAGTTTCTATGGGGGTTTTGCCATGGTTTTTGCCATGGGTTTTTGCCATGGTTATTGCCATGATTTTTGCCGTGGCTTTTGCCGAGGTTTTTGTTATGGTTGTGTAAAGGTCTCTTGCATGGTGTTTTCATGGCTTTAATGGGTTTTCATGTGCTTTTAGTCGTTTTGACTGAAGACTTGAAAACTGACATTTGAAAAAAAAAACTGACCATGGAAAAATCAGCAGAACTGTAACCATGATTCCAACAATTAAACCACATTCTATCTGTTAAACAACGGATTCAAACAAGTAAAACATGCCATGAACATGTGTTTTCAATGATGAAACTTGCTTTTTGGAAAACACAAAATAGGTTTTGAGCTACAATGAGTGTGGCATGTGAACCAACAAAAACTGAAAAATCACCATAAGATCCACTAAAATCCCGTAAGAGCCGTTAAAAATCCCTTCCCAAATGGATTTCCCCAAGTCTTCGACGAAGTACAGATCTTGGCAGCAATCAATGGCTTGTGTCCCATGACCCACAAGTATCTCTCCTGGCAGGTGAACGGTAGCCTTACCAAGGGCTTCCCAAAGGATAGTTGTGTCTGTTGGTAACATGTCAGAATTAACCATGTTTATGTACTGGGGGTTATGGTATATATAGATATCAATCATATAGATATTAATAATATGATATAATATATATGATCTACAAACGGGGATGATGGGTTATTTATATTCGTTGGATATTATATATTAATATTTATACAACCCATCAGATCATATTAATATTAAGTGTTGACAATTCATGATATTAATCTACAGTTGGATCATGTTTGATGTGTTGTATAAACGATAAACCAACACCTGCGTAACTATTCTTTCCTGCAGGTGGAACATTTTTGGGCCCTGAGATCCCAAATGTGGCATTGATTTTTAGGGGATAGGTCAGGATTTGGTACAAATTACCAAAAACAAAATAGGGAAACTATGAAAAAGGTATAAATATTATATAATTTATATAGATTCAATATTTTTCAGTATGTATCATATGTTTGTATGATTTTCCCAGTTGGAGGACTTTTTTGGGCTTTGGTAAACCTAACAACCGGGTATGGCTCAAAATTGCCCCAAACAATTGAACCATTCCTAGCATGAATATGATCAACAATTCAACTCATAGATAAATTAAGCATTCAGAGTGATCAGTTGAACCGACCTGCATTCGGCATCAGTAAGATCGTTGGCTCCCCAAGTCCGTTTTTTTAGATGGGTGATGATGAAAAGCAAACACTGGTCAGTTGCACATCTTAAAAACATGTTTGCTTCACAGATCAAACAGCATCAACTCCACAGCAAAACCTGCTCACCAAGCAGTTGCTAGTTTCAGCCCATCCCACCCACAAGTTTCTCAGATATCTTCGAAACCTATACACTATAGATGTTCGCCTACTCACAAACCAATTTACCTATCATAAATCACATATAAATGCAATTCTTGTTGACTTCAATCCCCATTTCTGTTCGTTTAAACCTCCAGGTTGCTTGCTAAAGTCCGATCAATTTCGTCCGTTGGTTTCCCACATCTATATTGCTTTAAAATAACTCCCAATTTTTCATGGCGAAATCAAAATCATCCCTAGTTCAACCAGCATTTTCCCAAGTTCCCTAGTTCAACCAGCATTTTCCCTAGTCCAACCAGCATCTTCCCTAGTCCAACCAGCATCTTCCCCAGTTCAACCAGCATCTTCCCCAGTTCAACCAGCATCTTCCCCAGTTCAACCAGCATCTTCCCCAGTTCGACCAGCATCTTCCCCAGTTCGACCAGCATCTTCCCCAGTTCGACCAGCATCTTCCCCAGTTCGACCAGCATCTTCCCCAGTTCGACCAGCATCTTCCCCAGTTCGACCAGCATCTTCCCCAGTTCGACCAGCATCTTCCCCAGTTCGACCAGCATCTTCCCCAGTACGACCAGCATCTTCCCCAGTTCGACCAGCATCTTCCCCAGTTCGACCAGCATCTTCCCCAGTTCGACCAGCATCTTCCCCAGTTCGACCAGCATCTTCCCCAGTTCGACCAGCATCTTCCCCAGTTCGACCAGCATCTTCCCCAGTCCGACCAGCATCTTCCCCAGTTCGACCAGCATCTTCCCCCCAGTCCAGATCTCCCCAGTTCGCATCTTCCCCAGTTATTTTCGACCAGATTTTCCCCAGCATTTTCGAGACCAGTTCGCATCTTCCCCAGTTCGCCCAGCATCTTCCCCAGTTCGACCAGCATCTTCCCCAGTTCGACCAGCATCTTCCCCAGTTCGACCAGCATCTTCCCCAGTTCGACCAGCATCTTCCCCAGTTCGACCAGCATCTTCCCCAGTTCGACCAGCATCTTCCCCAGTTCGACCAGCATCTTCCCCAGTTCGACCAGCATCTTCCCCAGTCCGACCAGCATCTTCCCCAGTCCGACCAGCATCTTCCCCAGTCCGACCAGCATCTTCCCCAGTCCGACCAGCATCTTCCCTAGTCCGACCAGCATCTTCCCTAGTCCGACCAGCATCTTCCCTAGTCCGACCAGCATCTTCCCTAGTCCGACCAGCATCTTCCCTAGTCCGACCAGCATCTTCCCTAGTCCGACCAGCATCTTCCCTAGTCCGACCAGCATCTTCCCTAGTTCGACCAGCATCTTCCCTAGTCCGACCAGCATCTTCCCTAGTCCGACCAGCATCTTCCCTAGTCCGACCAGCATCTTCCCTAGTCCGACCAGCATCTTCCCTAGTCCGACCAGCATTTTCCCTAGTCCGACCAGCATTTTCCCTAGTCCGACCAGCATTTTCCCTAGTTCGACCAGCATTTTCCCTAGTTCGACCAGCATTTTCCCTAGTTCGACCAGCATTTTCCCTAGTTCGACCAGCATCTTCCCTAGTTCGACCAGCATCTTCCCTAGTTCGACCAGCATCTTCCCTAGTTCAACCAGCATCTTCCCTAGTTCATCCAGCATCTTCCCTAGTTCATCCAGCATTTTCCCTAGTTCAACCAGCATTTTCCCTAGTTCAACCAGCATTTTCCCTAGTTCAACCAGCATTTTCCCTAGTTCAACCAGCATTTTCCCTAGTTCAACCAGCATTTTCCCTAGTTCAACCAGCATTTTCCCTAGTTCAACCAGCATTTTCCCAGATCTTTCCTGGATCTTCCCGTAGTTTTTCCCTAGTGTTTCCGGAGGCTCCGGCACGTCCAGCTGGCAGAGATCTGATTCCTGGAGTTCCATGTGACGCAGCTGCTCCACCGCATCGCCTAGGGACTTTTTTGGGGGGATTTCTATGTGGAATTGTAATGATATGGATATGTATATAATGGATATATTTCTATATATATGGATATGGATTATACTTATAATGGATTTACTATTGTAATGATTTTTTGGATATGGATATATATATATATATACTTATAATATCCCAAACATGGTATTTATTATGCTATATCAATTGGGATAATAGCATATATAATGATATTAATATATATATATATTATACTTATATGGATCTCTATTGTAATGGCCCATAGAAATAGATGACCTTCCCATTAAAAATGATGATTTTCCATGGCTATGTTAGTCATAACCAGAGGGTATATTATATATATATATATGATATGGATTATGGATATAAAAAAAATGACTTGAGATGGTTTTATGCGGTCTTATATTGTTCTATATGGAACTATATATGGATTTATATGGACTTATTGAAGGTTTTAGATGGTTTAAACCAGGGATTAATAGGGATTACCTCCACAGGAAGGGTTCGAGGGATTGGTTTGCTCTCTAATAATGGTGAATGAATGGCAACTCATGGATTTTTCAGATAGTTTAATCGGGATAATCATGAGATACTAGTGGGACAGTCACAGGATAAATAATAATGGGAGATTAATGGGGTATTATTGGATATACCTATACCCTCCAGTGTCATCAAACGTGGCTGGAAAATCCAAGAACTAAATGGAGGTTTCTAGCTGGGATAATGATCCAACTCAATGGGGAATTCTCCATTGGTATGTTTGATTACCGGAGGGTAAGGGGGTTGTAAAATTTGTGGGATTTAACCACCAAAAATAGGGAAAAAAAGCTGGCATTTTATGGCGATTTCAATGGATTGAATAGGATGTTATGTGGATTTAGTGAGATGTACGGTGATTTAATGGGGATGTTGATTGAATGTTGTGGTGATATCTGATGGTGATGGCAATGTTGTGGGATCCCATAATGTAGTGATGGTATCGTGGGGGTGTACATGGGGATTTTTCCGTGGTCAAATGGGAGGTTAATGTTCTGCGTCCCAGAATCATATATTTGTTTCAGGAAAATATGCATGAAAACCCAATCAATTTGAAAAAAAAACATGATTTATCGCGATGTCATTGGGGATTTTTCTGTGATTTCGTGAGATTTTAAGCGGATTTGCAAGGGATATGATATGACTAATTTTCATGATGCATGATGGTGAAAAAAAAAACTCATCCAGATGGTGAACCAACCTGAATCTAACTGGCAATTCTGATGGGATGTACTGGTGGTATGATGGGAATAGTCCATCGTTTTTCATGATCAGCACCGATACTTTGACTTGATGATCCCTTAACCGTTGAATCACCACCCATCAAACAACAAACAGCTTGGATGCCCTGATTCTGGGAGGGTGCCGTCGTTGGAGGACATTGAATCAGTGCACCGACAGGAGCAATCTAGAACTAAGTTGAATAAAACCATCATAAAGCGAATCAAATAGTTTTTATTGAGAAAGAATTCGAGTTGTATTCTGGACTACATGGCTTCAAACCCGCAAGAGGAATCACAAAAATTTAGCAAATTGCAGCTTCAGTTTATGGAACCTTTCGGTGTAGCTGCAACACTGTGTTGAACTGACTCCACCTAATCCATCTGACCTCAGACTCGGCACCAAGCCGACCCCATTCAGGAATTCAGCAAAACCCTTCAGGATGGGGCCCCCCAGTTATAAGTTGGTTTATATACCATAATAAACCACTATAACCCCCATGAACTAGTTCGTTATATCTACCATAAACCAGTAGAATTCAACCACTTGTTTCAGGCAACTGAACGCGAGCTCGATCGGGGGCCCCATCCTGTTGTTCCCTGGAAAACGATCTACAACTTGCGGAAAAGATAGGCTCCCCACAAATTTGGGGTAACGATGTTCAAACAAACCGTTTACCCTCTGGTAAACTAACAGAACTGTGTAAAATTCTAGCAATTTCTTGCCCATATTCCAGGGCCGAACATATTCCATGCCAAAATAGCTCGGAAATTTCAGGGAATTGCGAAGACCCCTTTCAGGTGAAATTTGTATTTCATACAGTTTGCCAAGTACTCCTTTTCTTCTGGCACGTACGTTGTCGACTGCACATGTTCTTCCGCAAAGAAGATCCTTACTTTCAACAATTTCTGGAAATGTCATAATTCATAATGTTGAGCTTTCCAAAAATGGATTAATAATGTTCTTATGGGAATTTGTCATCTACACTTTTCAGGATCTCAAAACCCAATTCATAAGCTTTAAGCTTATGTTCTGGCACGCTTGGCTGGCATTTCACCAGCAGCGCCATCCCCATCTTTCTTGACATCTTTGTGGCCCCGCAAAGAGCCCTGCACAACAGGATCTCGGAACACAAATCATCGACGATCCTGTTTTCTTCCATGCAAACTAATTCCACCGATAGAGTACGATGCCACCCCTGGAGTGCGCTAATTTTCTGGAATGCGAAAATAAAACAGTATGCGTGGCCCCCTTCGACCTTCCCCATGGATCCAACACCAGTTTTTTCCATCATATACCAGAAAATTATCACATTTCACCCTGCTGAGCTTTTTTTTTCTTTTTTTTTTGTTTGGTCATTTTTGGCCAAAATGGCCTGGAATGCGATAGTATGTGAAACTACAGACGTCTCACGCGAAACCGCTACCTTGCCCATATTCCAGAAAACGTGATTCCAGGCGATTTTAGCCCAAAAAAAAACGAAAAAAAAAAAAACGCAAAAAACGAAAAATCACCGAGTACGAAGATTTTATGGAGTGCGAAGATCTTGCAGAGTGCGTGGATATTATAGTATGTGCACGTCCCTAGCTGTGGAGTGCGATGCCCTCGCTGGAGTGCGAAGAATTTGTGGAATGCGAAGAATTCCGAGTATGCGTGGCTGGTATAGAGACCACATAGGGAAATTTCGGGGCCAGAACCAAAATTCCAATCCCAAAGCCAGCCCAAACTTCCAGGGGCACACCAGTGGGTTCTATTTTTCCGAGTTCACCTTGGGTGAGGCCCCGGGGAAGAAACTTTCTAATTTTTACTCAGCCAACCTTTAAAAACGTTACCCTTGACAACCCTGTCCTTCTTCGGTAGACAAATGAAGAAACTTCCTTATCAAAGCAGCCTTCAATTCATTCAACGTCCACAGCTGCTTTGGAACGACATAGGGGATAGAAAGCTGTGGAGGGGCATTCAGTGGATTCGCCGTGGCCCAACTGTTCCCTCCAGATTGAGCTGAAATGCCTATCAAAGTAACATACCAAAACCCAGGTCTGGAGTACGATGAAAACATGGTATGCGAAGATTTTCTGAATATGGGAATGTTGCCTCTAGAAAAATCATCATTTTGAATGGGTAAATCAACTATACATTGCCATTTTCAATAGCTATGTGTTAAAATATCAGACGGTATCCGTAATTGCTGGTTGAGTTTCTGTGTTGATTGGCAAAACCCCCGATTTTGTTGATTCAATCCCAGTATGATCCTAGAATATCCCCCGAAAAAAAGTTGGTAAACATCTCATACATCATTGAATCCAGTTATATTTACACAACATCCGGTATCACTTTATTTTCCATTAATATATTATATATATAGTTAAATGCCAATGTTTGCCAGTTTTATCCCCAACATCCCCATCAAAGTAAAGACAACAGAACCACTGCGACAAGTCGCGTTGATCCAAGAAAGCCGTGTTCAAAGCCATTATGGCTTCCTTGGAACACCAACTGCTGTGCAACGAAAAAAATCCAGAGCTTTTAATGGTGTCTAATAGGTCATTCGACGAGTCATGGGATATGTCAGCAAGACTGTTTTTGTTGGGATTCATGGCTATGGATAGAAAAGGTTTGTGACCACTTCAGATTCCTTTTTCAAATTACTGGTTGGTGGATGTTGGTGGTATACCTACCCCTTCTGAAAAATATTAGTCAGTTGGGATGAAAGAATTCCCAATATATGGAAACATAAAAAATGTTCCACACCACCAACCAGTTATCCATGTGTTTCAATGGCAATATTCATCCATTTGGAAGGTACAGCTCCACAGCCCAGGCTGTTACTATTGGTTCATCTGGCACAATGACAATACAACAAAACCAGACATTTTAGGGTAGTTGCAGGGACCAAATATCATAGTGAATCTTAGATACTAGTCAGAAAATCTATGTTTTCGCTGGCTAGTACATTTTCAAGTTGCCATTGATAGCAAGATATTGAAGTACTAAAGTATCTAACCAAGGTTGACCCAGATATGTCGCTTTGATTTCCAATACATGGGTCCAACATGATGGAAGCAGTGTCAACCCCTGCCTTATCTTGGATTTTGCTTAGAGTGGTACTGGTCAGCTTTGAACATCTTCCCGCAACATCTCCCAAACATTTGAAGTTTTCAAGTCAGAAAATAGGTGAAAAAAAACAGCTACAATTATTTTTGGCTGAAACTTACGGTCACCATCTAACTACCAGATTATAGATGGATTTGATGTTGAAAATCATCACTTTTCCCATTCACATTGCTATAAATTGATATGTTTCCCGTGTCATTTTGGGGTTTGATTTTCCCATCATAGCACCATATTGTTCTTGGTGAAATTCTGTTTTTTGTCAGATCCCCATTCATTGGTTTGCCTGAACATGGGGTACCCAACAAATTCAATGGTTATCCCCCAAAAATCAATGGTTTATCATGGTTTATCATGGTTTATCATCATTTTCCCTAATCAAATAGCAACTGTGGGGGCTATTTGAAGCCCATGTTCATCCATCTTCAGGTTATCTCCTATATGAATCACATTGAGTCTCCAATAACATCCAATAATCCGAACGGATTACGGTGTTCAGACTAGCTGGCAGCGGAGCAATAAGACTCCCATCTAAAGTCATACATCTTCAGAAACCCATTTTTAGATCCCCACCTTTTTTTTCTTCGGAAAAAGCCAACCCAGCCAGCACCGAAAGCTCCTTCAGCTCGACCGAGCTGCAGGTGCCGACAGGCCTTCCGGAAAGGTCTCCAAGTTGTCCTTGGCAGCGATCAGAGTCATCACAGGGCTCGGGGTGCAGCGGAACCGGAACCATAAAATTCAGTGGCTTGCAGAACTAATAAGTGGGTTTTCTATAACTTCATTAACCTAAATTAGTTTTACTATGCTGTACTTGTTCATAACCTCAACTGGACACCCAAGTATTAGCTGTGAAAATATATGGGTTAGCTGGATCGAATATCACCAAACAAAAACATGGAACAGATGTAATTGTCGGTAGAGGAAGGGACCCCGTGACCCCGACACGATCAGTTGGTGGAACTAACTAGGCTAACGGATGAACTTATGGAGGATGTATATATGATTATATATGGTCTGGTTGGGGTTATTCAGCATAAACAATTGGATATTTCACGATGTCGGCAAACCATAAACGGATTGTCCATGTATGCAGCAGCTTATCCATGGAGTTTCGAGGTGAATGGGCACTCAAAAATGGCTCCAAAGCGGGTGCCTGAAAATTTGGATCTCTGAATGGCAAGTAGGTTTCTAACTAGTAACTAGAATAATTCTAGGCTTTATGGGGAATATATTGTATTATATTATCACACATATCTATTGTCTACAGTTGAATAGGCTTTGAGACCAACTTATGACTGGGGGGACCACTTTGTAGCATGTCAATGCTGACACATACCAAGATGCTCTGGAGCCTGTACTAACTTCCAAAGCTGATTACTTTGGGCCATCAAAGTCACAATTTTCCCTGTAGTGACAAACATCCTTTCTGGTGGTACACCCACAAGTCTGAATGGTAACTCTTATGGGAGACGAGTTGTGGTGTCATTCTTGTGGCTTAAATCCCGCTTTTTGAAACCAAGGTGCCACCACATTGGTCAACTGCTCTGCTGGTGGCAACCTGAGATTGTGCAACCGCGCCCGCTGAAGCAACAAGAATGCTATCACTCCATAGTTACTTGGATCTTGGTGGTTTGCCTCAGTAACAGTTCGGAAGTGGGCAACTCCATATCTGGACTACCTCTACTTCCCCAAACTGGACCTATAACACCTATAATCTCATAGAATTATATAAGGTTAACTTGCGGGACCTAAAAATTTTCTAAAGATGGGATCAGTCAAACGTGTACATCGCCCTTCCTCTACCTCCAAGGTTGGTTAGTAAAACTGAAATGGAGCCCAAACTGAATGGAATGGATTGGTTCAAGGGAAAACAAATTATAGCAAACCACGGTTTAGTTACCAGTTACAAGGGTTTCCTTGTCCCCCCCAATACACCTGCACAACTACCTGAATGTTCTTTTGTTTCTCCACACATGCCAGTAGACATTAGAGATGTCAACAGCAAGATGAATTATTAATGAGGGTATGTAAATAGAAAACATTGAACAGTTGGACGCACATCGAACTATGGTGGAAACATCATCGAAACAGTTGTCATCCTGGAAGAGCTTTTCGGCATCTTTTTGGGGGTTGTTTTCACTGAACGAAACTTGAGAAGCAACTCCCAAGAGATCTGCCAAAAGACATCTCACAAGGAAGACTGTGCATTGTTGTTTTTGTTGATGTCTGCAAGAAAGAAATGCCAAGAATCAGAAGAGGCTAACAATCATCGTCCCCATATGTTTGCCCATTTAGAATTGAGTCGCAAAGAACTTAGCACCACACTCATGGTAATAATGATCAATAAATGACATAACTATATGCAACTTCGGGAAAGAAAACCGTGAAATCGGGATATAGGTCGGGAGAATCCCCCTTATATATCAAGGGCAGTCACCAAAATTCCCCGAACTCATCAACCAACAGGGGCTGAACGGTGACCACCGCTGAAATCGTGGAGCTTGTTGAAGGAAATGGCCAGCAGTTGCGACGTTCGATCATCCAACACCCGTAGCTTTTTCCTCGATTCTTCACCTGCACCGGAAATGAAATGATCCACCAAATTTCAAAGGCAGAGTTGATCTGCAACAATTACAAGACTCCAAGACATATAATTTTCTATATGTCTGTCCATCTATCTATCTATCTATCTACCTATCTATCTATCTATCTATCTATCTATCTATCTATGTATCTATCTATCTGTCTATCTATCTATCTATCCATCCATCCATCCATCTATGCCCTTGTACCTATCAATCTCTCTCTATAAACATCTGGAAGGTTGATGCATAAAAAGAGAGCTGTGACGACACGACATGACAACTCCTGGGCCAAAAACAAATAACCATGGTATACCCATTTCCGCCATCTTGCCCATGGCAGCCCGAGATGATATACCATCTGGTTATGACTAACATAGCCATGGAAAATCACCATTTTTAAGTTCGGTAAACCATCTATAAATGGGCCATTTTCCATGGCTATGTTACTGTAAATATAGGGTAATGGATTACATCCTCACATGATATCTTCCAGAATTAGTTTTGAGGAAACTCTGCAGGGCTATATTATGGTATAGTACAGAATGTGGAACCGAACAAAAAAACGAGGAATCTAACACAGCATTTTTCTGAAAGGCCATCAATGTCATCAATCTCAAGGCCTTCACCCAGGGTCACTCAACACGAAGGCCCCGTTTCGTGAAACATCCCACTGGGATGGGTTTTCTAAAATGACCATAATCCCCATTATGGGGATCTTACATGTAGGATCATCAAATGTTTGGTTATTACAAGGTGTTAGCCCATAGTTAGCTAAGTTGGTCTATAACGACTAACAAGAGTTCATTAATATGTTTATTTTATATATATAATATGCAAGTAGTTATTTTTTTGGGTGAATCTAAACCAACAAACATACTTGCGGGGCACCACATAGTCGCAGGATGTCGCCTGGAATGGGATGTCCATTGGCTCCATTCTTGGCACTTTTCCCACGCGCATCCGCCAGCGCAAAGCGACGTTCCAGCAAGGCAGCATCGAAGGTGACTGGGGGCCCCACACCAGTCCAAACACTTTCCTGGGCGGTACCCTCCGGTAAACTAACATCACTATGGAAAATCACCATGCTTTTGATGGGTAAATCAACTATTTCTATGGCCATTTTCAATAGCAAACTGTTTGTTTACCAGAGGATACTTCGGGGGACACTCATCTGAGAGAAAGTGACCCGTGGGCTGGACTTGTTGACCAGCGATTCTGAGAGGGAAGGTAAACCTGACAATTCCTGACTGTAGATCATTTGGAAATATATCTCTGGTTGGTGGTGCACTGACCATCTTGAAAAGTATGAGTTCGTGAATGGGAAGGATGACATCCCATATGAAATGGAAAATAACAAATGTTCCAAACCACCAACCAGCATAATATTAAATTACTATCCCATATATTATGGAAAAAATGTTTGAAACCACCAACCAGATCTGAAATGGTTGTTGATTTGGGATGGAATTTTCAACTGAGCTTCGAACCAGCGATCTACAAAGCTGAGCAACTAAACTAAGAACAAGATGGACATCTGCCTTTCTAATATTTGATAACATAAATGTGATCTGATCACCCGCAGCTTTGCCTTTCTACATTGCCATGCACTTTGAAAGGGTCCAAGGTCCTCTAGGTTTAAGGTCCCAAAAAAAGGATGGACACACAGTATGGTATGAATCTGGAACATCAGAGGTGGTGTAACATGTTGTGACCATAGTAACAGTATTCCATGCTCATCATAGCGGATTTACATGGCTTCATTTTGTCCAGATGTTTGTTGGATAAATTCTCACTTTGATCACTTTGGTCTCCCCAAGACATTGTCGATTCTGCACATCCAGTTTCTGGAACATCCAATTGTGACAACAACCCAGTTACCCTCTGGTGAACTAACATCACTATGGGAAATCACCATGCTATTAATGGGTAAATCAACTATTTCTATGACCATTTTCAATAGCAAACTGTTTGTTTACCAGAGGTTAGAATTATCCAACAATCCAGTTTCTTCTGGAACTTGCGCCACCGTCTGCCAAAACAAAGGTCTCAACCTTATCACAGCATAACGGTTCAAGGGGCACCGAAACACCGCGACAAAAAAAAAACAGGTCACTGGGCATTATATACATATAATATCATATAATATCATTTAATATCATTAAAAGCGCGTATACATACATCATACATATATATATATATGTATATATATATGTATATAATTAAGTGTATATATATATATATAATTATATATATATATATCATTTGGTTCAGGCACCTGCCTCTATCTGTGTTTTGGCACACGTCCAATGTTGTCCTCGATGTTGTAAGTGATGTTGTGAATTTCTCGTTTTTTTTCTTCACGTAAATTTTGATGTTTTAAATTTGGCGTTTTTTTTTCTCACGGAAATTTTGATGTTGTAAATTTGGCGTTTTTTTTTCTCACGTAAATTTTGATGTTGTAAATTTGGCGTTTTTTTTTTCTCACGGAAATTTTGATGTTGTAAATTTGGCCGTTTTTTTTTCTCACGTAAATTTTGATGTTGTAAATTTGGCGTTTTTTTTGCTCACGTAAATTTTGATGTTGCAAATTTGGCGTTTTTTTTCTCGTGAAATATTGATGTTGTAAATTTGGCATATGTTTTTCTCACGTAAATTTTGATGTTGTAAATTTGGTGTTTTTTTTTCCTCACGTAAATTTTGTTGTAAATTTGGCGTTTTTTCCCGACGTAATTTTTATGCTGTAAATTTGGCATTTTTGATTCATTATGATTATGAAGTTTTGATTCAGTATTCTGATCTGATAAGTGGTAAGGTAGGTTAAAGTATGTGTTATTGTCAGACCACCAGTTGAAAGGTTATTAAGTTATCAATAAGTTATCCAGTTATCCATGTCAATGATGATAAAATTACATGTTTAAAAACTAAGTTCAAGTAAATATAGAAAAGTATTTTAAAAAAACATTGTAAATTTCTGGTACATCCGAACGGTTCAGAACGGTTCAGGCGTATCAGCTTCTGATACATCCGAACGGTTCAGAACGGTTCAGGCGTCTCCGAACTATCCCGAACTATCCCGAACTATTCCGAACTAATCCGAACCCAGGCCTCCGATACATCCGAACGGTTCAGAACGGTTCAGGCGTATCAGGTTTTTGCCTTAGATTCTAAGCTTAAAAGTGGGCAATTTTTACAACATAACAAGTTGAAGATGCATGACCTGTAAACAAGTAAAGGTTTTAAGCTATGAGGTTTTAAGTTAATTACAAATTATAAGAGGAAGAAAAGCTGTAAGAAAAGTGATGTCAGTTGCAAGTTGTGAGTTGTAAATTGCCATAAGTCAAGGTACTTCCAAGTAAAACTTCGGTGAAGAAAAGCATGTCTGAAAGTAACTTAGGCTGTGACACAAGTCGTGGCAGAATGTGTTCCCAAAGAACGGGGCTGGAAGAAACTTAGGCTAAATTTCACAATCTTCTGAAAAGTATATGTCACACCCAAACCCGTCTAAGGCAGGCAATCTTGTCACGTGAGCGGTCAGTGGTCCTCTGAGATCCATCCTGGGGGCAAGGATGAGGAAAACGAAGTGACACCTGAACCGTTCTGAACCGTTCGGATGTATTTCATATAGTTCGGGATAGTTCGGGATAGTTCGGGACTGAGCCCATGTTAGGCGTTGGCCTCTATAATTTGCCTGTGTGTCACCACACATTTGCCCATAAGTTTACAGTACTAGTCTTACAGTACTTGAGTGAGATCGAATTTTACCTGGTTTCAAAACGCATACAACCCACATACATACATACAGACATAGACATGCATGCATGCATACATCCTGTTATATCTGTGCTTTATTGATCGGACCTGCCTTTCTCGCAGGTGAGTCTTGTCTTGTTACCTGCCGTTACCTACCAATTTTACTTGCCACAGCCTACCAGGATCTACCAGGTTTAAGGAAACAAATTAGTTCATCATTTATTCAGAATTATGTATTATGCAACACTTACACGCAGGAAGTTACGATGTGACAACGCAACCACGTACCAATGTGTGACAGTGACCCTCACACAATGGAAGAACCACAGCCACAAGCACGGTTATCACCAAGAACGGAGCAACGAGAACAAGAACAGGAAAACGAAGACAAAGAAGAAGAGCAACAACAACAACAACAACCACGACGACGACGACGACGACGACAACGGCAAAACCAACCAATGAAGGGCCAATGAAGGGACAAAAACAAGTTAAACACACCCACCAGATTCAATGCCAGCTGAGTTTCAAAAAACAAACCAAAACCCAAACTGTGGAATCAGGAGTGTGACAATACAAAACGAATTGGCCTATCTCAATATCAAAACAATCATTGCAATAACGACATGAACAAAAATGGGCGCGCATAGTCAATCATGATTCATGACTCATGACGCATAAATCACAGGAAACAAAAAATACAACTCACAATGTCAGTCATGACTTGAAGCAAGAAAAGTTTGGGGTTGATAACATCAATCATGACATGAACAAGACTAAAAGTGGCGTTTACAAGATCCAAATTTATGTAAGAAAAAAGAACTTGGCTTTTGTACAGCGTCAAAATGTACGTTAGGAAAAAAATGGCGTTTACAACGTCAAAATTTACGTAAGACAAAAAAATCAGCGTTTACAACGTCAAAATTTACGTAAGAGAAAAAGAATCGGCGTTTACAACGTCAAAATTTACGTAAGACAAAAAAAATCGGCGTTTACAACGTCAAAATTTACGTAAGACAAAAAAAATCGGCGTTTACAACGTCAAAAATTGCGTAAGACAAAAAAAATCGGCGTTTACAACGTCAAAATTTACGTAAGAGAAAAAAAAATCGGCGTTTACAACGTCAAAATTTACGTAAGAAAAACAAAAAATGGGGTTTACAACGTCACCGACAACGTCAACCAGAACGGTACACGTCACAAAGGGGCAATTATAGAAGCAGGTGCCTGAACCAATATATCATGTAACAAACAAGTGCAGAATATGGATGTATAATCCCAAATAAGCATCGAAAACCTTCGTTGGCCAAGCGAATGAAACCACTTGCCATCTTATTGCTTGGATCTGAATTCGGGGTTGAAACGTTTTTTTATGGTGATTTTATGGACATATTTCATGGGATATGATATGATTAACAACAGTCAATCAAGGTGTGCTGGAAAGTCCGACTTTGTTCGTGGATTGTCGCAGCGAACTGAACCTCCAGTTACTTTGTGGTTTTTCAATTAGCACGTTTGGGGATATGTTTATGGGCAATCCTGCGGGATTCAAGCAACAATTCTACGGGGAGTGTTGAAAAGTGTGATTTTTGATTGGGATAATATGATTACCAGCAATCAGTTTTGAATCATCAAAAAATGTGTATATGTATATATATATATATTATGGTTTGACCAGCAACATGTTGTGTTAAATCCCATGAATAATAAGGGTAGAAGCATCAAAATATTGGTGAATATGATGGTTTCCTATAATAGATTATAACCATCATAATATTGGTGATTATAATAAATATTGGTGATTATAATATAATAACTTAACCTCTTGCCAGTCATGAAGCACTAGGGAAGCAATTGTAAATGGACATTCCAAACTGGCCCCCCTTATTTTTCTGGAAAGGATGTCATTGGATGGTTTTACCGGTGACTTCAGAGGAGAAAAGGAGACTTTACTGGTGGATACTGCAACAATTTTTTTGGTGATTTTCACCAATGAAATTGACCACATGGGGTTTGACCGGTGTAGTGAACAAAATCTTGGGATTCAAGCAAGGCAAACGCGAATTCAATTTATGAATAGATGATAGTCAATGGAAATGGTGCTATGTAGCTGGTTCTGAATGGTTTTGTTGGTCTGTAGCTTGGCTTAACATCATCTCAGCTTCTAGCGAAGCACCAGATCTGGAGATGATAGAGAGGGGTAATCGACTGCCATGTTTACTTGATTGATGGTGATGGCTTGGGTGCATTTGAAGTGCACGCCCAATGGATGCGGAGTGGGGAAACCATTTCGCTATACCACTACAAGTCTCCTGCTTCCGCGAGAGAAAGACTATTAACTATTCATGCCACAAGCCTCAAGCAGGATGAAGGCCATGTTTATCCATTTGTTCAAGTCCATGTTTGACACAGGAGGGTATGTCCCATGATGTTTCCGTCATTTTTTCTATTATTTATATCATACCATGATTGACCTTATTAAACCATATAACACCACATAAAACCATATAAACAAAAATTTAAACCATATTAAACCATTAAAACAATAAAAAACATATATATACATATATATAATTAAAACCATATAAAATCAATCTAAAATCCATGAGGGATTTTCTCACCATCTCAGCCTCAGCCTCCCCAGTGGCCAGGCACTTGGCCGTCACCGTGGCCAGCGTGGCCACTGTGGCGCCGCCGGTGCCGCCCGGCCGCAGGGTCGACGCATCGCGGCTCGGCGGCGGGGGACCGGCGCCGCGTCCTGGGGAAAGTGGTGCCTTTGTGAGAAAAATGGGGTTGGTAACTGTCCCATTTTGGGTATATTGGACATCACCTTATAGTAGCCATTATAGACCATATACCTAATGGTTGGGTGATGTTCAATGGGGACATCAGTCATGACCCATGAAAAATGGGGATTGAACGAAAGGAAAATCGGGATTTGAATGGGATTTGGAATGGATTTCACCAATTTGCGAATTTAAGTTCGATGATTTTCCCATGAAAACTTGGGCATTTCCTATTGCCACGTTTAATTGCCGGATGGTAATTCATATTACAGTATATAACTATTTAGTGGATTGACTCCATTTGAGGAAAATTGATTGGGTATCTAACTATCACGGACATGGGAACTTGATGGAAAGAACATGAGGATTTAAATAGATAACATTTTTGTTTACCAACAAACATATGTATGTAACTTGCTTCTCAATTTTGGGGGGTGAAGCAACTTAAACACATGTTCGACCAAGTAGGGACTGAAACACCAAAAGGTGAGGGGTTCAAGCAAAATTGAGATTGCAGCAGCAAAATGCTGATTTAACTGACGCAAAGTGGACTTTGCAAAACAAAAAAACTGGTTTAAGGCAAGGAACTTGAAAGACACGAAACATGGTATTTAGTATTACAAATTGACCCAGTGAAATTGGGGGCTGGTATCTCAATGATTTCACCCAAAAACAGAAGTCGGGATTGAAACAACAAAAATGGCAATAATGATAGATAACCAACAAAAGGCCAAAGTGGCATAATTGATTTACAGAAACAGGTGACACATATTTGAAGGTAAAAACCACTAGCCATGAACTCCATCAACAATCAACCAATGAAACAACCTGTAAAATCAAGCTCCACCATTTCCAGGGTTTCCAACATGTTCCAGCCTTTTCTGGGTGTTGCTTTGTCAAGAAACCCATGGTTTTGGGGTACCCCCATGGATCTCTCCTTTGCCTTTGGCTGGACCTTTGCTCACCAGACCTTTGGAGGGCGGCCCTTTCCCCGCAGCTTTCGCCATGTAGGACCAGGTGATAAGCTAAGATCTATGTGTCAATGGATGTCAGTGCTGTCCATTTTCAGATTTCAATTGCATGATGATATGGTGGTTTTGGTGGTTTTCACAGACCAGACTTTTTTGAACATGATCCGACGTTTGCGAAACTTGGGGTCGGCTGTGGGAACTAGACTCTCAGAGTAGAAGTTCAAGTGAACGACAGCTCAATGGCCATGTTTCAAGCATGAACGACAGCTTCAAATCATTCCATGGATGCAGGGCGTAGTGAAGCCCAGTGATAGCCTTCACTTAGCCAAAACGGCTTCGAGGTGACCAAATGGCTGGAGGTCCTGGGTGTGTAGCCATGGCTGTTTCAAAACAGGGCTTATCCCAATCTATTGCAATTTCAATATATGGGAAAATACATGAAATCATGAGAACCTGATAAATCATAGGATTCTACTGTTCCAAAAATTTGAGACAATTGAGAATTCCGGTTAGACATCGATGGCCGGGAATCGGCGTAAGGGCGTAGCATCCTACTTGAATTTTCCAACTGTGAGCGGTTGGTACTTGAACCATCCACAAAGATGAAAGTCAATTGGGTTATGCGTTTATCATCCCGTTTTTTGAAGGAAAGAACATGAAACCATACTTGAAACCAACAGGTATCAGGCAAGAATAGTTTAGTGATGCTCAACACATCTCGCTCCCACTGCAACCTGTTCTGATGCAATTTTTCCAAGCTCGCTTAAGGTCTTCACCGGATGAGTCGTGCGGCCATTCACCTGGGCACACTGGACTTTATTTCAGGACACAATGTGAGGGACGAAAGGTTATCTGGGAGTCATGTTTCAACCCAAAACCAAGAGTTTAGATCTCTCGTTTCTATCTATTTCAAGTATTTTTCTGAAAAAATGAGATGTTCCCAAACATAATGCTTCTGTTCGTGGTAGGGCCGTGAATCCAAACAGCAATAAACACCACTGGACCAGAGGACATAAGACGGTGCCAGATGCAAAGAGGGAAGCCACTCACGCCGGCCTCTCGTCGCAGAGATTACAAAGATGGTGCCAGATGCAATTTCCCACCCCCCCAAAAAAAACATTTAGGGTGGTTCCGGGTGTAATTTGGCGTATCCCCCAAAGACTTTGTTTTAAGTTGGAACAAACACGGCTGATCTTGACCTTCGATGGGCAACGTGCTGCTGATTTGTCCATAAATGCATCTAGACCTGTGCGTCGGCACACGCGGGCAGTATGCACGGCACGCGCGCGTCCAGGCATCTAAGCCATTGGTACATTGATACTGTATGACTGGCGTGATTATGCAATACAAGTCTGGATCCCAGAACCATATCACAAGCGCTCCACCACATACATTTGTTCCAATAACGAATTCCTGGGTATAACATGGTATAAATATATGTATACATGGCAGAAAAAAAACAACTTAACAAATTCCAGACTATAACATCAAATCACGGCTGTGACCCCACATCCACGGTTCTTGACCAAGACATTGACCCATTGTGGCCCATCCCAACTGCTTCATCCGATCTGCCTAACTACCTGTGCACCCATATCTACCTATGTGCAAACTGTACAGGACACCCACGCCGTATATTGGATGATTCGGCCTTTCATCAACAGCAATGTTTGATGGTTAAGGCATACATCATTACCTACGAGTACTTTTGGATGGTAGTAACAACAACACTACCAAAGATCATATTTGTGTTTGTTGATCCTGTGCAAAAGGTGAAAGACTTTCAGAGGGAAAGGTCCAGAAAACCAACGTGAACCTCTTACAATCACATACAATCACAGTTTGTGGTGGTGAATGAATATGTTACATGGAACTCTATGGGTTTCCGTAGGACATGTACCCTCTCATTATTTAATATGTTAATTTCATTTAGCAATATGCTATTGAAAAATGACCCATAAAAGTAAAGTAGATGACTTAAATTATGATGATTATATAACTTGAGAGGGGGAACACGAAAGGTAGGTAAGCAAGAAAGGAACCGAAGAAAAAATGAAGGGGAGAGGGCAGGGAAAAAAACATAAAGTGGAGTCTGGTAAAAGCGACGCGGCCAGTATCTTTCCAAAAATATGAAGGGGAGTCTGGTAAAAGCGACTGAAAGGCTTCGGCGATGTGGTTGGGGTTGGTGGCGGTTGTGGTGTTGGTGGTGTTGGTGGTGCTGGCGGTGTTGGTGTTGTTGGTGTTGTTGGTATTGGTGTTGTTGGTGTTGTTGGTGGTGGTGGTGTTTCTGGTGTTGTTAGTGTTGTTTGTGTTGTTGGTGTGGTTGGGTTTGTTGGTGGTGTTGGTGTTGTTGGTCGTGTTGTTGGTGTTGGTATTGTTCGTGTTCGTGTTCGTGTTGTTGTTGTTGTTGCTGTTGTTGTTGCTGTTGGTGTTGTTGTTGCTGTTGTTGTTGCTGTTGTTGCTGCTGCTGCTGTTGATGGTGTTGTTGTTGTTGTTGTGTTGTTGTGTGTTGTTGTGTGTTGTTGTGTGTTGTTGTGTGTTGTTGTGTGTTGTTGTGTGTTGTTGTGTGTTGTTGTGTGTTGTGGTGTTGTTGTGTGTTGTTGTGTGTTGTTGTGTGTTCTTGTGTGTGTTGTGGTGTGTTGTGGTGTGTTGTTGTGTGTTGTTTGTGTTGTTGTGTGTGTGTTGTTGTGTGTTGTTGTGTGTTGTTGTGTGTGTTGTTGTGTTGTTGTGTTGTTGTGTGTTGCGTGTGTTGTTGTGTGTTGTTGTGTGTTGTGGTGTGTTGTTGTGTGTTGTTGTTGTGTGTGATGTGTGTTGTTGTGTGTTGTTGTGTGTGTTGTTGTGTGTTGTTGTGTGTTGTTGTATGTTGTGTGTTATTGTGTGTTGTTGTGTGTTGTTGTGTGTTGTTGTGTGTTGTTGTGTGTTGTTGTTTGTTGTTGTGTGTTGTTGTGTTTTGTTGTTGTTGTGTGTTGTTGTGTGTGTTGTTGTTATTGTTGTCATTCGTTGTTGTTGTAGTTGTTGTGGTTGTTGTGGTTGTTGTGGTTGTTGTGTGTTGTTGTGTGTTGTGGTGTGTTGTTGTGCGTTGTGGTGTGTTGTTATGTGTTGTTGTGTGTTGTGTGTGTGTGTTGTGTGTGTTGTGTGTGTGTTGTGTGTGTGTGTTGTGTGTGTGTGTTGTGTGTTGTGTGTTGCGTGTTGTGTGTTGTGTGTTGTGTGTGTGTTGTGTGTGCTCTGTGTGTGTGTTGTGTGTGTTTTGTGTGTTTTGTGTGTTGTGTGATGTGCGTTGTGCGTTGTGCGTTGTGCGTTGTGCTTTGTGCGTTGTGCGTTGTGCGTTGTGCGTTGTGTGTTGGTGTTGTTGTTGTTGTTGTCGTCGTTGTTGTTGTTGTTGCTGTTGCTGTTGGTGTTGTTCTTGTCGGTGTTGGTGTTACCCCTGCAGCGTTTTTGCTCGGTTCCGTAGTGGCCGAAAATCGTCAAATCGGTGGTGTTTTCGCGTGTTTTTGCATCGCTCGGAGCAAACAACACCGTAAATACCAATGTTTTTGGCGGGTCGGAAGCCCAAAACAACGGTATTTACGATGTTTTTTGCCTCTGGTAGTAAAAAGCACGGTATTTACAGTGTTTTTTGGCCAGCACCTAGCAAAAACAGTGGTATTTACGGAGGTTTCACCATGTAGCAAAATGTGGTTTCTTGATCCGAAAAGAACAAAAATACTGTAAATTACAGTATTTTGAGTCTGCTCTTAGGGTGCGTGGGAGGTGTGGAGGAGGGGGGGGGTACTAAAATGACTAGCAATCTCCTGAAGAATCAGGTAACGGGGCTGGCCGCCCTCCCCTTTACTTCGTAAAGTAAAACTCAAGGTAGCCCCTCTGGAGCTACCTTTCGTGATATTCATTAATACATAATTTATACTAATATTATTTACCTACCAGTTCGCTACGTTGAATAACCAGGGAGCATCTACAAGTGGAACTTCCGTATATCTATCTTGACATATGTGAATTGAACAGCACGTATATGGGGGTGTCCTAGATTCCCAATAGCTGGTTGGTTTATTCAAAGTTTATTTCATGGAAACTCCGAAAATAAAAAAAAATAATGTCAAGTGAGGATTAATGATACCCCCCCGATTAATCAACAGCAACTGCCCAATTTTTTTTTATTTAAAAACAGATGGTCCCCGATGATTAATAAACCGGTGGGCCTACCCCCGATTAATCAACCACCACTTCGGAAATCCATTTTTTTATCCAACATTTTTTATTTCCAATTCTATTTATTTCCATTTGTTTTTTACCTTTTTTTTATCATCATTGTATATCATTGTTATACTTAAGGTTTAAGTTGATCATTGAAAATTTCAAAAAACAACTATTCCCCAAATGATCGATTTCTAATTAAAATCTTTATAAAAATCATCAGTTTGGATAGCTCCCAAAGGGTACCCCCCATGAGCCCATGTCCCCCATCAATAATAACCAGGGTTTGCCCCTGATTAATCAACCACCTTTCTGATCCATGAGATTTTAACAAATCCAATGGAATTCTATTAAGATCTAATTGACGTAAGCCATATCCAAAGTTTTATGGTTCAGAATTTTATGGTTCAGCGCCGTTTATTTAGGGGTAGTCAAGAAAACTCGCCAGAAGGTACCCCCTACCTTCTAGGGGGGGGGGTTATTAATCCGGTGTTGGCATTAGGGGTACTCCCATGTCAGGAAACCTCCATCTAACTTCGACATCCAAGGTACTTGGCTCATTCCATCATGCTTCGCCTGGCCGAGCCAGATGGCCACAGGAAGATTCCGTTGATTGGTTGAGGAGACCGGAAAACAGGAAACCATACCATCGTTACAGCGAAAACATGGAGGTTTCCTGCAGATGTTCCCAATGTTCCCATTAAAACAAAAACGAATCTGGAAATTGTTTAGGCACGGACATGCACTGACACTGTCAATGGAAAAATAGGACCTCCCATGGCCATTGGACATGGTCCTCATGTTGGATTTCTGGATAACTTCACCCAACTGGGCTTCAACGGATC